TGATAGTAATACTATTATTTGGCAATAAGCCATAACAAAAAGAATTGGGGCGCCCAGAGTTGAGCCATAAATGTAACTCTCAATGCCCTGGCCACCAGCACCAACATGGAAACATACAAGGTAACATAGTTTTCCTTATCAGGCAGCAAAATAACAACAAAACAGTACAAACTCAGAAAGTGTAACAAAGTAATTTTAGATACTAAACTCAGGCAAATATTTTTAGTACCACATTGTTTTAAGACCTGTTTCCTGCTTGGTTGGTTTTCTCCTATTCTATAGAAGTAACAAGTCAGCTACTTTTTCGTGGCATTTTGATTGGTTCCAATAAAGCCAACTGTGGAGTTCGGAGGGGATTTCCCACCTGATGCCAACACTAACTACCTTTTGCTTTTTATATGCTTTGGGGAATACTGAATCCAGACATTCAGAATGGAATCTACATCCAGAGGAAGATGGTTTCTACATCTGAAGATGGATTTTGTAAATATGGAGGGTTGCATTCCCCTCCAGCCACTAGCATGTGCTACACAACTTGGCTTCTATTGACTCTTTTTTCCACCCACCTACCCTCTTCCCCTGGGATGCGGGTGGGGCTGTGGGTTAAACCACAGAGCCTAGGACTTGCCGATCAGAAGGTCGGTGGTTCGAATCCCCACGACGGGGTGAGCTCCCGTTGCTCAGTCCCTGCTCCTGCCAACCTAGCAGTTCGAAAGCACGTCAAAGTGCAAGTAGATAAATAGGTACCGCTCTGGCGGGAAGGTAAACAGCGTGTCTGTGTGCTGCTCTAGTTCGTCAGAAGCGGCTTAGTCATGGTGGCCACATGACCCGGAAGCTGTACGCCGGCTCCCTCAGCTAATAAAGCGAGATGAGCGCCGCAACCCGAGTCAGCCATGACTGGACCTAATGGTCAGGGGTCCCTTTACCCTTACCCTCTTGCTCAGGAGAGGTGCAAAGAGCTCTGTCAGGGAACATCATGGCAGGTGATATAGATGTCTTCTTTCTCATTGATGGCGAATATGCCCACACCATCTTGAGGACCTGTCTTTTTTTTCTGTGGTTAATAGATGTGGCAATCATTTTGTGTTATGCCACACCTTCATGGCAGCTGTATTTGTGACTGGTGCCCACAAAACCTTCTCAATATTCCAGATGTGTCCATTGTCCCTAACCCCTGCATTAAGGTACAGGGCTGGGCTGGGAAGGTTGGATTGAAATACGCACAGAAATAGTTGTCAGGCCCAGGCACATTCACAATATCTCGGCCAAAGCAACTCAAAACATTGTGTTGAGGATAAAATTGGGGAAATGCAGACATGCCTAAGATTAGACCGTGAATGTCAGAATGTGTGCCTAACAGCAATGGGAAAAGCAAGATCTAAGGGTAATATGGAAGCCTTTGTACATTCTTTCCATTTTCTATAACCTGTGAGATTTTCCAACTGCAGCAGCTCTTCAAATAATCTTTAGCAGAAAGCAGGAGAAGAGTGAAGTGGTCATTTGCAACCCCTGTGTTTCTTTGTACTTCTAAAATATATGCATTGCTTTCCTGCCCGATAGGGCTCCAATGTAGTGTACAACTAATACAAAACATGATACAATATTGATAATAACTATCTGTTACAACAGCAGCAAGAGTCTTGATAGCACAAGAATGGAAGAATGAGGAAACCCCGACAAATGAACAGTGGCAAGAAAAATTGATGAACTATGCAGAACTGGCGAAACTGACATGTAAACTGTGAGATAAGGACAACTGTGACTTTAAAGAATGGGAACTTTTTACAAATTATTTAAAAAGACAACAAAATGAACTGGACTCCTTGGCCGGTTTTGAATAAACATACACAAATTTATTGAGGGTTAATACAGTAGACAGATAGGATGTATACAATTTTACAATATGCAAAGAATAATATGAGTTGAGAAATCAGAGAGAGGAGCTGAGGGAAGTCTCAGGGGGGAGGGGGAAAATAATGAAGATGATTTGTTTTGATAATTTGTTGTTGAAATTGTTAATTTTAAAAAAAAAAAAAATATTGATAATAACTATCATTTTCAATAGGCAGTTTTTTGCTATTTCTATCTACACCATGCTCAAAAATCTCCCTTTGATGTAGGTTTGGGTACAAGGAAATGTTTCTAGTACACACACAGGGGAGGAGATTTGTCTTTGATTTCTAGCACTCCCTGTTCTCTATGGTAAGTGGTACTTTGCTTCTGGAGTAGGGTGCTCACATCCAGAAGTGCGCAGTTTCTGCTTCTCAAGGTTCAAGTGCCATATGTTCCCATCACCTGTTCTTGAATCATAATTAAGATCTGAATGCAGTTTTCTGTTTGGGTAAGGGCCTTAATAATTAGATATGGGGAAAGCCTAATGATCTGGCCCTGCACGGTGATATCAGAGCTACTGCCTGACTACCAGTTAAGTTTTAACATATCCAGTTAATAGGATCTTTGTTTTAAATTACAGTATAATATTTCAAGCTACGGTGTCTTTAAACATGTTAGATAGGCTAGCACAAACTATATATGGGTGGCTAAACCTAAGGTTACATTTTAGATGTAATCTACACATGGACAGAAATCACATGGTGCTGAGAGGAACTATAATATCTCAAACTTGCAAGGGCTAGATTGAGTGCTGCCCCACAAAAACATCCCTCTACCAGGGAAAAACGGTCCCCACTCCAGGTTGAATTCCTCTCAGGAACTTGCATGTCATTCCCACGCATGTGTCAATTCACCCTAAACTAGGCTTGCCGTATTTCAAACAGTGAAAATCTGGACAGAAAAGCTTTGGGGCAAAAACTCAAAAAAGGAACAAACCAAAAAAACCCACAATTTTCCAGCTAGTTTTATGGGAAAACAATAAAAATGGCACTGCCTACATGGGCTGCCATACCCCTGGATTTTCCTGGATATTTGACTGATTTCTGCCCAGACACTGCTGCCGACTGCACTATTTTGAGTATGTCCAGGAAAATCTGGACGTACAGCAACCGTACCCTAAACTGGGGAAGAGTTACATTTTATATGTACGCCAGCAGAGAACAAGGCATGGTATAAATAAATATAGAATATTGACTGCTGGCATCCACCTGTCTCAGAAGACAATGGAAGAGTGCGCCATTGGGGGTAAAGTCAAACCATTACAGTGCCTTCTGTGGTTGTTGAGACTGATATGGGAGAGACATGTTTTGTTGCAGCTGGGGCAGGTGAAAGCATCCAGTTTTATGGTTACAGCGGTCATTCCTCCTCTGGTCACTGCTGTGGATACACGACTGTCTGTCTCCCAGGCATCCAGTCGAGGGAACTGCCCGCTAACAGCGCCTGTCTTAACTGAGCTTCAGTTTGTTGACTTTCATTCAGTCCATTACTGAGGCAAGGCATTGATAATTCAAACCTCTTCCCAACTCTAGATTAAGCAATCCAAAGTATCAACCACCACCCTCCTGGGGTTGGCACTCATATCTCCAATATGAATTGGGAGCAACAGCCACCTCTTTTGGTGCACACTTTTGCAGGAGTAATCCCAATTTAAATATAACCTAATTTACCTATCCATTCTTAAGTAAATCAGCCCTGAGTGCTCACTAGAAGGACAGATCCTGAAGCTGAGGCTCCAATACTTTGGCCACCTCATGAGAAGAGAAGACTCCCTGGAAAAGACCCTGATGTTGGGAAAGATGGAGGGCACAAGGAGAAGGGGACGACAGAGGACAAGATGGTTGGACAGTGTTCTCGAAGCTACCAGCATGAGTTTGACCAAAATGCGGGAGGCAGTGGAAGACAGCAGTGCCTGGCGTGCTCTGGTCCATGGGGTCATGAAGAGTCGGACATGACTAAACGACTAAACAACAACAACAAATTTACACTGTGGGTTAAACCTCAGAGCCTAGGACTTGCCAAACAGAAGGTCACGGTTTGAATCCCTGCGACGGGGTGAGCTCCCGTTGCTCGGTCCCAGCTCCTGCCAACCTAGCAGTTCGAAAGCAAGTCAAAGTGCAAGTAGATAAATAGGTACCGCTCCAGCAGGAAGGTAAACGGCGTTTCCATGTGCTGCTCTGGTTCGCCAGAAGCAGCTTGGTCATGCTGGCCACATGACCTGGAAGCTGTACGCCGGCTCCCTCGGCCAGTAAAGCGAGATGAGCGTCGCAACCCCAGAGTTGTCCCTTTGTTGTTGTTGTTGTTTAGTCGTGTCCGACTCTTCGTGACCCCATGGACCAGAGCGTGCCAGGCACTCCTGTCTTCCACTGCCTCCCGCAGTTTGGTCAAACTCATGCTGGTAGCTTCGAGAACACTGTCCAACCATCTCGTCCTCTGTCGTCCCCTTCTCCTTGTGCCCTCCATCTTTCCTAACATCAGGGTCTTTTCCAGGAGTCTTCTCTTCTCATGAGGTGGCCAAAGTATTGGAGCCTCAGCTTCAGGATCTGTCCTTCCAGTGAGCACTCAGGGCTGATTTCCTTCAGAATGGATAGGTTTGATCTTTTTGCAGTCTATGGGACTCTCAAGAGCCTCCTTACCTTTACCTAATTTACTTGTAGGTAACTAGCTCTGGATTGTGAGCAAATTGCAGGGCCTATTTTCTGTTTTGGCCACCAGTTGCTGTTTTGACCACCATTTTCATTCTAATTCCACTGAGTCCCATCCCTTTGCACGGAGAAACCAAGGTCTGGGCGAAATCGATACACAGAACGAGAGTAGGTGAAGCATCGCTCTGCAAGGTTCACAAGTTCACTGACTCCTGCTCGCAATCCTAACAAAGGTCATAAATGCCAAGTTTGTTGGGGTTACAGTCTTCCAAGCAGGTGGCCTTCCTGGGGGAGAGGGAAACCGAGCGCCCAGAGGTCGCCCCACTGGGCCCCGCCGAGGCCTTGCCTTCCCGCGCCCACTCGCCCCTCAGAGTCTCCAAGCGGCGGCGCCGGGGGCTTCCCGCCCTCCGCCCCCATCACTGCGCCCAGGACGCATGCGCGCTCCGGAGGGCGGGGCTGAAGCCGGGAGCTCGGCGCGGCAGCGGCAACAGCAGCGTCTGACACAGCCGCGCATCCGCCTCCTTCCCTCCCTGCCGGCTCAGGGAGACCAAGCGGCCGAGCGCTGCTCCGACACCCTCGCCAGCCCCGGCCCGGCTCGGCCTAGTTGATTAACCGCAGCGCCGAAATTGCCTACCTCTCGCTCCCGGCTCCTTGTTTCAGAGGAGAGGGATTTCCCTCAGCTTCACCTCATCCCTTCCTTCCTCCTCATCTCTCCGTTATCCCCTCCCTCCCTCTTCTGACCCAGCGCGCCCATTTTCTCGCTCGGCTTTTCCTCCATTCGCATCCCTCACCATGAGGCTGAAGGGCCGGGGATGCTGCGCCCCGGGCGGAGGCAACGGAGGAGGAGGCGGCGGCGGGGAGGAGAAGCAGCCACAGCAGCCGCCCGGGCCGGCCCCTCCGCCGGTGCGGAGCCCCTTCGCGCACCACCTGCGCTTCAGCGCCCTGCAGAAAGCCAAGGTGGGTGTGCGCGCGCGCGCGCTAAGCGGGGCATGTCTTTCGTCTGGAGGCGAAAGGGGCGAAGGAAACCGCCGCCCGTAGACATAGATAGGGGAGTGCGCGCGCGCGTGCGAGCGGCTTTTCCTCTCCACCCCCCCCCCCAAATAAAGCATGTATGTGTGTATATCTTCTCCCGCGCGCGCCCGCGAGACAAGACCCGCTCGTGTGTGCGCGAGACGCACGCGACGAGGGGGGTTGTATTGCACAACGCGTGGAGACGCCGAGTTGCGCGCCCGGCGGAGGGGAAGGAATGAGGGGCTCGCGCTCTTGCGCGCGACGCTGCAACCAAATCGCACCAATTCTAGTCTCCTAACCGCTAACGCAGATGGTCTTGAAGTCCTCCTCCTCCTCCTCCTCTCCATCATCAGGCTGCGCCTCTGAGGAGGCCTTTCCTTCACCTCTCCGCTTTCTTTCAGCCTCTTCCTGATGCTTCTCAGTACAACAGGTGCCTAAAGCCCTGAGGCCTGATTTTTTTATTTTTATTTTTTTTGGCTTGGCCTCCCAGGCAGAGCCAAAAGATTGCAGTAAACTGGCACCCTCTACTGTCTCAGGCATACCTAGCAAGGGTGGATCTAGGGATCAAGGGTGGATCAGTCGCACTGGACAGCAGAGCTTGTGGGGCGCCACAGCAGTTGCCACAACTATGAAGTCCAACACAAGGGGCGCGCGTCGGATTATGGTATGGCACGGGGCATCACTGATATTTGAGGCGCCAAGGTCCGCCGCTGTACGTAGTGCTCCTTGCACCCTTGGCAAGGAGCTGTATTGGCACACACACATATGGGGGAGGGGTGTCACTTTACCACAACAGCCGTATTAGAAATTACTACGTTTTACAACTACTCCAAGTGTCCAGAGTGGGTGGTGAGGTGAGGAGGAAGGGTGATTAAAAAATTTGCACGCCTTTGTGTGAGAAAGATGGGAAGCTTCTGTGTTCGATGACGCCATGACAGCAGCGGCACATCACCACAAACATATACAGTGGTACCTCTGATTACGTACCTAATTCATTCTTGAGGTCCCTTCTTAACCTGAAATTGTTCTTAACCTGAACCACTACTTTAGCTAATGGGGCCTCCCGCTGCTGCCATTCCGCCGCTGCACGACTTCTGTTCTCATCCTGAAGCAAAGTTCTTAACCTGAGGTACTATTTCTGGGTTAGTGGAGTCTATAACCTGAAGCATATGTAACCCGAGGTACCACTGTACTGCACATTGTACGCTCCATAGCGTGGCAGGTGATTTCTGCAGCCCCCCGGCCTGGGTCCCATCGGGACCGGTTTTGCCAACCCCTAGGTACACCTCTGCCCCCTCTATAGGCAAGTGCTTCCCATGGCCTCCCATGGCCTTTTCCCAAGGAAGAGCTGGTAGGAAGTGCCTTAGGTTGTGGCTACTTCTTGAAGTGCTTTCTTCCAGTGGCATCCAACCCTTCCTTGTCTGCCTTAATTGGTCTGGAGTGGGAAAGACAGATGGTGGGAAGTTTGCCTATGCGGCTAGGCAGTTCCGGCATCTTGGGCAATGTGGCTGCCGGTGCCAAATAAGCCCCAGACTCCCTCTAACCTTTGGAGCTGAAGAGGTGGGGCAGGGATTGTCATGCGGTTACTAAGACAGTCGCCCACCTTGCCCACAGCTTCATGCCTTGGGAGGAAGACTGGCCGCTCACAGTCTCCACAGGACAGCACCATGCTTTGTCATAGTGAATGTGGCAAGTGGGAATTGCTGAAGCCTGCTAAAGCCTACTCCTAACCAAGGTTCTCAGAAATAAGGCTCATTCTCAGCACAGCTGATTTGTAAGCATGCTTAGAATTGCAAAGTAGTCCAAAAGCAGTCCTGGAGTTGGGACTCAAGAGAGACTCTGGCGTTCTTCACACCTCCTATTCCTTGTTTGTATGATGAGAAAGACCATCTCATGTCTTCTCATTTGTGTCAAGGAAATAAACAACTATCTTACTTTTAGAAGACATCTGAAGGCAGCCCTGTTCACAGAAGTTTTTAATGTTTGAAGTTTTATTCTGTTTTTAGACCTCTGTTGGGAGCCACCCAGAATGGCTGGGGAAACCCAGCCAGATGGGCAGGGTATAAATAGTGGTGTTGTTGTTGTTGTTGTTGTTGTTTGTAATAGGGACTGTATTAGTGTCCAGCCCCTGCCTCACTTTAGTGCCCTTAATTTTCCTGCACTGTCCAAGAACAGAGACATGAGGTTTGATAAATTCTCCTTGCTTTATTGAGGTGCCCATATCAGAATCTTCCCTGGGCCATATACGGTTTTAAAATGAAATATGATATATAGCCACCATAAATCATAGCCCTATCTGATCTTAAAAGTTTTTGTTACATTGGAACAAATTGGCCTCATTTAGATTCTAGTCTTCTGTCCATAATACCTAGCACTAGATGTTCATAGAATGTCCAAAATGAGCACAGGAGAAGTTATGGTATTCTACTGTGCCAGAACAATAGTAGCATACCAGTGCTGAAAAGATTTGCCCCATAAGGATAGCACCCAAACTTACTTTTTTCTCACCTCATGGGACCAATATTTTGGCAGTCCTCTCAGCTGCTAGGCATCTCAAGGACTTGTTGGCATGGGGTTCCTCACCCCTCTTCTAATCAATGTTTGTGCTATGCACACTGATTCCTACTTTCTGCAAGCCAGTTGTGAATGCTGTTTTGACCCATACTCCACTTGCAGAAAGAACAGCAAAGTCCATACAGTTATACTATGCAAACTTTTCTGCAACCTGGTACTTTCTCTTAGGCACTGTTTCCCACACTTCCAGCTGAATGATGAAAAATGGTAGTGCAGAAGTGAACGTGGAGAGGAAAGAATTGTCCAGTATCACTTCATTCGTAGCTTCTGGCATTTGCCTTCCTCTGACCAGAGGATGCACTTTTAAACTTTGGTAGTATGTTGCATCAGGCATCTTTCATAATCATGTCTAACTATGTTTTGAACACACACACAGAGACAGACAGCGCAACCACTGTTTTTGGAAATAACCATGAATGACACCTGGAAAGCACTATATAGATTATTTTTTGATCTCTTGTGGCAGTGAATTTTGTACGCTAACATTGTATTGCATGAAAATGCAACTTCCCCCCATCTTAACCCGCTTTAAATTTCCTTAAGTATTCCTTATTCGGATGGAGAAAACTTGAGCAATAGCCCTCTATTCACATTTTCCTTGATTCTTGGCTATACTTCTTTCATTAGTGCTTTTTTCCATTGATTTGTTTTTTTAAAAAAAAAAACTTGCTTGAATGATACAAAATCTTATCTTTCTGTGTGCCCGTTTTCTAATTCTGCTGGAAGGCAACAAGAATTACACATGAAATTAAAAGGTTTGTCGCCAGTAGGAACGCTCTGGCAGTTGCTCTGACAACTTCTCATGTGGGCTAGGAAAGAGGTGACTAACCTGTGTCCCTCCATATATTGCTGGGCTCAGGCTTCCATCAGCTCCAGCCAGCTTGCATGGTCAGGGATAGGGGGAATTGTATTTCTGCAACATCTGGAAGGCCAGAGATTTGTCACTCCTGGACTAGCGCAAGAAGAGGATGGCAATTAGCAGACTAAGTCACAACATAAATGAGTGAAGCCTCCCCCCACCCCCCACATGTGCTGGAGGGCTGGGCCATGGGTGCAAGCAGCAACAAAAATATCTGGCTAATAAGCCAGGTAAAAACTTACGGACTTCTGTGAATGCCCAAGTTTTGGTTTCCAACAGGCATCCGGTTGGCCACCATGAAACCAACAGGCTGTTCTTATGTTCTTATAGAACCACTATATTTTCTGTGTTACACCATAATCCACGCTAGAGAAGTGTAAGCAGAACTCTGCTCATATAGCAGTGCCTTCTCCCGTCTCCACCCCTACTATAGCCTTCTGAGCCCCCTGAAAAGCTGCTCTTGAGGGTTAGGGGCACTCTCCCAAATTTCATGCAATGATGAGACCACAGTAACGGAGGGGGGAGTGGAAATCAGGATCCCATCTTCTGCCCCTTTCCCAGTTGCCTAACCAATGTTTAAGAAAGATGCATTTTGCAAACTAATTAATTGTTTACTGTGTATAATGTTTTTAAAACCATCCTGGCTTCAACTGAATTGATTTCCTGATTGTAGAACAGGAATTCTCAGAATATCTATAGAGGCAAGATGTATTGATATAAATCACTAAGAAGAAGCATGGTTTAAACCAGGTTTCCCATTGCAACTTCATGTGGTTTCTAAACTGTTATGCATACTAATTGGTTAATAGATTTTGGTTGGCATCTGTCTGTCTCAGGAGAAAATGGAGAAGTGCATCATTGATATTAAAGCACATTTATGTACCACTCTGCAAAGTGTTTATAATATCTGGGAATGTATGTTTTGTATATGTGCGCGCACACAAACAAACATGGGGCCAGTTTTCTTGCAGCTGCCATGGTCTGAAACAAGTAGTGTACTGGTGCATGCTGCTCAGTCAAGCCCACTTGGCTGTTCAGTTTTGAGAGCTGGGAAGCTGGCTTAGCATTACATACAAACTAGCGTTCATGGTTTGTTCCTCTCAAGCAAACCATGAGTGGAGAATCCAGGGTCTAGAAGACAACTTTAAACCATGTTTTTACATTCTGACTTCCTTGGAAGCTATTAACCAGTTTCCCAGTTCAGTATAAGCTATGGTTGACTTCTCCCACACTCATTCAAAGTGCACAAAGGTTGTGCACACATTTGCTTATTAAGTCAAGGTTTGATCAAATTCAAACACGGTCTCTCCTTACCTAATAGCTACCACCAGCCAAATCCTACCATGGCTTGGCGAGGGTATAGAAGAGAGAGGTTGAGGTGGAGCTGGACACAGGTTCGTTGATGGAAGCTAGTGGCCAAGGCATAGAGAAAGTTACTGTAGATTGGACTCAGGTTAAGAGGCAACTAGTCTGGATATGAACCTTCTTTGTGTTGGTGTAATAAGAATGTATCAGATGGATGGCTATCTCAGATTTCTGTACAGTACTACATTTGCCAAATCTTATTCATCTTAAAAGATCTATTTGTGTTCCCATGGCTGAATCACTTTGGTTCATAGTCATCTTGTGACCAAGACCCAAGTACCATGTTTCTCATCTGTGGTTTCCAGCTGATGAATCCTCAGCAGACAGGAAAAGTAATCATTACCAGCTTCCAAATGCACGTTGGCATCGCTTATGGGGCATTATCCAGCAACAGTTAAGTATTCCTAAAACCTATACATTATAGTGGAATAGTTGACCTCCTTAATTTTAGGTGGAGTGTACTTGGAAGTTTCCATCTTAGCTTCATTGCTGCACCCTATACACATAACAGTTGGCAATGCTCACAACCTTCTGGTGCACTAACTGGTACCTGTTGGTTTCTGGAATTCTTGCAAAGAATGCTAGATAGCTAGATCTAGGGTCATCCTGTGTGCTTAAGCAAGACTCTACTCCTTCTCATCGAACATGATTCATTACGCCTTAGCTAATAAGAGATCCCGAGCATGCTGCCTTGATTTGTAAATTTAGAATGCATTAGTGGACAGTGTGGAGTCTAGTGCAGGGGAAAAAACAAATCACACATTACTGAAATCCGCTCACCCCTATTGTAAAACTTCAGCCACTAATCCTCCATATTTCTGAAAAATACTGACTATAATAGATCCTAAAACTTGTGCTTGGTAGAGTATTTGTTAAGTCATTTATGTGGGTTATGATTTCTAAAAAAGAGATTTTCCTATCACAATAGTCGCTCCCTCAAATAGTGTGTTCAGCTGCTGAGTGCTGGCAAAATGGAGCCAACAGAGGGACGCTGAGAAACAAAAGGAAAGTATTAGGGGGACCGGAAAGTATCAAGAAATAACAACAAACAAAGCAAAATTTTGAAACAGCAGAGTATGGGGCAACCCTTACCATAAGCCCTATAAGCAGATACTATGTCTCAGATTTTGTTATATTTTGCCTTTTGTATTGATAACTTGATTTTTATGTACAGCACTCAGGATTCACACTTTGGCTGAACATGCACTTCATAAATTTTCTAAATAAATAAAATGAAAATTAAAAACTGGGAAAGGGCTGCCTGCAAGAAGAGGTTGTGGCTGCCTGCATCCCTTAACAGGTGGGAGGTGAGAATACATTGCATGTTACATTGCAGAGGCACTACTCCTCCCCATATACCTCTGCAGTGTAACATGCAATGTATTCTAACCTCCCACCTGGACCTCAATGAGGGTTTGAGATCTTTCAGCTGCCCTCACCTGGTTTAGCTGGCCAGTCAAACCTGGTGTGGCCGCTGTCGCATGCTGACAGCTTCCAGGAGCCAGAGGTGAGAGCCGAGTGCAGGGTGAGGAACAAAGGTGGTGCTCCTTCTGGGGTGGTTTGTCCAGGACCTCCATACACACTGTCTAGGCTTGTGCCCCAAGTAGGTCACTTAAGTGCTGCTAACGCAGCGGTTTGACTTCACCTGCAGAGGAGCACTCCATTGTCTCTGAGACAGACGGATGGCAGCAATACATTGCAGCACTTTGTTGCAAGTTCCACTTGTTCCCTCTAATGGCCAACTAAAACAGTTCATTACCCCCCCCCCAAAAAAATCAGGTAGTGTTTTCTTTAACATACTCCTTAGAATTGTAATGGGGTGTCTCTAAGTACCATGGTGCCCTCAGATATGTCCCTTGGCCAAGACCTACTGCCCCTCCCCATTCTTATAAAATGAGTTTTCCTGGTTTCTTTTACCATGGGTGCTGCTGAGCTGGCTGGAAAAGAAAGTGCAGGCACTCATCCACATCCATCCTCTTAACTTCTTTTCTTCCAGAATGCCCCATGTTGGGGTGCCTCGCTTCCATTTTTGTTTGTTTTGTGGCAGTTGTTGGCGTTATTATCTTCTTCTTCTTCTTTCCTTTTTTGTGGGTTTGCCTACTTTATCTTTTGCATTTCAGCTGCTTTTTCTTTTGTTTGTTTGGAAGACACTTTGCCTGGTTTTTTGTGGTGGAGGGTGGCTCACTTGCCCTTTTTTGACAGTATTTTGTGTGTTCTTGGAGTGTAGATGTGTTGCCTGTTTTGGGGGTCTGAGTTTCACCCAGTTGTTTCCTGTTAAATGGGTATCTTGTGGTGCCCATTGCAGTTTCTTAGATTCCCATACATACTCCCAGGTGCAAAATTGACATAGGAGTTCATAGATGCATGTAAATTGAGAGAGAAATATACTTGTTTCTCTACTGCCAAATCATAAAATGACCGTGGTGGTGTTCAATAGAAGCATTAAAACATTACAAAATCCAGAACAAATGATTAAGACTGGATCAAATTAATTATCTGAAAATACTTGTTGAAACAGAAACCTTTTCAGCAGGCAACAAAATGTCAAAATTCTTTCTTAATTCATTAGAAGCAGTGTTTCAAAGTACGAGTGCCACTATGCTAAAAGCAGGCATCCCCAACCTTCAGCCCTTCAGATGTTTTGAACTACGATTCTCATCATCCCTGACCACTGGTCCTGTTAGCTAGGGAGCATGGGAGTTGTAGGCCAAAACATCTGGAGGGCTGCAGGTTGGGGATGCCTGGCTCAAAGCCTTAGTTTGCATAGAAACCAAACAATTATGTGATAACTGTGGAGCAGTTAGGAGGGTTTCTCTGGGTGATCAGTGATCTGGCCAGTGTATAAGGAACAAAGTGGTTCTTCAGGTAACCTGGTCCTAGGTCATTTAAAACCTAACAGTAATATCTTGAACTTAGCTCAGCAATTTATTGGCAGCCAGTGCAATGCAATATGTCTCTATTTCCCAGTTCTCAGATCATCTCTCATAACAGCCTCAGATGTAAAGAACTCAGTCTCTCCATATATTTTCTTCTCAGAGGCACACTCAATTGGCATTTATTGGTGCATGTAAAACAAGATCAAAGTACGTTGGTGTTTTGCCTACTTCTCTTCAGTTTTCCCTTTGTACTAGTAGTGATGAATATCTCTTCTCAGTGCAGGTAATAATTTTTATCATGAAGTATTTGAATCCTAAACTGATTAATCTGGCATTTATTTTGCCCAGAGAGCCAGCTGCCATTTTCAAAGTTATCCAATTAGTCTTGGCACCTTCTACATGTGATGAACCCATGCTGCAGTACAGTCTGTTTGTAATTTCCTGCCACATCATTAATTAATCTTTTCTCTGATATCCATTCCACGGCCTTGCATACTACCAAAGTTAGCTCAATTGGCCTCTGATCATTTGAATTGATTCTATTTCTGTTTTTGGATGAGATTAAAGGTACAACGTTAGATATTTTCTATTTTGTAAGGTACCGTTGCTGACTTCTCTGAGAACCTGACTTTATGGGCAGGGTCATAATAAAATGTTTCATTCTTTGGTTCCTCCCTCATAAGATGGGCTTTGCCAAGCAGGAAACAGGATATGGCCAATTTCCTTCGGTGTCAAAAGCACAAATAACATTTCTTACCCCTGCCTCTGCTGCATGGTCTCAGTAAATCCAATCTAGGTTATGGCCGTGGTTTCAACATTTAAGAACAGCCCTGCTCAACAAATTTAATCTACTCTAGCATCTGTTTCCAACAGTGGCCGTCCAGATGCCCCCAGACAATAGTAGCATCATAGAGGATCATATAGTAGCATCATAGAGGATCAAGCGCACAGAGCCAAGGGGTGTTGGCACCTTCCTGCACAGTCAACCTTGCTCTTAGCCATTATTGGATGGCTGTGCTTTGGAAGGACCCCTGCTGTACAGTTGAGTGGTGCAAAAGTCTTGTCCAAGGGGAGAAAAGCTTGCTTGAATGAGGTAAGAAAGGTAAGGGTAAGGGTGCTCTTCGTGGTCCATCCCATTGGTTTCTAGCAAAACAGTAGTTCAGGAAGCTGCCACAAAAGGTTCAGTGGACTGGGCCTCTCCTGACTCATTCTCATTCAAGCATTGGGTAGGATACTAATAGTTTCTTGCGGGAAATTCTAAAAGCACGCCATAATGGTCTTCAGCACATAGTCGTAACTGCACAATCCTATGTCGGCTGTAGCAAAGGCAACCCATCTTAGCTCAAGGGAAGCTGGATAAAGCTACATGACTTGCTCCTTCACAATGTGCTCCTCAAACTGTTGCAACATAGGATTCTGTTTAGGACTATTTTGTTTAAGTGTTCAGTTTTTATGAGCCTCGTTTTTTTAAAGGTAAAAAAAAAGGTGAGCATAATTTCTATACCTTCAGTTTTAAATGCTTAAATGATTTCCAGATCTTATATTTTACTCCAAGAAGACCCATTTATTGCTGCAGAAGCAATCACTCAGATCACTTTTAAAATAAAAGACTGTTAAGTATTTTGCAGTCTCTAAGTGTATCTAATGTCCCTGCCAGTTTTAATAGTGGCATGGTGACTTCTTGTTTTTGAATTTCTTCGCAATACACTATTTAAAATCTGCACTCAGGAAGTTTATTCCATGTCTAAAAACATAATGTGATCAGGGTTAATAGATGTGTATAATATGCTGAGAATCTGAGAGCAGGTCTAGTATACATGTGTGTAAATCTTTTCTTGTTTACATATTAAATGTGGGAGTGTTTTGTAGGAGCATTCGCCTGACTTTAAATTGTAAAGAAGGAAGTTTCCCTGAATATAACCCATGCCCTACAAGCAATAATTTCTCCAGTCAGAAGAATACTTGGCAAGGACAGAAAGTAAAAATATAAACTTTTTTTTTGGGGGGGGGAGGATTACAACAAAAAGTTAGGGCTAGTGCAAAACCTTTTAACAGAATAAAGCATTGACATTAAATCTTACTCAGTAAGGACCTCTAGTATTTCTTCCATTAGCAGGAATTATTGGTAAAAAGCTGTTTTTTTACTTCATCATAGCTGTCTAGGAAGATTTAGGCGGTTAGACAACTTAAGTGGTTTTAAACAAAAGTTGTTAAGAAATGTACTCAGAATTTAGGGAATTTCGTTCATTGCACTGAAAAAAAGCTGTACTTTTGGTGAAAGGCTTAGTTTTCTAGTGTGAAAATCAAAGGTTTGTGTCGCAGTATTAGATACAGCAGCTGAGGCATATTGCTGATAGTTCTAAAGGTTCTCTGCAGGTCCCATATATCTTAAAGAACATACTGCTTCAGAGTGAAGATGGTTGATTTATTTTTCTGGTTCCAAGCAACTGGACATAATCCTATTTTTCACAACTTTCTATTGCTGCTATAAATAACTTCAGCATGCCATGTTACTTTTCTACAGAATATATGCTATACAAATTCTATTTTTTGTTGTATTATATGATGTGGTTTTGACAGTGTGCATGGAGAAAGTAGAATTGTTTTGCGTTCCTTTTTTAACCTGCAAGAGCTTACATGCCCTCATCCTTTTGATAGCTGGTTTTGTCTGTTGTTCGACTGAGATAGCATTTTAATGCCACTTAATCAGTCAGGCAAACTGATCCTTCGGGTAGTTCTCTGGCATAAATATTGAAACGAACGGAGTTTGTTAACAGATTCCTTGACCTTGTTCGTTTCAGGTAACATAATTCTGAAACCCAAATCAGTTCTGAAAGCTTAGTCAGATAATTCTTGTTAATGATCAGTATCTCATAATCTAAATTCTTTCTTGCGTACCTGAATAAGGCTGCAGTCCTGACCTCACTTATCTAAGAGTAAGCCCCATTGAATTAAATCAGACTTAGACTGGAATAGATGTGGTTAGGATTGCACTGTTAGTGTGATGTTTCTTTAAAGCAATCTTGTGTTGAACCGAGTACATATTTGTTGCCAAGGCAGTTCATATCAAGGTCCTTAATTGTAAAGTTTAATCCTGTGCAGCTGCAACTGCTTTCTGGTTGAATGTGTTTGTAAACATACATGCCATTATTGGTAAGGTAAGGTGCTTCACCTGTGGCTTTTAGTATCTGGGAACTGGTTTGTGTGAATTTCTTTACATCAACCCACCAGTGCATTACCTCTTCTCCTATTGTAGTGAATGAATGTTGTGCCCTCTGTTGTAAGAGAATAAGGCTGCATACACAATATTTCCTTGAAGCACTTTTCTCTCTCTCTCTCTCTCTCTCTCTCTCTCCCCCGAATTCTGGACTCTGTAGTTTGCTAGGAGTTGTTGGGAATTTGTAGCTGTGAGGAGTAAGCTATAATACCTAGAATTATTTGAGGGAAAGAATGTGCTTCAAATGTTCTTTAGAGATATATGCGGTGTGCTTGCAGCCTCAAAAACAGTTGACTGCATTTCTGTCACTTTGTCTAAGCTTGCAGCCTTGAATCGGAAGAAGTTAATATTAAAATTAATTGTGCTATCATTATGCAACTACATATGTAAAGCCGTTCAGCTGAATATGCTACAAAAATAGTTTGATGCGTGCCAGGAGCCTCAGCCAGCAATCTTCTTCTGTTTGTTCTTTAATGGCCTATTGTCTTGGGTATTAACAGTCTTACGACTGGAGTGTACAGTTCTGTGCTCAGCCTTTTACCACTGTTCCTAGTTATTGCAAGACACCACAGACTTGCTGGAGGAACTGCAGTCCAGAAATGCCATTCTGGCCACCACAGATATATGTAGAAGTCCCAAACACACATTTTCCACGCAAAGTTGGGCTATAAACCATCAGAAACACTAAGCAGTGGCGTATCTAGCTACTGAGCTTAATTGCTTTGTTTCACAGTTGCAGGTAGTCTGCATCTTCAAGTTAGTGGTCTTGCTTCAGTGTTGTCCCATGGTATACTTATTGCTGAATTAGAACAGTCTTTCCTTAGTTCCTGACCTCAGTTGCCTCTCTGATACCTGAATTGCATCAGTGATGACATCATAATCTAGTTCCATAAGCACACAAACACAATCTTATACCATATTGATGGCTACACATACCTATATGCTTCCAGCTGCCATCCATAGCACACAGCACAATTCATTGTCTGTAACTACCCCCTAGGACGGGAGCCACAAACTCATTAGGGCCTGTGGGACATTTGATAATCTTAAACTGTTAATGGGCACTAACAGAGTACCGAGTTTGCACAGAAGAAAGCTGCTGGTGCTCAGAAGGCCACCCCCTCAAAAATAGCCATCTCCCAAAACAAATAAAAGACAAGAAGCAAGCGCACACACAAAAAAACCCCAACCACACAACCCCCAAAAAGCAACAATGACAACCCACAAACCTTTAAAATTTTAAAAAAATAATAATGGAAGGGGGCCTTGCCAGGGGCCGGGGGGTGGGGTGGAAGATGCCATAATGGCCTAAGATACAGCTGCACTCGCTCCAGTCCTTCAGGCAGAGACTGGCAGGATTTACATCAAGTATTATTGAAACTACAGTACTGGCTTGAGCTACAGTATAGCAGCACCCACACACCCCAGCCACACTAAAGGGGGTTGGATTGGGCAGAAGCATCTGGTGTCACTCTGCCAGCACAGAACTTCCTGTTCTGCCTGCTGACTAGGTGAACGGAAATGGCACTATAGCAGGATCCTTGCCAGCAGCAATCTGCAGAGAATTGCAAACTTGGGCTTCCAGGGAGGGGCTGAGGCAGCCTGGGATCTGCTGGCTCCCAAGCTGCTCCATCTTGCAGTCACTAGATGGCAACATGCGCAATCCAGACTGGAACACCAATTTGCCTGCCTTCTCCCCAGGCCAGCATCAGTGCACCATAGTTTCCAGGCAGGTTTGGAGTATGGTGTTGGTTTCCTCCATTGGTTATTGAGTATTAACATTTCATATGGAACAGATGCCCTTGGGAGGTGGTTGACTCTCCTTCCTTGGAGGTTTTTAAGCAGAGATTGGATGGCTATCTTTCATGGATGCTTTAGTTGAGATTCCTGCATTGCAGGGGGTTGGACTAGATGACCCACAGGGTCCCTTCCAACTCTATGGTTTTATGAAGTGTGTGATTTGTGTCTGTGTGCGGGTGGCGCTGTGGGTTAAACTTGCTGATCAGAAGGTCGGCGGTTCGAATCCCCGCGACAGGGTGAGCTCCCGTTGCTCGGTCCCTGCTCCTGCCAACCTAGCAGTTCGAAAGCACGTCAAAGTGCAAGTAGATAAATAGGTACCACTCCGGCAGGAAGGTAAACGGCATTTCTGTGTGCTGCTCTGGTTCTCCAGAAGCAGCTTAGTCATGCTGGCCACATGACCCGGAAGCCAATAAATCTCGGCCAATAAAGCGAGATGAGCGCCGCAACCCCAGAGTCAGTCACGACCTAATGGTCAGGGGTCCCTTTACCTGTGCATTTATCCTTTTGCCCAGACGCAGTCTGGTTTCGTCTGTCAGAGTTTTCCTTTGTCCATACTACTGGTAGTCTTCACCCTCTTCAAGATATACTTGTGAGTTGCTTGGTGTCCTCATATTCTGTTTGATACATAGGCAGTGATGTAACAGCTGTTTCTCAGTACATACATTACATGATGTGTCACAATGCAAGAGGTGGCTTTTCTTTCATTTCCTCATTCCATGCAGCTATTTCTCTTTTTAAAATTCTGTTTACTTAAAAACTTGGCCAGGCTGCAGACTAGCAGTTGTTACTGGTGTGGCATAGGTACAGAGAGCATAATCCTACAGATCTATAGGCAGAAATCAGTAGAAATTATATTAAAGCTCACTTGTTTTGTATGACTGCATCATACAGTCTTTCCTTCCACTGCCAAAAATAGCTTACAATCTCTTTACTACATGTAGTTCCAAGTATTGTGATGTAAATAATATGGGGACGGACAGAGGCAGGAAGGGTAACTGAATTGTAATGGGAAAACAGCCAGTGCTTTTCTATTTGTATTAATTATATAACTGAGTTTTAAAAGATGCCATGTTCATGCCGCGTTTCATTAAGATCGTTCATAGTAGGTTACTGCCGTATGTGTTCTCAAATTGTCAATCTTTTACTCAGCTAGAAACAAATTCAGGCTTCTTCCTGGATAGCAGACAAATAGCTTTCCAGGTCAATGAAGCATTAGTTCATCTGTGTTGTGTTTGAGCTTAGGATGCAATTAGGTGAAATTACAATGGCTTGTAATATCAGATTTCTGTTGGACTATGACTAACGTTGGATATCACTGTGCGTGCCTTTGCTTGTTAAAAACTTGCAGAAGCTTACTGGAGCAGACTAGATGTGCAACTAGATGTGTTTGCAATCTATGTATTAGCTACAAGCACACTAATACCTTGTGTACCAAGGGATTTTTGGCAGGAAATTGAAAATTAAGATTTGGTCACTCCAGTGGGTTTCTCAAAGTTTACAGCAACTGTACCAAAAGTTCTAATAAATGTTGACTAGGAACATAAGAAAAGCCCCCCAATGCACAAACCAAAGACAGTAGAGGTAAAATATAGTCACCATTGCTAAGTAGCCATTTATAGCTTTATGATCCATGAATTTTAAGCCCTTTAAGCTTGTGGGATCACTTTAGCCCATATACGTCATACCCAACCACTTCAGTCTGCAGAACTGGCAACTGTAACAGGTGCCATGTAATATTTCCACAGTTGTAAGAAATCCATATTTTAGCGTGGCAGGGCCTGCCCTGTAGAACTCCCTGTCTATTGACATCTGGGAGGCAACTCTGTTGTACTACTGTCTATGCCTTCTTAAAACATTTTTTTATTTAGTCAATCCTATTGAGACCTGTAGGTGTTGATGTGCTTTCATCTATTTTACTGTTACTTTTAATTATCTTTATTTTTTATTGATATTTTTAATTTTTCTTGTAAATCACTTACAGCTTGGCAGTATATGCATTTTGTTAAGTAAAACGCATTTTGTCTAATCCTCTTTTAGAAGTCATCCTGTTTGGTGATCATCACTGTGTATTGGGAGAGCGAATTCCATAACTATGCACTGTGCAAAGTGATAATTCCTAGTACAAATGAATGAAATCAGGGTCCTTAGTAACTTGGAGTAGATCTACTCTAAGAAGCAATTATTAACGTCACTATGCAAGGCAACAGAAGTCAGTCGTGTTAAAAGGAAAGCTCTCTGTGCTCTTAACTCTGTGTGGACTGTGGCACCAACCACTGTGGGGTTTATCTGATTCTAAAAAATTATTTCCCCACATGCAAACCCCATCTTGAAATCATTGCAAACCCCATCTTGAAATCTGACAGCTGCCCTGTGTGCTTCATTTGAGTATAATGGCATTTGCTGCTGGGATTTCTTCATTCCCAGTTTGGACAGGGATAGAGTCAGGGTGAATGGGTGCCATAAAAACTAAGGTGTGAAAAGCATGGCTGCATAACTATTCAATCTAGGTGTTATTTCAGATTCTTTCTTCAACTTATTTTCCCTTACAACCTGCCCTGAACCTCTTGGAATGTGGGTGGGGGGTGGGAGCGGGGAGGGGGAGGGGGAGGGGGAGGAAGAGTTCTTGTGTGATACTTCCTGCTCGCTCTTTTAGTCCACAGCTGGATAAATGCTCTTGGCAGAGTGTTGTATGTGTGTTTGGCTGTGTATTCCTGCTTAACTAAATCAGGGGTCAGCAAACTTTTTCAGCAGGGGGCCGGTCCACTGTCCCTCAGACCTTGGGGGGGGCAGACTATATTTTTTTGGATGGGGAATGAACGAATTCCTATGCCCCACAAATAACCCAGAGATGCATTTAAATAAAAGGACACATTCTACTCATGTAAAAACACGCTGATTCCCAGACCATCCATGGGCCAGATTTAGAAGATGATTGGGCCGGATCCGGCCCCCAGGCCTTAGTTTGCCTACACATGAACTAAATCATCCTGGGGAATACTACAGGCTTTTACTAAACCAGAATTGGGAATACATCCAGAACTGTCAATATCTTCTTGCTACTTACTTAAGAAGCATTTTTCCCGATTTGGTAAGAAAACAAGTGTTTCAACCACAATTTTAAACAGTGTCTACTTCATATAGGTACCGTTTTGGTGGCTGTCGTCTTTGTTATAATGTGTTAGATTTACCTGATCATCAGCAAAAAGCAACCACGTTTACAAACGTTGTTTGCCTTGTGTCTACAGTCCAATCTTAAAAGAACCAAATTCCTTGGATTTTTGCAGATTGCCTTCATGACGCTGACCCTGTTCCCCATCCGGCTGTTTTTTGCTGCTTTCATGATGTTGCTGGCCTGGCCTTTTGCATTCGTCGCATCCATTGGACCTGCTGACAGAGAAATAGAAAAACCCCTCTCCTGGTGGCGAAAGTAAGTCACTGAGCCCATTTGGGTTTGCTAACATCTACTTGGAGTATACGGTAATTCAAGAAGTGAAATTGGCACGGGTTACTAATTTGATATATTTCTCCTCATAGTGGTGAAACTGACATATTGCACAATAAAAACATCGTTTCCCCCTAACGATGAATCACTTGTATATTTAACCCCCAGTGGCAGCTGTCTGTACTGAAAAGCATCTTCAAGAGAGGCTGGCATTAAGCAGAGAAGTAAGCTGGTGGGGGAGGAGGCCGCATTAACCTTTTTGCAACCTTTTCCTTCTCTGCTGCCTAGCCTTCCTCTGGAGGTTCTGGACAAGCATTTTTAAGACGAAGCACATTTCTGGAACCTCGCAAGGAGAAATGGGTAGGTGAGGTTTTGCAGGAGGGAAAAGGGTTAATCATTCATGCCTCTCTCACACAGCTTCTGTGCTGAGGCTCGCCCCCCCCCCCCCGAAGCTGGTTTTCACTACAGAGAGCAGCTATCAGGATTTAAATAGGTGCAATGTGAATGTGAACACTTCATTTCTCCTGGCTGATGTGCGTTAAGTTCAGTGTCTGTCCTGATTCTTTTTCACTGCGTCCCCATTCGCATAAACTGCTTAACTGCTTTATTTGGTACCCGAAGATGAGTTGCCGGAAGTGTTTACAAGATCTTGAGGGTGCTTCTTCTTCTGGAAGATTTTCCATTATCTCTACGTGCTGTGCTGTGCAATGTTAATCCCAGGATTAACGGAGGGTACATCTGATTGGTTAAAAACACAAGAGAGTTGCTGAGCAATGCTGTCTTTCTGAATAGTCATGAGAAACAACAATATCGAAAACCGTGCCCTGTTATCTCCATGGGATGGTTTGTCAGCTTAGAAAAGTACCGTATTTTTTGCTCTATAAGACTCACTTTTTCCCTCCTAAAAAGTAAGGGGAAATGTGTGTGCGTCTTATGGAGCGAATGCAGGCTGCACAGCTATCACAGAAGCCAGAACAGCAAGAGGGATTGCTGCTTTCACTGTGCAGCGATCCCTCTTGCTGTTCTGGCTTCTGAGATTCAGAATATTTTTTTTCTTGTTTTCCTCCTCCAAAAACTAGGTGCGTCTTGTGGTCTGCTGCGTCTTATAGAGCGAAAAATACGGTACCTGAAAGGGGAAGGGAACTGGTTAAATGTCTTGTCCTGACAGGTGCCTGTAGTGGTATTCCCTGGAGAGATAACCACACAGCGTTTGTAAATACTTCTTCAGCTGTGGCCAAAGAAGTTGCAAGCATTTCCACAGCATGTTGTTCCCTTTTCTCTTAACCCAAGCCATGCTTTGTGGGGCAGGAAAGCTTAAAGGCACTGCAGCTTCAAGTTGCAAATAAATGTAGCAAGGAGGTTATATAACAGCTCACAGAATACTAAAATTTATATCTTTAGGCACCAGGCGAAAACATTTCTCTTTAACCAGAACTTTGGCTGATTAACATTCTATGTCCTTTTAAATGGAAGGGGGTTATTGGTTTCTTTTTGTTTTTATTATGCATCCTTTGTTCTCTTTTTTGTGAACTGCCCCATGATCTTCAGATGAAAGGTGGTATACAAATTTAATAAACAACAACAAATTTCCTCTGCCTGAATTGTTGGGAGTGTACATCCAAAGTTAGTTCATTTCAGATTGTGCCCATTAAAATTAATGGACATAATTAACTTAGGACCATTGATTTCAGTGGGCCTAACATAACTTGGACAAAATTATTTTGACTTTATAGAAAACCAATATTGTCTTTATGGTTGGAGTGCGTACCCATCTTAGGATATTATCATAATTGGAGATGAAAGCTTAATAATTATAAACTATCCTACAGCTAGCTGGGGGAGAATGAGCAGAGAAAAATAGTCACCCATGACCATTGGCATGAGTGTCTATTAAATGAGAGTGCACTCTGTGGATATATTTGTTTTGGGTTGTTGTTTTTGCCTGCTTTGGCCCACCCTCTGTGATGTCCGCTGATGATGATAGACAGGTGACAGGCGGCCTTTCTAAAGAGACAGTTTGTACCTGTTCTGCAGTGATGCTCCCTTCGACCTTTTGGCGTAAGATGAAGTAAAATCTGCCATGGGGTTGCTGACGGGACTGGTTAAGCTGGAACCTATTTACCGTATTTTTTGCTCTATAAGACTCACTTTTTCCCTCCTAAAAAGTAAGGGGAAATGTGTGTGCATCTTATGGAGCGAATGCAGGCTGCGCAGCTATCCCAGAAGCCAGAACAGCAAGCGGAATTGCTGCTTTCACTGCGCAGCGATCCCTCTTGCTGTTCTGGCTTCTGGGATTCAGAATATTTTTTCCCCTGTTTTCCTCCTCCAAAAACTAGGTGCGTCTTGTGGTCTGCTGCGTCTTATAGAGCGAAAAATACGGTAACTACATTTGAACTCCCTGACGTAACAAAACCATGTTAAAACACAATCAGAAAACGAGGAAGCAAAGTGCTTTTAAAAAGAAACTCTTATTTCCCGGTTTCCTTGGAAATAGCTTATGTAGTTAATCGTGTTCAAAAGGATTAACACTTCTGCATTTGTGCTGTCTAATTATTTTCAGGTTTGTGGATGTCATGCTGAAGGCCATCATGAGGACCATGTGGCTTGCTGGGGGATTCCACTGGATAAATGTGAAGGGCAGGCAGGCCTTGCCCACTGAAGCAGCAATATTGACTCTGGCTCCACATTCCTCGTACTTTGATGCTATACCTGTAACAATGACCATGGCCTCCATTGTCATGAAAGCAGAAAGCAAAGATATTCCTGTTTGGGGAAGTAAGTCAAAGAAAGCTTTACTTTCAAATAAGGGCCACGGAGATTTATTTCGGCAACGGAACGTATTCTGGGAATGTGGGAACCACTGCAGAAAAGGGCCCCTTCCTGGTTGCTGGCAGAGGAATATTTGCAGCTTGTGAGAAAACTGGGAGGGCCTCTGGTAATGACCTCAGGGGCCAGACAGATCCAAATGGGAGAAGCCGTTCCCTCGGGTAACCCACTCCTGAGTTGCTTGGATCAAAGCTGAAACCTGGCTTGGCACCAGATGGCGGGCAGTTCAGTTCTTTCAACAAAGGTGCTACATGACAGCAGCTTGACACATCGCTCAACAACCTACCCATGGCACTCTTTGCTTGTGCCAGCTTCTAGGCCACGCATACGAGCAGCTAAACATAGAGTGCCTATCAGTATGCCCCTTCGCCACCCCACCAGGTGTTTTCGAAATGTTTCCATTTCTTAATTTTATGTTCCTTCCTTCAGTAAGCACTGCGTTCGCATACATTCTATTAGTCTGTTTTATCTTTGGCAGTCATACAGTGAGGTGAACCAGATTGAAAGATAGCAACTTGCCCAGGTTATCCAGTTGAGAATTTTGTGCGCGCACACTTTTAAAAGTCTCAAAGCAGTTTACAATGAAACATGCCAAAACATGTTAAACAATGTGCAACTTCAGTAAAATAACAATTAAAAACACACACGAAAGCTCAGGTTGATGACACTTGTCATCAAAGTTGCTGATGTGTCTGCAAGAATAAAAAAAATGTTTCTACACGGTGCCAAAATGGTAGCAAAGTTGGTGCCAGCCAGATCTCCTTTCTCGCACTATGCACAATGGCCCACTAACTCTTTCTTAAGGAGCCAGCACTTCTATTTCGATATCAGAAGGAGTGTAAAGGGGGAGGATAAACATGATGTAGTCCTACATTTATTTCAGTAGCATCCAAGGGAGTTCAATAGCAAAAGGTTGAACTTTCATCACAACTCTGTGCCTACAAAGTTTTTGTTAGTTCAAATGTAACTCCGGAGTTACAAAACAAGGAAGTGCAAAAACGAACCACAGATTTCCCCCCGATTGCGTTGTGTATTATGTAGCGTGATGTGGTATCTTAAAAGGAAGAAAGCAAAACCTCTGTGGGAGAGAGTGGGTATGGAGTGAAAAGGTCACCCCACTCCCGTTCCTCACTAACTGTTTGCTCTTTATTTCCCTCTCCTGCTTCAAAAAAATAAAAAATAAAAATCAGGGCACACGTGCATATAATTAGTTCCTTGATTTTTTTACATTTGTGTTTTGAAAACATGGATAAGTTGAGGGGGGAAAGAAAATGATTTTTTGGTCACTTTGCCTGGTTGTAGTGCTTTTCATCTTGTAGCTATTGCATTTATGAATATGTATGATTTTTATCTGGCTGTGTGTAAATGGGTGTATTTAACCTGCTTTTGCCCATTTATAAATGGATTGCTAGACATTCTTTACTCTGCTTGTGTTGCAGAATATCACTGTGGAGGGTTATGCATTGGGTGAACTCTGGGTCTTCCTCTCTTCTAGACCTAAAATTCAGTGGGATGACTTTTGTTGTTAACATTTTGGCATTCTATTGCTGCTTTTCTGTACCTCTGAGGGAGTTGCATACACAGCCCTTTAACCATGTGTACATGACCTACATAAATATAGGAATTTAGTCTGCTGATCACCTGTCTTAAATAAACTTGGAAGTTTTCTGGAGATTCAGCTCAGTGGCAGATTGTGGGACTTGATTTTTTTTACCACTGTTGATGGGGGCAGGGAGAGAGAGAGAGAAAATATTTAATTCACTTGAAACTTTGGGGGGCATGGAATCATTGAAAGCAGGGAGAGCACGTGCTATGAAATGTGACATGTATAATTTCACTAGTGTTATTTGGGAGTGGGAGACGGACCCTCCAACAGGTGGCAAAGATCAGGCTGTCCAAAGAGAATTTAGCGGCTTCCCTCCAGCGTTTTCCAAAGTTTGCAATAGTTTCCATGAAGACTATTGCAATGCAGTAAGGCATTGCTGCTGCTGAGTGATAAACGTCAACAATAAATTTCAGCATACCACCAATCTGTCTAACATAGTATCTAATAATGAGCTCTAAATGGCTGAAACCTCAAATCTACAACATTCCCACCACTTTCCTTATCTGGAGTTGGATATGTGATTAAGGATAACCTGTTTGTACCGCTAGGAGTGATCTGACAGAGGTAGAATTGCTCCACCCCCAACCTTTCCACCTAAAATGCAAGGGCTTCTCTTATGCCAACTGGTTTTTGTTAGTTGTGTGAATCGCACAACACAATTCAAGATTCTGTGGTACTATAGGAGTATAGTCAGGTGCTCTTGTCAGATTATTCATGTGGCTGGGGAAAGAGTAATCTCACAACCATGTATATTTAGAACACTCAGGTGATGACACACAGCTTGTCATATGCATTTGAGGTGATGAGCAGCGTTCACAATGACCCCAGGGAAAGTGAGCTAGAAATGCAGACTTCCTAGCAGACGTCTAGCAGTGTCTCCTTTGAAAAAATCCCTCCCATTATTTCAAGACTGTCAGTGGTGATGATAGTTATTGTTCTTAGGAGCTTTTCCTGAAAGGAACAAATAATTTGATTGGCTTTAAATGCAGGCCAAAATAGTTCTAGACTGGCTATAAAAGTTATAAATGTGATGTATTGCATTGCATGGATTTTATTATTCCTTATCATTATTTCAGTATTACCGTATTTTTTGCTCTATAAGACTCACTTTTTCCCTCCTAAAAAGTAAGGGGAAATGTGCATGCGTCTTATGGAGCAAATGCAGGCTGTGCAGCTATCCCAGAAGCCAGAACAGCAAGAGGGATTGCTGCTTTCACTGTGCAGCGATCCCTCTTGCTGTTCTGGCTTCTGAGATTCAGAATATTTTTTTTCTTGTTTTCCTCCTCCAAAAACTAGGTGCGTCTTGTGGTCTGGTGCATCTTATAGAGCGAAAAATACGTAGATATTCTGATTCTCTCTTTGTTTGAACTTTACACGAGTGTTAAACTCATATCCCATCCCTTTTGTAAGAAATAAACAACTGTCCTGTCTACCTTCAAACAGGATCAAGCTAACTGAGGCAATTTTAGAAATAAGAAAAAGCATGGGAGGTAGTTTTGGTTTATGTTTTAAAGGGGCACTTTCAGTTTAAAGTATTCATAAATGGGTGACTGTATTTCTCAATAAATGCAGGGCTATATTTTATTTTAAAATGTTTCTTAATGTGTTCTGCTAGTTACTCCCGCCCCCCAATATAGCATATTTTGTTATGAAATGTGTTTGCTCATAAAACTATTGATTGTTTCTCTATATAGCATGTCATACACTTATGCTAATCTAAAGAAAAATGAAGGAATATACTTAGGAATACGGACATTTCTGTTTCTTTCCAGCTCTAATCAAATACATTCGACCCGTGTTTGTATCTCGATCAGATCAGGATTCCCGCAGGAAAACTGTTGAGGAGATAAGACGGCGTGCTCAGTCAAATGGCAAATGGCCACAGGTACTGGTAGAACGTCTTGTGATTTAAAGGTATTTGTTTTCTGTAAAGGAATATCTATTTCCACCTAAAGAGATGCTATTTCTGTTCAAAAGTAGACACACACTCCTCAGGTTTCAGTTTCTACTATTTGTGGGGCTAACATTCACCTGAGTTCTGTATTCTTTCGAATTCTTCAGGTTTTCCTCCAGCTGTTCCTCTTGATTTAACATTGGTACCACATCTCGGAAAAGGTGGGGGGAAATCCTTTGTTGGATGATACCATGGTTCATTTAATCCGTTATTCTGTTTCTAACAGCCAAACATCAATGGGTGTTCACAAAGAAGGCATGAAGGTGATAGCCCCCCCCAGTTGTTGCCAAGGAGGATAAAATCCATGATGTTAAGTTGTGGGTAGACATATCAGACGACACAGTGATTCTTCAAACAGCTCTTGTTTATTCACAGGCCAGAAGAGAAATGAACTGAAGGGTTCAGTCAGCCTGCTTATATAGAGCTCCAGTACAACGTAACTGTAACAATATTCTAAAACTATCCAATCACTGAACGTCACTTTCGATCCCTTATTTGCATAACTATCTACAGTATCCCCCTGCTGGCCCAGGGTGAGAACTTCAGTACATAACACATGACTTGCTGTTAATTTAATTATGTTTGACATGTGAAACAATCCTGATACATTAAGGAAGCAATCCTGTGGGAAGACCCCGTGCCACCTTAACTCCCTCACCGTCAGCTCAGCCAGAGAGAGGCTGCACATATCTTCCTCTTCCAGGCTCAGCTGTTAGCAGTACAGTTTCCTTTTCTCAGTCCTGATCCTAGTGTCAGTCATTCTCTTACAGAGTTGTGAAAGATGGGGGAGGGGGTAAAGTACTTTCTCAAGACGAGTTTTGATTATATAAACATACATCACGTTCCGCTTAATCACCTCTCCTTTCTTTCCTCAACTAAACAATTCCTTTATGAATAGTGAATTCACCTCTTGGCAATTTGCTTACCCCTTTGAAGCGTTTTCAAATTGTGTGACAGCACTTTTGAGAAGAAACAATCACATAATACCGAAATGTCACCGCAGCATAAATTTGAGTAATGGTATTTTAACGTTGAGTTCTGTTCCTAAGAATTTCCAGTGCTGAGTTCGTTGCCGCTTCGGAATCTCTTAAGCTGTGTATAGATAAGTTTTCCTCCTGCCATAGAGGAAATCATCTTAATCTTCACCTCTTCTTTGTTTGTGGGCGCCATGCTGGTGAAGCAATAACACCCCATGGTACCCCCTTCTACCCTTTGCTGCTATGTGTGAGAAACTTTAGTGCCTTGATTTTGAAAGAACAGGGTTTCCTACTGCTAATATTGTTCAACTTTTATTGAGTACTGATGGTAAGTACAGTAAGAACATAGAACTTTAAAGTAATGTAAAGCTGGGGAAAAGCTGAATCTGGCAATTTCGATGTGGATTAGTTCCCCTTCTTTGAATATATGAGCAGGGAGGTATCTTCCAGCTTCTCTTTCTTCATTAAGGTTCAGGTATTTAAATACCACCTGATATTTAGTGAAGTATCGTTGGAATTTGGTTATACAGTACTGCTTTGCTGTTTTTATTTTATTCCACAACCCTGTTACTTTCTTTTTCTCTTTTGCTTACTTGTTTTCCCCCCTGTATCTACACGTTTTCATTTGCAACAGTAAAATTCAATAAAAAGTGTTTTAGAAAAAGAAAACAAGTGGTGTATTCCAGGCTGCAGAAGTCTTGGAGCCTACGTAATTTTAAAGGCAATGGATGAAGAGGTCATCGTTTGCTTCATGCGTGATTAAAGGAGAAAAGAGTTACCCTCCTTGTGATGAACACAAGGGTGGGGGGGTGGAGGAACATTATATTATAACTTCTACCTCCCTCATTGAGAGGGTATCTGGCCCTCAGTGTTTGCAGTTCCAAATGGGAGAGTGCTTCAAAGATTCCTGGGCTGCGTTCCATACATTCTTTCATAGATCACACTCCATTTGTAGAACACCTTAGGGAGCAACCTGAATGCCTTCTTGAAATCAGATACCTGTGGTGAATTATTTATTAAATGCTAGCAGCGTTTAAAGCAAAGCGAATTTGAATGCTTCTAAATTCTGAGCTTGAAATGTACTTAAAGATGCAGGAGATGTACAAAAATAACTTGTAATAGAGGGGTTTTTTTTCTGTTTCTGTTTTAAGATTATGATATTCCCGGAAGGAACATGCACTAATCGATCCTGCCTAATTACCTTCAAGCCTGGTAGGTATGATGTACATTCTTCTTTACCTATGTAACATCAGTGTAACTTCAGATTTTGAAATTCGGTGCTCATGATTGCCTATGGCCACTTCAGATGTTACAAGAGGTGTGTCCTCCCACCCTCCAATAAGGGCAACCTTTGCCTTTTCTGAAACTTTGGTATGCCAAGAAACCTAGGATTGTCTGTCTGTTCGAACGTTAACTGTCGTAACTTGCAATCCAAGTACGTGCAAAAAACCCACCCATCTGAAGTACCTTCTTCATACACAGGTCTGGAAATCAAAGTGCATCATTGCAAACATGTGTTGACCATTTTCTGGAAAATGCTGAATGCAAATAAAGGTGTTTCCATCTTCAAATCTAATTATTTAGTTCAGGACAAACAAACAAACAAACAAGCAAACAAGAACCTGAAATAGGACATTCAGTCAGTTCATCATTCTCTGTATTTTGTCCAGTCTTGACACTTGCTGACTTTCATCTAGTGTGCATCAGGGCTCCTTCGAGATATTATGTGGTCTAGAATGTTTAAACCTAAAACCTCTCTATAGCAAAATAGTCTCTCTTTTTTTGAGGATTACTGCCATTAGCTCAGTTCTCTTACTGTTTCCTATGGAATTCAAAAAATGTTTCCAAGTAAGTTCAGAAAGACTTCCTTGCAGAAAAAGAAGGTGGAACTCTCATGGTTTTGCACCCTGATTTGGTAGGTGAAGGGGCATCGGAACGAGTTGTTTTTGTATTTCTAATGTAATAGTCAGAGACATCATTGGATTGTTCCTTCCATGCTTCAGTGGTCTTTATTTCATAGAATTGTAGAACTAGTAAATGGAAATTATTCTCTTTGCCAAATACAGAGGGTAGGGGTGTTTTGCTTGTACCACAAATTGCAGGAGATAAGGTTATCTTACCATATTTTGCATTCTCTAAAGTTTAGTCAACATATTGGATAATGAGAGATTTATGGTAATACTTTGTGCCCTTTTCATTCCTGATTTGATGCCAGGACTTTTCCTCAGATATGTATTGGTATGGCTCTTGTGTTGTGCAGCACTTTGCAATCTTTTCCCTAGGATCTGTGTATTTGCATGACCTCTGGTTTTCTAATCAGATGGGTATCATTCTGTTCTGTATCTGAATAATTTCATGTTGATGGCACATGTACAAATCCATGCATACAGCTGTGCAACAGAATAATGAGTAAAAGAATCCATGAGTGAAGATTTGAATCACGTGGAGAATACTACCTTCAGTCTGAGTCCAAACATATATTTTCCTAATAGCATTTAAGCATGTACTACTAATATTCAGTAGTATTGGAGCTTGGCTGTTTGTAGAATGGAGCTTCTAGTGCTAATCTGTCAGAGTCTTCTAGAAAAGATTGCTTCAGATTGTGTAAATGTCTAGTTCAGTTTTCCGTGACCAGGTGTGTATGTTTGATAGGAGATCTTCATTTCAGAGATCTTCCCTAGAAAATACAGTGGTACCTTGGGTTAAGAACTTGATTCGTTCCGGAGGTCCGTTCTTAACCTGAAACTGTTCTTAACCTGAAGCACCACTTTAGCTAATGGGGCCTCCCGCTGCCGCCGCACTGCCGGAGTACAATTTCTGTTCTCATCCTGAAGCAAAGTTCTTAACCCAAGGTACTATTTCTGGGTTAGCGGAGTCTGTAACCTGAAGCATCTGTAACCTGAAGCGTTTGTAACCCCTAGGTACCACTATACAAGTTTGTGTCACCTTCCCTGATGTCAAAATAGAGAGAGCAATGATTTTTTTTAAAAAATACCAACACCTTACGGGGCTCCCTTAGTGAAAGAAGCCTTGACCTGGGTTTCTGGTTCAACAGGTTCCTCTAGTCCATGAGTAAACAATAGTTACAATCATCAGTACCTGTGGGAGATAGGGGTGGAATGAGAGGTTGCTGCTCAGGGCTTCAAACAAAAATCCCAAAGGCCTCTTTCCCTGGAGCCTTGGCAGAGTGCATCATCATACTTAGAGAGATTCATATGCCGGGCTGCAAAATCTAGAAAGCACAATTGTTCAACCTTTTCGGAAAGGGAGACATCTAAATTTGTAAATGTTGGTGAAAATAGCCACAGACTGACCATAGAGTTGGGAAAGAACTGGGTGTCCAGAAAAGATTTTGATTTATTGCCATCTTCGGTAGTGGATGAAAGTGCAAACAAACAAGACCAGAAGTGTTGAATGTTTCAGTTATCATTCCTTTCTTGTTCCTAGTTAGAGATTTGAGTTGATTCTAGAGTCTTCATCCACTCCAGAGGAGTGGAAGAATTAGCATTAACAATGTAGATTCTTTTCACACACCTTATTATTGGTTGCTGTTCGTTGGCTTATAATATGAGAGAGAGGTTACAAGGCAGATTTTCCTGTTTAAAAAGAAAATGTTTGTCTTCATCAGGGAAGGCAGTCAAACCTTGTGGTGGAACATTTTTTCCATTTCTGTCAAATTCCTGGAAATATATATATATATAAGTTGCGTAGGATTTGACAGCCCTGAGATCTTTCCAATTAGGTACTTCTGAAAAATTGCTGGCTATTAGTTGTTTTGACTAACTATCCATTCTTCCTGTGTCATCTTACCTGGAATGAAATATCCTGCTTATCAAAGGATTTAAATTAAATTGAATGAATCATACTAATGCTCCCAATGTAATACAAAGTTTTCCAGGAAGTAAGCTGCTGGGAATAAGTCACAGTGGTATACCATAACAGTAAACCTCTGAAGATGGCACATTATGTTCACTTGCAGGGAAAAGCTTGGACTATTTATTATTTGGGCAGGGAATAATCAGAATCTATTTATCTTTAGATGCTTGGATTACTATGTTGCTGAGTGTTGTTGCTTAACCTTTAAAAATAAATTATAGTTGCATCTTTTTTGGCTACTTGGGAAGGTGGAACTTCAGAGCATATCATCCGGAAAAGCCAGCTGTTACATAACAGAAATGCGCAAGCAATACCTTCAATGCTCACAGTGCCATTAATAGGTGGTAATTAGAATGTATTGTAATTATATGTATCCCGTATATCTTGCAGGAGCATTTATCCCCGGAGTGCCTGTCCAACCTGTGATTTTACGTTATCCAAACAAACTGGTAAGCTCTGAGTAAGCTTTTATGCCAAATACATAAAGGTAAAGGGACCCCTGACCGTTAGGTCCTGTTGCGGATAACTCTGGGGTTGCGGTGCTCATCTCACTTTATTAGCCGAGGGAGCCAGTGTACAGCTTCTGGGTCATGTGGCCACCAGCACGACTAAGCCACTTCTGGCAAACCAGAGCAGCGCACAGAAACACCGTTTACTTTCCCGCCGGAGCGGTACCTATTTATCTACTTGCACTGGTGTGCTTTCGAACTGCTAGGTTGGCAGGAGCAGGGACCGAGCAATGGGAACGCACCCCGTCGCGGGGATTCAAACCGCTGATCTTCCGATCGGCAAGCCCTAGGCTCAGTGGTTTAGACCACAGCGCCACCCGCATCCCTATGCCAAATGCATATAGGAACCTTAAGTAGTTGTCTGAAATATATTCTCAAACTTTTTTGTGAAAAGCAGAATGGTAGTAAATCAGGTGGGAGGTGACACGGGCTGTTTCTTAGATATGTACATTTGTTTCAAGACAAATGCAGCATGTGTTGACTTATATGTGTTGACTCCCAAATGGGAGAACATGAAGTATCCCCCAAAATAGTCAAGTTACTCCTATGCTAGCTAGAAAGATGTAAATTTGATATGTACACAGCCCATCTTTTCATCTAATAGCTGATCTGTTAATCTATCAATCTATTACTGCAGAATGCAAGATTTGTTTGCTAGTATCTCATTGTGGTAAACAAACTCAGTTCTACCTATGAGAAAGCAAAAGTGAGCTTGTGTCCTGTTATTCCTTTAACTGAAATGCTGCTTCTGTGTCACTAGAGGGCACTGATAATTCCTTTGTCAGTATGCTGTAAACTGGAGGAATTCCTGAACCTACAATAAATTCATCGGCATTTCATTTAATGTATTTCCCCCTTCATGATTTACATATTGCCAAATGCAGTAGTAGACAAAATCCTTACAGGGATAATGAGATATAAATAGCCTACTGTCACATTTTTCAAAGTAATGCTGTTTTTGTGAAGCCTATTAACTTTGTAGGACTGCTTAAATATTTGAATGCATTTCTTTTGCTGCATAGGATACAATTACGTGGACATGGCAGGGTCCAGGAGCGTAAGTCAGCTACATATTATTTGAATTTCTAATTGCTTTAATTAATTGCTTTTCTTTCGGAGGACTAGTATGTTAAATAATGGGAAATAATGGGCACACGTCAGTTTATCTTCCTGGACAATTGCTTTTTTATGATCAAACAGGGTTTAATAAGTTCTTCAAACCCCAAATCACACTATTCCTAATTTGAATGAATAGATTAGCCTGCCAATAGATAACTTTTGTCTATAGTGTTTGGAAGCATCTGAGCAATGGCCTTCTTGTTTCTCTTTAGCTTTTTCATACAATTTCAGATTGATTAAGTATTTGAGAATGTTAAATCATAATTGATTTCAATATCATTCATAGCTAAGGTACTTAAGTTTACTGCGCATCAGTTTTGATATTTAATTGCCAAGTAGTGTTCGCTTCCCATATTTTACAGAGTGAGGCCCATCTGCTTACACAACATAAATTCATTTGTGCAATGGGACTTCTTTTTCTTCCTGCTCCTCCAACTCCCCCCCCCCCAGCTTCAGAGAGTCCCCCAACCCTTTAGAGCATATTTGGGGGTGCACAGTGGGGAGGAGAGGAATGAGAAGTCCCATTGCATGAGGAGATGCCAGTTTGTACAATGCTGGATCTCATCCAAAGTTCATTTTCGTTTCTCTTTCTCAGGATGCATTCGTGATGTTAATTACGGAACTAATGATCTTGTAAATTAAAATGAGCTTTTCATTTCTCTTTCAGGTTGAAAATTCTGTGGCTAACTTTATGTCAGTTTCATAATTTTGTGGAAATAGAGGTTAGTACAAAGTTACCAGTGTTTTAGTCTGCAATCCTAGGCTTGAGACAACTAAAAAAAACTACAACCCATTTTAACGGTATCCTTTAATATGTGTGAATAGTTCAGCTCTGGAACAGGGGAGAGCACAATAACTTCATAAGAGTACCCAAACAAAATAAAGACCCTGTACTGCAGGAGGAAAGCTTAACTTCATTTTATTTCTTTTTCATTTCCCCACTTTGCAATAAGGAATAGCCAATGCTATTTTTCTAGAAAAAGAGGTACCGGAACTCAGCCATGAACGCCTCCCCTGTTCTCTTACAATGGCAATGGCGCCTGTTAAGTTGTGGGTGAACATATCAGACGACACAGCGATTCTTCAAACAGCTCTTGTTTATTCACAAGCCAGAACTGAACTGAACTGAAGGGTTCAGCCAGCCTGCTTATATAGAGCTGCACTACAACACAACTGTAACACTTTCTGTAACTATCCAATCACTGAACGTCACTTTCAATCCCTTATTTGCACATGTGGACCTGAGTGAAAACTATCTACAGTATCCCCCTGCTGGCCCAGGGTGAGAACTTCAGTACATAACAGCGCCCACCTGAGAGGTGCCAGGACTGAGTTCTGGTGACTTCCAGCTGAACAAAAACCCTGGGAATAGAACAAATGCTTCCACTGGTCTTCACAAGTCCATGCATTGTTAACCTCGAGTTAGGCTACTGTAATGTGCTCTACATGGGGCTGCCCTTGGGTCTGGTTCGGAAACTCCAGCTGGTGCAGAATGCAGCAGCCAGATTTCTGGGGCAAGCTTCTGGTCAAGAACATGTCATGGCTGCCCATCTGCTACTGAGCCAAGCTTCTTATACTGATTTACAAAGCCCTGAGCAGCTTTGGGTCCAGGATACCTGAGGTATCACCTGAACCCTTATAATTCTGGCTCTGTTACTGAGATCATCTGCAGGAGTGGCTTGGGTGAGTTGCTGAGGCTCGTTTGACAACAAAAAGAAATCAAGCTTTTTGTGTCACCAGTCCTGTGGAACACTCTGCCAAAAGAGATTCAGAGGCACCTTCTGTGCCAACTTTTAAATGTCCACTGAAAACAATTGAGAGTACACCTCCCACAATAGTCTATTGATGCTTGTTTTTTTAATTTCTTTTTGCTTTCAACTTGCTTTTTTAAACTTTCTATTATTTTACTGTCTGGTTTTATGTTTTTTCTATTGTGATATAAAATAAATAAAAGAATAATAATAGAGGTCAATACGTTATGGGCATATTGGGAGGGGGAATTAATGTCACTGATCACCGATAATGCTACTGTCTGTATGCAGTAGTACTGACGACATTTGCACAGTCACATTTCATACCTGCAGTCCATTCTTAATGAGAAAAATGCAGTTTTTAGACTTGCTGTTCTGAACAGTGGGAAAATGAGATAATTGACGCAGTTGGAAGCACGACGTAGAAGAAAGATGCCTAATCTGTATCCCACACAGCTGCTCATTTGTTGCACTATAAATATCATTTGGTTCCTTTTAAAAATCCAAATTAATAAAGGGAGGGAGGTTGGAAACAAAAAAACCTGAAATGTTGTTACTCCTTAATGATGTGTGTAAAAATTCAGGGTTGGGTTTTTTGGTTTTGGTTTTGCTTATGAACATTTGATCCTGTTACTGTACTTAAAAGCAACGTTATTAGTGTGTGTTTATACTTTTGCCTGTGAAATACGGTATCACGTTTGAGCTGAAACCATTTTTTCTACTTGCAGTTCCTGCCTGTGTATATACCCTCTGAAGAAGAAAAGAGAAACCCATCTCTGTATGCAAATAACGTGAGACGGATCATGGCACAGTAAGTGAACTGCTGTCCAAATAGCACCATGTGATGGTTTCTGCTTATTTAGATGTTTGTACCGAAATATTCTACTTATTTTAATGTGTGTGGTAACATTGTGGGCATTGCAGGGGAAAAAATCATATCAAACCTAACAAAAGCTGACTGCATCACAAGTGTGGACTGGAATCTGAACCTGTTTTTAGTGGAGAAATTACAACCCCATCAATGACAAGAAAATCTGTTCCTTCTAAGATCTGACAAGTCCCTACTAGTGTCAACTTTGACTTGTCTGGGTTCATTTTCAGTCTATTAATCCTTAACTACCTGCCCACAACTTCCAAACAGTGATTTTATGGCCAATACAGTAGCTGGATGTTTGGGGAAATTTCCTCACTCCAAAACAGTGGGCGATCTCTCTCAGTGGCTTTATATAGATGACCAACAGGATTGGTGCCAATACTAATCCCTGTAGGACTACATAGACCAATTTTCAAGAGGTGAAAAATCAACATAATTCCCAGCGACCATCCTCTATATCTGACTGGGAAAGAATACCCTAATTTCTAGGGAACCAAACCTATCATTCAAACTGAAAATTGAAGCAGATACATTATGGTTGTAGATTAAGGTGCAGTTTAGAAGTAGCAAGAAAACAATTTAAAGGAATTTGGCTTCTAGGTCCCCAGATATACCCAATGCACTGCCCACCAGAATGCACTGGCTGCTAATAACTGTAACTGAGCATTTTAATTACAGGCAGGTAGCCGTGTTGGTCTGCCATAGTCGAAACAAAATTAAAAAATCCCTTCCAGGAGCTCCTTAGAGACCAGCTAAGTTTGTTATTGGTATGAGTTTTCGTGTGCATGCACACTTCTTCAGATACCTTCAGATGTCTTCTTCAGATATTCTTCAGGTATCTGAAGAAGTGTATAGCTTCAGATATCTTCTTCAGGTATTCTTCAGGTATCTGAAGAAGTGTGCATGCACATGAAAGCTCAAATCAATAACAAACTTAGTTTGGTCTCTAAGGTGCTACTGAACAATTTAAATACCATATTTTTCGCTCTATATGACGCACCAGACCATAAGACGCACCTAGTTTTTGGAGGAGGAAAACAAGGAAAAAAATATTCTGAATCTCAGAACCCAGAACAACAAGAGGGACCGCTGCGCAGTGAAAGCAACGATCCCTCTTGCTCTTCTGGCTTCTGGGATAGCTGTGCAGCCTCCATTCGCTCCATAAGACGCACACACATTTCCCCTTACTTTTTAGGAGGGAGAAAGTGAGTCTTATAGAGCGAAAAATACGGTACATGTCTGGGGAAAGTTTTTTATAGTGGTTTTAAGATGCATAAACACACATAAATGTACACCAAACAGTTGAGAAACATGCAGGAGGGAAGGTCTAGTGGTTTAAGGGTTTTAGGCAGATTTAAATGTACCCACCCTTTTCTTTGTCTCTTCATCCCCATTTTTAAATTTGAAGTACTCTTGATGAAAGCTACTCTTTACTTGACTTGCCAGACTGCATCGTGAGCTTTGGCATAGTCAAAATGTGGCGTTTAGATTGCGTCTGCTTTATAAGGCTGCTGTTATCAATAAAGTGTGACGCTGTTGTGTAAATTCCTGCTTTTTCCCCCTCAAGGGCTTTGGGGGTTCCAGTAACGGACTACACTTTTGAAGATTGCCAGCTAGCTTTGGCTGAAGGACAACTTCGTCTCCCTTCAGACACCTGCCTCTTAGAATTTGCAAAGCTTGTGAGAAGCCTTGGGTGAGCAGGTTGATAAAAGTGTGGAACTGTACGACAGGATGTTTTAATCACTTTGTAACTTTATAAAGCAGTTTTTTAAAAAAACGTATTTTAATTATAGATTTTCTTGATTTACAAAGGTATGTGCAATGTCTCTCTCTCGTATTTTTTTTCCATGAACCTTTTTTTTTTTTTTTTTAAAAATCGGTTTAAAAGCAATTTTTTAAAAAAAGTCAAGCATCTGGGAGGTTGTGGGGGCAATGTTTTGCAATCTTGCAGGAGCAGACCAGAATCACAGAGGTTTCAAAAGCTTAACAAATTTGACATCTGCCAGTGTTGTGCAAGATCTAGTTATAATAGGCTTCTTGCCACTTAATTCAGTTGAGCATTCCTGGCTTCAGTTGACTGTGGTTCTGATAATTAGGAAAGTCATAATTTGTATTCCTGGGTGAACCTAGCATATTACAACTTATGGTGGAGACAGAAAGGAAGAGCCATCTGTATATCACTTCCCTCAACACAAGTTAGATGCCAGGGTTGTGGTTTGCAGAAATCAGAGTGCGCATTGCTTAAATTTATATTGTTAACAAAAAAACACACCCTTTCAGCTTAACATGTTATATTGGACACTTCCCATGTTCACTCACATTTCAAAATGTCAAGAAGTTACAGCTGTTAAGTCCCCACATCCTTAACAGATGCATTGTTTATGCAGTATTGATATAGTATTGAATCTTACCTTGTTAGATCCAGCTTCATCACTGCCTTGAAGCTTGGTGGTTGTCAGTGGTAGATGAGAATCTGAGATGATGATGATGATATTTTTAAAGGAGGGCTTTTTCTATAACTGCAAATATAAAGTGGGAGCCACTTTTTCCAGTTCGGGATATTGCATTAGAACTTTCCTCTTCTGAAAATTGAATTTATCCAAATGCTCTCCCACGTTGTTTTAGAGCAAAACTGTATATTCAGATTGCGAGGTACGGAATTCCTGGAACTCTGTCATTCAGAATGAAGAGTGAAGAGATCCATGTCTGAATGATCCACCACAGGAAGAAAAGGTGTAGATTCATTGAATTGTAGAGTTGGAAAGGAAGCTGAGGGTTATCTAATCCAACCCCCTGCAATGTAGGAATCACAACTAAAGCATCTATGACAGATGGCCATCCAGCCTCTGCTTAAAATCCTCCAAGGGAGGAGAGTCGAACTCCTCTCTTGGGAATCATTCCACTGTCAAACAGCTCTTAGTGTCAGGAAGTTCTTCCTTTCTTGTAACTTGAATCCATTGGTTTGGGTCCTAGCCTCTAGAGGAGGAGAAAACAAGCTTGCTCTATGTTGCTCGGTCCCTGCTCCTGCCAACCTAACATGTTTGAAAGCACGTCAAAGTGCAAGTAGATAAATAGGTACCACTCCAGCAGGAAGGTAAACGGCATTTCCATGCGCTGCTCTGGTTCACCAGAAGCAGCTTAGTCATTCTGGCCACATGACCCGGAAGCTGTACGTCGGCTCCCTCGGACAATAAAGCGAGATGAGCACCGCAACCCCAGAGTCGGTCACGACTGGACCTAATGGTCAGGGGTCCCTTTACCTTTACCTTTTATTGTCAGATGGCTTAGGTGGTTGCTCACGAGTAACCAGGCAGGACTCCGACCTGTCTTTTACAGGTTTTATTTAGGTGCAAAACTATTTACAGTGCAGAATCCCAAAGTTCATGTCTGCCTCAATCGCTAGCAGAATCCGGGAGTGCTTGTTTCCTGGACCTCCCCCAGCATAAGAGTCTCGTTACGCCCAGCCTTTCTCTTCCCTCTTTGCGCTTTAGACTTCTGTGCAGGGTGGGCGACGGAATGGGCGTGCTTCCTTCCTGGCCAGTTTTGCCAGGAGCGTTGTTGAGGCTCCTACCAGCATCCTCTGGTCCTTTCACTTCTTCCTCATCACCGGAAGAAGAACTGCTTCGCAAGATTGTCGGAGGCTCCCTGTAACACAACTGCCCCTCTGTTTCCCGCCACTGTTCTGATGGCAGTTCCTGACAGCTATCATATCTCCTCTCAATCTCCTCTTTACCAGGCTAAACACATCACACATCAGGGATAAGTTTTTAGCATTAATCTTCTGTTAGTGGATTGCCAGGAAATTACAAACTGCCTGGTTTGTCCTCCTCAACACTCCTGTAAGAAAAAAAGAGAGAGGGTTGTCTACAATTTCAGCCTTGGTTCTTTTCCTCCCATGTTTAGATTAAAGCCAGAGAAGCTTGAAAGAGAGCTTGATGCATATTCAGGAAATACCAAGAGAATGAAAGACAAAAGGGTCAGTCTCAAAGAGTTTGCGGAATACCTAGAAGTCCCGGTTTCTGACACATTAGAAAACATGTTTGCACTTTTTGATGAGGTAAGAAAGATGACAGTCTTGAAATTTCTAAATAACCACTTTTATTATTTGAATTAAGGCCTTGGGCATTCTTTCGTTAGGAATGCAGTTTTCATTTGTGAGTACGGTTAATATAGCTGTAACATAGAAAGTACTTGTTTATGTTATGAACAATAGTTTCAAAAAAGTGATTACTAAATTCAGAAGATCTTGTGTGCATGCCTTTTGCCTGCTGTGCGAACATTTGTAGTCTGAAATTACGCATCCTATTGGCTGCCGGTCATCATTTTTACCATGGAGAAATGTAGCACAAGGGATACATGGTGACTATGACTTATTTTACAAATTAGACTACAGCTTTCTATATACATACACATATATAGCAAGCATAACGTATTGTTGCATCAAAGAGAGGATACCAAAATGGCAATTGAATTAGTTCTTATCAATGGACCACCCTGTGCTTCTTCAGACCTCTGCAGTTTGAAGGAGAGAAGGGGTGGCATATGAAAAGCTCTCTCTAAACACCCACATTTCACTATTTGAAAGCCCAGGTCCATATAGTTAAAGCTATGGTTTTCCCAGTAGTGATGTATGAAAGTGAGAGCTGGACCATAAAGAAGGCTGATCGATGAAGAATTGATGCTTTTGAATTATGGTGCTGGAGGAGACTCTTGAGAGTCCCATGGACTGCAAGAAGATCAAACCTATCCATTCTTAAGGAAATCAGCCCTGAGTACTCACTGGAAGGACAGATCCTGAAGCTGAGACTGAAGTATTGCTTTGGCCACCTCATGAGAAGAGAAGACTCCCTGGAAAAGCCCCTGATGTTGGGAAAGATGGAGGGCACAAGGAGAAGGGGACGACAGAGGACGAGATGGTTGGATAGTGTTCTCGAAGTTACCAGCATGAGTTTGACCAAACTGCGGGAGGCAGTGGGAGACAGGAGTGCCTGGCGTGCTCTGGTCCATGGGGTCACAAAGAGTCGGACACGACTAAATGACTAAACAACAACAAAGGGCTGTTTGAAAGCCTCGTGGTTCTTTTTGAGGTTTTGACAATCAAGACCTCAAAGGGTTACATTAACTGATAGCACTATGATGCCAGGTGATTGGCAGGTGGGCTCCCTGCCCACCAGGGGTTGGGGAGAGAAAGATCTGGCCAGAAAGGGTTCCTTGTTGTAAAACAACTGAGAAATATAAGATGTTTCAAAAGTTCAGAGGACTTAGTCGCCCCTAGTTTCTTTGTTTAGAAATCTTTGTGCTGAAACCTCCATGTGAGCTCTTTTTATGTGTACTTTTCAGAATTTTATTTTCTTCGGTGCGTATTTTCTATGAAACTGGTAATACAGCTTTGTTTCTTTTTTTACAGAAGGAAGGTGGTCTGATTGACTTAAGAGAATATGTAATCGCTTTGTCAGTAGTCTGCCGGCCATCCAAAACCTTGCAAACGATACAGCTGGCTTTTAAGGCAAGTAGCAGCTTTTATTAAGACGGTTTGTTGAAAGCCATTTTTAAAAACAAAGCCCTTTTTTCCCTTTTCCTTTTTTGGGGGGGCAAAACAGGTCAATTCATTACATTGACCACAACTTCTCTGCATCCCTGGTCATTACTGGCTTTATAAAAGTTCTGTACAGTAGTCAGCATCTAACAGTAGCCATATTCACTCACATGCATTTTGACCCGCAAAACACAGCAGCAATCTGTTGTGCCCTGTTTTGTTTTTTTCCAAATCAGCAAACAGGAGCATGAGACTGTGCAAATTGCTGCCTACGCAGGCAAATGGGTAAGAAAAAAGTAGCTTGCATGCTCATCACTTGATGAAAGCAGCATCAAGCGACAACTTGTAAATGTGAGTGAGCCATCACATATACAACACCACAGAGACATCCTTTCTGGTAATTGTGTTTTATTGTACATTGATGCTTTATTTTATGAACTGTGGCCAAAGAGGGGCTAACAAATGGGGAGTGTCACTTGATGATACCTCAAACTTAATGTTTATCAGGAAAGTTAATTCACATACTCATCTGTGAGTCATTGAGCACTGAGAAATCAAGTGATGTAAGTGAAAGCCAAGGTTTGTGTACCTTTTGAAAGCCCTGGATTTCCTGAGCTCAGTATATCTGAAGACCACCTTTTCCTGCATGAGCAACCCCTTACCCTAAACACATCTGGGGTGATCCTGCTCTGGACGTGGCTAGGTCTTATTTTTATTTCAAAATATTTATGACCTGCCTTTCTGTCCACCAGGACCACCAAGGCAGCTAGCAATACACAATACATTGCCTAACTGGCAAAATGCACAGTTCCCACAGAATAAAAGAGACAGTAAATCAAAAGAACTCAAGGGCGTATGAGCATATGAGCTCCCCGATGCTCTCTTATCCCTCCAGCACCCAACTCTATTGTGGCATCACACCTGTGGATTGCATTTCCTTATGCTGGCCCACCAGATTATAGCCTCAGCAGAATTTAGGTGACAAATGAAGTCTCCTGTATCCGTTGCAGTGATGATGCATGATTAGTCAGTTTCCTGCAGCAGACCTTGAGAGAATGGGATTTTAACTGGCATTTAGTAACATGGTTGGCCTTTGTATTTTTATGTACTGTAATTCCTTATATTACCTTGAGTACTACTTTTAGTGGAGAGGCGATTGCATGTTTGATGATGATGATGATGATGATGATAATAATAATAATAATAATAATAATAAAAAATTATTTCTACCCCACCCATCTGGCTGGGTTTCCCCAGCCCCTCTGGGCGGCTTCCAACAAAGTATTAAAATACAGTGATCTGTTAAACATTAAAAGCCTCCCTAAACAGGGCTGCCTTCAGATGTCTTCTAACAGTCTGGTAGTTGTTCTTTTCTTTGACATCTGGTGGGAGGATGTTCCACAGGGTGGGTGCCACTACCGAGAAGGCCCTCTGCCTGGTTCCCTCTAACTTGGCTTCTCGCAGACAGGGAACTGCCAGAAGGCCCTAAGCGCTGGACCTCAGTGTCTGGGCAGAACGACAGGGGTGGAGATGCTCCTTGATTTATCTAGAGGCCAATCCCCCACCTTTGCAATACCAGGATGCCTGTTGTTGTTGCTATTATCATTATTGTTTATTCAGTTTACATCCCGTCCTTCCTCCCAAACAAGCACTACATTTGCACCACTCAAAACAGCTTACAGCAATTAAAATACTGCATCCACAAAAGCAATAATATTAAACAAAGCAGTTTAAAAATAAAAACAGGCACAGCAGATAAAACCCCAAAGAGAGCTTGTCATATAAAGCATCCTATGTTGGCAAGAAGGGGCTCCAAACAAACCTCAGAGGGCAAGGTATTCCATAGCCTGGGTGTGACCACTAAGTGTGGCCCTTTTTCTCTTTCTTTATCTGTTTCTGAATAAACCAGAGGTAGGTCGCAGTGAATGCCCTCTCTGCCAGATCTTAGACATTGGGCAGGCTGGTACAGGAATAGGCGGCCCCTAAGGTATCTAATAGGGACACGGGGGTGGCACTGTGGGTTAAACCACAGAGCCTAGGGCTTGCCGATCAGAAGGTCGGCAGTTCGAATCCCCGCGACGGGGTGAGCTCCCGTTGCTCGGTCCCTGCTCCTGCCAACCTAGCAGTTCGAAAGCACCTCAAAGTGCAAGTAGATAAATAGCTACTGCTCCGGCGGGAAGATAAACAGCGTTTCCGTGCGCTGCTCTGGTTCGCCAGAAGCGGCTTAGTCATGCTGGCCACCTGACCCGGAAGCTGTACGCCGGCTCCCTCGGCCAGTAAAGCGAGATGAGCGCCGCAACCCCAGAGTCGTCCGTGACGGGACCTAACAGTCAGGGGTTCCTTTACCTTTAATGTATCTAATAAACTGTATCAATAAATGTATTTGCTCTTGGGCTTCAGCAAAATTTGCAAACTCTAAATGGAAAATAAAAGGTGGCGTATCAATCAGTGTAGGGAAGTTGGAAGATTTATTTGGCTGGGAGAAAAGTGTCAAACAGAGGCCCTGGGAATGTGTTTCTTTGCTGCTGCTGCTGCAATAACAAATCATACGTTTTAATTTTTCACAGATGTATCAGTCAGAAACTGGAGCTCTAACAGAAGAAGATTTAACTTGCATTTTAAAGACTGCCATGGGTGTTTCAGATCTTAATGTGTCAAACCTATTCAGAGCTATAGATGTCGACGAAAGGGGGGAAATTACATACGGTGAGTTCCGTGCTATGATTTTAGAAAGCCGCAGACAATGGGGAACTTTTGTGTGGTGGCCAGGCATGTCCCACGGAAAAGAGCAGCTGCCTGGGGGCAAGTGTGACAGGTTCCTGGCCATTGTGTTGCATTGGACGGGCTGTAGCTCAGAGTTTAAGTCCCAGCTTCAAACCCAAGCATTTCCAAGTGGGAATGACTCTGTCAGAAACCCTGAAAAGCCAGTCAGTACTAGATAGTCTGGGTCAATATGAAACAGCTTCCTGTGCTCATTAATGGGCTTCCTGGAATGTCTGTATATAGGGACGGAATGTCTGTATATTATTTCTTGTTTATGTGCTATACCTTTTCCTCCAGCTTGTATGGTTGGCACCCCCTTCACCCCTTTGATCCTTACAGCAACCCTGAGAGATAGTGCATGGCCCAAAGTAATCCAGAGAGCTTCCAAGCCAAATGGAAATTTGAACTTGGATCAGTCCAGTCCTAGTGCAGCACACTAACGCGGTCCATGCTATGGTTACCAGTAGCTAAAGGTTCCATTCTGTTCTATGATCAGTGACCTTATGCTGCAGTGTTGGGCGCTGTGGTCTAAACCACTGAGCTTCTTGGGCTTGGTGATCGGAAGGTTGGCGGTTCGAATCTGCGTGACAGGGTGAGCTCCCATTGCTCTGTCCCAGCTCCTGCCAGTTTGAAAGCACACCAGTGCAAGTAGATAAATAGCTACACCTGTGGCGAGAAGGTAAACGGCGTTTCCTTGCTCTCTGGCTTCTGTCACGGTGTCCCATTGCACCAGAAGCAGTTTAGTCCTTCTGGTCACATGACCCGGAAAGCTGTCTGCGGACAAACGCTGGCTCCCTTGGCCTGAAAGCAAGATGAGCGTCGCAACCCTATAGTGGCCTTTGACTGGACTTAACCATCCAGGGGTCCTTTACCTTTTACCTTTACCTAATGTAATAAAGCGACCTGTCAAGAAAAGGCCAACACGAACAAACAAACTATTGCTTAAAGCTCAAGGAGGTGGGGAGGGGAGGAACATAGTGTAGTTCTGCAAATCATTTTGAGTTGTTAGCAAATGTTAGTGTTACTCAGGGAAAACCCATTGAAACTAATGAAAATGACTATCCTGTGTCAGTGGGTCTACTCTAAATATAATTTAATTGGGTTCAACCCTTTGGAAAATGCTCTTAAAGTTTGGCATGGGAGACTTAGTAACTAGTAGTCTACTTAGTACTTTTATTGTCTTGCAGTCTTTCTTGATTTTGTAAGTAAAACACTTAAAATGTATGCTTGCTTTTATTAATTTCTAGAGGATTTCCACAAGTTTGCCGAAATGTATCCAAACTTTGCTGAGGAGTATTTATATCCCGATCAAATGGAGACTGATACCTGTCCTGCTCCTAACGGTTTCTGTACAGACTTCAGCCCAGAAACTACTGAAGACAGAAGAAATCACCTGCAGAAGAAACTGAATTAATGTTAACAATTCCAGCGTCCTCTTCTGGTGAGAGGAGCGTGTCCTGTCTTAGGCTCGTCATAGTCACACAACTATGTAATCTGAAGTATGCGAGGGGTGTGTAAGACAGAGAGGAGTGTGTGTGTGTGTGTGTTTGTGAGAGACAGAGAGAGAGAGATGATTTTGCTGCATTAATGAGCATCTTCGGACTTCCTATTTGGAAGATCTTGGTTTTTTCCATCAGCATCTTGGAAAGTAAAGAATGTAAATGAACTTTTAATTTGTGTACTTAAAAAGAAGATGCTTGCATATTTATATTCCATTGTTTAGTTCCATGTACAAAGTGTCCTACAAAGTGTGCATGTGTAAAGAATACTGTAGCTCCTATGGTGTTAAGTGCACTTCGGTGATTAGTGTTATTCCTGTTTAGGGAATTGTTTGGGTTCAAGTTCCGCTTTCCTTCTTCATGTGAAGACACAACTATTTACTGCTGACTGTGGTCACTGGTCTTCTGAACAAGGCTAGCTCAATTTAGCCCTTTTGTTTTCATTTCAGCAAACAGTTAAAGGAAGAAAAGTATGCAAAAATATTTTTAACTAAGGAATTTTTAAAATTATTTTTCTTGTAAGAGGACTTTTTTGCCATTCAGTTCATGGTAGTATTAAAAATTGGAAGGGTGTGGTTGTTCCCTAGGTTGTGTGCATTCTGTGCTAAAAGCATGAAAACATCTGTACCAAGTAACATAAATTCAAAGAAAACTGAATTCCGAGGTTTATATAAACTAGATAATCTTCCACATTATATATAGTTCTGCTTTTCCTGAATGTGGGCAATGACCAAAACAACTAAATAAATGAGGCAGGTTTGAGAGAGACTGAGGCCCAGTGTGATGTAGTACTTGAGAGTGTTAGCCTAGCGCCAAGGAAGACCTGAGTTTGAATCCTGGCTCAGTCACAAAGCTCACCAGTTTACCTAGGGCCAGTCACACTCTCAGCCACACCTGCCTCACAAGGTTGTTGTGAGAATGAAATGGACCGGAAGGAACCCTTGAGTTCCTTGGAAGAATGGTGGGATACAAATTGCCCCTGACCTCTGGAAAGTCATATTATTCCCACTATAAAAAGCTGCTGAGATTTCAGAGCCCACATACTGTCACATTTATCTTCACATCTTAAGGGCCAGAAATGTTCATTTCAAAAAAAAATGAATGCTAAAATTCTCAGGATGCTGAATACTGCCCTAAATTCAAATTTATTTAATTATTGGGTATGAACACAGAATACACACAGCCCTGGCCATATTCCTGCCTTTTCTGTTGTATTTCACTTAGGGTTTTCTAGCAGGGGATAATTAAACAAGGTATATTTTAAACAGCTTCAATGGATTTGGCTTTTTGCACAGAAGCAACACAATGCATAATGGAGACTGAACAGGCATAAAATAAACCATTTTTAACACCAGAAAGCCATCAGTTCTTGTGAACTGCCCTGAGACCTGTGGGTATAGAGAAGTATACAAATTTAATAAATAATAATAAAATAGTCCCTCATAATCACCCACAGATATCACAAGATTTGGTTGTACACATTTTCAGAAAGAACGCTTGGTAACATCTGACTCCATTTTTTTTACTATCCCTGCCTTAGTGACTTTTTCATTGCAAGATGCTTTTCAAATCAATGTATTGCCTCAAATGGTCACAAAACCTCATTGCTCTAAAATGTGTTCTCCTACAGTCCACAGCTTTTCTACAGTTAAAAACTGGACATTAAAAAAAAAGATATGGTATAAATTACTGTATTACATCAGCTTTCTAACCCCCTTTTAATGTATACAGAGATCAAAAAGAAGAGGACAAATGCACTTGGAGGTGTTTTGTCTATGAATCTGCTTCCTTCCAAAATGCTGTTGGGATCACATAATTTTGAGCAACTATTTAGGTTGTTATAGGTTTGGAAGATAATTTTTCCCTCCTCAAATCAAGAAGTTGCACACATAGTTTCAATGAGACTTGCCATTATGTCAGTAAATGGTATTCATCTGAACGGTGATTCTCCATGGCCTGAGAACGGCCATTGGTTGGGCAATGGCTCCATCTTGGGAACAAAGACAGCAGCGGAACTTCAGAGAAGTAGACAGCTCCCACAATCCAGTTTGCAAACTTGTTTTGTTATCAGAAAATGTCAGAATCCTTGGTCTGCATCAAAGTAGCCTCAAGTTAACAGAGCATTGAAACCTGATCAAAAGTTAACCTGAATGGCATTGTGCCCTATCTGAAGAAGAAGAGAAGAAGAGTTTGGATTTGCTGTCCCGCTTTATCACTACCCTAAGGAGTCTCAAAGCGGCTAACCATCTCCTTTCCCTTCCTCCCCCACAACAAACACTCTTGTGAGGTGAGTGAGACTGAGAGATGTCAGAGAAGTGTGACTGGCCCAAGGTCACCCAGCAGCTGCATGTGGAGGAGCGGGGAATCGAACCCAGTTCACCAGATTACAAGACTACCACTCTTAACCACTACCACTACACCACACTGGCTGAGCAAAGAAGTGGGGGGTTTTTGCTTGCTTCTCCTCACTGCAGTACTGCCTGCTTTCTGGACTCCTAAAGCTACATCAAACTACAGGGAAGTGAATCAGCTTTCTTTTGCTACAAAGCAGTCCACCATTTAATTTCCTTTGCCATTGCAAACACACATGCATGCCAAAATTATACAGGTCTAGTTTCAAATGTGTGAGCTTCCTTTTACATCTCATTTATTCAAATGTCAATTATGTTGTCTGAGAGTGCAGCATTTTTTTTCTGGCTTTCCAGCAGGAAAAATCCTTAGGGTTGAAAAGTCTGCTTGGTGAAGGGAGGGCACAAAGCACTGGATAGCAAATTGATGCACACTGTCGCTTTCACCAACGACCAGTGGACTTGAACATACTAATCCTAGCATTGCACACCCTATCACTGAAGGCTTGCATCCAACGTAATTGCCACTCCTGGCAGGGAGACCTGTACTTTTGAATCCAGGGTCCACCCAACACATGGCCAGCAGAAGACAGCAAGGAAACGTGCACAGGATCGTGTCTGTTATAGGCTGTTGCCCACTGGAACAAGAGAAGTGCTAATTGAAAGCGGTAGTGGTGATGTTTGGCCCAGACTGTGATTTGAGCCACAGGCATTCAGAGGTCAAGGACTTCTTCCAAGAACATTACACCTGCCTTTTTGAAAGAGGCCAGAAACTTGATCTTCAAAATGTAGTCTAGAGAGAGCAACATCATACCTGTGGAGGTTTCAAGAAGCATTCCAAGATGGACCAGCTGTCCAATCAGAGACAGGTGATTCTTGCCTAGGTTTACAAGGAATCCCTGGATCTCCACCCAAGGAGGAGTCAAAGCCATGTCTCAAAGGGCCCAAGTCACAGTGGTACAGCCGATAAGGAGATTGCCCTGGAAGCAGAGGTGAGCCACCAGGGCAACCATACTCTGTGCGGAGGTCTGAAGTGCTGTAGCCAAGTAGAAAGGAAGGGCCCAGTATTGAAGATGATTCTGGTCAAATGAAAACTACAGGTACTTCCTGTGATTGCAGTGAATGGGGATGTGCAGCTATGTTTCCTGAAATCTATGGGCACTAAGAAATACAGTGTTTGGATACAGTCTTACGTGGAGGCCACAGATTGCATCCATAACTTATTGTAAGCGACCCACTGGTTCTGGAACTTGAAATCTAGCAAAGTCATCCAGGACTAGCCATCCTTCTTTGGCAGCAAATGAATATTGAATGGGTGGGGAACCTTATTTGTTCTGAGCCAACATTGGCAGTTGGGTAGGACTTCTCACCTGTCAGTCATGCATCATTATGATGTCACGTAATTGACAGTGTCCTGCCCACTTGTCAAAATTATTATGCAGGGATTATGGAAGTGACAAACAGGGGAGGAAGAAAGAATTGTTTAGCAAGCAAAGGCAATGCAGGAGTTCTCCTGAGCTCTGTCTTTGCTTGAAAATCATACTTTTCTCCTCTCCCCCACAGGGGAAGGGGAGAAAGTTGCATTTTGCAGCAAAGACAGGATTGCCGGAGAAGTATTCAGCTGCAACAGGGATGAGGGGAGAAAGAAACTGTGAGAGAGAAAAACCTAAACTGCACCAGAAAAGATAGAAAGAATGCCACAGGTAGCTGGGGAGGAAATAAAGAGACAAGATAATGAAGAAAGGAAGAAGAAACCAATGAATTATAATCCTGAGGAGAATAAATGAATGGGAGCTCTAAGGAACGCAAACAGGATTGTTAGAGGTGCCTGCTTCTACGAAGTTCTTGCTCCTACTGTTCCCCACCAGATGGAACTGTTTCCCAAGCTGTGATCTTCTCAGGTCATGGAAGAATCTCCTGGCTTTTCATTGATCCGTCTTTATTTCCCGCAAAGCTTCTCACTCTCTGATCTTGCCTTTCATATGCTTGACTGCGCATCCAGCTGCCACATATTTCCTCATCCTCCACTCTGGGTGCTTCCAGACTAGGGTTAACTCTAGAATTGCCTCTTTTTGCCCACTCGCTTTTTATCAGGCACCTGCCATTAAAATGCCCGTGCTACCTTTTCTGTACTTATTCCATTTCCCTTTTCGGAGCTCACAAAATCCCAACTTTTGGAGGGGAAGGAGCAAAACAGCAGAGCAATCTCCAGCCTTAGAATACCTTCGTATTTTATTAAATTTGTATACCGCCCTTCCTCCATAGATCTCAGAGCAGTTCACAGTATAAAAATTACAAGATTAAAACACAGTGCTACTCTTCCATCCATTTCAAGAGCTGCAGATTTGACATGTGCAGTTAGGTTACCATCACATCACATGGGCACACCTTCAGTGTTACTTTTCCAGTTGGTGCCATTTTAGCAACATGGGTTGCTGTTTTTTACTCTTTTATGTTGATGCAGTCTTTTGCTTTCAAGCATTTTAATGCATTCGTAAATTGTGTGTTTAGGTCCATTGTTACAACTCCTCTCAGAAGGCTGTTGTGATGTTCACAGTTGTGGACAGAACATAGCAGGGTACAGACATAGAACCGTAGAATTCTGGAGGTGGAAGGGACCCTTAGGATCATCTAGTCCAACCCCCTGAAATACAGGAATATGCAACTGTCCCATACGGGGCTCGAACCTGCGACCTTGGTGTTATCAGCACCATGCTCTAACCAACTGAGCTATCCATGCAAACTGTTCTACCCCTTAAAGTGTAGGAACCTAGGGGCAATGCTGCATGTAGAAAAGCAGTGATTGAACCATGCTAGAAGTAAACACTAGCGGTATGAAAGCTCCCATTGTGCTGTGTAATTTCTGACTAATACACAACATGCACCATATGAAATTCTATGGGAGAATGCCCCTTGCCTGTGAATGACTAGAGCAGATACTTGTCTTCTCTTGATGGCAATACCATGAAGAATAGAGACATCGTCGTCGTATTTTTAAAAGATTAATTTCATTCTGAAGAGCTATCAGACTTCTGGTTTATTTACATGCCTGCTCAATTCAGAGACTTAATTTTCCTATTCATTGTGGGCAGAGATAACAGAGCCTATACGAAGCCTGAACATTGTGCGAATGGCCCTATTGAAGCTGGTGGGGTGGTGTATTTCAAAATTGGGACCAAAGAACCAAGGACACTTTTGTTGTCGTTAAGAGCTGTTATGATCACTTCAGTCCAGCTGCTGCTCGTGGGAACAGCTTTCGATACATTTCAGCTTGTTTGTGGGATAATGACCATAATATAGAGTCCTACTTCAGTAAGTTAAGTGTCAACAGCATTTTTATACTGCCTACTGTCATTTAAATGAATTTTAATGTGGGGATATTTTTTTCATAACTTTCAGAAGCATAAAGGTTTTTACATAGAGTAACGCCAGGAGCTGTTGTGCTATCAAGTTAGGTGTTTTTTTGTTTCGTTTTGTTTCGTTTCGCTATTGATCCTCTTCTGAAGAATTGCTTTAACCTCAGCAATCTCCAGGTCTTGCAAGGCATGTGGAGAAGTAGGTGCTGTAAAGAACAAGAACAAAACAACCCTGTAATCCTCCTCATGGAATGCCTTTAGAAGTTTCACAGGTAAATTCCATATAGAGTCTGGAATGTGTAGTATCTTTTATCTGAAAATTAGGTGGGTAAGATGGGATTAGGAAAAAGGCAGACGAAGGCTATTTTCTATAGGTTCCCTATGCTGTTAGCCCTGGAATGATGCCTATTCTCCCGTCTTTCCCACTTTGCCAAATTTATATAGGAATATGACGGCATGTGTAATCATTTGCGTAAATTTATCTTCGTACGATCTCAGCCAACGTGTTTCATGTGAATTTGGGTCAAGTGAGTTGCATTAGATCCCACTTCTTGAATTTGAAGGATTAGATTGCAGTGCTCGATACTCCCATTGTTCAAGGTGCATTTTGCAAAAGGGAATTTCATTAGCGCAAAAAGTTTATGAGCTCTGGGTGCACGCACCTGAGATTTCAGATTAAAACTGCAGAGTGGAATGAAAGGAAGACCTTTTTCTGCCTCTCCATTTCCAGCTACTCTCTGAAAACTGTAGAAGAGACTTTCTTAAGAATATTAGGGAGGTGGGCAGGGGAAGGACTAGACCATGTGAAAAATGAACATAATATTTTAGCTGCAGTTCATTCATTTTCAGCTTTGTATTCTTGTTATTAAAAAGTGCACCTAGACATTCCGCTGTTGCACCCATAACCTAGGTTTATGGTGCCATTGAGCTCCTAGCTTTCATATCTCAGTTTCTAACACTCTTAGATTGCCTCCTGAAAGCAACAGGTTTTAGAAAAAAAACCTGGTTTTAGAACCAGGTTTTAGAAAAAAACCCTCAGAGTTCCAGCTACCCTGAGAGTGGCGGGGTGATTCCTTGCTAATAGTGTTCTCTGAAGTGTCCATCCTTAGGTAGCCAAATTAGCACCATCCAAGCACAAGATGGGAGGGTTGCAGAAATAAAAGCAACAGGAACCTAAAGTAGGATATAGCATCCTTACTGTCTACAGAATGCTCTGCATTTGTGGTGGAACAGAAAATTGGGGTGGGTAGGATGGAGTTTAGTAAAGGGTGTCAGTGGCAGAAACCCTGAAAAGGAACATTCCATCCTGCAATGTTTTTTCGGAGGTCCAGCTCATAGTTTAAAACTCTGTAATAAGCTGCCAGTGCCATTCTTCAGCAACACCCTTTATCTCATTCCTTCTCCCTCCCTCCCAAATCTCCTGTTAGCTTCCCTCGGTTCTCTCCTCCAAAGGTTTGCTGGTTAAGCTGTTGGGTTTTCTCCTTTGTCTCTGGTTTAGTTTTTAAAAGCATCAAAGCTCAGGCTTGCCTGGGAGCCACCCATTCTGATCGGGAAGGTTGTTGCCTTCATATCTTGTGTGAGATCTGGTTACGCTTGCTCTCTTTATCACTGTATTCCTTCAAATGTCTGTCTTTGAACAAAAGCTCTCAAAGCTGATACCTGGTAAGCTCTGGCTAAAATTAAGCAGAGCCCAGAGAAAGAGCCTTTGGGTTAAACAGTGAGGGGCTGACATGGTAAAAAAGGCATTTTGCAGGGAAGTTACAAGTTGGAATATTTTGTGTGTCAAGGGTCTGCTGTACATATTTAGCAGGTTTGCTTGCGATGCTTAAACCATGGTCTAGCACTTTGTGCATGAGCCTGGGCAAGCCTAAACAAAGTCTCAAGCTCATCTTTCCTCTTCCTCTCACACGGCTGGGAGAACTGCTGCTGCTGCTTTCAGTGTTCTGGTGCGCCATGATGTATGACCCAAGAGCCATGATTGAAAGGAAACTCTGGATAAGTTAAACCAGCTAGCATCATAAAGCATGGTTTGAAGTTAACTTGGCTTTAAACCACAATTCCCAGTTCAAGCATAACAACAAGCCAGCATTTGTGGAAACAGAACTAAGCATGGCAAAAGTTCTCTTGCTTGAGCCAGGAAGAGGGCTGAGCTTGTGAACCAATGTGCATAGTGCTAATTGCAACTTAGTTTTTGGCTTTCTGTTTTAAAAGGGCACAAACTTAGATAGCTGGAGCTTTGTTTAGGTTGTGTGGAGTCATGCAGTCCTGATCTGTCCAACCTTGGCAGGTACAAGTTTAACAGTGGAATAGAATTCCTTGGCTGCTTTTGAGGCATCAGAAGAGCTTCCAAGTGTGGCTGACATTTAAAAACACTCCTTTCCATGCAAAGCTATAGTGAAATGGTAACTGAGGCACAACTGATCATGTTTGCATAGCATCAGCATCATTTATTCTTTTTTTAAAAAAGCCCATATAACAAGTGTACAACATGACCACTTCTTCATGTGTTATATTTCCCCCATGATCAAAGGGTAGTCTTAATAAACTACTACTTTGTAGTAGCACAGAAGACTCACTGTATCTGGAGTCAGAGGCATTCAAATATGGGAAGTTAAGGTAAAATTGTGCAATACAGCTGTCTGCAAAATTAACTTGAGACCTAACTTTCTGTGATTTTATTGATGAAATCACCAGTATGGTTTATCAAAAGAATCTCAGTGTGCCTCACATTTTCTTCTATTTCAGATTGGAAAAAAATCGATAGGGACAAATAATTAGATGAATAAGGCAAAATATGTTACATCAACATTTTCCAATTATCACAACTGAATTATCTAATTACAAGGTTATAGTGCAAAGTTACTGTGGCATTAATTTCTCAAACATGACAATATCTATTTTACTTCTCTGTATTAAACATAGTTGTTGTAAGAACACTTTACTTTCAGATCAAATCCATTATCAGATGCTTCCCCACACAAGCCTCTTGCTAAGAACATTATCAAACCAATTGAGGTAAACAAATTTAGGGAAGATTATCTCACAAAATGGAAGGATTAAACTGCTTCCACTGCCCTTGCCTTCCTGCTATTTAATTAGAGGCTTGCTGCTTAAGGCAATAAATGTTCAGATAAAAGTGTGTCAGTGGCAGTTTGTGACGACAAACTTCAGTACTTCAGAACAGGGAGAAGTAATAGTTTCTCAACATTTCGAAAAGGGCAAAACCAGTCTAGGATGAATTTCAAATTTGGATTTGACTTTTGCTCTCTGATTTAGAAGCTAGTTGCTTTTCAGACAATCAAAGCTGATAGGCATTGACTCTCATTGTGGTTTCTCATCATTGTCAATCAATAAAATCTGCAGAAAATGGATTCCTTCCTTTAAAAACAAATGAGCAAGGATAAAACTTTTAAAATATCTGTTGGCTTCTATTTTGAGCTAGCAGTTTCTGGTTCAAAATAGAAATGTTTCCCATGCTAAAGAACTCAATTGGTTTTTAAAAAAAACATATTTCTGTACTTAAAACAAATGTAAATATAGGGTTTCTGTCCACTGAGCTCATTGCAACCCTTTTATTGATGTCTTCTTCATTTACGCATCTTTTGGGTCCTGACATTTAAATATTCTGGACCTCATCATGGACCTCTTACAGGCCCCTACTGAACTGTATGGCTTTTACACATTCTGCCCCCCTGAATAACCACTACTTCTGGTGTGAACAGTAATTGTCTATGCAAGATTAATTTGAACCATAGTGGAATTGTCACAGATCAGCACCAATTCGTGTTCTGAAGAAGCTATCCCGCCTCCTAGTTAAGAGTTTCAAATATACTTAGTCCAGCAGCTTTCTCCTCTTGTAAGGGTTTGACATCGAGCTTTTTACATGGTAAAGTTTTCTTGATGTCCTGCATTTTTTGCTCCTCCAGGTCATATGAACTCATGAACCACCCCCACATGAAACTTTTCATGATGGATCATCTGTAGTCTTTAAAGTCTTTAAAAGATAGAAATTTCTGGAGGAAAGGTTGTGTAGAATTCTGTCACAAGGATACCCTCGCCGCCTCTCAAAAATTCAGAGAAGTGGGGAGTATTTTAATACTTGGCTTAGTGCATAAACTGGTCTTTTAGCAGCATGCACAATGCGTTTTTGAAGTGGCTACGACATGGTCTCTGGTCATTCCTATCTAACCTTTCTTTTCAAAATTCGGTAATGAAGTTCAGCAGTGCTTTTGGCACCAGCAAGCCACTATAAGCTTCTCAAGTGTCTTGACTATTTGACTTTAATGGCTCTAATATCACATTGCAGCACTGACGCCAAGGGCCAAGTCTAGAGAGTGATTGGGAATCCTGAGCTCATATTGTGGGTTGTAAGGCAGCTGTGAGAGCATCCATCTTGAATCTCTTTTCTCAGACACTGCTTTTATTCCAAGTCTACCTCCTTTTCTGTAGGCATCTTGTGTTCTCAATTTTACTGTTGCTGAAAATGCAGAGGAAAATACCTCTGCTAAAATAAAAATGTGGCGCCTCATCTTTAAGCCTGTAAAGGTTCAAGGACTGAAGTGATGTTTAGAAACTGTTCAGGATCCAAATAATCTCATTACTAGTTCCACATTTATCCAGTGGCCTCTGGACTCGTGTTTCTTAGGCAGCAGTTTCTACCCGCCTCATGCCGTCTGACAAATTGCTTTTGAAATTTAGAGTTTGTGATATGATATTAGTTAGGGTGGGAGTCTTCTGTGCATAGGGAACAAGTAATAAATTTAAGTCACAGCCATAATTTCGTTTTTCAAAAAGCATCTAATGTAGAACTGGGACCAAAACTGAATCAAACAATGTCCATGCTGACAAACTGCTAGAAAACAAAATATCTGACTTTACAAGTCATTTCAAAAAGTGACATGTATATTTTTAATTCCTATCAAACATGAAAAATGTATTTCGGGTGATGAAAGTGTAAGAGTAAAAATCTTGAAAGCTCTTAATATACATATTTTCCACATATCTCACCTTATACTGTGAAAATCAATCTGTACACTTCATGAAGAGCAGAAGTATAAATAAGCCAGCATTAAGTTTGAACTTTCTAATTAAAAAAATGGGAGAACAAATATTCTTGTATAGATAAGATTTCACAAGTAATAGGATACATTTAAGATGTCAGATTGCTGTAGCTGGTGAAACGTTTTTGTGTTCTGTTTACATCGACTACTGTTTTTTCTATGATTATTTTTAGGGGAGTAAAAGCGTTTTAAAGTAATAATTGTTATACCTTAGAACTTTAATATGTAACTAGCTCCTCTTAAACAAGCTCTGAAATTCATAATTTAAGGGCCAAGGTAACTACATTTGTGGTCCTACACATCTACTAGCTTTGTATGAAGTACTTTATAACTTAAAAGTTACAGCAGTTTATTAAACTATCTCCAAGATTGTTGCAGTGGGGTCATTTTCTATATCTTTTTGTATCTCCTGATATCTGCATAGCCATTATGGACAAAAATTATTTTGAGGGGGGGCTTCAAAACATTGAACCATTATTTGATGTTTTTAAACCTTTTAAAATTATTGTGAATACAAAATCAAACTATAGCGTCCTGTTTATATATATTGTCTAGCATTACTACATTTGTGATATTATTATTTTTAACATAATTAAGTTTGGAGAAAAACTACTAGTCTCTTGAACAGGTCAGTTTGGAGACTGCTTTGCTACTGTGATATCCAATGTGGACCACTGCCTAAAGGTGGGGGGGAACGGGACTCTAATTGGACCAATAACCTTTGCTGATATGACAATACCTTTATCCTATCTATGCTATTTGATGAGAAAATTAATGCGTTTGACTTTAGTAGCAATTGAATCCGCACTGTGGTCTAAACCACTGAGCCTCTTGGGCTTGCCAATCAGAAGGTCGGCGCTTCGAATCCCCGCGATGGGGTGAGCTCCCGTTGCTCGGTCCCTGCTCCTGTCAACCTAGCAGTTCGAAAGCACGTCAAAGTGCAAGTAGATAAATAGGTACTGCTCCGGCGGGAAGGTAAACGGTGTTTCTGTGTGCTGCTCTGGTTTGCCAGAAGCGGCTTATTCATGCTGGCCACATGACCTGGAAGCTGTCTGCAGACAAACGCCGGCTCCCTCGGCCTATAGAGCGAGATGAGCGCCGCAACCCCAGAGTCGTCTGTGACTGGACCTAACAGTCAGGGGTACCTTTACCTTTACTTTACTTAAAATCAGCGATATACATTCCATGGCAATCAGTGCTACAGAATCAAGTTTTTCTGTGTTTAAAGAGAGATAAAATAACTCTGGGGGCAGTTTTCTAATGCTGTATCTTTGCGTATTACGCATGATGTATTGTACTGATTTAAGCTAAGAATCCTGGAACCAACATTTCTGATACAGAAGTACCTTTTCCACTTGAGTTTCTGTTGTGTACATGTACAAAGGCAATTGTTTCCATGATAAAATAAATGGGATTAACCATAGTTCAAACAAGAACATACTTTGCCTAGCTGGATCTACAGTCACTTGTTACGTCAGCAAATAAATGCTTTCGATGAGGACAGTATATCAGCTGTTACATCAACACAATGATGTCATGTAGCCATTGCACTGGATTGAAGTGGAAGCATAGACATTTATCAGTGCTGAAATGTTTCATTTCATTGTCTACTGAAATCATCTTTCAAAGAATGTTACTTTTTTGTACAATGTCTCAAGTTTATATAGTCTGACTGTACCTGATATCAGTACTATTCACCAATTTCCTAAAGGAAATACCTCACTTTGAGCAATCTCTCTTTTTGTAACTGTCAAGTGAGTGGAATTCTGTGTCTTCGTTACTGATTGTAAAGTGCTATAAACTGAACCAAGCCAAGGAACAAAATAATAATGGCTTTTAATGGTTTACCGTTATGAGACATGCTGATTTCCTTAAAATAAATCTGGTGTTTGTTTTTAAACATTAGGAAATTGTCTTATTTCAAGATTTTGTCTGTGCACTATAGAATCACTGCTCATTTTGCCTGCTTGGGTTTTGTCCCCCTCACCCCTTCTGACTGGCTTTCTGTAAGCTGAATTTTTAATATGGAGAAAAATTAAAAGAACAGGGGCCAAGCAAGGTATTTGGCTTTCATTAGTATTTTTTATGTTGTAGTGGGATGTCTTTTTAAGTGGGCCACATAAAAAATGAGAAAATGGGTAGTAGTCTATTGGTCTATTCTGAATATCGCTTAGTTGACATTAACGGGCCTAACTTAGTTGTGTTTATTAATTTAAATGGGTCTACTTTGAGTAAAATTTAGTGGCCTACCACCCTATGTATGGGGCGCTATTATACATTTGGTAGGATTCTCATTGTTCTACATAAAAGGGGAAAGGGAGACACAAGTTAAATCATGAAGACGTATGTTTCTGATCTCAAGATCACAACACAATCTGCTGGTTTATTTTAGTGCACATGCACCCTGTCCAAATTTGCAGCAGAAACTGCTAAATAGGGGAGGGGGTACTTATTGGAGGAGAAATGATCAGTTTATATTGATTCATTTGTACAAACTAGGCATGAGTTCTTGCAAGTGAACACAAAGATGGACCCTGGTTCTAAGCTGCCAAAAACATTACTTCATCCACGAACAACCTAAAACCAATGCTTTTTTCTTTAAAAAATGTTTAGGGGTACTCTCATTTTGACCAAGATCACCAGTTCAAATTGGAAAAAATAAAGACAGTAAATGGACAAAAGTACAAAGATTCACAAAATGTTTAGGGGAATGCGTACCCCTGTGTCCCCCCAGGGGGAAAAAAAGCACTGCCTAAAACTGTTCAGAAAATTGCAGTGTCCATTCCTGCAACAGCCACTGGAATGTTCCCTGGATCGCTTTTACCATGGCAATAGCACTGCGTGCCATTTGAAGAGCAGTGCAGTTTTGCACAATTAGGACAGAAAAGCAACACTGCAATAACCATGTGACCAACTTATATAGGAATATATTTTATTTAGATGACATGGGGTGCACAGAAAAATCATTACGCTTCCATAAAACAGGTGCCAGAATATTGGGATTGTGGATGCCTGTCTTCATTTCAACAGAAGCAGCAGTATTTCAACTTGCTGGTGCCACTACACACTAGGTCTTCCTTTGCATATAAACTAAACAGATGGAGATAGCCAAGTGGGAAATGAAGTTATGCAAGCGACTGAATTTTTGGACGATTGCTGCAGGTGCACATCAAAGCCTGTCTTTATACTCTAAAAACTTGCTTTGAAACAAGCAAACCTCGTTTGAGATGTCATCGATTTTTTAAGGTCACTGGATTTGGCAGCCCATGCAATATATATATATATATCCTCTCCAGTCACTCAAGAACCTGTAACTGGGAAATCGCATCCGAGGCAAGCCTTCCAACATGCATTGAAAAATCAGTTCCATCAGACGCCAAGATGCGCATGGGCGTAACTTTGTCCACAGACACACAGGTGGAAAGGGAAGAAATAACACCTGGTGCGACCTAATCCTCTCACCCCCCCCATAGGCGAGCATTTGATGCTTCTTGTTGTTTAGTCATGTCCGACTCTTCGTGACCCCCTGGACCAGAGCACGCCAGGCACTTCTGTCTTCCACTGCCTCCGCAGTTTGGTCAAACTCATGCTGGTAGCTTCAAGAACACTATCTAACCATCTTGTCCTCTGTCATCCCCTTCTCCTTGTGCCCTCCATCTTTCCCAACATAAGGGTCTTTTCCAGGGAGTCTTCTCTTCTCCTGAGGTGGCCAAAGTATTGGAGCCTCAGCTTCACGATCTGTCCTTCCAGTGAGCACTCAGGGCTGATTTCCTTCCGAATGGAGAGGTTTGATCTTCTTGCAGCCCATGGGACTCTCAAGAGTCTCCTCCAGCACCATAATTCAAAAGCATCCATTCTTTGGCGATCAGCCTTCTTTATGGTCCAGCTCTCACTTCCATACATCACTACTGGGAAAACCATGGCTTTAACTATACGGACCTTTGTCGGCAAGGTGATGTCTCTGCTTTTTAAGATGCTGTCTAGGTTTGTCATTGCTTTTCTCCCAAGGAGCAGGGTCTTTTAATGTCCTGAGTGCTCTCACCACCTGCAGTGATACTACTTGATGCGTTTTTAAAGGGCCAGCAGCGCCGACTTCCGCCCCGATATCCCGAGAACGGAGGGGAAGGGCGCGAAAAGCCCTCCCCGCTCGAGCCCGAGACAGGCCACGCCCCACAGGAACCCGGCGACGGCCTGGGCGGGACTACACTTCCCGGCATGCCGCGGGGCGGAGCGCGACCGGCCTCCCGCCGCTGAGGGGAAAGAGAGAGAGCGCTCCGTGCGTGAGGCGGAAAGCGGGCCGGGGCTCGGATCCTGCCGTTTCCCGGGGCGGCGGCGACGGCGGCGGCCGCGTTGCTCCCGGTGCTGGGCGCCTGCCTTGGGGGGCCTCCGCGTGTGGTGCGGGCGGTCGATGCCGGCGGCGCTTCTCGGGGGCGATGCTGCCGAGGCGCAGCTCGCTGACGGGGCTGGCGGTGGGGCTGTTCGCCGTCTACGTGGCGCACACCTGCTGGGTGATGTACGGCATCGTCCACACCCGGCCCTGCCTGGCGGCCGCCCGGGGCAACGACGCCAACGACGGCTGCATAAGGCCTTACCTGGCGCGGAGGCCCAAGCTGCAGGTGAGGCGCCGAGGGGGAGGGGGCAGTCAGTGGGCGGGGGGGGGAGGAAGGGGGCAAGAAATAGGCGGGGGAGGGAAGGGGGTGTGGGGCAATGAATGGGCGGGGGGAGGAGGAAGGGGGCAAGAAATAGGGGGAGGGAAGGGGGTGTGGGGCAATGAATGGGCGGGGGGAGGAGGAAGGGGGCAAGAAATAGGGGGAGGGAAGGGGGTGTGGGGCAATGAATGGGCGGGGGGAGGAGGAAGGGGGCAGTAAATAGGTGGGAGAGGGAAGGGGGTGTGGGGCAATGAATGGGCGGGGGGGGAGGCAGGGGGCAAGAAATAGGCGGGGGAGGGAAGGGGGTGTGGGGCAATGAATGGGCGGGGGGGAGGAAGGGGGCAAGAAATAGGGGGAGGGAAGGGGGTGTGGGGCAATGAATGGGCGGGGGGGAGGAAGGGGGCAAGAAATAGGCGGGGGAGGGAAGGGGGTGTGGGGCAATGAATGGGCGGGGGGAGGAGGAAGGGGGCAAGAAATAGGGGGAGGGAAGGGGGTGTGGGGCAATGAATGGGCGGGGGGGGAGGAAGGCGGCAAGAAATAGGCGGGGGAGGGAAGGGGGTGTGGGGCAATGAATGGGCGGGGGGAGGAAGGGGGCAAGAAATAGGGGGAGGGGACAGGGAAGGCGGTGTGGGGCAATGAATGGGCGGGGGGAGGAGGAAGGGGGCAGTAAATAGGTGGGAGAGTAGGAGGGAAGGGGGTGTGGGGTAATGAATGGGTGGGGGGAGGGTGCAATAAATGGATGGGGGGAAGAAGGGGGCAATCAGTGGGTGGGGAGGGGACAGGGAAGGGGGTGTGGGGTAATGAATGGGTGGGGGGAGGAGGAAGGGGGAATAAATAGGTGGGGGAGGGGACAGGGAAGGGGGTGCGGGCAATGAATGGGTGGGGGGAGGAGGAGGGAATAAATAGGTGGGGGAGGGGACAGGGAAGGGGGTGCGGGCAATGAATGGGTGGGGGGAGGAGGAAGGGGGAATAAATAGGTGGGGGAGGGGACAGAATGGGGAGTGGGGCAATGAATGGGCGGGGGGAGGAGGAAGGGGGCAGTAAATAGGTGGGAGAGTAGGAGGGAAGGGGGTGTGGGACAATGAATGGGCGGGGGGAGGGTGCAATAAATGGGTGGGGGGAGGAAGGGGGCAATCAGTGGGTGGGGGAAGGGACAGGGAAGGGGGAGCAATCAGGTGCTTGGGGGAGTCCGTTTGTTTGTTTGTTTATTTATTTGAGTAATTATATGCCACTGTATGATGGAAATGTGTCACCGTGTTTTTGCAACCATGCGGGGGGGGGGGGGGAGTGAAATCCAGAGGAGTGGGAGGGAAGCATAAAAACTCCACAAGTTCTCCCCTTTCTCCTTTCCGCGGCAAATCAATTCGGGGGTGTCGGTTCGTTCATAGAAATCGTAGATTTGGAAGGGACCCGGAGGATCATCTAGCCCAACCCCCAACCACCACCACCCCCGCAATGCAGGAATAGGCAGGGGGGATAGAACCTACGACCTTGGTGGTGTTTTCAGCGCCAACAGAGCTACCCAAGTGGCCTCGTTGGTTGGTTTGCTTTGAGTGTTTATACATCACAGAAATATTTCTGTCAGCAGTTTGCAACAATGAAGAACGTATAATTTTTTATTTTTTAAAACCTTTTAAGAGGCAAGTTCATATTCCCTTCCCCGTCCGACCCACTCGGTGCCAAGTTGGGGAGGGACACGTCACCTAAAAGGCATAGACAGCTGTGTGTGAGCGGACTTCAGCCTTGCACAATCTGGTTTTTCTTCTTTAATCACAATCCCCCACTCCCGTACAGTATCTGTACTGTGGCATATTGTATATTTGCACTGCCTCTGCATTCTTCCCCACCCCTCAAGATTTGCTGTAAGCCACTTTAGGTGGGTGAAGCTCATTGTGCAAAGTGGCATGTAAGTAAACTCTCAACCAATCAATGTGAAACTTTCAGAGCAAGGGTCTCATTTTAATATAGCCAACCTCTGCTAAGTTATGAGGAAGCCCTTTTCCCTAGGTTAGGCCAAGGCCCATCTGGTACAATATGCTTTGCAAGGAACTTGGAGCAGCCAATGGACAGTGCTAGGTGGTCTGCTGCAAACTGACCAGTGAAGCATGGTGTGCTACATAAGCTCTTCAGCCTGCTTTCATTCTGCCCATCCTTTGACTGACTTGCACTGTGAACCAGGAAGTGCTGCTGCTGCCAACCCCCTTCATAATTAAAGCCTTGAGCAAATTGCTCTTGCCAGGCATCATTGCCCTTCTTCAGTATGGGGTGACGATGCTGACTATGCAAGATTGTTGAAAAGTGTAGGAATCAGTACCTAGAGACCCTTGAGCCAGATTGCCACCCCCTTCCTGTTGACCAGCCTTGTGGCAATACAAGTAAGCAGCAGTCTAGTTGGCCCAAGGCCACCCTACTTTTTTCAGTTCTTATTTAGCAAAAGTTGCTGTTGAGCAGAGTTCTAAGGATTAGCGCAGGCATAGGCAAACTCGGCCCTCCAGATGTTTTGGGACTACAACTCCCACCATCCCTAGCTAACAGGACCAGTGGTCAGGGATGATGGGAGTTGTAGTCCCAAAACATCTGGAGGGCCGAGTTTGCCTATGCCTGGATCAGCTAGATATATGTGAATAGCTTTAAGTGTTCTGTAAAGTGCTGTATAAATGCTAAGCTTATGGTTGTTGAAAAATAAAAGTACCCACTCTCAATTATGTTTTTAAAAAAGAGTTATTTCAAATTCCTAGGCAGCTTAAGAATGATATGAGGCCTTTGCAACCAAGTGCCATGCATTTCCTAGTATTATTATTTGACTTTCCTGTCAAAAGGATGTTCTGTGTCTTCTTGTACCATATTAACACCTTTCATCTACAGTGCATTGCAAAGTCATGTACAGTGTAAATTTGTTCCACTGTATTGGACTCTTGGGAGCGGGGAGGGAGAGAGAAGGAACGACCATGAGCAACATGACAGGCTTGGATGTTGCGTGATCCTCCTCTGTTTCCCCAGTAAAGTAGAAGGCTGCTCTCTGTGCCCTGTCAGTTTTATTAGTCTATTGTCCTGTCAGGAGCAGAACGTCTCAAGCAGGAGAATGGAAAGAAACAGATTTGTATATTCTGCACTAGACTACAGAGTTATAGATTTGGAAAGGAACACCATGCTCTTTAATCGTCATCACCACCCACTGATGGGTCTACCACTATGTGGGTCACTGGAGTTCCATAAGCAGCTGCACTAGAAAAGGGGGCCGAAAACATATGACAACTGAAATAAATGAACTCAAAACAGTGTTTACAGAAGCAGGCAATTTCCATCCCTGCACAGCGCTTCATAAACTTGGAGCAGGTGGGGAATCTATCTCTGTTCAGTATATGGTGATCAGGTTAGAAGAATCATACCCACACTTTTAGTCTCAAAAGAGATGGTCAAGAAGAGTTGCATCAGTTTAATGAAACAAATAACAAGTGAGCAATTAAAGCAATAAAATTATTAAAGTAGATTATGGCGGGAGATGCTAAAAAGGTCTTCATGAACATTGGGGCTGTCATACCTTCCATGGCAAGTGAGTTTCATAGTCTACATGTGACCACTTCCTCCCTTCTGCATTCCGGCCAGAGCTCTATGGTCCGGACACAGACAGCCTCATACGCCCCTTTTAAGTGGCGTCTGCGTTTTAGATGTCACTAAGGCAATGTGGATTGCAAGCTGAAAACATGCTGGCCTTGAGTTGGGGGGGAGGGATTGGCAGCAGATAAAGGGAATAAATGCTTGGGATGGCAGAAGCACAGCCTGTTCCACTTTCATCAGCACCCAGCACAGCAACATGGTGGAAGGAAGTATTTGTGCAAGCATTGACTGTCCCTTTTCTCTTTCAGCTAAGCGTTTACACGACCACGCGATCAAACATAGGCACTGAAAATAATATTGATCTGGTTTTGAATGTGGATAACTTTGACGTCGAGTCCAAGTTTGAAAGGTATTAATGGATTTGTACAGTTTTCTTTTAAGACCCATGTATTTAGCGTAAGAGGTAAGCATGTGCTGTAATATTTATCATTGAAATGACGGTGTCTTCGAAGTTTTTGAACTGCGGCTGGATCAGGGGTTCCCAGCTTGTGGTTGGTGCACCACTTGTGGTGTGCAATTGAGGTTGTCTGTGGCACGTCTATAAAAATAGATTCACACAGCATATGCACAGTGCATTACAATTGCTACAAGAGGCAGAGAAATTATCAAGCACTCTGCCAAGATTCTCAGTAGATTTCAAGTGGTCCATGGAGGGAAATATTTGGGAACCACTGGGCTAGATCATGCCTCGTATTTTTCATGATTTTTTTTTCAAGTCATAGTTTTATTTTACTCCCTTTCTTTAAATCATGTGTATTCTGCCTTTTACTTGTTATTTCAAAGTAGCTTACAATTGTCTGACTTGTGCCCATTTTTAGACTGCTAATTGAAAAGAAGGATGTGAGTCTAATTTTCATTAATGGGATTTACCTCCAGATAAGTGTGCTTAGATTGAAGTTCTAAGCCCATCTATTTTGATTTTCTGGGCAGGATTTGTTCATGGTGTAGGTGTAAGTATTCAGAAGTCTTTAGTAACAAAATTCATCATAAGTGGTTGCCCCTCTTCCCTTCGTTTCCTTGAGTGTGTGCTGTGTGCAGAAAACTTGAGGAAGGAAGGGTCCTTTGCACTCAGGTAACATACTTGCTACTTTCACCTCCTGCAAAACCTCAGTGGAAAGGGAAAAAAATCCTTGCATTGCTCAACGGAAGATTGGAGGGGGGAACTAAGAAGTAGTTTCTTTCTTATGAGTTGAGTTTCTGCCTTGCTGCTGCCTCCAACCAAACCCAGCAAAAGTGGGAGGAAACCACTTTTACTTTCTCCCCTTCCACTACAAACTTCCATGGAAAAAAGTAGGGACAGTTTCTTTCCCTTCCCAATTAGCTTTTTTAGGAGAAAGTGCTGTGACCTCTCCCTTCAAAAGCACAACATAGAGGTGAGCTTCCTTATCACTGTTCCGACATACAGACGGAAGAGGTGTTTTCTGTCCCATGATTGGGTTCTGGTTGGTGTGCAGACCAGCAAGCGAACAGAATCCTGTTTGGGGAAATTTTGTTTTCTATATAAATGGCCTTTAGGAAGATTTGGTGCTATCATCAAATGTGGCAGTTAAAATTCCTGGAGATCTGAAATGCTTCATTAGAACAAAATAAAAGAATGTGGAATCAGTCAGACTCCAAACAGAAATATGAATCTTTGTTACTTCACCATTCAACTAAAAGACATTTAAAAGTTAATCTAAAAATTTTAAATGTATCAGAGTATCTCACTTTAAGTGTCTGAAACGCTAGTAGTCCTGGTTGAGGCAGAACTGCTAACGATTGCATCTCATGGTGAAGAAAAAGCATAAACGTTACTTGTATAATGTCTTTATTTCGTTTTCAGAACAGTTAACGTTTCAGTACCAAAGAAAACACGAAATAATGGGACGTTATATGCCTACATATTTCTCCATCATGCTGGAATTTTGCCTTGGCATGATGGCAAGCAGGTGCATATAGTAAGCCCTCTGACTACTTATATGGTCCCTAAACCAGAAGAAATTAATCTTCTTACAGGAGAATCTATCACGCAGGTGAGAGGCTTTCTTTTTTGTTATTGGAGATTGCCAAGTAAAAATAGTGCTGGTACCTTGTGCACATGAAAACTTTGCTGAACTAAGCACATTCAGAATTATTTTCTACCTGCAAGTGGGCATGCTTAGATAATGCACGTCCTCAATTCATTTCTCTGAAAGCAGTGCTGTGGCAGTTACTGGCCATAGAAGGAAACCTTTGCCCTTCAGTAGAATTTGCAGGTGAGTTTTAGTGTACATAATGCACATTTTATGTAAATAACTGCCAAATGGGCCATAATGTTTGGCTACCTAGGCTCACCCATAAAGAGCAAGAGTAAGAGCCTTGCTACAGTCGCAGCTGTTTTCCATGGGGGAAGCCTATCTGTTTGGAGGCTGCCATAATGGCCTGTCAACCCCAGTGGAGCCCCCTGAGAACTCTTTGGGTTGCTCTTTCAGAGTGTGATGAGAGTGAGGACACTTGCCCTGGGCAATGGTTTGTGGGCTTGCTCCTAGGTAAAATATTGGGGCAACCGGGGAGGGTGATGTGAGTTAATCTGACTTCTGAATAAGAGGTGGACTGCTTGGATGCTGAGTCTGTAGTTACATCCTGTGTGATTGGTGGGTGTTTGGTGATTTTGCTTTTTGCTATTGTATATATTTATAGATTAGATTTACATTTCTGAGCCACCATTTTGAACTCTGTGCCGGCTTGCAAAGCAATTAGATCCCTAGTTACTCTGCTCACTGTTTTTGAAGCTATTGTTGTTGTTGTCATTATTATTATTGATCAAATTGTTATACTGCCCTTCATCCAAATATCAGAGGGTGGTTAACAGTATAAAAATTCAAAATGAGTACACAAAATACATAATAAAATAAAAACAAACCAATAGCCCCCCTCCCACAAACACATTTAAAAGGCCATAGTATATGTCATGTATTCTACTCATGTATTGATCCAGAGTAGAATTCTAATGTACAGTTAGCAGAGTAAAAACCTAAACACGTTGCAGGATTCCCCCCCCAAATAGACCAGAGGCAATTGTATTTCATTCAGCAGAGCTTTACTTCTACTGAATGCAAATGAGCATAATGGTCACAAATCCAATATATTCAGGATTGGCACTGTCCATAAGAAATCCAGTTGCAGCAGACTTAGCTTAAATTTACAATAACTTAACAATAAGACTAAACCTTAGCACTATATACAGAACACCACACTAGAAGGAAAGAGAGACAGAACGAGAGTGAGACCCAGGCTTCTTCTGGCCTTATTTTTATAGTTAGCATGAGCTTGACAGAAAGAGATAACAGAATCCATTTAAGCCAGCTGTACTCGGCTTCTCTGAAGGTATAACCCAAACATCATGAACCTTCTGCTTGTTTCTTTCACACAGAGAAGCTTCCAGAACCCTCTTGAATTATTTAGAATAGGAAAGATCTCTACACATCAGGTCAATACTTTCTGCACTAAGAAATGCCAACCAACAGAATAGGCAAAGGGGAACATTTTCACCTGGCACCTAAAGTTATGTAATGAAGGCACCATGAGATTTGTTTGGTGAGAGGAATGGAAGCTTTACTTAACTGTTAGGATTAGATTGTAATGTCTGCTCCATAAAGATGGAAAAGCAGAAGATTAGCGTTTGAAAGCAATCATGACCATACTGTCACCTTTTTTGTAATATTTCTGCCCAAAAGCCTGGATTTCTGAAATAACTTTTGTATCTCTTTTTATTGAGCAGCAAATTGAAGCAGAAAAAAAGCAGAATTATGCTCTAGATGAGCCTGTCTCACACTGGAGGTCCAGGCTGACCTTAAATGTTATGGTGGAAGACTTTGTCTTTGATGGATCCTCTCTCCCTGCTGATGTGCACAGATACATGAAAATGTAAGTATTTTTTAAATTGCTAATCCAAAATTCTACCAAAATATACAGGAAATGTTCGAAACTCCCATTGTTCTAGGCACAATTTGCGACAGGGAATTTCATTAGTGTGAGCAGTTTCTGAACTCTGGGCACGGTACTAAGGCTAAGATTTCAGTTTTAAACTGGAGGATGGAAGGAAAGGAGGACCTTTTTCTGCCTCCCCACTTCCAGCTACTCTCTGAATACTGGAGAAGAGACCCTCTTAAGAATATTAGGGGGTGGGCAGGGGAAGGACTAGACCATGTGAAAAAAGAACATAATATTTTAGCTGCAGTTCATTCGTTTTCAGCTTTGTATTCTTCTTATAAAAAAGTGCACCTAGACACTCCGTTGTTGCACCCATAACCTAGGTTTAAGGTGCCATTTAGCTCCTAGCTTTCATATCTTAGTTTCTAACACTGTTTACATCAGGGGTCAGCAAACTTTTCGGCAGGGGGCCGGTCCACTGTCCCTCAGACCTTGGGGGGGGGGGCTAGACTATATTTGGGGGGGGGGAATGAACAAATTCCTATGCCCCACAAATAACCCAGAGATGCATTTTAAATAAAAGGACTCATTCTACTCATGTAGAAACACGCTGATTCCTGGACCGTCCGCGGACCAGATTTAGAAGGCAATTGGGCCAGATCTGGCCCCCAGGCCTTAGCTTGCCTACCCATGGTTTACATGTTTACTTTCAATATACTCTCTACTGCAACTGTAGTGCCAGTGGCCTGATTTTAAGAGCAAATCTAGCAAATGGCTTAGACTTTGAGCACCTACTTTAATGGGTTGGGGGCTTTTCTAAAGCAAGTCGTGATAAAGTAGTGACTGTCTGGTGTTTGGGGCTTAGAGCAGGAAGATGTATGTTCAACTCTCCATTCAGCCATGAAGTTTGCTGTGTAGCCTTGGCCACGTCACCCATTTGCTTCAGCTTTCTCAAATGTTGGGGATAAAAATGCAGATACTCATTCTATGCTTTGCTGTCATAAAGTAGATTTTTACAGGCATGTGTTAAAATCAACCCTGGTATGTCACCCCCAAGTAGTTTTGAGTCAGATTCCATTGCCTCAAGATATCGCTCATCTTATAATTCCCCCCCCCCCCATGGTTAGCAATCCAGTTGATACGTCACACTTGGGTCATAAAATGAGGGGTCAGTGACTTTTGTCTAGCTTGGCACTGTTTTGTGTAAGGCTCAGTTGAGTAGAGGAGCCATGCAAATTCCACAGACAGTTATCCAGACTAAAAATTGGAATGTTAAATGAACTTGGGTTTCATTTCTCTCTGAGAAAACTTGAATAAATGAGTGTTTGCTTGGTGTAAAGATAGGTTCTAGGCAGAAATATTTTAGCTGATACTGGAATATGTGCTTTGCACTTTAAGATGCATATAGTAATGTTTGTTTGTTTATTGCATTGAAATAGAATTATTTGTATTCATAACAAAATCTGTTTTAAAACTTAGGGTTCAGTTGGGCAAGACTGTGCATTATCTTCCAATATTGTTTATTGATCAGCTGAGCAACAGAGTGAAAGATTTAATGGTGAGCTACAGCATGCCATCTTACATTTTTTATCATTGTTTGTTTGTCTCAATGAACATTTGTTGTTTCTGCTACAGCAGTCTAAGTTGAAGAAAGGGGTGCGCCATCCCATTCTAGCTGTGCAGTTCCAACACGTAGCATGGGAACTTCATAGGACGATACAGAATGTTTCGCTTTTTCCTTCTCTCCTCTTTGCATTGTGCTCTGTACATGTAGCCCTTGCTGTGCCTGCTGATGTCTAAGGCACACAGACTTGTTGCCCTTTGACTCTGAAGTGGATGGCATATGCACCCTGGGGAAGCGTAGGGTAGTTCCTGTCAGGAGCTCGTCCTATACTCGAGTAGGACCCTGGCAGAGACACATGCCCGACTGGCATGTTCTCTCCCTCCTGGTCGATCGTTCGGGAGCTTCAAAAGCTTTCTTCAGCCCGAACATCACAGCGACCGATGCCAGCTGACATCGGCACACTTAGGGATGCGCAGTTTGCGTAACAGACCTCAGCAACTCAGCATTTTGGCTAATCTACTTTATTTACATATAAATACACACGGAGTACTGCAACATGGCTCCCTCTCTCTCTAGCATCAGACAGCAAAGAGAGAGGACAAAGGACAATAGTCCCACTTCACGGAACACAGTAACACAAACATCCTGTCTCCGTCACTTCCCACTCTGTGAAGTCAAAACACACACCGTCATGTGACAGACAACAATCCCATGACTGCAGTCACAGAACAGGAATTCTAACAGCTCCATGTCACTAAGGGAGGAGAGTGTGGGCCTCTTATTCTAGGCAAGGAACTTGCAGTGTGCTTGGTAATACATCCACCTGGCTCGGCTTCCAGGGGAAGAGCATTAAAGGGCTACATTGCACCTTATGGAAGTCCCATCTGTCTCTAAACCCATTGTGGTATGTGGCATAACCCGGAAGAGTGGAATGTAGAGACTGTTGAGAATCACCCTACATCTGTAATGTTATGTTGGTACTTCAGTATTTTTTTTAGAAAGATGTTGCTTTTTTATTGTAAGTAACCCGCTGTATGATGTTGCCCTTTTAGAAGGCGTAATCTTAAACTAGTTTATAGTTGTCGGTGTTCATCTTGTGATTCTTAATTTATTTGTTTTCAAACTCGATGCAGATTATAAACCGTTCAACAACAGAGCTACCCCTTACAGTGTCATATGATAAAATTTCCCTGGGGAAACTGAGGTTTTGGATCCACATGCAAGATGCTGTGTACTCCCTGCAGCAGTTTGGTAAGGTTCAGTTTCCACCGGGTTTATGGAGTGGGTTGAATATTTCTGTGAGAATAGTATTGATGATCACAAATCCAGCTTACTACTGCTGTGTGATCTTCGTACCATTCAAGATTAAAGACACCATTTTGAAGTCTAGAGCAGAGGCGGAGAACTTGTGGATCTAGAGGTGTTGACGGGACTCCAGTTCCCCTCATCCCTGACTATTGGCCAGGGGCTCGGAGTGAAGCAGCATTTGCAGGTGTCTCCCCCCCCCCCACTTGTCTAGAACTATCCAAATTGTCCCGTCCCCCCCCCCGTCTCTTTTGTTCATACATGCACAAAGGGCTGATGTAGTGGTGAAACTGTTCCTGGTGTGTACCACTTCAGACTGCATGTGAGCAAACAATTCTGAAAGTGGTAGAGGTGTTGAGAATAACAGTTGAAGCCTCAATTTGTTCCCCATATGCTTGTTTCGTTTGTAAAACAATTTTCTTGAGAAGGTATTCAGCCTTGCAACCTCCCCAGGTATTGTGTGTGCAATGCATTAATATTGGCAATGTTGTGATTTGGATCTCGTTTTATGTAACCAAGTGTCCACAATGGATGAAGTTCAAAGGCAATATAGTTCTTCCGTGTGAGGTGGGTTGGACCCATGTACGTGTGCCTCTGCAGTCAGCTTTTAACACACACTAGAATTTTGGGCAATGTTGAATACATTGTGTAGTGCATTACAGAATATAATGCCAATAAAAACCTATCATTTGCTGATGTTTCACTTTTATAAAGTCTTGTTGATAGCCCAATAATTTGCCTCATACTGAGTCAGGCCACTGGCCCATCCAGCGCAGCATTTTTTACTCTCCAAGATCTCATGCAGAATTCTTTCCCAGTCCTGCTACCTGTATTCTTTCAACTAGAGGTTGCCAGAGATTCAGCCAGGGGCATCTGCACATAAATGATAAGCCGAGTTGTATGTCCTCCATCAATAGACGACACCTGTCTAATTATTCTTATATGTTGTGCTTCCATTCTATTTGCCCAAGGATGTAAAGGAAGAGAAAGTGTGTGTTTGATCTTCTCATATTTAAACTATATTTAGAATGCTTGGGCCTTCTTCTTCAGCTTGCTTGTAAGCCCATGTCCTGTCCACTTCATTCTTCTAGGCTTTTCCGAAAAAGATGCTGATGAAGTAAAGGGGATTTTTGTGGATACCAACCTCTATTTTCTTGCTTTGACGTTCTTTGTAGCTGCATTCCATGTAAGTGAATTGTGGATATTTAAGCAATGATCTGACAGCGTATCTAATAATTGTGGAATTCTGTTGGCCTACTCCAAGCTCCTGTTTAGAACAGCGCTAGTTCTGTTTGAGGCTATGTTCAAATTAAGACAGGGATAGAGAGATGCTGGGTTGGTGGTTAGAATGTTAGATATGAGATTGAAATACACACAGTCACAATCAGGCATAATTTATCTTCCTACCTTACTTACCTCACAGGGTAGTTGTGAAACCAAAACAATGTCCTGAGTTTCTTAGGAAGGAAGGAAGAATGAAAATGTAGCTAATAATGATTTGACATGTTTCACAAGGCTGCATAAGTTTATTTGTCTTGGCCTCCAAGTCTCTGGAAATTGATTTGGAATGCCAGTGTTAATTAAGAGAGACGGTTAGAACCCTGACTGGAGGGAGAAGCTTGCAAAATTAGCTAGTTTGCCTGATTCATCTGTAAATATAATTACAGATTAATAAAAACTGTAATGCAAATTGAGGTTTTTTTCATATCACAGGCTTTTAGCAGCTGATCTGCATTGTGGTGTGTGCTGGGGTTTTGTAGCATTAGAACTTCTGACTGATTACTTGAGAGGAGATAGACATGAGGAAGGGTTTTCTATTGGTTTGCCCACTCTTAATTGTAAGGTGTTGCCAGTGCTGGTTTCCACTGACCTGAACATTCGGGAACTGAAATGTACGACAATGGAGTCGTTCAGGAACCAAGGTTCCACTGTACCAACTCAGGCTGTTGGTCCTCCTAGCAAGTTGCAGGTCTGCTGTATTGTTTCCTGCAATATGGAAGTGGTTAGACATTGCCAGGCAGAAGCTGAAAACAGAGGTGGGCTCACATGGTCATCTAGACAAGGGATGAGGAACTTGTGGCCCTCAAAATGTCATGGCCTGGTAGTTGTAGTGCCTGAAAGACTTTACCAAATGTAGAAACGTAATTATGCTGCTTTCTTTTGGTCGGTTCTAATCTAATGGCATCTTGGTATTTGCAGCTTCTCTTTGATTTCCTTGCATTCAAAAATGACATCAGCTTCTGGAAGAAGAAAAAGAGCATGATTGGCATGTCTACAAAAGCAGGTATGGAATGTGTGAGTTTTCTGTGCCATCTTTTCATGGTTACCAAAGCCGAAGGTGGAGCAAATGTGGCGTCCCAGCAAGGCTTACCCATACTGATGTGGCCGGACCCTGTTACATTTATTCCGCTTGCCTATCGGTGTTGAAACAAGTGCCAAGTGGCTAAAGCAAGGGATGCTATCATTTTAATCTCTGCACAGTTCCCTCGATATAGCATCCCTCCAGAGTTCTAGTGCATTGGGAAGGGGTTGTAAAGGATTCTGTTGCTCTTCTCAGCACTGATGGGAAAAGGAAGAATCTTTTTTAAGGGACTGCCTGGCCCAGTTTAGGCAGCTCTGTTGATTTAGGATTTTTTCCCTTGTCGCTCAGCACTGAAAGGTGTACCAGTTGGCTATAAACATGCCTGTTTAATCTGTCTTCAGTGTCTCTGATGTGCACTCTCAGGGAGATTGAAATGGCAGTTCCCATGCTGTTCACCTTCCTGTGCCACTCCTGCTGTTGACACCGATTCCTCTGCTGCCCACTCTGCTTGGCAAGCTGTCTCTGGACAGAGCCACTGATGATACTTTGCCTAGGGCTCTGTAGACCTGGAGCCAGTTATATGTAGGAATGCAACTATTAAAACAGATGAATGCCACTTTTCAGTAAAGTTGGGTGTATGGATCTCTAAACTCGAGAAATGCATTATTTTAAAACTCTCACAAGTGTCCTCATGTGAATTTCTTCCATGCAGTGCTTTGGCGATGCTTCAGTACCGTGATAATATTTCTTTTCCTATTGGATGAACAAACAAGCTTGTTGGTGCTGATTCCAGCCGGTATCGGGGCAGTGATTGAGGTGAGTTGCCACACATGTTTCATATGAGCCCAGGCAGCCATATCCTCAAAGTAGCTTTATGTGGATTTAAACCGATTTCATCCAGTATATTTCAGTAGATCAAAACCAGCTTCATTCAAAATGAATTTGGCATTTTAACCACTTTGTAGCCCGTTGACTCATTTCTGACAACGGCTGTTAACAGTGTGAAAACTGAAATCAGTTAATAAAACAATACGTGAAGATACTGAAGTAATGTTTTTACCTTCCAGCTTTGGAAAGTGAAGAAGGCATTGAAAATGACAATTGAATGGAATGGCCTGGTGCCAGCAGTGAAGGTAAATTACTTTTTAACTGTTTGTATAGAAATCGTCTTGCTTCATTTGAACCGTTTTTTCTTCCAGAGCCACTCTGATCATAGTATACTATGCCACTAAGGTCCAAACAATGTATAATGTAAAGGATCTAGGATTAGGTCTCCTAGCACTGTTATTTTTCTTGATGCCTGCAATGGAGAATTCCAGATTGGATCAGAACAGCAGCATTTCTCCCAACTCCACCCCCACGCCCATTTTTCTACTCTGAATTCCAGCCCTCAAAGCTTCTGCTTGCCCACAGCATGAGATTCCTTAACCTTTTTCTGCTACTTGGGGTTATTGCTTTGAATTAGCAATGGTGGCATTGCTTTGAATTAGCAATGATTGGGATCACCCAATCCTCCAGAACAGATTTTGGGAGGTTGTGGGGCACTAAATGGCAGCCTTGGATTTCATTCCTAAATCTTTTCCATCTGTTCTACGTAAAATACGTAAAGTGGTTTGTGCACTTCTTTCTCCATTGCATTTTTTAAAATTAGCCCTTCTTATCAAAACGGTAGGGCATATGGTCAACCTGATCGCTTCTGTTCCTATACTTTATACAGTTTGGTGTATTTACTGAGTCTGAGAAGAAAACTGAGGAGTATGATACCCAGGTAAGAGAAATCTGCAACATAACATTTAGTTTAATACCCAGAGGGATAGCAGCAAAAAGCAAAGTATTGTCGCATTTTAACAGTTATTATTTTTTTATAGCATATGTTTTCATGGGCTCAAGGCCACTTTCTCAGATGCATGATGTAGTAGACCATAACTGAGTAGAAAATAGTTGTTGTGGAATTTCTTAGTAAGAAAAGAACTGATATAGAGCCTTGCCAGGCTCTGTATAAAAATGGAGACAACAGGTCAAAGGTGGGCAGGAATGAGAACTAGTGTTGTCAAACGAATGGCATTGTGCTCCAGATTTTGAACTCCCTAGTGGTTTAATACATGCTGTTGAATTGAAAGGTCTGTAAGGAATCACGTACGGATTGATCTTTCTGCAAATATAGTTTGAAGCTGCAATGTGGGTGTTCGTGTAAAGTCTATGCTACATTAGTGGGAAAATGGTTTTGAGTTTTAGAAATGACGTTCTGCCTCCTGGTCCATTTTCATGTGTGTGTCACAAAATTCCATCATGTACTGAGGGCAGAGGCAAGAGTTGGAATGGCTCCTGGACATTTTGTCTGTTGAAGACGCTGCCCTTTCCTAGTATGGACTTCCAAGTATTAACTTTCAACGTAATGAAAGCCAGTGTGGTTTAGTGGGTGGTTTGAAACCACAGAACCCTATGTCCAATCCTAGGTAACCTTCGATCAGCCACCATCTCTCAGCCTAACCTGTATGATACAGTTGTGAAAATAAAAGTGGGGAAATCCATTTATGCCACCTAGAACTCAATGGACAAAAGGTAGTAATATAGGAGTAAAGTTCACCCAAAAAAATGTTTTCTTTTTCAGGCTATGAAATACTTATCATATTTACTATACCCATTGTGTATTGGAGGTGCAATTTATTCATTGCTTAATATCAAATACAAAAGGTAAGGTGCTGTGAATTATTTCAGAAACCTGAAATTACTGCTTAAAATGTCTGTTGCATAGCCTTGAGCCAATGACTTATAATACTGCAAAGTCAAAGAAGGCAAATGGTTTGGAAATGTCATCCTGGTGGCTAAATGTCTGCCTTGTTTTATGAGTTCTCTTTAGTTAATGTAGCAAAGAATATATGCTTGACCAGTTTGAGATGAGAAGATCCTCACGGTACTATAGTGCTCTGGTTCAGAGCTTGCATCAAAATAATGGTTTGGCCATTAGGAACTTGCTACAAAACCACTTCACAAAGCGTAGCTTCTGATTATGACTTAAAGGCAAGCAGTAGTTGGTGGAGAGCTGCGGTCGCATAAGTAAAATAAGCATGAGACGCGAGTTACATGTACACCTGTGATTTCTTATGTTAAGCAGTCATTCTCAAACTTGGGTCCCCAGCTGCTGTTCGACTACAACTCCCATCATCCCTAGGTAGCTCATCATCAGGGATGATGGGAGTTGTAGTCCTAAGTTTGAGAAACACTGTGTTAAAGCATGGAGGAAACAGAAAGGCGGGGGAAGAGGGGTTGTATTGTGCTGGTGTGGGTTTTGTTTTGTTTTTGAAAGGAAGGAAGGAAGGAAATAAAACAGCAGATAATGTTGTTTTTACTAATTTAATGCAAACAATTTTATCACCCCCTTATAGCTGGTATTCATGGTTAATTAACAGCTTCGTCAATGGTAAGTATGGATTTGTTTTTTGTGTTTTGTTGAAGTCTAGTTCTCTAAAAATATGATTACAGAGTGAAGTTATTCTTAAAAACGGTAGTATTTGTGGAAAGTTGTGTCATTATAATCGCCTGTGGTGAAACTCGCTGGGCTGGGTAGAAATCACAGAACTGAATGTTTTCTCAAGTTAAAAGAACAAAAGTAGCACCCTCCAAGTAGTATAGTAGGGTGTCTGGCGGAAGGGTTAACTAGTGCTCTGACTGCATGGTGTTCTTTACATTGGGGAGCGCTCAGATGTGATAGGTTCAGTAGTTCTGAAGTTGTGCGATACAGCAAGAGCTGGCTCTGGCAAGAGCTGGGGGTCAGCATCATTGAGCGGTGGCTGAGCCCCCAGTTCCCAGAAATATGCCCCATGAAGGCAACTGTTACACATGCAGTACAGTAGATCCAGCTATCCCTGGTTCCCCTAGAACAGAGATGGAGAACTTTTGGCCCTCCTGATGGTTCTGAACTACAACTCCCATAATATCTGGCTTGCTGCGCCTGATGGGAGTTGTAGTTCAGCAACATCTGGAGAGCCAAAGGCTTACCCACACACCTACCCTAAAATCATTTTTATTAAAATGCCTTTGCTGGTTCCTTGAACTACTTGACTTAATAGAAGCAGGAGCTTATGACAGAAAGAATATATAACTTTGGGTTTCATACTGTATCTTGCTTTAGGTAGTCCATGCTGTTTCTCCAGTTCATCCTGCAAACGTGTCCAAAGTGTCTGGACACAGGACATCAGCTTTCCTTGTGTACCACAAAGGAACACATGGGTGGCTTTGCACATTACTCTGTAGCAGCTTGTTATAAATAGAAAAAGAGTGAGCAGATCCGGGGCTAGCAGTGCCTCTTGATTGTAGTTGACAGTTGGAGTAGAAAGCAGCAAGACAAAATTTTTGTTGTCTGCTACAAGAATATGTAGCAATTATGTAACGCCTAAAATCTTCCAACGCGCTGTACAAGATTACAAAATAATAATACTGTCCCTAACAGATCTTATAGAAAGGGGAGGGGTGATGTGCAAGGAACAGGAAAACCAGCCAATTAAGGTGTTAATTCCTTATCGGGTTACATAAATGTTTAACAGCCAGGCGGATTAGCCACTGTGAGAGACAGTTCTGAGAGAGGAAGAACCAAGGAGTGGATTAGGCTGACTTAACCTCTCCCTTTGCTGTGGCCAAGTGGAATGGCTGCTAATTACAGATGGAGCACTTTTACTTGGGAGCAAGCCTTGCTGCATTCATTGGGACTTATATCCAAATAAGCATGCATGCAGAAGCAGCCAAGAGTGTACCATGTGCTTTGTTTGTATCATCTCAACTATTTTTACAGTAATGTTGCAACGTAGGCTAGTGCAGTTGTCCCATTTCAGGGAGTGGTTCTCGATGACATGGCAGCTTTCCAACGTTTTGCAGGGGGTAGATTTGAATAGGACTTTCCTTCCTTCCATTTCTTAGCTGTGACATTACCCTAGCTTCATTTCAAGCGTAGAAATGGATAGGTACCAGTAGTCTTGTTTTCATTTGCGGGGTGACAGGGTCCTCCGTTAGACAATGTGAGCTAAACCTTCCTGATTTCCCAGACCAGTTAACTCAGTTTAGTGGTTGACATTTTGAGAAGTTCCTTGAGAATCACGAAATTATTTAACGTGGGCTTTGCCATCTCTTAGCTGAGTTTAACCAGTTGTCATTGTATCCTGATAATGTAAATGTGGTAGAAATAAAAGGCTTTAAGGGCATTAAGGCTTTGTTCTTTAATGATTAAACCTAGTTCATGTTTTCTTCCCCAACAGGAGTATATGCTTTTGGATTTCTGTTTATGTTGCCACAACTATTTGTAAATTATAAGGTAAATCTGAAGGTTTTAAAGAATACCTTAATCTTTTTGTTTCGTCCGGCCTCCTTTACTACTGCTAGTATATATGAATGTATGGTTTCGTTTCTTCCAGATGAAATCTGTTGCACATCTGCCCTGGAAGGCATTCACATACAAAGTAAGTTAAGTTCATTTGACAGTTCTAAGGTTTATAGTTCTGACTTTCAGTTAATATCATTTAGTTGAAAATCAGCAGCAATTGATGGCCAAACAATATGCATCAACAATTATAATACGTAGCAAAACTCTTAATGTGGTTGAGAGAAATGATGAGAACGCTTCTATAGCCTTCACTCCCAAACACTGCAAACCTGGAAGTGAATGTTCCGGTTTGCAAATGTTCTTTGGAACCTGAATGTCCGACGCGGCTTCCGATTGGCTTCAGGAGTGTCTTGCAGCTAATCAGAAGCCGTGCCTTGGTTTCTGAATGTTTGGAAGTCGAACAGACTTCCGGAATGGATTCCATTCGACTTTCAAGGTACCACTACATTATTATTTGTCAGTGGTCCCTTGTGGGGTATAAGATGTGGTTGTTAAACTGCATTTAGCTTGATGGGTCACAAGTTAGGTAGGCCTGAAGTCTAGATCCTGGTCTGCATATCAAAAAAAAGCATTAAAACTGTTCCAGCTGCTACTGAGGGTTATAGTTCTTGTCTCTGTCTAACCAGTTTCTCCCCACAATTTTTTAAGGGCCCTTTTTATTACCGGTTCCCAGTCATAAAGCACTGTGTAGATTGAGCTCCTGCTTGCCTCTGCAGATGAGTTCAGGACTCTGACTACCTCCCCACCCCCACCACAAAAAATACATGCTAGTTTTTAGTTCCTGTGCAGTGAGTTGCTCTTTTAAGGCTCACTAGGAGACTAGACGAGGTGGGCTACACCCTCAATTTCTGAGATACCTTTTTAGCTTCAGAAACTCTGTTTAAATGTTGTATTATGAAGAATGGATGATTTGGTTGAAAACTTGGTTTGCTGGGAACAACACTTGATTGATGTTCTGCTACGTACGCTGCGTTCACCTTGTGCATTATTTTCTCCAGGCATTCAACACTTTCATAGATGATATTTTTGCATTTATCATCACAATGCCAACATCTCATCGGCTGGCATGTTTTAGAGATGACGTGGTGTTCCTGGTCTACCTTTACCAAAGATGGTATGAGTTCCTCTTATAACTTTAGTTTTTTTTGTTTTTGTTAATGTTTTGCCATTCATTCTTTTGTCAAAAAAGGCAGATCTTACTAGTTCTGTATATCAAGCTGTGTTGAGTAAAATGGCCCTCAAATTCTGGTTAAAAGGGAATCCTTGTTTAATGTTGGCGCTAATTGTAATACTGAAGAACAGATAAGGAGCTGGGAGGAATTTAGAATCCTGAAGGATATACTCTCCATCTCTTAACTATGTTTACATGTGGTAAAAATGCTATAGTAATGGCGCTACTTATGCCTCCTGCTCACCCCAGCCATTAAGTGTCAAACCTGCCCCTGTTCACATAAACCTATGATGTCTTCTGTTTCTTGGTCACACTACAGTAGAGGTTCCCTAAACCGGTCTGGGACCACCGGTGGTCCTCAAGCTTCATTCAGGTGGTCCATAGCTTCTCTGTGGATTTGTGATTGAAGATGGGAAACTGCACATCCATCACATGAAATATTCATATGGATTTTAATAGTATTCTAAGGGCTATTTTTATTTGTTACGTTGTATTTTATTGTCTCACCATTTGAATTCTATGGAGCACAATGAAATGCGATACATAATAAATAAAAAGAGTAATAAAAGTGCAACTGAAGATTATACAGCACCTAGCTCCAGCACATTACAATAGCTACAACAGGCAGAGGAATCTTAAAAGTGGTCCATGCACGACTCTCAGTGATTTTCAAGCCATCTGTGGGTTCAAGAGTTTGGGAACCACTGTGTTATCTGTTGCAAACTGGAAGCTTTCACCAAAAATCAATTATGTGCTGTAAAAAATAAAATAGAAGGAAATCCCTGTCTGCAAGTGTACAGTCTAATAGAGATGGGCAACAGAGGGTATGGAAAGCAGGGCGAGGGCAAGATCCACTCAGCAATTGGCAACCCATATATAAAAGTAGTATCAGGATTTCACAAGTATCATTCAGTATATGTTGACAGACCTTGTTGCTGAAAAGAATAATAATAATTAGCATTATGATGGCATTTGTAGGGAAGGATATTCTGTCGTTGATGCTTGAAAAACTGTACCAATTAAAGGTGGCAAAATTATGACCCTGTGGAGACTTTTCTTAAAGGAAGTATTAACTGTTTCTTTTTATCTCCAAGGCTTTATCCTGTGGATAAGAGCAGAGTGAATGAATATGGAGAATCTTACGAAGAGAAGCCGAAAAGAAAGCCCCACAAAGAATAACTTAGGATAACTCTAGGAGTCTCTTTGGACTGATACTGGCTGCATATGTTGTCTGGCTTTTAAGAAGCAGCAAAGCAAAAGAGTATTCTTCAAAGCTTGTGACAGAACTTCATGGACAAAATATCATCTGCATTGCCAAAATATGTTTTGATTGCCTTTGGATCTATCTTTGCTGTTGTTGTTTTTTTGTGTTCAAGAAGTCTGCCAATATTTCTGCCAGGTTTCACTCAAATGATTAACATTTTGAATTTCTGTGGAAGTTTCTGCATAAATATTTGTGTCTGTCCTGCTTTAATGTCTTCGACCCTCCAGTATCCAGCAGTGTGGTTGTATGCATTTAAAGGCCTGTGAGAAATAGAAGTATACTGTGAATAATTACAAAAGGGTAATGAAAGTGGGGAGGAGGCCAGCACGTGACCTTCAAACCATCCAATAAAATGCTTTTGTACTCGATTGGGCCATTCCCTGGGCATGATCCAGTCAAATCCAAGACCCTGATTTCAGTGCAAGAGATTTCAGTGCATTTTTATCTCACGCGTTGAAATCATGTGGACTTAAAAAAAAGTTTGCTTGACTGGATTGCACTCCTTGTTTTGTATCACCTCCTCCACCATGAACATCTCATCTTTTAGATTGAGATGACAGCTATGCTTCTCACAGTGGAACATGTTATCATAGCAGAATTGGGCATTGTTGCTGAAATATTGTCAATATACAAAGGCATGCACTTTAACATGTATGTACCAAACAGTTCTAAGCCAGCACTGGACACAGAAAGCTTGTAACTTTTTAAAATGCATTTTTTAAAACAACAAAGGCTTATTGGCATAAGTCCAACTGAGCACATGCAACAAATAGTATTCAGTTGTTTTGGGTTTTTTTGTACAGTGGGCAAAATGTTGTCCTTCAACCCTAGAGTTAGTATTTCTTCATTCCTTCCAAACTGGATCTTCGTTCCTAGGGTGAGAGCCATTACGTTGTAGTCAAAAACCTCTTTTTAAAAAAACAAAATGTAAATACATACTTGCATGACACACTATTGTGCCAATTATATTTCGGCAGGGAAACTAGGCCTTTTTCTTCTATATTGACATAGATAGCATAAAGATGGGAAGAAGTTGCTTAAAGCACCTAATAGAAAACAGAGACATCAGAAGGGAAGTGTAAAGAGATTCTGTTGCAAATCTTGCTGGAAAAGGAAATGAACTTTCCAGTTGCCATTGCTTGGGGGGGGGAGGGTGTTGCAGGGTTTTAATCTTTTGCATTTTATTTTTTTTTTAATTTGGATGTGTTGATCTAATCAAATAGTTGTCACTAAGTCACTTTATTTTGAGCACGTTCAAAATGCAAGTGAAGATTTCTTATAAAGGATCTTCACTTGTATCACAGCATGACATTTAGTAGAGCTACAATCCCACCTGTCCTTTTTGAGCTTTAATCTCCAATGAATTCCACGGAATTTGGACTCTAGGATTTTTATTTGTATTTTTATTGAGACGCTGTGTGCACTGTGTTGGCCTAATCCCCCCACCCCATCCAATGGATTGGCGCATAGGGCCTGCCCCCCGCTGTGCTTGCTTAAGCCCATTGACTTGAATGAGACTTGAGTATGCTTAATGGTGACCTTCATTACTAAGAGGTATTGCCTTCAATATGGTTGAATATGCATGTTCGTTCCGCACTCCAGCATCAAAAGATGCACTGGTACTTTATTCTCTCAGACGACATTAGGTTGCTTACTTTCGGGTGTCAGGATACTTTAAAAATCTGTTTTGGTTCCTCAGGACTCTTTTTCCCCCCTGCTATATTTTTATATTTTTAACTGGGAGGTGGGGATGTTGGCAGTCAATTAGTTCTCTGTCTTATTTTTTCATTGGAGGCATTCTCTCCCATTGAAATGAATGGGCCTTAAAAGAGGTGCACTGTGGTTGGATGGTGCCCTTTTGTCTTCAGCTTTCAGTTTATCTGAATGCTGAAAGTTTCTGAAGTCGTTCCCAAAACCCTGAAGTTCTGCATTTGGGTAGCTTTGTATTTCAGCATTCCTTCCTTCCTTGCTGTGGTTTCCCTGGCAAGTAGTAATATTTTGAAGTGCTAACAAGTGCCTTTGTAATCTCTTTTTTTATTGTTTTTTTCAGAATTACGGTAAACTTAATAAAATTGTTGTACTACTAAGTTGAATGTAAACTTAAAATATGGGCACAAAGCAGTCAGAGTTCATTCCCATGGATTTCGCTGGGAAAGATTTAAACACTTACTAAAAAATCAAAGGCCCCAAGAGTACTTGATGGGAGAAGTAGACCATAAATCTAAATTTCCAATAAATTCAAACTGGTAGAAGCTTCTTATTGTTTTCAAATTATAAAGAATAACCTCTTGGCAGAAATATTAATAGCACATGTTTGTTTTTCTGTTTGGTGTCTAAAAGTACAGAATATCAGTGATTAGCTGAATAATTTGCAGTGCAAACATTGTTTGGTTTAAATGAACATGTTTTATTTTTAAATTTGAATGAGGAGTGTATTTGGGAACATCAAAGTGTCCTGTCAATTCAGAGAGACCTGGTTAGCCTCCCATCCAGTCAATGATATTTGTTTCCTTCATTCCATGTAAATAAATGTTTATGGGTATGCTTTTGTTGTCTCTACTTGACATTCTCATTACGTTGTTGAACAGTACTCTTCACATTCTGTTTCATTTTAAAAATGCATATGTTCATACTTGTGAACAATCCCTCCTCCCGGGGAAACTTGGGGAATTGTAGTTCTGTGAGGGAAATAAAGGTTTGCTAACAACTCTTAGCACCCTTAACAAAATAAAGTTCCCAGCATTCTTTGTGGGGAGGAGGAGCCATGACTGTTTAAACTGGTACAGTGGTACCTCGGGATGCGAACGGGATCCGTTCCAGAGCCCCGTTCGCATCCAAAAGCGAATGCAACCCACGTGCACGGATCGCAATTCGCCACTTTTGTGCATGCGCGTGACGTCATTTCGACCGTCTGCGCGAGCGGCAAAACCCGGAAGTAACGCGCTCCGTTACTTCTGGGTCGCAGCGTGCAACCCAAAAATACTTATCCTAAAGCTACTTCAACCCGAGGTATGACTATACAGTCATACCTCGGGTTGAATGTGCTTCAGGTTGAGCGCTTTCGGGTTGCGCTCCACGGCAACCCGGAAGTAACGGAGCGCATTACTTCTGGGTTTCGCCGCTTGCACATGTGCAGACGCTCAAAATGATGACACGCCCATGGGCGGAAGTGGCAAAATGCGACACGCACCGTCGCGTCTTGCGTTCCATTCAGGATTCGAACGGGGCTCCAGAACGGATCCCGTTCGCATCCCGAGGTACCACTGTATAACAGTTCTTCAAATGTATCGTATGGAAGTGGCCTTAGGCAAGTTGCTATTCCTCCACCACCCCACCTACAATTAAGATTTTTTAAAGAATTACTGAAAGAATAATGGTGAAACATTGCAAGCACATGCTGCTGTCGTTCATAACCGCCTTGGAATGAGTTCAGGATGCTATACAGAAGGATTCTCTCATTAGGTGAATTGGGATTGCAGGCTCACACAGCCTCTGCATACATAGCCATCAAGAATCTTGCTTCTCCATGCCATTCCGTTTCCCATGCTTGGGAGGTAGGAGCAAGTTGAGGCTGAACTGTTACTGAGGTTCTGCCTTCTGGACATGAGGGAAGCAGGCAGTGGGGGTGTGAAGGGGGAGGTAAGTGGAACCACTGATCCTCGAACCAAAGGGAAAGCCACCCCAAAGAATCTGCTTGCTGGTGTTTGTCCAATGTCATTGCTGTGAAGAAGTTGTGAATTCCCTGACGTCCGTGTAATTATGACTTGCAAGTATATGGATGATGCAAGTTAGTAGAGGATGGAGCCAGGGAGTTTGTTCCTTTCGCATAGGCTGAGGTGATGTATGCTAATGTCATGGTGTATTCTGCCTTTAGAAGATTGGAAGTTGACTTCTGAGAGAGCCTGCAAGGTCCTCTACCACCAGCTGGGCTAAATGACCCTCGTGGTGTGTCCCCAACCCTATGATTTCTTCCCTTTAACTTATTTTTTAAAAAAAATGCAAAACACACCACTATTTTGTTTTTTAAAAAGAGCAGCTGCGCAGCAGAGTCCCCCACCTTCCCGGGCAAATGGAAAAGCCAAGCTAGGAAACGAATAAAACAAATCCAATATTGTACTAGGTCAGAGACGGATTTATGCATAAGCTAAGCAAGCTATAGCTTAGGGTCCCACTCTCTTGGGGGCCCCAGAAAAATTCAAAGGAAAAAAACCCCTAGGTGTACAATTCCAAATAAAATAAAACCTACATACAGCGAGAGTGTTTTGTAGGCTCCTATTTGTTATGTGCACATGGCTTTAGATACATATTAGGTCCATCAGTTACCATATAGCATATATTCAACACAAAAAACAGCAACAATTGGTTGTTGACAAAGGACAGCTGGACATATAAAGGGCCCCATTACCTCCAGTAGCTCATCAAACCTAAATCCGGCCCTGACTAGGATCGAGAAATGAATGAAACAAAGCCAGCACTAGGCTCGAGATGCAACAAGACCGCTCAGTGCATATCTTATATGGGGAGGGCGGTGCTGCAAAACAACGTCGCCAAAGCGCAAAGCGCTTTTACGCGGCTTGCCTGCATTTCCCCTGCCCTCAAAGCAGGTGTTTTTCAAACTTCCCTAAGGATGATGGGAGTTGTAGTCCAGCAACAGCTGGCGACCCGCGTTTGAGGGGGCGAGGCGGGGCGAGCACGCGGAGCCGCCCCTCGCTTGGCGCGCGCGCCGCCTTCTTCCTCGCGCTCCCTCATGGCGCGTCCTCGGCGCTGCCGGGCGGTGCGGGCGCTGCTGCGGAGCTGCTACGCGGAGCTGCTGCCGCTGGAAGCCTTGGTCGGGCGCCTGCAGGCGGCCGCTCCCCCGGGAGCCCCGCCTCAGCCTCTGCTGCAAGACGGAGACCCCAAAGACTACCGCGCCTTGGTGGAGCGGTGCCTCGTGGGGCGGGCGGCCGGGGCCAGGGCTCCTCCTCCGCTGCTCACCTTTCAGCAGGTAAGGAGGGCGGGAGGGAGGAAAGCCGGCAGGCCCGAGAACGGGCTGGGCTGTGGTCCCAAATGGCTCCTTTGCTTGGGGAAGCGGGGGGACCACAGGAAGCTCTCCCAGGCCCTGGCACAAGAAATGCGTAATGCCAGCAAGTAAAGGGGCCAGGTTTTTAAAAGCAACAGGGCGGCCTCACCTTGAATAATAATAATAATAATAATAATTTATTATCTATACCCCGCCCATTTGGCTGGGCTTCCCCAGCCACTCTGGGCGGCTTCCAAAAAAATATTAAAATACTGTAATACAGTGGTGCCCCGCAAGACGAATGCCTCGCAAGACGGAAAACCCGCTAGACGAAAGGGTTTTCCATTTTTGAGTTACTTCGCAGGACAAATTTCCCTATGGGCTTGCTTCGCAAGACGAAAATGTCTTGCGAGTCTTGAGATTTTTTTTTCGCTTCCCCCCCCCTTTATCTAAGCAGCTAAGCCTTTAATAGCCTTTTAGCAGCTAATCCGCTAAGCCGATAAGCCTTTAATAGCCGCTAAACCGCTAATAGCGCTAATCCGCTAAGCCGCTAATAGGGTTGCTTCGCAAGACGAAAAAACCGCTAGACGAAGACACTCGCGGAACGGATTAATTTCGTCTTGCGAGGCACCACTGTACATCAAACATTTAAAGCTTCCCTAAACAGGGCTGCCTTCAGATGTCTTCTAAAAGTCTGGTAGTTGTTGTTCTCTTTGACATCTGGTGAGAGGGCGTTCCACAGGGAGGGCGCCACTACCGAGAAGGCCCTCTGCCTGGTTCCCTGTAGCTTGGCTTCTCGCAGTGAGGGAACCACCAGAAGGCCCTCGGTGCTGGACCTCAGTGTCCAGGCAGAACGATGGGGGTTCAGGCCACATTTAGGTAAAAGTAAAGGGACCCTTTGGCGCTGTGGGTTAAACCACAGAGCCTAGGACTTGCCGATCAGAGGGTCGGCGGTTCGAATCCCTGTGACGGGGTGAGCTCCTGTTGCTCGGTCCCTGCTCCTGCAAACCTAGCAGTTCGAAAGCAGGTCAATGTGCAAGAAGATAAATAGGTACTGCTCCACTTTATTGGCCGAGGGAGCCGGCGTACAGCTTCCAGGTCATGTGGCCAGCATGACTAAGCCGCTTCTGGCGAACCAGAGCAGTGCACGGAAACGCCGTTTACCTTCCCGCTGGAACAGTACCTATTTATCTACTTGCACTTTGATGTGCTTTCGAACTGCTAGGTTGGCAGGAGCAGGGACCAAGTGACGGGAGCTCACCCCGTCGCGGGGATTCGAACCGCCAACCTTCTGATCAGCAAGCCCTAGGCTCTGTGGTTTAACCCACAGCGCCCCCCGTGTCCCTCTTGTGCCGGATTTACGTATACGCTAAACAAGCTATAGCTTAGGGCCCCACTCTCTTGGGGGGCCCAAAAAAATTAATAGAGACAAAAAACTGGACATACATTCCCAAATTATGATAAAAAAACCCAAATAAAATAAAACCTACATACAGCAACAGTGTTTTGTTTTGTGTAGGCTCCCATGATGTAAGTAATGGGCCCCGCCTGTATTTCACTATTAATATACTTCTTCTTAATCATACTTCAGTTGAACAATTACTTTGATAAAATACATGTTTTGCTATGTGCAAATGGCTTCAGATACCTATTAGGTCCATAAGTTACCATATAGCATACATTCAACACAAAAAACAGCGGCAATTTGTTGTTGACAAAGGACAGCTGGACATATAAAGGGCCCCATTACCTTCAGTAGCTTAGGGCCTCATCAAACCTAAATCCGGCCCTGGACTCGCAGCAGATGTTGTGGGAGACCCAGCAGACAACAAACATGGAACCCACACAGTTGATAATCTACAAGAGGCCTCTCTTCGGAGGCATGTTCACATGCTCGGAAGTCGCAGTTAGCTATGGCCATGTCGGCATTAGTATCATCATTTTAAAATTTTCTTTACTGCCCTGCATCTGAAGATCACAGGGCGGTTTGCAATATAAAAAACACAAAAATACGTACCACAATAGCAAACGAAAACTCTTCCCCACAAAAAAAGTTTATTTGAGTTACAATACACTTCACAACCTGCATTATGTTGCACGGAACGCAGCCTCAAGGTATATTAGCCACTTCACTTTCAGCGATTGTAACTTCCCTTTTTCAAATATTTGTCTATGTGAACCAGCCTTTGATATCTTTGAATTGTGCGTTGCTGGTCCATGCCAACAGGTTTCTGTTTGGCAGGCTCAGCTTAAGTAATTTCTCTGTATAAATTGTGCAAGCAGGCATCATTGTGGAGTGCTCGAGTCACATGTTGGCGGCATTTGGGGGGGCTGTTTTCTCTTGCGGAACTGTTGTTGTTGTTGTTTAGTCATTTACTCGTGTCCAACTCTTCATGACCCCATGGACCAGAGCACGCCAGGCACTTCTGTCTTCCACTGCCTCCCGCAGTTTGGTCAAACTCATGCTGGTAGCTTCGAGAACACTGTCCAACCATCTCGTCCTCTGTCGTCCCCTTCTCCTTGTGCCCTCCATCTTTCCCAACATCAGGGTCTTTTCCAGGAGTCTTCTCTTCTCATGAGGTGGCCAAAGTATTGGAGCCTCAGCTTCAGGATCTGTCCTTCCAGTGAGCACTCAGGGCTGATTTCCTTCAGAATGGAGAGGTTTGATCTTCTTGCAGTCCACGGGACTCTCAAGAGTCTCCTCCAGCACCATAATTCAAAAGCATCAATTCTTCGGCGATAAGCCTTCTTTATGGCCCAGCTTTCACTTCCATACATCACTACTGGGAAAACCATAGCTTTTACCACACAGTAATACCCAGTTTGTTTGGCTCTTTCAGGCACCTGCTAATGAAAATGTTGCTTTTTTTTTTGCTGCATTTGCAGGTATCCAGTCAGGAGGATGTCGTGGCAAGAGTCGTTCAGAGAATCTGTGAAAAGAAGAAAAAGAATGTCCTGTCGTTTGGCTACGGACCCTCGAACGAGAATAACCGCCATCTGCCCTGCATGCCAAATATCTGCAGCTACCAGCGTAATAGCACAACAGAAACCATTCGCCAAAGTGTTCTCTGGGAAATAGTCCTGAGCAGAGTTGGAGATGATGTCATGATGTACGTATTGGAGCACTGTTCTCTTTTCATGCTCGTGCCTCCCAGTTGCTGTTACCAAATTTGCGGCCAACCCATCTACGAACTTGCTTTAAGAAGCGCAAAAACCTCTCCTGCGTTCTTCAGACAGAGATATCCCAGGCCGGCACCCAGCGTCTTATCTAGCTACCTGCGAGGAAGGCTTCGGCCTTTTGGGAAATACCTTGCGAAGGCAAACAGGGGGAAAGTGAACTCTAGGAAGCAAAGATGGCGCAGATCACAAGAAGGTGTAGGCGGTGACTCCCAGCAGCCTTTGAAGGTTCAGAGAGCTGCCGGGCTGAGCCCTACAGCGAATGAACTGGTTACAAGGTCCAGTGACTACCTAGAGGACCAGCCAAGCCCCAAACACTGCCTGTGTTTAACAGCACCGCCTCGTAAAAGGAAATGGAAGGACTGTTATGAAATTAGCGCTAAGAGAAAGAAAACCACGCAGACGGACGAGGGGCTGGGAGGAGAAACAAGAAACCCAGTTCCCACTGAAAGCAAAAAACAAATAATTCTGGATGGTGGTGGGGGTGCATCTAGAGGGTGTGTAAGTCCAATTTCAGAGGAGCAGATAGTTTTCGTGAAGCCTGTTGCTCAGAGAAGTGAACTTGGAGCACAAACCTTGGATTGCACAGCTCCTGATAATTCAGAGGTTTTTTCGTGTGGTCCTGCACGAAGTACGGAGAGCAAAACGCTGTGTGGATCTAGTACCAAAACAAAACCTCGCACTTCGGTGCCAAAGGTAGAACCTAGCATTTCTGATTATTGCTCAGTAAAGCTTGTGAACGCTGCTGCTACAGACAGAGGCCTAAGAACATCCAAGCCAGCTCAGGAGTTTTCTGATAGGATTTCTACTCCTGCCGTGCAGATTGAAAGGCGCTCCCTCTTGTATTCTTGCCGGCAGTTGAAAGAGCGTCTACCTAAATCATTTGTGCTGAACCGCTTAAAGGGCTATCCGGCAGGCGGATGGCGGCTTGTGGAAGCCATATTTTTGAACAGCAAGATTCCAAAGCAGCCGGGCGAATCAAGTCTTCCAGGTTACAATAGGAAGAAGAAGCGACTTCCAAAACGCTACTGGCAGATGAGAGGCGTATTCCAGGAACTGTTGCGGAACCACACAAAGTGTCCTTACGTAACAGTGTTAAGAAATAATTGTCCCATTTGGAAGTTGGACAAAATTGGCCCAGGAAGACAGAGTTGCGAGCAAAACGTCTGTCGAGAGGGTCAAAGCTTGCCAAAGAAATGGCAGGCGAACGTCACAGAAAATTGCCCAAGAAGGGTATCGGGTGTTTTGGGTCCATTCTCAGGTGCTTCCTGTAGAAGCTTTGAAAAAGCTGAGTTGCATCAAAAAAGAACTGAAATGCGAGCTCCCCAAGTCTCCCCCAGTTCTGACGTCACAGTGTTCCTTAAGCAACATAGCAGCCACTGGCAAGTGTACACTTTTGTGAGGGGCTGTCTGGAGAGAGTGGTCCCTGCTGTACTCTGGGGCTCAAACCATAACAAATGCCGCTTCTACAAGAATGTAAAGCAGTTTATCTCTCTGGGGAAGTTTTCCACGTTTTCGTTACGGGAGCTGATGTGGAAAATGAGAGTCAACGATTGCGCTTGGCTTCGTCTGACCAAAGGTATGGACTGTGGTTATTAAGATGAAAGCAGCATCCCCTGAAAGTGGCTTTGTTTTTAGACTGTCCTTCCTCATGTCAACATAGCAGGATAATTTCCAACCTAGTGCGAAATGCAGTCCTGCAGGGATAACCTACATCAGGCACGTCCAACAGGTAGATCGCGGGATGTTCCTGGTAGATCCTGGCGGATTTCTGGCCCCTCAGAGATCTCCTTATAAAAGGGGGGGACGACGACCCAACTTTGCCTTTCCAAAAAAGCTCCAGAACTTTGGCTTCATAAAAAAACCTCAACAACTTTGGATAGATCACACTGCCAGTTTTTTTTATCGTGTGAGTAGATTGCAGTCTATTGGGAGTTGGACGTCCCTGACCTACATAATGCTCTCTGTGTGGTGTTAGAATATAGCCCCCATCAGCCCCAGAAAGCATGGTCAACGACCAGCGATTTGATGGGAGTTGCAGCGCCATCTGGAAGGACTCAGCGCTGGCTATCGCTACAATAATACACAAAGTGTATAAAGTTGGTAACTTAGGAGTGTAATGTGTTGGGCAACCATCCATTGCATCCCAGCACAATTCTGTTATCTGAGAGATATACGTTGATGCTGTTTTATTCAGATACATTTTGTGGGACGTCCTTTTGGAAAAAAGTGATGAGTAGAACTAAAATAACCCATGAGACATCCCTTCCTGTCCAAGTTACACATGCTTTTCTAGGCTTGAGCCCAGTGAAGTAGGCTCTGTCAAAAGGCCACCAAACCATTGTTCTCAAAGCTAGCTTGGCCGCAAAAAGTATCATCATTCTACGAAGTTGGAAATCAATCGTATCTTCCCAGTGTTGAGGATTCTTTTGGGAAACAATCCCAAAAGAATGTGACAGAGCTTGGGTTCAGTTTGTGGTTAGTGAGCAGAGAGTTTAACCATGCATCCTGGTTTGGATAGCTCAGTCGGTAGAGCATAAGACTCTGAATCTCTGGGTTGTGGGTTCGAGCCCCACGTTGGGCAAAAGATTCCTGCATTGCAGGGGGCTGGACTGGATGACCCTTGTGGTCCCTTCCAACTCTACAGTTCTATGGTTTAAAACAACCCAGTTAATAAATACAAGCAATAGAGCAGCAGCTTGAGAATAATAAAACAAAAGAGTGGTTTTTTTGAGAATGCTTGGGAGAACAGGATTATTTATACTTGCCATCTGAAAGCCAGCAAGAATACTTGCTGTCAGAGTCTCTACAGTCTGAATTTCTAAGAGCAAGGCGTTCCAGAGTTGGGAGTGGGGGGAAATAGCGATGGCACTCTCATAGCAAGCCTAGCTATAACCAGAATCACTCAGAATAGGATGCTGATATTCTCTAGCAGATTTCAGCCTTGCAAATAAGTCTGCGGAATTTACTAGCCCGCAAATATTTTAATATGCTGGCCTGAATGGTGTGATTTTGTGTGTGTGATACTCAAATGGTGTCGTGGCCCAGAAGACAAGTCTGCGCCGCCACCCTTGCCAGATCCTGTGCTTCCAAGGGAAGAAATTGGCATTCCTACTACATGGCCAAGTGTGCGTATGAGAGGGGACAGATCTTGCCATGCCTGTTTCATAATGTAGCAGAAGAAGAAGAAGAAGAGTTTGGATTTGATATCCCGCCTTTCACTCCCTTTAAGGAGTCTCAAAGCGGCTAACATTCTCCTTTCCCTTCCTCCCCCACAACAAACACTCTGTGAGGTGAGTGAGGCTGAGAGACTTCAGAGAAGTGTGACTGGCCCAAGGTCACCCAGCAGCTGCATGTGGAGGAGTGGGGAATCGAACCCGGTTCCCCAGATTATGAGAATACCGCTCTTAACCACTACACCACACTGGCTCTCTAGCAGCAGCAGAAATGTCTGTTGGTGTTTCCAGCTGTGTGTTTTCACATGGAGGAACCCATCTTTGTAAAATGTTAGCCTATACTTTGGTCGTGGTGACAACTTTTTTTAGAAAGCTCTTTCTAGACTTAATCGTCAATAAACCCGAAATTCTGCTTATAGAACTCAGGCGTTTTGTTCCTGCCTCCGAACACCGTTTCCGTGAAGATCTGATGTCCAAATTCCTGTACTGGCTGATGAACTCCTTCGTTGCAGAACTGCTGCGATCTTTCTTCTATATCACGGAGACTATGTTTCAAAAGAACATGCTTTTTTACTTCAGAAAGGCTGTTTGGAGAAAGTTGCAGAGGATTGGCATTAGGTATATATTACTTGAAGCACCGTAATTTGTATCCTGCGCAAGGGGGGTGGAAATGTGTGCTCCCTTTGCACAGTCTCTCATACCTTCCTCTGGGAAGATACCATTTGAAAAGGGTCCTATTTGCACTGCACATTTAATTATATTATGCCACTTTAATCCATCATGGCTTCCCCCAGAGAATCGTGGGAAGTGTAGTTTGTTAAGGGTTCTGTGAGTTGTTCAGAGATCCCTATTCCCCTCACAGAGCTACAGTTCCCAGAGGGGTTAAAAAGTCAGTCCCTCTCTGCGAGGGAGGCTAGGCGGTCTCCTAACAACTTTCTGCACTGTTAAACTACATATTCAACATAAATATGGGAAGTTTTTAATGTTTAATGCTGTATTGTGATTTTAATATTCAGTTGGGAGCCGCCCAGAGTGACTGGGGAAACCCAGCCGGATGGGTGGGGTATAAATAATAAATTATTATTATATTATTATTTTAAACAACTGTTTAAAGCAGTATGATACTGCTTTAAACGTGTCATGCAGACGAGGTCTAGGACTCTGGACCTTTCAAATGTAGCTCACTGATTTGAGTGTTGCCGTTTTGAGGGGGTGGGGGAGGTCAGATGAACCACACGTACCAAAAAGGTTGAGAGCATATGTGTGAGGTGTCACAGGCTATTTATGCCCCTGATGTGCCAAATTGGTGTGCTATCATCCAGAAATATTGAGATATTGCAAAGGTCTCTAAGTTCATACTGGTGCGCAGGTGTGCGAGCGAGCCTACACAGCTTCTCCACGTGAGGATTGTGGTTGAGCCAGGATCCCACTTGTGTGATGTGCTCTAGTGTGTACATTGGGAATGTATCCAACCCACAGCACCTTCCAGAACCCTCTGAAAGCGCAGATGGGGACCTGCCCCCTGGCACATTGGGCCATTGAATTGCAAGACCACGTCTCAGACACACACACAGAGCCGTTGGTGTTTTTTTTAATTGAACCTGAGCTTCAAAGTTTCTCTGATGAGATTTATGTCCTAGCATTGTTCATGAAGACAAAGTGGAAAACCAGATGTCCTGGGTAGTCTTGCCTCTCTCTCCTCTATACAGTGGTACCTTGGGTTACGTTACCTTTGGGTAACATAACTTTCGGGTTGCGAACACAGAATGCGCAGAAGCAGCGCCTCTCGTTGTGGACTTTTCAGGTTGCGCACGGACCCCTGGAATGAATTAAGTTCGTATCAGGAGGGTCCACTGTACAGTGGTACCTCGGGTTACAAACGCTTCAGGTTACAGACTCCGCTAACCCGGAAGTAGTACCTTAAGAACTTTACCTCAGGATAAGAACAGAAATCACACGGGGGCGGCAGTGGGAGGCCCCATTAGCTAAAGCGGCACCTCAGGTTAAGAACAGTTTCAGGTTAAGAACAGACCTCCGGAACGAATTAAGTTCTTAACCAGAGGTACCACTGTATTAACATTAGACCACATGGCTTGCTGTGCTTCCAAGACAAGCAAAGACACACATCTTCCCAATTTCCAGTTGGTTGAAATAATCTGTTCTAAATGACCCACTTCAAAGAATACTCAGATGGCAGGCTCTGTTCTCAACAGAGTAATTCATACAGGGCTTCCCCGTCTCCAGCCAGAACTCACCAGAACTCAGTTCCGGCACCTCTCAAGTGGGCGCCATTACCATTGTAGGAGAGCAATGGTGGCGCTCACGGTGAGTTCCGGCACCTTTTTTTCTAGCAAAATAGCACTGATTGTACGGAAGCAAAACTCGAGGGGAATTTTGTGATCTGCTTTGTAGTCTGTTGTAAAAGAATAATGTTCCTTTCCACTTTAGAAGTCATCTGGCCAAAGTGCAGCTCCGCGCCTTATCAAAGGAGGAGATTGAAATTCTGCAGCAGAAAAAGTGTGTCCCCCTGGCAGCGAAACTCCGGTTCATCCCCAAAGCGAATGGGCTGCGTCCCGTGGTCAGCCTGAATGACGTTGTAGGAGCTGAAGCATTCTGTAGAAAGAGCAGAGACCAAAAGGTTCTTATTTTCCAGTTGCATAGTGTGAAGTTGATTCAGTGAGCAAATGTTGTCTTTATCATCTTTGTAGCCCTCTTCTGAATCCCATCCCCAAATAATAATAATATTTGGGCAGCTTCCAACAAGAGAGTAAAAATACATTAAAACATCAGTCATTAGAAACTTCCCTAAACAAGGCTAAATCCTATTCCTACATCCTTCTTAAATGCAGCATGCGTCCTTTCCAAGAACTCTTCATTTTCTCCCTTTGCTAGTTGCCTTCTCTTCCAAGAGATCAGTCAACTTGGACATGTATGAGAATGCTTTGTCCTTTGTGAAACACTAACGCCCCCTAATTTCTCTCTCTCTTTAATTTTCTCCTAGGTTCAGTACTTCAACAAACAACTTAAAAACTTATTTAGTGTCCTTAGTTATGAAAGCACCAAGAACCCCATCTTGCTTGGCTCTTCTGTGTTTGGGAAAGATGATACTTACGCAATATGGAAGAAGTTTGTTTTGAAGGTTTTAGAGTCAAACTCTGAAATGCCGAGATTCTACTTTGTGAAGGTAACGCTTAGTGTCTCCATTGGGTCTGGATGTTTTCCATTTCTTGAAAGTGGACAGAACCGAGGATTTTTCTTTGCTTAAGGCTGTAGTACTGTGACCAAGCTCTGTTGAACCCAATGGCATGTAGGTCTGAATAAACATGCACTGGGAATCAGGAATATTTCATAAGCTGGGGTCTGTGGCCCCAGTTGCTCAGTTTTGTAACACTGATGGGATTGAGCTGTTTACTTCTTTCTCTTCACTCCTGGTAATCAAACCTGTAAGGAAGGATGGGGCTCTGTAATATCTCAAGAAAGAACAGTTGTAACTGGAGTTGGTTTCATACTTGGGTTGGGATAGAATTCACACTAGGCTTCCAAGTTTTGCCCTGCGCAGAACTGAGGTCGATTCAGGGGTTGTTAACTTGAGTCAGCAGAGACCAGTCACGTTACAGAAGGTTTTTGGTTTGCCGAAACGTGTCAACCCCCAAAAGGCTGCCATTGAATGACATATATAGTCTTATCCACTCTTCAACACACTCACATTATCTCTCGTACACGGACACATCACATTGTCTCTCATGCACACACGCATTCTTTCTCTCACCTGCGAGTCCTCCATCTGCAACATGTACGAAGCAAAGTTTACGGAGAAACTCCAGCAGCAAGGAGCCTTTGCAGAACCCAGCAAATTTCTTGGTTCTTTGCAGATTCCAGCCAAGGATTTGGAAGTTTTACAGGTATCCATCCCCCACTCCAGTTCCAGGGCTCTTGCCTCTCAGCTGCTCACCCCTAGTTTGTTGAAATTTCTATTAAAACCCTCCTGAAATCTACAGTCCACATCCCCTGTTGAAGCTAAGCATGTGTTACTGAGCAGAATATAGGTTTGTCCTCTGTTACCCTCATCCCTGTCTTTTCTTCCTCCCTCTGTTCCCTTTCCCTGCACTGAAGTTTAGTCTGTAAGCTCCTCAGGGCAGCAGCCTATCCTGTTTGTAAACACATTATTGCTGATGTTATCATTATCCCTTGCAGAATACATCTGTACCGGTTAGCAAATGCCCTTGCGTTGCAAGTTCTTTGCTTTGTGTGATATCTGATGCACGGTTGAAAGTTTAAAATAATGGAATTTATTCTCTCCCCCCACCCCGTTCTCTTTCAGGCTGATGTCACAGGGGCTTACGATACCATTCCCCATGATAAACTGATAGAAGTAATTTCACAAGTCCTTGCTCTGGAGAGAGAGACCCGTTACAACGTACGCCGCTATGCAGTGATCATGAGGACCAGAAATGGACTTAAGAGAATATGCTACAGGAGACACGTAGGGCGGATCTTTTTCTTTCTCTCACCCCCATTTTCTGTTCTCTGATAAGTATAACAACCGTGGGAACTCTGTAACGTCTTTGTAAATATTCCATGGAAAGGCTATCCAACGAATACCATCCTTAAGGCCAGAAAGCAACACATTTTGAAATGTCCTGCCTGCATGCTGAGCTTTTGCAGGATATAGAAGACCTCAGCATCGTGCTCCTGCAAAAGTCAGACCTGGAAGAGGATCCTTGTGCTGGGCATGCAAGATCCGCAAGCAAGCAGGTTTATAGAGCCCTGTTCAAAATAGTTGAGCCATATCCCTGTTCCAGAGGTGAATTCAGCTGTTCTTAGCTAGGTGGCAGTGCCTGCGTTTGAGACTGCTCCTGGGCTGACCACTTCGTTGATTTTGAAGTAGCCTGGCATCAGGTGGTATCGTTGGTGGCAGAGAGGCTGTGCCCTAGCTTTTGCAGGGTTTTTAATTTATTTTACACCATGGAAATGCATATCTGCTGAATAGCCCAGGATTTTAAAATTGTAATGTTTCTTCTGAGTGCACCAAGAGCTTCGTAGTTCTTATTTATTGATTACCACAGAAAAGAAGGGAGGTAGTATGGGCTGAGGAGCACATGCTAGCAGCTCCTGGGAGAAATGTGGGGCAGCCCTTGCCCGAACCCTTGGGAGAAGCTGGGGGGGGGGGGGGAGAGATGCCAGGAAGTAGAGTGGTCTTCTGCCTGCCTCCTTCCACATTCTCTTCTCTCAATCCAGCTCCTTGTAATTGTTAACCCTGACATTTTTACTATGCTGGAGGTCAACTCAAAAATGTCTCAGTCTGGATGTTGTTTGCAGGTATCTGTTTCCAGTGAGTTTAAGCCTGATATGAAACAGTTTCTGTGTCATCTTCAAGAGAGCACCTCACTGCGGAATGCAGTAATAGTTGAGCAGGTAAGCTTCTGTGTACCATTCCGTTTAACTAGGGAGGCTGAGATTGAAAGAGGATTTCCTAAGGCTGCCCCATTGGTGTGTTTTGAGGTCCCAAGCTGTAGGCAAACCTTGCGATTGGTTGTCTCTCTCTCTCTTACACACACACACACTTCATCATTTTTTTTACTTTCTCTTGCCATGCCGTCTGAACTTGTCAAACCGTAGTAAATCTTAACTATGGTTTGGGTAAACCCCAGTTTAAAGTTTGGGTGACATGCTAAAATGTAGCTTTGCCAGCAGCAAACATGTGGGGCGAGGGAAGCATTCAATCCCAAGGCTCACTTAGACTTCTTCACCTTACAATAAACCATAGTTGTTCAATAAACCATAGTTTCTTTTAATACCTGCTGAGTTCAGGACAGCCAATAAATTCATGGCAGAGGCAAGATTTGAGCAGTAGACTGCCTCAGTCATAACTCCTTCAGTTAGGCTGCAATCCTAAACCCACTGCATCCAGTAGGATTTACCTCTGAGTAAATATTCATAGGTTTGTACTATTAGTCACTGCATTTTACCATTTCTGAAGATGAGATTAACTTCAAGACGATATATTCATTTGGGGTTGACGCTAGTATTTGCATTCCTATTTAGAGGTTGCCCACATCTTGCATTGTGCAGTTTTCACTTTTAATATTTTAATCCCTCTTACCACAATCCTGCAGTCTGAGCTTTCCATATCTTGGTGCACAAGGGAGAATTCTGAAAGGGGCAATGTTAGCAGCTTTAAAAGAGGGGATTTTGTAAAGCTCTGTTTAAAATATGCCCAAGGGAAAATTGTACGGAGCCTTAGTTTGCTCAGCTATACTGAGCCACACATGTTTCTCCTTTCGAATAACATCATCAAATGCCACGTTAATTCGCTGCATCCATTCCACTCCGTGACTTCTCAATTTAGCCTTTTAGTTTCCCAGTTTGAGTGCATGTCTTTGCCACTTCCCGCCAGTAGATGGTGCTGACAGACATCCTTGTTTGAGGGAAATCCTTCACTGTTAAGCTTAACATTTTACAACTGGGTCTTCTGTTCGTATGGTGCCAGCTTCACTGGCACTTGGCTCTTAGCTGTTTACTCTGGGCATGCTTTATAAGCACACCTGACCTCAGAGCAGGCATAGGTGTTAACATGCTAATATTAGGCCAAATATCATAAGCCAAAGTAGACAAAGTTCAAACTTCTACTTTTGCTTTTTCTTCTTTCAGGGTGTCTCTTTGAGGGAAAACAAATCCAGCCTCTATGAGTTCTTCTTGCAGTTGATCCACCATAGCATTCTGAAAATTGAGAAGAGGTAAAGTCTCTTTTATTATCATTGGTTACATGAACTTTTCAGGTACCAAAATGTATTAGCCTGATGGCACACGGCTCACCCCAGCAAACCATGAATGGTAAACCAAAAGCAGACCTTATCTTCCTGATTTTTAGTTTTCTTGGTGGGGTGGATGGGGCACAAACTGTGAAGACTGCTTCAGACACAACCTTAAAACCATGGTTTATTTACCTGCTCAAGGTAGGAGGGAGGAGTTTTTAAGTTGAGTTCACAGACTACTTTACCAAATTGTAGGTTTTTAGCCAGCATTGCTTCTGAATGCAGCCAGTTGGCTGAGGTAATTTCTGAATTCAGAATAAAACAACGAAGAGTCTTGTAGTTCATTAAAGACTTAAAAATTTCAAAGCATAAGCTTTTGTCTGCTTATTCAGAAGCTTGTGCCATAATAAATTTGCTACAATACTCTTAATTTGCTGCAGCCAAAATAATTAATATCCCTCTGGAAGCTGAATCAAGAACGTTGTTCCAAATCCAATCTTTCAGAGGAGTCTTAAGCATTAGTCTGTATCCGTTTCTTTTAAAGCTTAAAAAATAATAATAAGAGGCTTTCAGAATGGAGAAGCTAATGGAATGGGTTTAGCTGAGTGCCCAAAGGGGAATTGCATTCATTCAAATTGGTATCCATTAATTTTGCAAGAACAATCAAGTGTTTGGCAGAATCTTTTCAGCAAAATTAATTGACTCCCCCTGCTTTCATAATTATGATAAGCCATGTAAGCTGTTTCTTTGCATTGATCAGGTGGACGTTGGTATCTTCAAAGACAGAGTTTGGGTTCAAGAAGATCATTTTCCCTTTGTGTATTTCCTGTTCTCATGAGAGTCTGACTTCTGTAGGTGGACTACAGTCATCCAATGACGTGGTGTTGTTGTTTTTAAGCACTCTTCACACGATCAGGCCCACTCCTCTTATCACTTCATATGTTCCAGGGTTGACGGTTGCCATTCAGAACTAGTTCCAGGCCTCATATCTCTTCCCCAGGCCCGGGTGGTCTACACTTTGTCTGCGTTGGGTCCAAAGAACTACTGTGGCTCCAAGGTGGCCCTCAATAGAGCGTCTCATCAGTACAGGGGATGGCTCGCTCAATAAATGAGTACAACTGCTTGCTTTGTTAACCTGCAACCATTTTTTTCAGGGCTGACCCTGACCCCTTTCAGATCCCTTCCTTTATGGAGACCTCTGCTGAGTCTGTTAGACTGTTGTCGGACTAACAAATATATTGCTCAGACACAAGGGATTCTGCGAAGCATTTGTAGAAGCATATGATGGATTTGCCGTTTGGTTGATAAGTTATTTTTGCTAAAACTATTGACTTTGGGCACAAAAGAGCCATGAATATTTTGGAATTCGCTGGAAAATTCTAAAGCTCTTGGATGAATATCTGAGGGTGCCGGCGGCATGTGCTAGACAAATAAGCTATCGCCAATATACACAGCGCTGACTGCGTGTTTGAAGGGTAGAGTTACGTAAGTGATCAAAGCTGACAAGGAGGAAAGATCAAAGTCTTGTCTGAATGCCCCTTCTTCTCTCTCTGTGAATGCTTTCATTTCAGTGCCGTGTTGAATGCAGACTAATGTAGCATTTCATAAGACTCTGCAAAGTGTATTTTTATTGTAAATCCATACAGCTGAGAAGTACAGAAGTGACCGGCATCACTTTGAGAGCAGCCTCAGAATATGCGGGATACTTTTTCATTTCTGTATGCGATGAACCATTGATCTGTAGACCTGTCTAGTTCTGCACTTTGGATGTGGGCTTTCCTAGTCCCAGTGCCAGAGAGACACCTAACAGAAGATTCTGGGAACAGGGGACCTCGTACAAACGAAGCATGTGTCCTGCCCAGTCTATCCAGACTGAGGACTCCCATTTGGGCAATGCCATTTTGGTTGTCATTTCTCTCCTGGAGTCCACAAGGGCCCTGGGGCTTGAGAATTACTAGCTAGTAACAGAGAGAGATAAAACAGAGAGAGGATGCGGGTGGCACTGTGGGTTAAACCACAGAGCCTAGGACTTGCCGATCAGAAGGTCGGTGGTTTGAATCCCCTCAATGGGGTGAGCTCCTGTTGCTCAGTCCCTGCTCCTGCCAACCTAGCAGTTCGAAAGCACATCAAAGTGCAAGTAGATAAATAGGTACCGCTCCAGCGGGAAGGTAAACGGCGTTTCCATGTGCTGCTCTGGTTCGCCAGAAGCGGCTTAGTCATGCTGGCCACATGACCTGGAAGCTGTATGCCGGCTCCCTCGGCCAATAAAGCGAGATGAGCGCTGCAACCCCAGAGTCGGCCACAACTGGACCTAAGGGTCAGGGGTCCCTTTACCTTTACCTTAACAGAGAGAGAATCCAGAATGTTCTCTCTGTGTGTTTTATTGCAGTGTGTTTTTGTTTCATTTTAACACGGGGGACCATATTTCAAATGCGATCTTCCGCCCCATGCCTCCACTTGGTTTCTGAAATACAGGCAACTCCCAAGTTTACGTGGAGATTTTGTTCTATACCTCCGGGCTTGTAACTAAAATCGTGTATATTGGGAGCACCCTGGAGAGTCCTCCTGGCTTGCAAGGAGAGCCTCTCCGGAGCCCAGGGAGAATGTCCCAATATACATGATTTCAGTTACAAGCCCGGAGGTGCAGCAGGGAATCTGCCCTGCTGTTTCTTGTGGGGAGGGTGTCACGGGGTGTCCTTGTTTGCAGGGTTTGGTGGGCTCATGAGCCAGCATGCCCTGGTATTTCATAATAATAATAATTTATTATTTTTCCCCCAGCCACTCTGGGCGGCTTCCAACAGAATATTTAAAACACGATAAAACATCAAACATAAAAAAACTTCCCTAAACAGGGCTGCCTTCAGATGTCTTATAAAAGTCAGATAGTTGTTTATTTCCTTGACACCTGATGGGAGGGCGTTCCACAGGGCGGGTGCCACTACCAATAAGGCCCTCTGCCTGGTTCCCTGTAACCTCACTGAGTAAGATGCTGGGAATTGTCAGCTGATGAGGGAAGAGGCAAGTCATGAGGTAGGCTGAGGCCCCAGCCAAGAATCATGGAGTCCACCCTTGTATTTAAAAATGTATTGCATCATTTTTTAATTTTTTTAAAAAATGCATTAGAAGAAAAAAGAAATTGCATGCGTAGGCTGGCCATGTTCTGGCAGCAACGGACATCTCATTCGTGTCAGCTTTCAGCATTTGTGATGGCGAATTTTTGTTCCCTGATATTTGCTAGGTACTATGCCCAGCGCTGTGGAATCCCCCAGGGCTGCATCTTGTCAACTCTGCTATGCAACCTCTGCTATGGAGACATGGAGGACAAGTTGCTGCATGGTGTGCAGAGAGATGGGTATGGTAATATTCTTCTACCTGCTATATAATAGTTGCTCCTGTGTTCTCAAAAAAGGTTCATAGATATTCTGCATCAGTTGTTCAAGCTTCTACCAGGGAAGACCAACAAGGATGGAAAGGGCATGACGAAGCAAGTGGGTAAAGTTGAAATGTGGAAACGGTCTGTGCCAAGGTTTTGAGTATAAACTAGCAAGCAACACGGGGAACTGCAGTTCTTTGGCAGTGTCTGGGAATCTGACGTAGATTTCCTTGGACCAGCAGTCCACATAGATTGTGACCTGTAGTGACTTGGTGTCAGGCTTTGGGGAATCCTATCCCTCCCATGGTGGCAGCAAAGAAGCAGATGAAAACAAGAAGATCTCTTACCAATTAGTTTATTCAGTAATCATAGCGAAAGACAAAGGTCTCTCTCTAGAAAATGGCATTGCTCCGAGTAAAGCCCGACCCCCATGTAAAGAAAAGGAAGGTACTTTCTATCATATGTGGTGGACTTGCTCCAAGGTAAAAGACTTCTGGGGAAAAATCTATAATGAACTAAAAAAAGAAGATGAAATACACTTTTATGAAGAAACCAGAGGCCTTTCTCCTTGGAATAACAGGTTCTGAACTGCCCAAAAAAGATGTAAAAGTATTTCTGTATGCCACAACTGCTGCATGGATTTTACTAGCCAAAAAATGGAAAACACAAGAATGGTAAAACACAAGAATGGTAAAAGAATGGCAGATGAAGATGATGGAGTTTATTGAGCTGGCTGATATCACTGGGAGAATCCGCGACCAGAAAGAAGAGGAACACCAAGAAGATTGGAAGAAATTCAAAGACTATTTGAATAAATATTGTAATATTAAAGATATGTAATCACTTGAAAGAATCATTTAGGCCTAGGATTAAATTGGGATTAAATATATAAATAAGAAAATGTACCAAAAGAAAAGTAAGGAAATATGATTATGACTGTGATATGGTTCATGAAATAATGATATTGGAAACTGCTATATATAATTACTAAGAAATTCAGATGGAAGAGATTTGAGGAAGCCAAATAATATGTTTAGGAAGATGAATCTTAATTAATTAATTAAGTGTTAGTCAAGTGATGATTTGTGGTATTGTTTGTTTTATATTCTTTTTTTTTTCCTGTTTCATTCTTTTTCCTTTATTATTGTCAACTTTTTCTTTTTTGTTGTGTTTATGTATGGAAAATAATAAATATTGTGATAAAAAATAAATAAAGCCCGTCCCCCTCCATCTCCCTTATCCTACGTTATCCCTGTGCCAGCTGATCTGAGCTTTCTGCCGCTGAGCTTTCTGTTCTACTACCCTCAATGCCCGCCTAGTCCTCGGAGGGGGGTGGGTCAGGAATGCTCTCCCAAAACACTTGTCAGCTGTCTCTCCCCGGTGCTTCCTCTTCTTCCTGCTGTTCCTCTCCCAATATTTCCCAGCTTTCCCCCTCTGCAGCCTCTGAACTATGTCCTTCTGCCAACCACTGTTCTAAATCTATACTGTCCTCCTGTTCTCAGGAAGGTTAAGGAGAAGGGGGGAACACCATTCCTCCTCAGTCCAGCCCCTGACACTTGGTTGCCCAGTGGTGTAAGTTTTTCACCCATTACAGGAAACGTGAACTTGTTTTACGTCAAACATGAGCAGCCCCAAGTCCTCAGTAAACTGCCGGGTGGAACTACAATCGTAGAATCATAGAATCATAGAATCATAGAGTTGGAAGAGACCACAAGGGCCATCGAGTCCAACCCCCTGCCAAGCAGGAAACACCACCAGAGCACTCCTGACATATGGTTGTCAAGCCTCTGCTTAAAGACCTCCAAAGAAGGAGACTCCACCACACTCCTTGGCAGCAAATTCCACTGTCGAACAGCTCTTACTGTCAGGAAGTTCTTCCTAATGTTTAGGTGGAATCTTCTTTCTTGTAGTTTGGATCCATTGCTCCGTGTCCGCTTCTCTGGAGCAGCAGAAAACAACCTTTCTCCCTCCTCTATGTGACATCCTTTTATATATTTGAACATGGCTATCATATCACCCCTTAACCTCCTCTTCTCCAGGCTAAACATGCCCACCTCCCTTAGCCGTTCCTCATAAGGCATCGTTTCCAGGCCTTTGACCATTTTGGTTGCCCTCCTCTGGACACGTTCCAGTTTGTCAGTGTCCTTCTTGAACTGTGGTGCCCAGAACTGGACACAGTACTCCAGGTGCGGTCTGACCAGAGCAGAATACAGTGGCACTATTACTTCCCTTGATCTAGATGCTATACTCCTATTGATGCAGCCTAGAATTGCATTGGCTTTTTTAGCTGCCGCGTCACACTGTTGGCTCATGTCAAGTTGGTGGTCAACCAAGACTCCTAGATCCTTTTCACATGTACTGCTCTCAAGCCAGGTGTCACCCATCTTGTATTTGTATTTCGTACCTGGAACTCAAACCTTTTGGCTCCTGAACGCCGCAAACCCGGAAGTGATTGTTCCAGTTTGCGAACGTTCTTTTTGAACCTGAACGTCAGATGGGGCTTCCGGTTGGCTGCAGGAGCTTCCTGCAGCCATTCAGAGGCCGCAATTTGGTTTTCGAACATTTTGGAAGCCGAACTGACTTCCAGAACGGGCTCTGTTCGACTTCCAAGGTACAACTGTACCCCGATTTCTCCTCGTGTTAAAAAAAAAAAAAGTATGCTCTTACTGTATATTTTATGATTTGGAATTTATATTTAAGCATTTTTAGTTGCATTTTGGTAATGTATGTGGTGCTTCATAAACTGCTTTGATGCTATTGCCAAGAAGCAGTGTACAGTGGTACCTCGGGTAACGTACGCTTCAGGTTACAGACTCCGCTAACCCAGAAATAGTACGGCTTAAGAACTTTGCTTCAGAATGAGAACAGAAATCGTGCGGCGGCAGCGCGAGGCCCATTAGCTAAAGTAATGCTTCAGGTTAAGAACAGTTTCAGGTTAAGAACGGACCTCCGGAACGAACTAAGTACGTAACCCGAGGTACCACTGTACACATCATTCATTATCAGTAATCATTATCTCCATCCATCCTCAGATTAACTTTATGGGAAAGGAAATCTGGGGGGGGGGGGGGAGAGACAAGCATCCCCTGCATTGTCCTGCTTTAAGCGCTCATAAAAATGTAAAATGTTCTTCTAGGTTCATGTTCTGTGCCCAATGGCTAATTAATATGCAGATCTGCTTATACAGAGAACCATAGAATTGTAGAGTTGGAAGGGACCCCGAGGGTCATCTAGTCCAACCCCCTGAAATGCAGGAATCTCGCTAGATCATACATGACAGGTGGCCACCCAACCTCTGCTTAAAAACTTCCATTGAAATGAGATTCCTCTTGTGGGAGCCTGTTCCACTGCCGAACAGCTCTTAAATAAATTGGAACGCCACCAACTCATTTCCCCAAATGGATTCAATAATAATATTGGTAATAAAAGCAACACTCCTACTTATCGCAGTGTAAATTTTTTATTTTGGCGACGCAGGCCTGTTTTAACATGTTTTTAAAATTCAATTTTCAGGGTGCTGATGCGATTGACAGATGACTTTTTGCTTGCCACGCCTCATTTGACAGAAGCAAAAGCATTTTTGAGGTATGGTCTAAAGTATGGAAGTTTGATCAGTTGAGTCTCCTTTGCACAAAGCAATGGCAAGAAATCTGCCCTTGTTCTGCTGTTTCTCTTTCGTATTCTTAGTGATGAGTTGATCTTGTATGTATATGCTCCTGTTCCACAAAGGTGCAGATAAAGCAGTGAATGTGGTGTTCATTTCTCCATTTCCAGAGAACCTTGGCTTTGTGCGTGTGATTTTAGGCCTGTGAAGACTTGTTTGAAGAAGTATGTTCATCGTGCCTGTTGACATCTTAGCTGCCTCCCCAGCTTCTGAATATGGGTCTTGCCCTGAGTAACTCCTTCCTTCTCTCCATGCCTATGAACAGGCATCATTTACCGTATTTTTTGCCCTATAGGATGCACTTTTCCCCCTCCAAAAATGAAGGGGAAATGCGTGTGCGTCCTATGGGGCGAATGCAGGCTTTCGCTGAAGCCTGAAGAGCGAGAGGGGTCGGTGTGCACCGGCCCCTCTCCCTCTCCAGGCTTCAGGAAGCTATCCACAAGCCGTTGGAGCCCAGCGCGAAGTCACGCAGCTCTCCCACGGCTTGTGGAGAGCTGCCTGCATCCTGAAGCCAGGGGCGCGCTGAGCTCAGCCGCCCCAGGCTTTGAGCTTCGCGCAGCTCTCCGCAAGCCGTGGGAGAGCTGCGCAACTTCGGGCAGATATCCGCAAGCCTGGGGAGACCGGCGTGACTTCCTGCCGGGCTCCCTAGGCTTGCGGATAGCAGCCTGTTCTGGGGGCTGGGGTTGGGGGAAGCTCAGGCTTCCTCTGCCCCAGCCCCGCGCCTGGGGGGGAATTTTTTTTTTTTCTTTATTTCCCCCCCCCCAAAAAAACTAGGTGCGCCCTATGGGGCGAAAAATACGGTATAAAGCATAGGGAAATAGATCCAGAAGTTCTAATACTTTGGCACACAGCCCTGCTTAAAACAAGCAATTGTAATGAGGCTTGCAAGAGGGCAATCTTAATAATCCGCTTAAATTATTTGCAGCTTATTTTTGCAATTAAAAAACCCCAGCCACGTTCTGTCATAGAACAAAAGCAAGACTGCAGGAGACAGTGTAAAAATGCAACTGTGTAAATAACATTTCTAACCACACATTCTCATTAATTTAGGACTCTGGCCACGGGCGTTCCAGAATATGGCTTTGTTATAAACCCAGGAAAGACAGTAGTGAATTTTCCAGTTGATAAAGATATCCCGGGATGTTCAGCGTTCAAACAATTACCAGCTCGCACTGTAATCCCATGGTGTGGATTGTTAATTGATACACAGACCCTTGAAGTTTATTGTGATTACTCCAGGTAAATGAGAATAATATTTACTATCATGTCAGGACAGCATACTGTAATCAGTGTAGACTAATCAATTACAGTTGATTAAGTTATTTTAGTTGATTAGCCAGTGGGGGCTAACTTCACTTAGACCGGTGGACACAAGTTGTGGAGATCAGTGGGGTGGGTGGGGCTGTAATGAAAGAATTGGGATCCATTTTTGTGACCTTCTAACAAGTTTCCAGCCTCGTATTATTTTTTACCCTGAATTGCACCACCCTGAATGACAAACTTACCAGGCCCAGTTGGTTGGGCTGGAAGTATTTGAGGAGATTTCACCCCTCCCATATCCAAGAATCTCCTGAGGTGTCTGCTGATTCTCCAGAGAGGAGGAGGCGTGTTCTGCTCTCTACTTATTCTGCTCCAGCACCAAATCAGTCAGTCAGTCAGTGTCGGAGAGAGAGAGAGAGACTGAGTGTTAGAGATCGCGTGTAGAGATAAAGTTGCTGCTAAGAGCAGCTGCAGACACTCAGTGCAGTGCAGCATTCATTTATGCTTAGACCTATTAAGCTCTGTATATAGTTTGTATAGTTGTAGATAGAATAAAAGAAGATATTCTACAGAGCTGCTCTCCGAGTTGTTTATATACTCTGCTAGAGTCTGCTGTACTCTGCTGTGCGACGACTGTCTTCTTGTGGAAGTGAATCCGGTGCTCACAACTCTAAGCTGTGAGTCCACAGCACTTTGACCTGTTCCTGTGCAGAAGGTGGTCTCTGGAAGTGCTACCCAGCTCGCCTAGCCCAGTCGGGGCTGAAGTGGATGAGTCCAGTTGGTGGCACTGGCTCAAGGGCGATGCTGACAGTATTGGGTGTATTGCTTCTTCAGTTGGCAAGCATGCATAGTTTGTGGTTAAACTTCCCTTTTGATTATACCAATTGGGAAATGGTTGCTGATTTGCATTTTATTTTTTAAAGAGCATTAGATATTTCCTCCCCAAATGTGCATTTGTAAAGCAGGTGACTTTTCGTGTTCTTAGTCCAAGCATAGCTGTCAACTGTCCCTTATTTGGCGGGAAACTCCCTTATCCCAGCGCCATGTCCTGCTGCTGTCCCTTACTGATGATGTCCCTTAAATTTCCCGGGTTTCAAAGGAAGCAGCTCCTCTCCCTCCCTCCCTGCCGGCCAGGGAGGAGGGAGGCTCCAACTGTGTTGCTTGGCTGCATTGCTCACCCAATAAGGCGTCTGAGAATGACTGGGGGGTGGAGCTTGCATGCCTTGTGCTGATCAAACCGGCCGCGTTGCCTGGGCACTCGCCTTTGCTCAGCGCTTCCCAGCCGAGGTGACCGTGGTTTCCCTTGCTGCATCCCCTTTGCCGGGTTGCTGCACTGTGGGAACCACCACTTGAGGCTTCGTTTGGCTGCTGGCTGGGATTTCTGCCTTTGGCTCGGGAGCTGATTGACTAAAATCCCTTATTTTGGCTGCTAATCCCTTATTTTCGAGGCTGCTGGTCTCTTATTTTCAAATCTGTAAGTTGAAAGCTATGAGTCCAAGCCAGCAGCAGTATTTTAAACAAAGATAAGATGCTGTAATGTCATTAAAATTCTGCTGCTTTTTTTGTTTTGTGACCTGTGATTGTGGAGTTTTGAAGGCTTGACAGAATAGAAGGCATCCATGTTTCTCTGCGTGTTGCATAACAGAAATGCATGTCTCTTGAGACTGTATAGTAGACAACAAAAAGAGAAATTAAACAGGCCGACTTCAGACCATCCCTGTAGTAGGAGAAATCTAACCTGGTTGCATCAGAAAGCTACATAACTTCTGCCTCTTCTTCCCTTTATCACCCCTGCATCTCCTCGCTCCCCAATTGCAGTTATGCCTGCACATCTATCAGGTCAAGCCTCTCTTTCAACTCGAGCAACAAAGCCGGTGTCAGCATGAGAAATAAACTTCTAGTAGTCCTGCAGCTGAAATGCCACCGTTTATTTTTAGATTTACAGGTAAGACGGTTGTGACGCATGGGAGAAGCCTTTCAGACCGAACATTTCCAAATGTGGAGTGTACTCTGAGCGTTCCGACACTGGTGCAATTCATGTTCCTTTAGATTTCTGCGTGTAATACTGCAATCCATTTAATTTTTATGTATATTAAAAAAATTAAGCCATAAACAGTGAATTTTTTTTTTTTACTCCTCCCCTCACCCCAATTATTTCTCCTCTCTAAATTTAGATCAATAGCCTCAGGACTGTCTGTATTAATATCTTCAAGATCCTCCTGCTGCAAGCCTACAGGTACGTGTGATAATTTTCAAAGCTTCATACTATGCAATGCCACTGGAAGGCGCTGTGAGTTAAGAAAACGCAATGTTTCACCTTCCATTGTTGCCTTTTGTTGTGCAGTGACTGGTCATTTTAAAGGTCCACACGCACTGGGGTTTCTAAACCGCTTTTATATATCTCCCCACCACCACAATGTTAAAAACACCCAGAACTTTTGACTCTGTTTTAATGTTTCAGCATCAGATGACTGTTCTATAGATCTAGGAAATGCAAAACATCTGTTTTTCATGTAGTTATAATTTCAGGGCCGATGCAGTTGTAAGTTCCTCCAAACAATCCACTAGCCTTTAGCCCTAATTTTTAAAATCACAGTATATCCTAATTATTGGTGATGATGCTCAGTGATTAAAACTACAGTGGTACCTCGGTTTTCAAGCAGCTTGGTTCACCAACAAACTGGAACCCGAATGCTGCAAAACCGGAAGTAGGTGTTCCGGTTTTTGAACTTTTTTCCAGAAGCTGAACATGCTCCATTTTGAGTCCTGAGCTTCTGTTTTTACTGTTGCGCAGCTAATTTGCGTCCCCCCATTGTAATTCAAGCCTTCTGCTTCCGCGTTTCCTGTTGTGCTGCTAATTGGGGGGGAGTGCATTTAATTAAAGCCTTCCATTTCCGATTGCAGTGTTCTGAGGTGATATTTGGAGCTTATATTTGGTCTTTTGTTTTTGCTATATTTTTTTGCGTATTTTGTTTCGGAGGCTTTTTCGGTTAATTTGTTTTTATGACTGTGTGGAACCCAGTTCAGCTACTGATTGAAAGATTGATTGTGTGACTGCAGAAATGGATGAAAGCCCCCCATTCAAACAATGACTATCATCAGTGAAGGGAAGAAAAAAAATATTTTTATTTTTATCATCTACAGTAGTTTTATTTATTTATAGTACAGCACATTATTTATTCCTTTCATTTTATGGATCAATGGTCATGTTAGATAGTAAAATTCATATTAAATTGCTGTTCTAGGGGTTGTTTTTAAAAGTCTGGAACGGATTAATCCGTTTTGCATTACTCTCTATGGGGAAGCACGCCTTGATTTTGGAACGGACTCTCGGAACGGATTAGGTTTGAGAACCAAGGTACCACTATAATACAGAAGATCAGCATCAGATGTAAATTCACTTAAATTGAAACAAAAGCAAAGGGTGCGTAGCTGCACTTGCTCAACATTCGTGCCTTTGTTCCCCGATGCCTCTGCCTCTTCATCTTGTACTTCATTAACATTTAAAAAAAATATATCTGGAACATTATCTAGCTGAACTTTGCCAGGACTTTGACCTGTTCTCTTTCAGCCTTGTCCTTGTGCGTTAGACTTCCTGTCTTCACTTTCTGAAGATCTTTTAATGGCTTTGTAAGCATCTTTCCTCCTGCAAGGGTTTCCCCTGCCCCTGGCAAACACATTCTTATCGCACAGAACATACACTTTGGTCAAGGCCAAATGGGAACGGCTTGGGTGTCACTGGAAACCACCCGGGTTAGGTTTTTAATCTCAGCGCCATTTTGCTCTTCCGTGCAACAGCTGTCAAGGGCTGGGACAGAGATTCCAGGCTGCCTGCACACTATAAATTTAAAGTACGTGGTTTTCCCCAAAGAATCCTGGGTGCTGTTAAGGGTGCTGAGAATTGCAGCTCTGTGAGGGGTAAAGTACTACAGTTCCCAGGATTCTTGGGGGGGTGGAGTTGTGCTTTAAATTTATGGTGTGTACACAGCCCCCCAGACCATGGGGAGGTCTCTTGAAAAGAAACAAATATGTATAAGGCTGAACAAGGTGTCACTGTATTTTTTCTCAAACAGCTGCCTGGTTTCATTCTTTACAGAGCCTGTTTACAAAACGCAGACTCCTTTTACTGCTGAATTCGGTAGAATTTAATTCTTCACAGAGCTGAGATTCTGTGCATATTTAAGTGGGTTTTAAACCACTGAAAGCTGCTTCTTTTTTAATTCCAGGTTTCATGCGTGTGTCCTCCTGCTTCCTTTTAACCAACAAGTTAAAAATAATCCCAGCTTCTTCCTGAGGATAATCTCTGACACTGCCTCATGTTGCTTCTCTCTACTAAAAGCCAAAAATGCAGGTAGGAGAAATAAATGTACCAAAACCACAGCCCTTGGGGAACAGTTACTTACTGGCGTCGTTCTTCTGACTTAACGTTTCTTGCTTAGGACCAAACTAGACATGACATTAAGCATCTCACTGAACGTTGCATCCTTCTCTCTCTCTTTTTAAAACCCCTCTCTAAATAGCCACAGGGGGCAGAATGTAATAGGAGAAAACTGAGAATGTTGTGGATATTAGTAGAGGATATATTGATTAAATATTATCCTTCCTCAGGCTAGTGAGTTAGTGGCAGAGCACATTACCTGTATATCACAGGAAGCTAGTTGGTGGATTTGTTAGAATCTTTTGTTAAGCACTCTAGTCTGGCTTGTCCAGATTGGATTGTTGCTGGTAAATTCCCCTTTAATTCCCTCTTAAAAACAATAATGACACAATAGTCTTCTTTTAAGAATAAGAAGAAGTTTACTTACCTTCAGTTCACAGTTGAATCCCTGAAGGCAGGCTTTAGCTTGTAGCTACAGAAGAAAGTGTGAGATCATCCCACGTGGGGAATGAGCCCATGTGCTGCTGGCTGAGATCCAGCAGACAGCAAAAGAGCATCAAGAAGAGTCAAGAGAGAGAAGGGAAGATGGCTGTGTGACTGCCCCTTTCGTAGGGTCTGCCAGGGTCACGCCCATCTACCTGGTCACACGCAGGAGGAGGATGCTCCAGACCAGGCGAGACAGGAAGTCCTCCTGGCTGGAGCAACATTCCCCTGCATGTCCACTCTAGGCAAACAGGAAACATTATACTTGACTGTAACGGTGATGTTACATCCCACGAGAAGTGTGACGTTAAAGGCAGACCAGTTGAATGCTTTCATCCTGTTTTCACAAGCTGCTGTTCTGGTTGGGCTGCGGGGAGGAGCCTCATTTGCTGCCCCACTTCCTTTGCCCAAACTGTTGGACTGCAAGTCCCATCAGCCCCAGCCATCATGACCTATGGCCAGGGTCAATGCGGGTGACAATCCCCACAGTATCTGGGTGGCACCAGGGCAGATATGACGGATGCTAAGGATGTGCTTTTTCCTCACACACACATTTTAATTGCCTGGCGCCTCTTTTACTCAGTCCTTTTAACTGACGATGGTAGCAATTGAATCTAGGGAATTGTATCTGCAATTAAGTCTTCTTCAAATTCAAGTCACTTTTTGAGAGTGGTAGAGCAGGCAAGATGTTGAAGAGGAAGGGATCTGTGTGAGAGACAGATTAGAGTAGTTTTTCTTAAGGTGTGAGGCTGAGAAAGGTGGAATCTACCCCTGGGGAGTAGATAGGCACTGAGCGGATGGCAGTGATCAGGTAGACATTGACATTGTTCACCAGAGGCGGGTATCAGTTTTGAAGATTAAAATAGAAGGCTGACAGAATAATTTGTGTGTGTGTGTGTGTTTGGTTTGGTTTTCTTTTTCCTTCACTCTTTTTGATTCTTTTTTTCTTACTCTTTTTATTTTATTTTTTTTAAGATATTAAATCTGCTTGTTTTTGTTGTATTATATGTTGAAAACTTAATAAAATTGATTATTAAAAAAAGAATATAAAATCTCTTCACCAAACAAGCTCAAGTCTTTCCTTCTTGCTTTGTGCCTAGATATACCTTTTTCTCCTGCTGGTGGTTCAGCACTGCTCACATACAAAGCTGTGCAATGGCTCTGCTATCGTGCCTTCAGTGTGAAATTAGGAAATCACAGAGTTATTTACAAATGTCTTCTTGTACCACTCCAACAATGTAAGTACCTCTCCGCTTCATGCCAAGACATGCAAATGCTGTTCATGTCTCTTAATTTTCCTTTCCAACTAAAAACTATTAAGTTTATTGAAGTGACTCTTTAATTTAGTTTCTGTTATCATTATTCTTGACAATGTGGGGGTGGGAGTAGGGAATAACTACGGTTGCTTTTGAGAAATTAGGATATTGTTGGGTAGGAAAATGCTAGTACAGGTGACTCTCAACTTACGCAGGCGTTATGTTCTGGTTATAGCGCATAAATCATGTATAGTCAAAACACATTGGGTTCAACGGCGAGTGGGACTGCCAAAGTCTCTCCCCACGCCCACCCCCCGAATGCCCGTCCCCTTTTTAAAAAAAATGTAAATGTGAAGCTGAATGCACTAAGTTGCAAGTTTTCTGAAGAAGCCTAATGTCTTCTAAGTCATTTGAAATATTTATAGATACAATTATAGTGCCTTAAAGATATGTGAATTTTATGATGTCAAGCTGATACTGCTCTGATTGGGGCAACTGCTCTGATTGGGGCATCTTATCTGTATAGTCACTGGCATAGTGCTTGCAATAAAAGCTAATCTGTTACATGTATTTGAGATTCTCGAGGGCATTGAACTATTTTTAAAGAGCCTTGTTGCAGATTTGAGCCATATAATTCCTTTATATATATATTAGAGATGGGCAAGTTTATGGTCAAACTACGAAACTTTCTCCCCCAGTAGGCAGTGATGGTCTCCAACTTGGTTGTCTTTAAAAGAGGATTAGACAAATTTATGGGGGAGGAGATGGGTACTAGCCGTTATGACTATTGCTCTCCCTCCACTGTGGGAGGCAGCACTGCTTCCAAATACTGGAAACCACGGGGGGAGGGTGCGTGAAGCAGCTAGGAAGCCTGCTCCCCATCACGTGCAGTTTCAAAATGTCCTTGGGAGTGCAGGGATGGGGTGTGCCAATGTGCCATGCAGCCTAGAGGCATTGCATTGGCAAAAAATGGCCGCCCTCATTTTAAAAGACAGCCTGCGGACCACCCAATAGCCCTGTTTGGAATGATTTGTCTATCGGAGCAGCGATTGGTTGATTTTAGCATTCATCTTTTCAGGTGAAATACGGTTGCTCCGGCAAATTCCAGAAGCTTCTGTACAGCTCCTGAAGGAAGTGACAGAACCACCACTATATGAAGATTTCAGAGCCATTCTGGATTGATAGATGTGGTCCTATTGTAAGTAAACTGATTTATTTTTCCTTTAAAAAAGAAAAATAAATAAATAGCTAAGTCAGCCTCCTGAATCTCAAAGCAGGAAAAGTGTAGTAATTTGGTGCCTGAAAGTACGCTTAGTGCCATGAATACAAGAGCTCAAAGCAATGTTTTCAAAGTATTTTATCAGCAAAGTAAGTAATGGGATATGCTCCATTTTTAGTTCTATTTTTTACTGTGTAAAAAATTCACTTAACCTGGAATTGTCAGGGGGAAATATATTTGTCTGTAATCCAACAATGGTGAGATGCCTATTCTGGTATCTTGCCTAAAAAATGATCTATGGCTGCAAGTTTCTGTGTTCCATTCACTAAACCTTTTAAATTGCTTTTAAAAATGTGACTTCTGTTTTAAAAACTCAGTAGCACATTATTTTATAATTGTGGCTGTCAGAACCATGTGGTTTTCCTTAAACCTTGCTAAGTAATCCTCAAATTATTTGCATGTTCAAGACTATTATTGTACTGCACATGGCCTTTCAGCAAAAACAGTTGTTGTATCTTTCTTGGTAATAGCCCATTTACTTGGTAAGACTCAGATCTCCAATTTAGAAAATACAACTTGTGCCTTAATGGATTGTGTCTTCTAAATTCCAGTTATTATTTATATATCTCAATCTGTCATAAGGGTAGTGCCTGAAAAGATCCTTACTGTGGAATTACCATGTTCTGTCTACTTATGTTTTGGAGGGTGTCCACCTATAATATCATCATTTTGTAATCAGCCCCTAGCAGTTTCCCCCTTTCTAAATCTCATGCACTGAATGGCCTTAGGCAAAGCACTTTCTTTCAGTTTCAGCCCCCACACCTGCAATATAGGGATAAGAATGTGGACCTGCCTTATATGGTTGGCATAGTAAGACTTACTAGATAATTTATGTGTTATGTATTATGAACATTCTTGAGTGCTATATATAAAGATGCATTTATTTAGAAAATGGTTTTACGTAGAAATCCTTACATTCTTACTGATTGAATACCTTAAATCTGAGGATACATGTGTGGGGTTTTTTAATGGTCAGGATAGGATGGGGGAAACAAGGGTGACCAGATTGCTGAAACAAAAGAAGATCAGGTGCTACTGGTGATACCAGTGCTGCTGTCTGGATGTATTTTTCGTAGCAGTTTCTTTTTCAACACAATTCTCCAAAGTTGATAAATGGCTCCGAAAGGGATCATCAAGCATGGTACAGTTTCAAGCATCTCAGAGATGACAGCAGCTAAGATAGGATACTTTTTCGACTCTTTTGCAGGAAAATGTACCTTTGGGAGAAACAAATGTATTGCGTGAAAGCCACATTAAACAGCACAATCTTCTATGCATTTACGCAGAAGTAAATACCATCAGGTTATATGGGTTGCTCCCAGGTAAGTGAGGACAGGAATTACAGCTTGTTAATACTTCAAAGTGGGAGCTAAGCAAAGGTTGGCAATATTCCAAAAGGGAAAGGGTTGCATGCAGTGTAGGGCTAAGACTATGGCTTCATCAGCACAAGGATGTCTCCCCATATGATGGGATGTTCTCCCTTTCTCCTCCCCTTATGCACCCCGAGCAAATTTTGGGGTGCCATGGGAGGAGGAGAGGGGAAGAAAGTCCCATTGTGCCAGTGGCAATCCTCTGTGTGTTACCGTATTTTTCGCCCTATAGGACGCACCGGCCCATAGGACGCACCTAGATTTTGGGGGGGGAAATAAAGGGAAAAAAATTTATTTCCCCCCGCAGGCGTGGGGCTGGGGCGGGGGAAGCCCGAGCTTCCCCCTCCCCCAGCCCCCAGAACGGGACCCAGAGTGATGCTGAAGCTGCGTGCAGCTTTGGCATCGCTCTGGGAGCTTGCGGGGCTGGAGGAGGGGGAAGTCCTCCGCCAGCCTTCTAACCAAGTCGGGGGACAGCGGGAAAGGCGTGCTGCGCCTCCCCGCTGTCCCCCGAGCTTGTGGGGCTGGCGGTGGGGCTCTCCTGAAGCCTGGAGAGCGAGAGGGGTCGGTGCGCACCGACCCCTCTCGCTCTCCAGGCTTCAGCGAAAGCCTGCATTCGCCCCATAGGACGCACACACATTTCCCCTTCATTTTTGGAGGGGAAAAAGTGCGTCCTATAGGGCGAAAAATACGGTATATCTGGGACTGGTCAGTGTCTCAATGGTTGACTAGCTAGGAACCACATGGAGGCGACCTTGAGTTCCATAAGTAAATACAGAAATTGCAGCTGATGCCCTGTTATGATAGGTTGTTGTTGGCATCCATCTGTCTTGGGAGACAGTGGAAGAGTTTGCAGGTAAAGCCAAATCTTTAGAAAGGAATTCTGTGCTTAAGCAGAGCATCTTTATCAATTCAGGAATTCATAGCAGCAATATTGGAGTGAGAGCTCAATCCTCCCCCCCCCCCAATGAATGCAAATTAGGAAAAGACTAGTAATGACTTGTAGAAAAGTAACTTACGTAATTTGGGTTCCACGTATTGTAGGTTGCAGGTGGTTCAAGAAGTACGTAGAACACAAAAATTAGGAACATTATCGCTGGGGAGAAAAATTGCCACGTTGCCTTCCAGTAGCCTTTTAGTGGTCTTCCTGTCATCTCTTCCACATCTGCACTGAATCTGTTAATGAAATGGATACATTTAATGAGTGATCTGTGGACAATTCACTTGCATACAACCTTATTAAAAATGAAGCCAGCTAAACTTCTGTTTCTCCTCTGACCGCATGCCTGCTCATCACTTGGTGAATGCAGGAACAAGTAGAGCAGCTACATAAGCATCACTCAAAATAGGGAAATGCAAACAAAAGAGGATTTAGGCTTGCATAAAACGTTTATGTACTAATTTAGAAATGATTTCTGTGACTGAAATAGAAATGTATTACATGTCTCCATAGTGGGGAAGACTGATCAGCTAGCCTGTTCCATCTCCTTTCCAGGTGTTAACTTTGAAGCCCCTGCTCTCCCTGCCTAGAGTTCTTCATCTTCTAAACCAGAGGGATTTTAAAATCAAGGACTACCTCAAATAGAGATCTATCCTCTCTGAGAGCTGCTTGGGCTGTTAAGTAGCCCTCCCCCCCCCCCAAAAAAAATTCGCTGCCGCCCCAACATCAAATGATCACTTGCACAAATGAATTAAATACAACAGGAAACCTTTATCCTATTGCAAATTGTGGGGTGTATATCCCCAAATTATGCATAAGGCTGCAAACCTTAGCTGGGGTCTTATTCCCACTGTATGCAATGGAATTTATTTCTGAGCAGGGGTACATGGTTTATACTTCAAATACAATAAACAGGTATCACTTGCTGCACCTAGGCCAGTAAGAGATCTGGCAGACCCCCTCACTTTTGACTTTCCTGCTTCTCCTAAAGATCAGGCCTTCGTTGCTGTTTAATATTTAATGTTTGTTTGTTTTTGTTCTGCAACTCTTTATTATCCATACATTAAAGACAAATCTTCCAATTCAGCACATTCCACCAGTTTTAATAACCATTCTGATCTGGTGGGAACCTTATCACTCATTGCTGTTTAATGTTTTGATTAGCTATCCACTTCCATAATTATTTGTACTGTTTGCAATTGTATTTTTAACATAAATGTTGCGCATCACCCCAGTGTTTTATTTGGCGGTACAGAAATGCTTTTCTAAATAAATAAATAGACTAAATAAAGGTTTGTTGCTTAGAGTGTTGTTTTCACAGGATAAAGGAGGGAAATGGAAGTGTCACACCTCACCAGCTTATCAATGGGCTTGCTTCTCATGATCCCTATGATGAGGGGTGCTGGTAAATCTGGGTCCTGGGCCATACCACTTCAAATAGCAATGGCTGTTGGCGACTGTACCTCTTCAGACTGAATGCCCCTAATACTAAACAATAACTGCTCCCCGCATGGATGTGTATTCAGTTTTGAAACACAACTCAATAAAGCAGTCTGAAGCAGTCCAGATTAGACACCAGTTTACCTTGTAAACCCTCTTCAAGCATTAGAGTTAGTTAAACATAACTGCTTGCTGCCACCACCACATAGAAAACGACCATATGAGGGAAGAGTGAGTCTAGAAGAAAATTACGGTTAGTTACCAAGTAAATGGGAGAGCAGGCCGGGGGATGGGTGCGCAAGGCACTCTTATCACGATAAAATCCTGATTTGCATTAAAGATGTAGGTGGATTAGGCTAATTTTGCTGAGAATTTTCAGGCGTTGCAGAATCTGTCTAAACGAATCTGCAGTTGAGTTTCACTGGGTTATGCTGAATTAGTAGTTCTGTTGAACCGCCTAGCTTCTCCATAGTGTGTTCATTTCTTAATAGAATTGCTTAGTTATGAATACGGCCGCATGTGTTCATCTGCCTTGAGTTGCTTGTGCGAGTTAAATGCTGCAAAAAGTGCTTTCAGTAGTAAAGAACTCACAAATTCAGCAAAAAAACACAGGCTTGGCTCAGAAACCTATTAGCAGCTGGGAATCAAGTCTCCAAGAGCTGAGCTGTTAATGAGGAAGTCCTCAGTTCAAATCTTATTTCTGCAGTGAATTCGCTAGGTGGGTCTACTGCACAGGGTTGTCTGAGACATTGTAGAGGAAGGACATTGAAATGTTATTTGAATGCTAACACTGTTAATAAGGATTACTGCTGATGTTGCTACAATACAGCAACCAGCACCTAAGGGCTTATCCAGATACACACACAAAGAAACATTACCTTTTCATTCCATAAATATATACAACACCGATCACTTCAAAGAAAGCAATGACGAGCAAAGGCATGGTTCCCGCAAAGGCATCAAACATCTCAAGCCAGTAGTTTCCTGATCTCAGAGTAAAAACCAGGCCCAGCAGAAAGGCAGTAAGGCATATTAAACCTACAGACAACAACATTTGTCACTCAACACAAAGGAAATAAAAGGAAACCTAACCAGTGGTGTTTAGATGTGTGTTTATAGATGTTCCGTTCTTGGCATACACCCATGTTTTGCTGGTCACCTATCCTCCTTAACGGTTAATGGGTGCAATCTGCCATCATCAAAACTATATAGTTTCTGCCCAACAGATTATTGTTATTGTTGCTGTTACTATTTGTTAATTTATATACCACCCTTCAGAGATCTCAGGGCAGTTTCACAAGATAAAAATACAGGATAAAAGCACAAAATAAATAGAACAAAAATGAGACACTAACCCCCCGCTCCCACAAACACAATTAAAAGGCCATAGAATTAGCACAAGGCCTTGTTGAAGAGGGACTTTTTTTGCCTGTATTAATCTTGAGCACGGTATTGAAAGAAAAGTATTTGAAGAAGATGCCTTACCACATACTGCCTCCTTGCATATGTATCTAGACACAATGCGAGATTCTGTGAGAGGCGTCAAGATACTTTGAACAAATCCGAACATGGTAGATACACCAAGACTGAACAGCATGAGAAAAAACAGAATGGCCCAAGTGTTTGATCCAGGCATCTTAAGGACGATTTCAGTGAACAGAATAAAGGCCAAGCCGGTTCCAGAAACACTCTGCAAAATTCACAAATAATGGTAAAAACTGTCAGATTGATTTCTGAGTGTCATTTATTCTAATGCAGAGGCAAAATGTTGTATTACTCAACATTTAGCCATCATCTGGAATAACATACAGCCATTACCGATTACAAGTTCATACAGTGGTACCTCGCAAGACGAATGCCTCACAAGACCAAAAACTTGCTAGACGAAAGGGTTTTTTGTTTTTTGAGCTGCTTCGCAAGACGATTTTCCCTATGGGCTTGCTTCGCAAGACGGAAACGTCTTGCAAGTTTGTTTCCTTTTTCTTAACACCGTTAATACAGTTGCGACTTGACTTCGAGGAGCAACTCATAGAACGCGGTGTGGTAGCCTTTTTTGAGGTTTTTAAAGACTTTGGTGATTTTTGAAGCTTTTCCAAAACTTTCCTGACACCGCTTTTTCATCTCGCTTTATTGGCCGAGGGAGCCGGCATACAGCTTCCGGGTCATGTGGCCAGCATGACTAAGCCACTTGACCTGGCCTGACACCTAGATGCATTTGGACTCGCATGTTCAGTGGTATTAAGTTGCCGTAATCTGTTTTTAGTGTTGCATTTTAAATTGTTGTCACTTGCCCTGGGATCTAAGGGTGAAGGAATGGTAATAAAATAATAAAAAAAGCAGCCACCTAAGCTCACAGGTTGCTTTCTGTGGTTCTTTTAGTGCTCATACGTGCAGACACAGGTATGGTTTCTGTGTGTCTCTATAGAACTATAAGGGGAAACTTCTCAAGCTGGACTAGAGTTTTGGTGGGTACCCTGAGCCCCTTCTATGTGCAAGCATAGTGTGGGGGGGAGGTAGATCGTGTTTCTTCAGGCAACAACCAGGCAAACAACCTGTGGTCTCTATGCACCCATACATCTGGGTAGAGTAACATGCTAGTTTACCAGAGACAGAGCAGCTTGTATGAAGCCAAAGAGCTAAACACAGCTCTTCTGAAAGAATTTCCTGCCTGGGCCATCACATCAATGGTAGCTGAAAAGCCAGGGCTGTGACCACCTTGCAGCATAGCAGAGGTCCAGCAGAGAAACTCTACAGAAAAATGCAATGGAAGCTGCAGAAACCTTCATGGAATGTGACCAGAGAAGGAAGCCCCATTCATTCATAGCAAAGCTGTTGACACAGTCAGTGTTGTCTGTCATCGCTTCCTCTCAGGTGAGGTTGCATTGCTCACCTGGCTTCCCAAAATACCACATGCCGCTGTGAAGGAGAGGAGCAAGGCAGCAGGGAGGTTGGCATGGTGCACATGTGCAACAGGAGCAGCGGGTTGGCTCTGCCACAGCAGCCACCCTCGCCTTGTCCTCCTCCATAAGCAATGACAATGTGCACTGTTGGGAAGCTGGGAGAGCAACCTAGCCCTACTTGTGCCACCCTACTGGTCCCTACTCAATGCACTACCTGTCATGGCAAAAACAGCAAAAGCTCTGGAGGAGCCCTATCACTTCATATCCTATTCAGCAAAAGCCCACAGTGCATCATGGCTGGTAATGGAGACACCATTATGTCTAAGCCAGGGAACATATAGCCATCAGGTTCTATCAACAGACGCAGCCTTGCCCTTGCCTTCCATGCACCTGCTTAAAACCTGCATGCCATGAGGGAAGGCAGTAGCCAGAAAACCCAGCTCACAGAGATCATGCATAAGGTGCTGAAGTCAGACTATTTTGTACCATTTCCTGTAAATAGCTGCCTTGGCAGAAAAAGAGCATATGAATGCCATCAGGAACTAATGCCGTGTCTGTGGCAATAGACCCAGCAAGTGGCGTTGTTTTGGCGGCTACAAAATCAGTGCATACTGTACTTTTACAACTGGATCATTTGTAATGCAAGTACAAATACCTGATCAAGGAATTTCTGGCGATCACAATTTGCCAGGTTGAGAGATGCAAGGTTATTGATATCCGTTCCGTTCAAGTAGCTGAGCCAAAATGCGCTGCTGTCTACAGTGATGTTGTCGTTCCTGAATGCCTTGGTGATGTATTTAACATTTCTGTCAGTAAAGTCAGGAATGATACGAATTATTTGCATTGCCACAGACCCTAAGAAAAACAACAGCAATTTGCTTCAAATAGGGGCAGGCCAGGGGCAAAACAGAACCCCCACACAAAAAGGAAGTTGCCTGTATACCTGAATTAATGAATATGCACATGGATCATGCAGGATTGTATACTTTGTGTTCTATGCTACAATCTTATTTTAATTCTGCCCTCTGGGGTCCCCTAAACTAGTTTGGGGGGGGGGAATGACACAAAAATTTTAGACAATGAAAAACAAAACAAATTGTGAACAGAGGGCTTGGACCAACACCTAACTGGTTCCTAACTGTGAAACTTGAACGGCTCACCTTTCCAAGCATTCTTCATAGGCCATTGTTGCTTTGAACCCCAGAATTGAAAAAATTGGGATTGACGCAAACAAAGAAGTCACAGAATTTATTGCTGCTATCATGACAGCATCCATTTCACAGTCATTTCTAGGAAAAACAAGTACATAACAACCCAATTAAATGTTACGAAGGCCAGCACTGTCTCCTTCTAACGTTATACATTTCAGGTACTTGTACTCTACTCTTCACTGAATATTTTCAATCCCAGAACAGTAAAACAAAGCAATAGACAGATATAGCTGGGGATGGGGGATAACAATATATGAAAATTACAGCTGGTCAGCCTAAAATCAGCTCCAGTAAATTACAACAAATTTAAACCATCTGCATCACAAGGCAAGTAAAGCTTAAACCACAGTAAGGACAACAGGTAGTATTTCCAATTTAACCAAATACCTGAATAAAAACAGATAAAAAAGTCTAAACAACCAAATGGCCTTTGCAACCCTATCTCTCACCTAAGGCAGCCCACTAACTCCCCTTGTTCCGCTGCCTTTCACTCAAAGAGGGACCCACTCTGTGCCAAGAGACTGACTTTGTAGCTTTTGAGCAACTTAACATCTTTTGTGCACACTCTCCAACCCCCATCCAGGGTATAATAATAATAATAATAATAGTAATAATAATAATGATAATAATAAATGGAGATTGCCATTTACAGGACATACTCTCGGTTTAAGCTTGTGTATGCCCTCAAACAATGCCATTTCCTGGAGGCTTCAAATCCATCTTTCCCTTTTAGGCTGACAAGATGGAATGCAAGAAGCAATGAACAATCATTTTGCAATGAAATTGGAGAAGGGGGGAGGCAAAATTAGTCCTAGGGTCCCTCTTCCAATGCTGTGAATGCTGGTTTCTGCAGAAGACTTTAAACTGGTTAGAAGAGCTTAGCCTGCCAGATTCTCTTTGGCTGCAAGATGGGCCTGAAGAAATGGCCAGGCACAGGTGACATATTGCCACAGAAACTAAATAGCTGGAATGTGTTGTTTTGTCATTGTTATTAATTTGTTTATACCCCATCGTTTTCCCCTGACGGGACTCAAAGCAGCTTTCAGTTTAAAAACATGAACCACTAGAGAACCACTAGGTTTCAGGTTAAGAATGGACCTCCAGAAGGAATTAAGTTCGTAACCAGAGGTACCACTGTATTGAGAACATGCAGCTGCCTCAGTCACTTGCCTTCTGATCAAAAATAAAAACTCTCAAGTCAGGGCTCTGCAGCTGACTTCAGTGGGACTCATTAATCATAAAGTATTGCATCTCAAACTTAGCTGAACTTTTCCCACTTCCACTTTCACTCCCATCCTTCCTGCAGATGATGTGGACATCTTCACACGCAGACATGCGTATGCAAGCTACTGCTGTTTGTGTGCGGCAGCCTGTGTACTGGGGCATCTGCCCAACTCTGACATCGCAGAAAGAATAATAAAGGGCATCTTTGGGACTCACACAGGGAAACATCAAGCAAACAGAGCCTGCCGCATTTCCTGGGGTCCAGTGTGGGCTGAATGAATTGAGTCTTCTCTCCAGAGATCACTGAGGCGCTATCTCATAGAAGTCAATTTGACTGCGTCAAACAACTCCTCTCCACATTGTGAGTGAAAGCTACCAAACCTACCTTGACGGGTTGTAGCTAGCATATGCTATGTGTCCCCCAAATCCTAAAGAAAGAGAGGAAAAAATCTGGGTGGCTGCATCAAGCCAGGCACGTGGATTGTTGAGCTTCTTGAGCTGTGAGAGAGAAAGAGAGAGCTCAGGGCTAAACACATTATTAGTCTCATAATTCCTGTGTTTCACAAACTGCCTGCTGGGGGCTTGTTGGAGGGGGAGAATCAGTATGTAGGAGAGAGCGCTTAACTCTTTCCATGTTTGGTGGTACTCCCTTAGAAATGCTCACTAGAGCGCTTTAACCTTCACTCGGGTGTCTTGCAGTCTTGAACCCTGCCAGACGGAGAAACAAGAAGCAGCCTAGGGGAGCATTTGTAGGGAAGAATTGGTGGGCATAGGGAGGATTAATGACCTGGCTTCCTCTGCAAATGCATCTCCCCATCTCTGCATTCGCCCCAGCATTACAAGTCAAATACAGAACTGGGACACCCCATGCTTGCACAATGAAGTGTAGTTCTGCCCTGTCTGCTGAAAAATAAGATTTGACCCAGGGTTGCCTATATTCGTGAATTTTAGAAAAGGGCACTTTTTACACAAGTTTCTGTTCTTCATATATTCCAGAGGGAGTTAACAAAGTACAATTGCCAGAATATGTGTGGATCCCAACTAGTATTAAGTGGTAAACAAAGAAGCAGCATGGAGGAAAGTTCAAAGCCACCTCTAAAAGACCAAGTCAGACTTTCCATACATCATCTGGAACACCAAGGATCAATTGAATAAATACTTGCATTAGGAGTCATGAAGTAGAGTAATCCGTGAACAGCTCCTGGGAGAGTCAGTCCATAAATTAGGAATAATGTTAGAATTAGGTAAGGAAATGTGGCTGTAAAATATATTGCCTAAGAAGAAGAGCAAAGCAGAGAAGAAAAAAGTGAGTGTCAGGAAGAGGTTAAGGCAATACTATGAAACAGATACTGTGCACACAAAATTACTGAACAGTTGCAGCTGAATCCAACTCAGTGATAAACTGTTTTGGTTTAGGGTGGTTTGAGGAAATGTAGAAGTTCTGTCTGCCATGTTTGAGCTACAGCAACTCATGCATTTGTGTAAATCATCACATAATGGTGCCATCCAGTGTGGTGCAGCAGTGGTTAACATGGCAGACTGGAACTGAGGAAACCAGCACTGGTAGCACTGCAGGGAGGTGGGGGCAGTGCAGGCAGTGGGGTCCCTCTCCCCCTCCCAATATTTTGTCTAAGTTGGTGCCTATGGCCATGAAGCTCACTGGTGACCTTGAGACAATTCTCCAGTCCAACCGACTGAAAGATTGTGAGCAGATTGTGTGCAAGAGGAAAGAGAGATTAGCGTGAACTCTTTGGATGAAAAGTAGGATACTAATTGGCTGAGTGATTGATTGATTAAAGAGGCAAATATGCATGTGTTAACCAGCCTTTAGTCTGTTGCAGAAAAAAGAAGATAGAAAACACCTTGTGACAATTTAAAGATAGAAAACACCTTGTGACAGTCTTGTTTTATTAGATGCATCTAGGGCTGCCATACATCCAGAATTTCCTGGGATTCATCTGGGCTGCTTTTTCAGAAATCGGTTGTATGGCTGCCCAATCAGAAATAAAGCTCAACAGCTTTTTGTGTCGGGATCTCAACTTTTTGAAATATGGTTTATCTAGTGGAGAAGAAGCAGTTTCACACAGTGGACCTCAAAAGCTAAATACACCATAAGACGTATCATTCAACTGACTATTCATTATGACATTTTATGACAAGCCATCTAAACTGCTGTTCCTTCCCAAGGTGCTTTAGCCCTGTAGTCTAGTAGGAACCCTTGTGTTCATCATAGTTGTACTTTATAACTAATTAATCCACAATTTTCCTCCTCATTTGCTTTACATATTGGGAACCATTCAGTGGAAATATCACAAACATAAGCCAAGATATTAATGCTGAGTGTGCAATTCCTATTCTGCAAGGATGCTGCTATTTCAGCTACAAAATGGCAGGCCCTCACCCCCAAAATTTAAAAACAGAATATTAGATAATACTCTATCTGTTGTCTAGGCAGTACCATTTCTAACTGCAGGCAGGTAATAAGATGATCAAACACATGCAAAAAAAAACCCTCTTGCATGTGGATTCTAACCTAGCCTCCTCCCAGATGCATTAGTTTTCAATGGGCAGGTGCCTTTTAAAAATATGATAGAACATTCGTTCATGTGAGCTGCCTCCTATCTCACATGGTGCAGTCCAAAGATGGCTTTACCACCTCAGTAAGGACCAGGTCAGTGAAATACCGATGTCTGGTAATAATCCCTGCTCACCTTTCCAGTCGATTCAATTCCTCGTACTGTACAAATGAATACAAGTAACCAGCAGGCTGCCAAACATAAAACCAGCCACCACTGAAGCGGACCACTGTTTTCAATATCCGTGCTTATGTTTAAAGTGTACCTATACCAGAAATAATTGGTAGGTGTGCTTTTCTGACATTCTTCAATAAGTTCTGAAATAACAAGCACAGAAGGCATTATCAAAACAGATAGAATCATAGAAGAGTTGGAAAGGATCCTGACCATCAGGAATATGCAGTTGTCCCATTCTGCACCAGTTGAGCGTGCAGATGGTATACTGCATTTTAAAAACTCCATTGCATGTTTTGTTTTGTTTTTAAGGAAAATGTGAACCTATCATAAGCCCCTCTCCTCCGGAGTTCTAGACTGAGGCATTGTTTAGTTTGGGGAATAGCCTTCTCTTGATTGACAAACAGGGCTTCCCAAAAGAATGACATCAAGAGGAAATGCTTCACCTCAGCTCTTCCAGACCAAGCCTGGAGCAAAACTCTCCAGCCCTACATATATTTGGGTTAGGGATGCAACCAGGCACAGCCCCAGGTGTATGGATATGTGCCTCATCCTCTCAAAGCTATTCCATGAAGGGGAAGGGGCAGGAATGGGGCCTTTCTTCAGGCATCAGTTCTCTCTGCACAGGAAGCTCTTGCTTTGGCATAACTAGCAAACTTTAAGCCAGGATAGGGAACCTTTGGACCTCCAGCTGTCATTGAACTACAACTCCCATCAGCCCTAGCAAGCATGGCCTATGGCCAGGGATGGGGGAGTTGTAGTCCAGTAACTGCTGGAGGGCGTGAAGATCCACCACACTTGATTTAAGCTATTGGTCCCATCAACACAGCACTTTAAACCATTCTTAAACTAAGCTATGCCTTAAACGTAAACTTACCGCTGCTTCTTTCAGATGGGCAGGGTGTAAATAAAAATATTATTATTATTCTACCTCTGCTGCATTACTTTGCCGAGTGTTTAGTTCAGTTCATATCCTATTCCCTACGGCCAAAGGAGTTATGGCAGGGACAAAGCTGGATCTGACAATTGCTGACTGTGGCAGAGTTGGACAAACAATTTAATGTGGTGGTTGAAGGATACATAGAAAAGCAGATACTAATAACAGAAAGCAGCAAGAGACTTGGGAACTCACCTGGTTTGCTGATATCTGTTGGGCAGGAACTCCAAGGTAACGGGTTTCGGAAAGAGTTTATAAGATACCATATCACCAAGGCTAAAAGCATATTGTAATAGAGAATCACTAGGAAGGAAACTATCAGAGAAGTGTAACCTGTGGAATATGCAAGCACACGCAGAATTGGCATGAACAAAGACAATTGCAGGAGTCTGATCTGCACAAATGAAAGATCAAATCCAATGACTATCTGAACTCTGGCAGTCTGGAAAAGAACATTGCTCTGTGAATTAAACAAACCGAGTGGGGTGGGGGTGGGGGAGGCAATTTCCATTTTGCCTCAGGTGGTGAAATCGGAAAGGCTGCCCCTGAGTGGCCCTGTTTATCTTCCAGACAACTGCCTGAGTTTACTACGACTGAGTTTGCTATTACAGCCTCATAGAGCCCATGCATTTCCAGGAAGGAGCAATGATTAGAAGATTATATAATCACAAGTAAAGGCAGTTACAGAAACCTACCCAGTCCTCCCAGGTAAGGAGAGATGTGCCACCAGAGTCGAATGCAGCCTTTTTTCAAGCATTGCCCAACAGCTAATTCAAGAAAAAATACAGGGATGGCTCCCAACACAAACGCGATGAGGTATGGAATCAGGAATACCCCTAGAAACACAATTTCCAAGCACAGTTAGCTCATAGCAGTGGCATAGCGTGGGTTGCCGGTGCCACCTGCCTGCCCATACAGGGGAAAGCCCAGCAAGCCGCCATAGCCCTTGGAGGGCAAATCCCCCACCCCAATGCCCATAGAGAGGAGTGCCAGGCCAGGTTGTGCTGGGGTGCCCCTTGTCCATCTCCCTCCATCCCTGCCTGCATACCATGGGTCTGGACTGCTTTTCTGCCTTTGCTGGGGTGGGGAAGCCAATGCATGGGGGGGGCGCTGGTTGGGTCCCCTCAGAATTCTGCGCCCGGGGCTATGGCTGCTTTTTCATTTTCATTTTAAGGATGCTTTTAGTAATGCTTTTTAAATATAAGACCTCAATCCATAGTGTGTGTGTGTAAAATCTGAAGTGTTGCAAATTGGCTACCTGATAAATCTAGGATGCATAGAATCAGATAAGGGTTGCAAATTTCTGGGAATGTAGCTGATAGGCGACCTCAAACGGCTCCAAGATATACACATTTAGCAAAACCTGCGGTCAGAATGCACGGAACGCCATATAGCTTGTGGTTAAGACCCAGACACGAAAACCCGCTGACACCTGGGACTGGAACAACTGATTAGCAAACTGTGGTTTGCCCTTTTAGCTTTATCAGATATGAAACTAGCTTGTGCTTGCATTGGGAACAAATAGTGGTTAACCAGAATGTTACTAGGACAGCTGCTTATGTCAATAGGTAAAATAGGTAAAATGCAAGGGAGCTTTGACCATATTTGTACAACGATGAACAGGGGAAGTGGGCTGGAAATTTGTTAATAAGGCGGACGTGGTAGGCTGTAAACGTTGCCTGCTCCTTCCTAGTGGGTGGGCGAAGGAGGGACTTTCGGCCGGAGGAGAGACTTTATAAACTGCGTTTTTCCAGAACCAGGTGTGCCTATATTGGTCACCCACCCTTGCAATGGTGTTTTCCTTTCAATAAATTTTGCTACTTCATCAATTTCACCCAGAATTCCTTTTTAAAGAGTCCTGGGACTTTAAGTCTTAGGAACCAGTGCTTTAACTCTTACATGGAGTCAGCTAATTATGTTCTTCCTGCTTAGGTTTGTGCAAAAAGGCAATAATATACAACTAATTGTTAGAGGGGTTTTGTTTTCTTTACTGTGCATGCATTGAAAGCACATCTAATTGGTGCTGTGGAAGATCTAGAAGGTGAAAGCAATGAAAAAATATTGTTTCATTGATCTGAGGGTTCCTAGCTGCTGTTTTTACAGTTACATTTTAGTTTGTTTTTATTCATTTTTTTCTGGAATATGGGGGGGGGGAGAAGAAGCTCTCTGCAAACAATCCATTCTGGACAATGCTTTTATGATTCTGTCATATGATACTTCAAAAAACTGGGAAAACATAAAGCATTTATGCCTCCCCTACCAATCATTTACCTCGTCCCACGTTAGCGTTCCTAAAAGTCATATAGCAGTAGAACAAAATGGCTTTGTCTCTTTTGATTTGGCAGTGTTATTTTCTAAAGTTAATCAGCTTTGACGGAAATCAGCTACAGTGTTCATATCTCCTTTGGTCTATGTCTAAAGTTGCTCTTACATTTAAGTGCCTTTGCAGCTGCAGCTGCATATACATTTGAGAGCCTCTTGAAGTCCACATGTGGTGAATTTTGCATGTTTCCTTAGGGAATGAGGCTGAGACTGTGGTGTCTTTAGGATATATGGTTTACACCTATATGCAACCTGAGCCTACAATGGAGGTGTTCACAGCATCAATATCCCAAAAGGCTCCAGCTTTGTATTCAAACAGAAATCAAACATTGCTCCCAAACTTTGCTCCGACTCTCTCCCCAGCTTGCTGCTTTACTTCAAGGCCACATAAAGGTAAAGGGACCCCTGACCAGTAGGCCCAGTCGTGGCCGACTCTGGAGCTGCGGCACTCATCTCGCTTTATTGGCCGAGGGAGCCAGCGTACAGCTTCCAGGTCATGTGGCCAGCATGACTAAGCAGCTTCTGGTGAACCAGAGCAGCGCACGGAAACACCAGAGCGGTACCTATCTACCTACTTGCACTTTGATGTGCTTTCAAACTGCTAGGTTGGCAGGAGCAGGGACTGTGCAACGGGAGCTTACCCTGGTGGGGGGTTTCGAACCGCCGACCTTCTGATCGGCAAGTCCTAGGCTCCGTGGTTTAACCCACAGTGCCCCCCGCGTCCCTCCAGGCCACATAGAGCCCCTTAATCTTCCTTAATGGCTCACCACCCAGGCTATCACCTCACTGGGAGGCTAGCCTGGCTATTCCAAGAATTAAAAGCATTGATTAAATTTTAACAGTTGCTGGATCCAGAGATTACAGGGGTCTGGAACACAGCCTAACACCCCAAACAGATAACATTATTTTAGAACACAAGTAGCTTGTCGTAGTTTAAGTCTGAACAATCCCTCAACTAATCTCCAATGAAAAGGTGGGTTTTCTCTTACCTCCTCCATAAGTTTGGCACAAGTATGGAAAACGCCACACATTTCCAAGACCCACAACAAATCCAGCACAGCTTAAAAGGTACTGGAATTTACTATCCCACTTGGGCCTTATGTACTCTTCATCGCTGCCTTCAGATTCATCAGTTTCCATCTCTACTTTATACTCTTCAACTCCGCCTTCAGGTTCATCAGTTGCCATCTTTGCAACCTCTTTTTTCCCTTTCAGCACAAAGTTCTCCAATATTAGCAGCTGCCAGGCAACTGAACCTCCTGACTGAACCAAGTAAGTAGAAAGGGGGGGGGCGGCAGCAGAGGAATTCTGAACAATGGATGGAACTTCCATCTGCGACATCACACCAAAGAATGCAGATAAAACAACCTAGCATCCTACAGCCACACAACTTACAGAGTTGAGATGAGGCACTGAAGTTAACAGAAAAAATCTTACTACTTCGAAGTAGTAAAGAAATAATTTAACCCTTTCCGTCTAAACTCTAAATTGTATTACCTTTCACAAAGGTTCCCTCTTCCCCTAGCACAGGAAAAAGGCCACAACGTTTGGTAAGTTAAAAAATGCTTTACTTACACACTCAGGTCAGGTTCATGTGTTTCATAAAAGGTTGCTCAGGCAGTTATATTTACCTTAGTTACAAAGCTGTGAAAGGTCCTAAATTATTGGTAGAGGAACTCAAGAATGGATGCTGAGAGCCATGCAGTTGATCTGGAGCAACCAACTCAAACCTCTTCACATGCTGAGCTTCTCAAGTAAAGTGGAGAACAAAGGCTTGATTACTAGTTCCTTCCAAGGTGTGGGGAAGTAGATAGTTAAGCCTGTAAGGACAGCATACTCTATGGTATTAACCCCTTCATGCATTTATTAGAAACCTAAGCATGTTGGTTGGCCAACATGATTTCCCATTGGGACAGTCATGTCCAAAGTCTGGGCCGCAGGCCAATTGCGACCCGAGTTCTGGTTTAATACAGCCCCTCAGGTAATTTGGCAAAAGTTCTTAATATGATAATATGACAGCAACAATCGCAGGTAACAAGGGCTCTCAAAGTGGGATCAGGTATTAAACAGGGTTGTGTTATTGCCCCAACTCTATTCATTATTTCCATTGCCATGATCCTACACTTTGTTGAAGGGAAACTCCCCTCCAGAGTAGAAATCATATATCAAACAGATGGAAAGCTCTTTAATCTGAACAGGCTGAAAGCAAAGAGTAGGTTTACCACAACTTCCATCATAGAGCTTCAGTATGCTGATGACAACTTACCGTATTTTTCGCCCTATAGGACACACGTTTTCCCCTCCAAAAATGAAGGGGAAATCTGTGTGCGTCCTATGGGGCGAATGCAGGCTTTCGCTGAAGCGTGGAGAGCAAGAGGGGTTGGTGCGCACCGACCCCTCACGCTCTCCACACTTCAGGAAGCTATCAGCAAGCCTGGGGAGCCCGCGGGAGTTCCCGCAGGGCTCCCTAGGCTGCGGATAGCAGCCTGCTGCCCGGAGCGGCAGGCGCGCTGAAGCAGAGCGCCCCGCGCTTTGGGCAGAAATCCGCAGCCTAGGGAGCCTTGCGGGAGTTCCCGCCGGGCTCCCTAGGCTGCGGATAGCAGCCTGCTGCACGGAGCGCGGGGAGCGCTGAAGCAGAGCACCCTGCGCTTCGGGCAGATATCTGCGGCTGGGGGGGGGAATAATTCCCCCCCTTTATTTCCCCCCCCCCAAAAAAACCTAGGTGCGTCCTATGGGCCGGTGCGTCCTATAGAGCGAAAAATACGGTAGGGTGTGCACGCTCAGAGGATGACCTCCAATCCATCCTAAAAATCTTCGCAGAAGCTTATGAAAGGCTTGGCCTATCAACATCCAAAAAACCAAAGTGGATTGGGCAATCAAAGGCATGCTGAGCACAACATGAGTGAAGAGAAACCCATAAAATAACTTGGGGTGTGTTTCTTTGAACATGTGTACTTACATATTTGGGATCCCAGGCAATGTATAGTTACTCTTCTCTCACTTTCAGCACAAAGTGAAAAAAGAAGATAACCAACATGATAAGAGGACTGATAAATCTCCAGGTGGCCTGCCAGAAGATATTGGGTTTGTGTCCAATCATGAACTTAATATCATCATTAAATCTGATAACAAAGACAGAGGAAGTTTAGCGAAACCAAGCTGCTTTGGACAGATTAAGGGCCAACTCACACATGCATATTCATTACTTGGTAACTGCCATAAGGAAAGAGGCACAGCTGTCAACCTTCCCTTTTTTTGCAGGAAATTCCCTTATTTCAGCTCTGCTTCCCGCTGCTATCCCGGATTGTTAGATATCCCATAGACTGTCTCCGGGACAGGTGAGGCTACTGATCCCTTATTTTCAAATCTGAAAGTTGACAGCTATGGAAAGAGGGCATTAGAGATATGGCAGAACCGACAGAACTTCCATATCTGCTTGCATTGCCTAAAACATTATAGCTTGCGCAGGGGCGTAGGAAGGTGGGGATGGGCCATCCCCAGTGCCATTGTGGAGGGGGGTGACAAATTATCAAGGAACAATTACAGTGGTACTTCAGGTTAAGAACTTAATTCGTTCTGGAGGTCTGTTCTTAACCTGAAGCACCACTTTAGCTAATGGGGCCTCCTGCTGCCGCCGCGCCGCCGCTATATGATTTCTGTTCTCACCCTGAAGCAAAGTTCTTAACCTGAGGTAATAATTTCTGGGTTAGCGGAGTCTGTAACCCGAAGCGTATGTAACCTGAAGCGTATGTAACCTGAGGTACCACTGTACTGCCCTACTAGGGCGGTTCATAAAAACCTTTTTTAAAAAAATGCCTCCTCCAAAGGTCTTACCTTACTACACTGGGGATTATATAGCTATATATGAAATTACATGCTTATCAGTTAATATCTTGACCCTCCTCCACGAAAATAGCTGTTTACTTGGCCGTTTTCCTATGTCATGAAGGCTGAAATTTCAATTCAGTGTAGGGTCAAGATATTAACTGATATGCATGAAATTTCAGATATAGTTATATAATCCCTAGTGTTTTAAGAGAAGACCTTTGGAGCAGGCATTTTAAAAAATTAATTAAGGAACCGCCCTACTGCCCTACCTTCCGCTGCGCTTCCCGGATCCTGGAAAGTCGGCCTTTGTGAAGAAAATAAGACTAGGCCGAGTAGATTAGGCCTTGCCCTGCCTTCGCCCCACCCTCTGCCCACAGCTGATTGGCCAGCTGGGTTGGGGGGCGGGGCAAAGTCAAGGCAAGGCCGAATCTACTCGGCCTAGTCTTATTTTCTTCACATAGGCCGACTTTCTGGGCTGCTGAGGCCTGCTAAGGCCGCTGCCTGTCCTTCAGGCCCCAATTTCCCCCCCGGAAAGCCTCTGCTGCCCCCGAAAGGGGAGTGTGCGGGACAATGGCAGTGCTGGCACCCCGTTTTGCCCATGCGTGGCGCCGGGAGAAGCAGCTCAGTGCCACCCTGGGTGCTCGGCAGGCCGGCCTCCCCTTTGCCCCCAGTGTCCCCCGCATGAAGCTAGGACACCCCCTCTCTCAGCCACACACCCCAGTCTGCCCTGCATGAAGCTAGGACACCCCCTCTCTCAGCCACACACCCCAGTCTGCCCTGCATGAAGCTAGGACACCCCCTCTCTCAGCCACACACCCCAGTCTGCCCTGCATGAAGCCAGGATACCCCCTCACTCAGCCACACACCCCAGTCTGCCCTGCATGAAGCTAGGACACCCCCTCTCTCAGTCACACACCCCAGTCTGCCCTGCATGAAGCTAGGACACCCCCTCTCTCAGTCACACACCCCAGTCTCCCCTGCATGCAGCTAGGACCCCCCCTCACTCAGCCACACACCCCAGTCTCCCCTGCATGAAGCTAGGACACCCCCTCACTCAGCCACACACCCCAGTCTCCCCTGCATGCAGCTAGGACACCCCCTCACTCAGTCACACACCCCAGTCTCCCCTGCATGAAGCTAGGACACCCCCTCACTCACTCACACACCCCAGTCTGCCCTGCATGAAGCTAGGACACCCCCTCCCTCAACCACACACCCCAGTCTCCCCTGCATGCAGCTAGGACACCCCCTCACTCAGACACCCCAGTCTCCCCTGCATGCAGCTAGGACACCCCCTCACTCACTCACACACCCCAGTCTTCCCTGCATGAAGCTAGGACACCCCCTCACTCACTCACACACCCCAGTCTGCCCTGCATGAAGCTAGGACACCCACTCCCTCAACCACACACCCCAGTCTCCCCTGCATGCAGCTAGGACACCCCCTCACTCAGACACCCCAGTCTCCCCTGCATGCAGCTAGGACACCCCCTCAACCACACACCCCAGTCTGCCCTGCATGAAGCTAGGACCCCCCCTCACTCACTCACACACCCCAGTCTCCCCTGCATGAAGCTAGGACCCCCCCTCACTCAGTCACACACCCCAGTCTCCCCTGCATGAAGCTAGGACACCCCCTCACTCAGTCACACACCCCAGTCTCCCCTGCATGCAGCTAGGACACCCCCTCACTCAGTCACACACCCCAGTCTGCCCTGCATGAAGCTAGGACACCCCCTCACTCACACACCCCAGTCTGTCCTGCATGAAGCTAGGACCCCCCCTCACTCAGTCACACACCCCAGTCTCCCCTGCATGCAGCTAGGACCCCCCCCCACTCAGTCACACACCCCAGTTTCCCCTTCATGCAGCTAGGACCCCCCCTCTCTCAGCCACACACCCCAGTCTCCCCTGCATGAAGCCAGGATACCCCCTCACTCAGACACCCCAGTCTGCCTTGCATGAAGCTAGGACACCCCCTCAATCAGAGTGGATGGGAAAACCCAACGTAAAACCATTTCTGCGGGCAAAAAAAAATAAATCAATGGGGGGGTGACAACAAATTTTCTGCACCGGGTACCACCTGACCTTCCTACGCCTCTGAGCTTGCGATGTAATTGCCTCTCACATTCAGAAGCTGGTTATCAAGTGCAGACCAACCAAGTGATGCACATGCACACATAACTGAGCCATAGGTCAAAACCAGCTTTAACAGCATGATTTCAAGACTCAGGATCACTTTCCAGGGTCTGAAAACACATGCCATCGCGACAAGAGATGTTGACATGCACAAACGTCAAGAGATAGATGTATGTATTGCCATACAGGCAATAAGAGGAGCCTTGTGTGTTATGTATGGGTTGTAGGGAACGAAATACCCCAATTCTTCTCCCTTGCGCCATAGTTGTCTCTCCATTCGGCTCTGACAGCTACGCCAGCCAGCTGCCACCATTGTGTTTCACAAGTGTCACTGCTGGTGCAAAGCGTCCCCTTCTGTTCACTAGATGGGCAAAGTGCTGTTGGCAGGACGCCCAGCAACAGCAGTCAGCAGAAAGCCCCCAAATGGAGGGAAGGCCAACCTGGTCCCTTGCGTGTCATGTGATAGCACCAGGCCTGATGTGAGCCCAATTGCTGCACCCAACTGGTACAGAGATTACCCTGACTGCCCTCCTTCCAGAAAACCCTGTCAGGTGGCTGCCTTGGGTTTGGCTTGCCGCCTCAGTATGCAAAGGAGTCTTCTGCCACAAGCAAAGTGCAGTCATGCTAATGAGTCGCATTTAAGTGACTCTAATACCTGTGTTCAAAATTACTGTTGGAATGAATAGCACCTAGTATTTATAAAGAACTTGTCAGAGCTGCAAAGCATTTTGCATGCATTATATTTATAATCCTTAAAACAGTCCAGTAAGTTGAGCTTATAAATCATGTAGAGATTTTATTACAACCAAGCAGTATATAATTTTTGTTAAATAAAATTATTTCCCTTGTACTTTTGAGGGGCTTAGTTCTTGCAATAAAAGCTAATCTGTTACATGTATTTGAGATTCTCGAGGGCATTGAACTATTTTTAAAGAGCCTTGTTGCAGATTTGAGCCATATAATTTCGTTTTATATACCGTATTTTTCGCCCTATAGGACGCACCGTCCCATAGGACGCACCAAGTTTTTTGGGGGGGAAATAAAGAAAAAAAATTATCCCCCCCAGCTGCGGGAACTCCCGCAGGGCTCCCTAGGCTGCGGATATCTGCCCAAAGCGTGGGGCGCTCTGCTTCAGCGTGCCCCGCTCTCCGGGCAAGCAGGCTGCTCTCTGCAGCCTAGGGAGCCCTGCGGGAACTCCCGCGGGCTCCCCAGGCTTGCTGATAGCTTCCTGAAGCCTGGAGAGCGAGAGGGGTTGGTGCACACCAACCCCTCTCGCTCTCCAGGCTTCAGCGAAAGCCTGCATTCGTACCATAGGACGCACACACATTTCCCCTTCATTTTTGGAGGGGAAAAAGTGCGTCCTATAGGGCGAAAAATACAGTATATTAGGGATGGGCCAGTTTATGGTCAAACTACGAAACTTTCTCCCCCAGGAGGCAGTGATGGTCTCCAACTTGGTTGGCTTTAAAAGAGGATTAGACAAATTCATGGGGGAGGAGATGGGTACTAGCCGTTATGACTATTGCTCTCCCTCCACTGTGGGAGGCAGCACTGCTTCCAAAAACTGGAAACCACAGGAGGGGGGGATGCTTGAAACAGCTAGGAAGCCTGCTCCCCATCACGTGCAGTTTCAAAATATCCTTGGGAGTGCAGGGATGGGGTGTGCCAATGTGCCATGCAGCCCAGAGGCACTGCATTGGCAAAAAATGGCCGCCCTCGTTTTAAAAGACAGCCTGCGGACCACCCAATAGCCCTGTTTGGAATGATTTGTCTATCGGAGCAGCGATTGGTTGATTTTAGCATTCATCTTTTCAGGTGAAATACAGTTGCTCCGGCAAATTCCAGAAGCTTCTGTACAGCTCCTGAAGGAATTAACAGAACCACCACTATATGAAGATTTCAAAGCCATTCTGGATTGATAGATGTGGTCCTATTGTAGGTAAAGTGTTTTATTTTTCCTTTAAAAAAGAAAAAGAAATAAATAGCTAAGTCAACCTCCTGTATCCCAAAGCAGGAAAAATGTAGTAATTTGGTGCCTGAAAGCACGCTTAGTGCCATGAATAAAGGTAAAGGGACCCCTGACCATTAGGTCCAGTCGTGGCCGACTCTGGGGTTGTGGCGCTCATCTCGCTTTATTGGCTGAGGGAGCCAGCATACAGCTTCCGGGTCATGTGGCCAGCATGACCAAGCCGCTTCTGGAGAACCAGAGCAGCGAACGGAAACGCCGTTTACCTTCCCGCCAGATACCTATTTATCTATTTGCACTTTGACGTGCTTTCGAACTGCTAGGTTGGCAAGAGCAGGGACCGAGCAATGGGAGCTCACCCTGTCACGGGGATTTGAACCGCTGACCTTCTGATTGGCAAGTCCTAGGCTCTGTGGTTTAACCCACAGCTCCACCCGAGTCCCAGTGCCATGAATACATGAGCTCAAAGTGACGTTTTCAAAGTATTTTATCAGCAAAGTAAGTAATGGGATATGCTCCATTTTTATTTCTATTTTTTACTGTGTAAAAAATTCACCTACCCTAGAATTGTCAAGGGGAATTATATTTTTCTGTAATCCAACAATGGTGAGATGCCTATTCTGGTATCTTGCCTACAAAATGATCTAGGGCTGCAAGTTTCTGTGTTCTGTTCACTAAGCCTTGTTTGCGTAAATCACTTAGAAAAATGTGACCTCTGTTTTAAAAACTCAGTGGCACATTATTTTATGATTGTGGCTGTCAGAACCATGTGGTTTTCCTTAACCCTTGCTCGGTAATCCTCAGATCATTTGCATGTTTGAGACTATTACTGTGTTGCACATGGCCTTTTAGCAAGAACAGTTGTTGTATCTTTCTTGGTAATGGCCCATTCACTTGGTAAATCTGAACAATCTGTATGAAGGATGAATGGCATGGCTGAGTTCAGGTGGTTAGATATAAATAAAGTACTGATTCTGTCCAAACTAGTTTACGTTTCTACAAATAAATGGGATGTTCTATTGGCTATAGGGGAAATCATCATAAAAAGGACTCAGATCTCCAATTTAGAAAATACAATTTGTGACTTAATGAGTTGTGCCTTCTAAATTCCAGTTATTATTTGTGTGTGTGTGTGTGTGTGTGTGTGTGTGTGTGTATTGTAATGGTAGTGCCTGAAAAGATCCGTGGAATTACAGAGCTACCTTGGGTTAAGAACTTAATTCGTTCTGGAGGTCTATTCTTAATCTGAAACTGTTCTTAACCTGAGGTACCAATTTAGCTAATGGGGCCTCCCGCTGCCGCCACACCGCCGCCGTGCGATTTCTGTTCTCATCCTGAAGCAAAGTTCTTAACCCGAGGTACTATTTCTGGGTTAGTGGAGTCTGTAACCTGAAGCGTCTGTAACCAGAGGTACCACTGTACCATGTTCTGTCCACTTATAATGACATAATTTTGTAATCAGGCCCTAGCAGTTTTCCCCTTTCTAAATCTCATGCACCGAATGGCCTTAGGCAAAGCACTTCTTTCAGATTCAGCCCCCACACCTGCAATATAGGGATAAGAATGTGGACCTGCCCTATATGGTTGGCGTGGTAAGACTTACAAGATAATTATGTGTTATGTATTATGAACAGTCTTGAGTGCTATATATAAAGATGCATTTATTGAAAAAACGGTTTTACATAGAAATCCTTACATTCTTACTGATTGAATACCTTAAATTTGAGGATACATGTGTGGGGTTTTTAACGGTCAGGATAGGATGGGGAAAACAAGGGTGACCAGATTGCTGAAACAAAAGTTAAGATCAGGTGCTACTGGTGATACCAGGGATACCAGTGCTCCTGGTGATACCAGGGATACCGGTGCTACTGGTGATAACAGTGCTACCAGTGCTACCGGTGCTACTGGTGATACCAGGGATACCAGTGCTACCGGTGCTACTGGTGATACCAAGGATACCAGTGCTACCGGTGCTACTGGTGATACCAAGGATACCAGTGCTGGTGTCTGGATGTATTATTTGTAGCTGTTTCCTTTTCAGTACGATTCTGCAAAGTTGGTAAATGGCTCCGAAAGGGATCATCAAACATGGTACACTTTCCAGCATGATAGAGATGACGACAGCCCAGGGAGGATACTTTTTTTGCTCTTTTGCAGGAAAATATACCTTTGGGAGAAATGAATGTATTGCATGAAAGCCACACTAAACAGCACAATTTTCTATGTGTTTACTCAGAAGCAAATCCCATCAAGTTAAATGAGGTTTGCTCCCAGGTAAGTGAAGACAGGAATTACAGCTTGTTAATACTTCAAAGTGGGAGCTAAGCAAAGGTTGGCATTATTCCAAAAGGGAAAGGGAAGACTCCTGAGTTGCATGCAGTGTAGGGCTAAGACTATGGCTTCATCAGCACAAGGATGTCTCCTCTCATGATGGGATGTTCTCTTCTCCACTGGTGCACCTCCTAAATACCTTCTAGGGATTTCCCAATCCCTCTGGAGCAGGCATCTCCAAACTCGGCCCTCCAGATGTTTTGGGACTACAACTCCCATCATTCCCAGCTAACAGGACCAGTGGTCAGGGATGATGGGAATTGTGGTCCCAAAACATCTGGAGGGCCGAGTTTGGGGCTGCCTGCTCTGGAGCAAATTTTGGGATGCCATGGGAGGAGGAGGGGGGGAAGTCCCATTGTGCTAGTGGCGTGTTGTATCTAACAAAAAACAATTTTATTATGAATGCTCACTCCTGTCACACGAAATGGTAAAATCTCTCTGTTTTTATGTAGGCTGGGACTTGATAGCAAACAGTTATCATCAAGGCTGATCATCTGAAAACTCATGAAGCTGAACAGATCTGGGACTGGTCAGTGTCTGTATGGTTGGCTAGCTAGGAACCACATGGCATCCATCTGTCTTGGGAGAAAGTGGAAGAGTGTGCCTTTGTGGGTAAAGTCAAACCATTAGAGAGTTACAGCGCCTACTGTGACAGTAGAGACCGATACAGAAAAAGCATGTTTGCTGCTACAGGTGCGCTATGGCACTGCTTTCTGCGTCCCAACCCCAGCGGTCATTCCTCCTCTGTCCACTACTGTGGATACACACCCTGACTGTCTTTCTCCAGGCAATACCATCTTGTAATAGGTACATACGCAAGTTTCATGGCTCACTACACGTACAGCAGACACACACCTCCTGTGCCCCACAAAGAAGAAAACAGCCCAGCAGGCATGTAGGGTTCTGTAAAGCCTGTTTTAGCTTGGTGTCCTAGATGGCAAGAGCCAGGATCACTGTCCAGCCCTTGGTGGGCTGTAGTATATGACTGATGGCATCTTTGGGCTTGGTGTGAAGAGGATGTCTGTTTATTCAACCTGCTTTTAAGTTGCTCTTCAGGAATGCTCTTAGAGCAGCTTACAGCAGAGTAATAAAATCAAAATGTAAAACCATTTATTAAATGTCCGGCTGAAACAAAAGTGGCAGGACATTAAATAAAAAGGCCAACATAAAGCATCCTCAGTTGATTATACTTAATAATTTTCTTATTTATACCCCGCCCATCTTACTGTGTTTCCCTGGCCACTCTGGGTGGCTTACAGCATATCTAAAAAAATCCAGCATTAAAAATCTGGTGAGGTTAATTAGCTCCAGGACCCCCTGTAAGCCCTAGTGAAACATCATAAGCACAGGAATTCTGTGCTTAAGCAGAGCATCTTTATCAATTCAGGAGTTCATAGCAGCAAGATTGGAGTGAGAGCTCAATCCCCCCCCCCCATGAATGCAAATTAGGGAAAGACTAGTAATGACTTGTATAAAGGTAACTTACATATTTTGGGTTCCAAGTATAGTACTTTGATGGTGGCTCAACTAGTACATAGGACAAAAAAATTAGGAACATTATCACTGGGGAGAAAAATTGCCATGTTGCCTTCCAATAGCCTTTTAGTGGTCTTCCTATCATATCTTTCACATCTGCACTGAATCTGTTAATGAAATGGATACATTTAATGGGTGATCTGTGGACAATTCACTTGCATGCAACCTTATTAAAAAATGAAGCCAGCTAAACTTCTGTTTCTCCTCTGACCGCATGCCTGCTCATCACTTGATGAAAGCAGGAACAAGTAGAGCAGCTACATAAGCATCACTCAGAAGAGGGAAACACAAACAAAAGAGGATTCAGGCTGGCGTAAAACGTTTATGTACTAATTTACAAATGATTTCTGTGACTGAAATAGAAATGAATTACATGTCTCCATAGTGGGGAAGACTGACCAGCTAGCCTGTTCCGTCTCCTTTCCAGGCTTTAACTGCTGGTGGGAAACTTTGAGGCCTCTGCTCTCCCTGCCTAGAGTTCTTAATCTTTTAAACCACAGGGATTTTAAAATCAAGGACTACCTCAAATAGAGATCTATCCTCTCTGACAGCTGCTTGGGCTGTTAAGAAGGCCATATGCACCCTCCAAAATCAAATGATCTTTTACACAAATGAATTAAACACAACAGATAGGAAACCTTTATCCTATTGCAAATTTTGGAGTGTATATCCCCAAATTATGCATAAGGCTGCAAACCTTAGCTGGGATCATATTCCCACTGTATGCAATGGAATTTATTTCTGAGCAGGGGTACATGGTTTATACTTCAAATACAATAACCAGGTATCTCTTGCTGCACCTAGGCCAGTAAGAGATCTGGCAGACACCCTCACTTTTTACTTTCCTGCCTCTCTTAAAGATCAGGCCTTCATTGCTTTTTAATGTTTTGATTAGCCAGTCACTTCCATAATTATTGGTACTGCTTGTACCGTAATTGTATTTTATGTTGTGCATCACCCCGGTGTTTTATTTGGCAGTACAAAAATGCTTTTCTAAATAAATAGACTAAATAAAGGTTTGTTGCTTAGAATGTTGTTTTCCCAGGATAAAGGAGGGAAATGGAAGTGTCACACCTCACCAGCTTATCAATGGGCTTGCTTCTCATGATCCCTATGAGGAGGGGTTCTGGTAAATCTGGGTCCTGGGCCATACCACTTCAAATAGCAATGGCTGTTGGCGACGGTACCTCTTCAGACTGAATGCCCCTCATATTAAACATAACGGCTCCCCTGATGGATGAGTATTCAGTTTTGAAACACAACTCACTAAAGCAGTCTGAAGCAGTCCAGATTAGACACCAGTTTACCTTGTAAACCCTCTTCAAGCATTAGAGTTAGTTTGCATGTAAGTGGGAGAGCAGGCCGGGGGTGGGGGGGGCAAGGCACTCCATCACTAAAAAATCCTGATTTGCATTACAAGATGTAGGTGGATTAGGCTAATTTTGCTGAGAATTTTAAGGCATTGCAGAATTTGTCTAAACAAATCTGCAGTTAAGTTTCACTGGGTTATGCTGAATCAGTAGTTCTGTTGAACCACCTAGTTTCTCCATAGTGTGTTCATTTCTCAATAGAAATGCTTAGTTATGAATACAGCCTCACGTGTTCATCTGCCTTGAGTTGCTTGTGCACCTAAGGGCTTATCCAGATAAATATGCGAAGAAACATAGCCATACCTTTTTATTCCATAAATAAATACAACACCGATCAGTTCAAAGAAAGTGATGATGAGCAAAGGCAAGGTCCCAGCATAGGCATCAAACATCTCAAGCCAGTAGTTTCCTGATCTCAGAGCAAAAAGCAGGCCCAGCAGAAAGGCAGTAAGGCATATTAAACCTACAGACAACAACATTCATTAGTCAATTTACACAAATGAAATAAAAGAAAACCTAACCATTGGTGTTTACATGTGCGTTTATAATCAATACCAACATGTCTGTTCCGTTCTTGCCAAACACCCAAGTTTTGCCACTCACCTATCCTTAATGGTTAATGGGTGCAATGTGGCATCATTAAGACTGTACAGTTTCTGCTCACCAGAATATTGTTATTGTTATTACTGTTTATTAATTTATATAGTGCCCTTCAGAGATATCAGGGCAGTTCACAAGATAAAAATACAGGATAAAAGCACAAAATAAATAGAACAAAAATGAAACAATCACCCCCGCTCCCACAAACACATTTAAAAGGCCATAGAATTAGCCCAAGATCTGGCTGAAGAGGAACTTTTTTTGCCTGGCTCCTAAAGATGTATAATGAAGGTGGCAGCCAAACCTCCCTGGGGAGGTTAATGAAACTGGAAAGAACGTATCTTGAAACAACAGTAGCAACTATAAGAATGAGAAATGAGCCAGGATATTCCCCCATCGAAATACTGTCTTGCCCACGAACCCTATCTCAGCCCCAACCTGCAATACAGAGATAATGTTAAGCTGTTGTTGTTTTTGATTGCTGAAATAATGTAAGTGTAGCACTTTGAACCGAGTAAAGCACCATATTACTCTTGAGCATTGTTATCAGCAAAGAAAAGGATTTTAGGAAGATGCCTTACCACATATAGCCTCCTTGTATATGTATCTAGACACAGTGTGAGATTCTGTGAAAGGCGTCAAGATACTTTGAACGAGTCCAAAAATGGAAGATATACCAAGACTGAACAGCATAAGAAAATACATAATCGCCCAAGTGTTTGATCCAGGCATCTTAATGACGATTTCAGTGAACATAATAAAGGACAAGCCGGTTCCAGAAACACTCTGCAAAATTCACAAATAATGGTAAAAACTGTCAGATTGATTTCTGAGTGTCATTTATTCTAATGCAGAGGCAAAATGTTGTATCACTCAACATTTAGCCATCATCTGGAATAACATACAGCCATTACCAATTACAAGTTCATATTGGGGTGGGTGGGTGGAACAAAAAACCCTTTTGACCTTGACCTTTGGCACCTGAGATGTGCATTTTTAGGACTCACCATAAAGGTAAAGGTAAATGGACCCCTGACCATTAGGTCCAGTCGTGGCCAACTCTGGGGTGGGGGCGCTCATCTCGCTTTATTGGCCGAGGGAGCCGGCATACAGCTTCCGGGTCATGTGGCCAGCATGACTAAGCCACTTCTGGTGAACCAGAGCAGCGCAGTCGTATTAAGTTGCCGTAATCTGTTTTTAGTGTTGCATTTTAAATTGTTGTCACTTGCCCTGGGATCTAAGGGTGAAGGAAAGGTAATAAAATAATAATAAAAGCAGCCACCTAAGCTCACAGGTTGGTCTCTGTAGTTCTTTTCATGCTAATACGTGCAGACACAGGTATGGTTTCTGTGTGTCTCTGCAGAATTATAAGGGGAAACTTCTCAAGCTGGACTAGAGTTTTGGTGGGTACCCTGAGCCCCATCTTCTGTGTGCAAGTATTTGTGGCTAAATAAAGTGGCCATAGAACACCCCAGTAACAGTAGTTGTAGGGGGGAAGGTAGATTGTGTTTCTTCGGAGATAACCAGGCAAACAACTTGTGGTCTCTGTGCACTCATACATATGGGCAGAGTAACATGCTAGTTTACCAGAGACAGAGCAGCTTGTATGAAGCCAAAGAGCTAAACACAGCTCTTCTGAAAGAATTTCCTGCCTGGGCCATCACATCAACGGTAGCTGAAGACCGAGGGCTGTGACCCCCTTGCAGCATGGCAGAGGTCCAGCAGAGAAACTACAGAAAAATGCAGTGGAAGCTGCAGAAACCTTCATGGAATGTGACCAGAGAAGGAAGCTCCATTCATTCATAACAAAGCTGTTGACACAGTCAGTGTTGTCTGTCATCGCTTCCTCTCAGGTGAGGTTGCATTGCTCACCTGGCTTCCCAAAATACCACATGCCGCTGTGAAGGAGAGGAGCAAGGCAGCAGGGAGGTTGACATGGTGCACATGCTGCAACAGGAGCAGTGGGTTGGCTCTGCTGCAGCAGCCACCCTCGCCTTGTCCTCCTCCATAAGCAATGACAATGTGCACTGTTGGGAAGCTGGGAGAGCAACCTAGCCCCACTTCTGCCACCCTACTGGTCCCTACTCAATGCACTACCTGTCATGGCAAAAACCGCAAAATAGGTGCCTTGGCAGAAAAAGAGCATATGAAAGCCATCAGGAACTAATGCCGTGTCTGTGGCAATAGCCCCAGCAAGTGGCGTTGTTTTGGCGACTACAGAATCAGTGCATACAGTGGTGCCTCGCAAGACGAAAAGAATCCGTTCCGCGAGTCTCTTCGTCTTGCGGTTTTTTCGTCTTGCGAAGCAAGCCGATTAGCGGTTTAGCGGATTAGCGCTATTAGCGGCTTAGCGGGCTTAGCGGATCAGCTGATAAGCGGCTTAGCGGATCAGCTGATAAGCGGCTTAGTGGCTTAACGGATCAGCTGTTAAGCGGCTTAGCGGATCAGCTGATAAGCGGTTTGGCGATCAGCTGTTAAGCGGCTTAGCGGCCTAGCGGATCAGCTGATAAGCGGCTTAGCGGCTTGGGAAAAAGGGGGGGAGGGGAAAAACCCCGCAGGAACTCGCAAGACATTTTCGTCTTGCGAAGCAAGCCCATAGGAAATTCGTTTTGCGAAGCACCTCCAAAACGGAAAACCCTTTCGTCTAGCGGGTTTTCCGTCTTGCGAGGCATTCGTCTTGCGGGGCACCACTGTTCTGTACTTTTACAACTGAATCATTTTGTAATGGAGTACGATACCTGATCAAGGAAATATTCGAGATCACAGTTTGCCAGGTTGAGAGATGTAAGTTTATTGATATCCGTTCCGTTCAAGTAACTGAGCCAAAATGTGCCGCTGTCTACAGTGATGCTTTCGTTCCTGAATGCCTTGGTGATGTATTTAACATTTCTGTCAGTAAAGTCAGGAATGGTACGAATTATTTGCATTGCCACAGTTCCTAAGAAAAACAACAGCAATTTGCTTCAAATAGGGGCAGGCCAGGGGCAAAACAGAACCCCCACACAAAAAGGAAGTTGCCTGTATACCTGAATTAATGATTATGCACATGGAACATGCAGGATTGTATACTTTGTGTTCTATGCTACAATCTTATTTTAATTCTGCCCTCTGGGGTCCCCTAAACTGGTTTAAAGGGGGGGGGGGGAGAAATGACACTAAATTTTAGACAATGAAAAACAAAACAAATTGTGAACAGAGGGCTTGGACCAACACCTTAAATTGGTTCCTAACTGTGAAACTTGAACGGCTCACCTTTCCAAACATTCTTCATAGGCCATTGTTGCTTTGAACCCCAGAATTGAAAAAACTGGGATTGACGCAAACAAAGAAGTCAAAGAGTTTATTCCTGCTATCATGACAGCATCCAGTTCACAGTCATTACTAGGAAAAACAAGTACATAACAACCCGATTAAATGTTACAAAGGCCAGCACCGAGTCTGTAACTTCTAATGTTATACATTTATTATTTTATTTGAAGTACTTGTAATCTACTCTTCACTGAATATTTTCAATCCCAGAACAGTAAAAAATAGCAGTAGTAGACAGATGGCATGATGCTGTTTTATACTCACAGGAACTTTATGGAGTAAAGCTATATTGAGAGCATGCAGTCGCCTCAGTCACTTGCCTTCTGATCAAAAATAAAAACTCTCAAGTCAGGGCTCTGCAGCTGACTTCAGTGGGACTCATTAATCATAAATCTGCTCCACTTCCCAGCGTGGCCGCGTGGCCACCCACTCCCCACCAGGGGCGGGGGACTTTGCCTGGGGGATTCCGGCCATTTCTGAGCCCGGCCAGCCAACCCCCGCTGGCCAGGGGGCGTGGCCGGGGCCGTTTAAACAGAGGAGCAAGCCAGAGGACTTCCTCTTTGGCTCGCTTCCTCAATCACCCGCCCTCCCTCCCTATTTTGCAGGTTAGGCTATGGCCTTGCTATGGACTTTGGTTGGTCACCTTGGTTGTCCGAGGGGCCTGGTAGGAATTTTTCCACTTGGCAAATTGGCACTGGCCACTTGGTTTTCGCCTACCTCGTAGCAATCGTCACTACTTAGGGTTGCGGTTAGGCATTGTTTGACCTTGTGTGGGGGAGGGGAGTTGTGGCCATCACCTGCCCCTCCATGCTTAAGGGTATTCCATTAAGGGAACCCGGGGGTGTTGATCTAGTCTGAAGCCCGGCTGGGGGGCTAAGGCCTTGACATGACCCCGACGGGAACACCAGGGTGAGCTTGAGTTGGTTCGCATTGACAGGGCTCCATCTGCCGGTGGCTTACCCTTACTGGACTTCCTGCACAATGGGCAGGAGTCAGATATAGTCAGGTCCAATCAATGCCTAAGCCAATACTGCTCACATTCTGTAATTTCAATAAAGTTGTGGCCAAAATTTGCCCAGTAACATAAACCTAATATCCGTATCCTTCTGTGAGTTATTTCCAACGAGGGGGTGGCTGCGGGGTCTCAAGTCAGGGCTCTGCAGCTGACTTCAGTGGGACTCATTCATCATAAAGTATTGCATCTCAGCTGAACTTTTCCCACTTCCACATTCACTCCCATCCTTCCTGCAGATGATGTGAAGATCTTCACATGAAGACACGCGTATGCAACCTACCGCTGTTTGTGTGCGACAGCCTGTGTACTGGGGCATCTGCCCAACTCTGACATTGCAGAAAGAACAATAAAGGGCATCTTTGGGACTCACACAGGGAAACATCAAGAGAACAGAGCCAACCGCTTTTCCTGGGCTCCCGTGTGGGCTGAATGAGAATTGAGTCTTGTCTCCAGAGATCACTGAGGCGCTATCTCATAGAAGTCAATTTGACTGCGTCAAACAACTCCCCTCCACATTGTGAGCGAAAGCTAACAAAACTGCAAGATTATACCTACTTTGACGGGTTGTAGCTTGAATATGCTATGAGTCCCCCACATCCTAAAGAAAGAGAGGAAAAAATCTGGGTGGCTGCATCAAGCCAGGCACGTGGATTGTTGATCTTCTTGAGCTGTGAGAGAGACAGGGAGATATCAGGGCTAAAAACATTATTAGTCTCATCATTCTTGTGTATATTTCACTGATACAGGCCTTCCTGGCAAGCAGTGGGAAATTAGTGTGTTTTCTGAATTCAACAAATTCAGAACAGAACAATGCATTATACTGGCAAACAAGTGTTTCACAAACTGCCTGCTGGGCTGAATTTGTTGTCAGTGTGTAGGAGAGAGCGCTTAACTCTTTCCATGTTTGGCGATAGTCCCTTACAAATGCTCACTAGAGTGCTTTTACCTTCACTTGCACATCTTCCAGTCTTGGACTCTGCCAGACGGAGAAACAAAAAGCAGCCCAGGGGAGCATTTGTAGGGAAGAATTGGTGGGCATAGGGAGGATTAAGTACCTGCCCACTGGCTTCCTCTGCAAATGCATCTCTCCATCTCTGCATTCGCCCCAGCATAACAAGTCAAATACAGAACTGGGACACCCCATGCTTGCACAATGAAGTGTAGTTCTGCCCTGTCTGCTGAAAAATAAGATTTGACCCAGGGTTGCCTATATTCGTAAGTTCTAGAAAAGGGCATTTTTACACACGTTTCTGTTCTTCATAGATACTAGAGGGAGTTAACAAAGTACAATTGCCAGAATATGTGTGGATCCCAACTAGTATTAAGTGGTAAACAAAGAAGCAGCATGGAGGAAAGTTCAGCCCGGACACTGAGATCCAGCGCCGAGGGCCTTCTGGCGGTTCCCTCATTGCGAGAAGTGAGGTTACAGGGAACCAGACAGAGGACCTTTTTGATAATGACGCCCGCCCTGTGGAATGCCCTCCCTTCAGATGTGAAGGAAATAAGAAGCTATCTTCTCTTTAAAAGACATCTGAAGGCAGCCCTGTTTAGGGAATTTTTTTATATTTAATGCTGTATTGCAGAGCATTTATATTATTATTATTATTATTATTATTATTATTAAAAGTTCAAAGCCACCTCTAAAAGACCAAGTCAGATTTTCTGTACATCATCTGGAACACCAAGGATCAATTGAATAAATACTTGCATTAGGAGTCATGAAATACACTAATCCGTGAAAGGCTCCTGGGAGAGTCACTCCATAAAGAAGGAATAATGTTAGAATTAGGTAAGGAAATGTAGTTGTAACATATATTGCCTAAGAGGAAGAACAAAGCAGAGAAGAAAAAAGTGAGTGTCAGGAACAGGTGAAGGCAACACCATGAAATATATGAGCACTTAAGATAGATAATATTCTATTTTCTGTCTGGACTGTACCATTTCTGACTGTAGGCAGGTAATAAGATGATCAAATACATGCAAAAAAAAACCCCTCCTGCATATGGATTCTAACCTATCTTCCTCCAAGATGCATTAGTTTTCAATGGGCAGGTGCCTTTTAAAAATATGATAGAACATTCACTCATGTGAGCTTCCTTCTGTCTCACGTGGTGCAGTCTAATGATGGCTTTACCACCTCAGTAAGGACCAGGTCAGTGAAATACAGGTGTCTGGTAATAATCCCTGCTCACCTTTCCAGTCGATTCAATTCCTCGTACTGTACAAATGAACACAAGTAACCAGCAGGCTGCCAAACATAAAACCAGCCACCACTGAAGCGGACCACTGTTTGTAATATCCGTGCTTATGTTTAAAGTGTACCTATACCAGAAATAATTGGTAGGTGTGCTTTTGTTACATTCTTCAATAAGTTCTGAAATAACAAGCACAGAAGGCATTATCAAAACAGAATCATAGAAGAGTTGGAAAGGATCCTGACAGTCAGGAATATGCAGTTGTCCCATTCTGCACCAATTGAGCGTGCAGATGGTATAAAGGTAAAGGGACCCCTGACCAGTTGAGTCCAGTTGTGGCCGACTCTGGGGTTGCGGCGTTCATCTCACTTTATTGGCCGAGGGAGCCGGCGTACAGCTTCCGGATCATGTGGTGAGCATGACTAAGCCGCTTCTGGCAAACCAGAGCAGCGCACGGAAACGCTGTTTACCTTCCCGCTGGAGCGGTACCTATTTATCTACTTGCACTTTGATGTGCTTTTGAACTGCTAGGTTGGCAGGAGCAGGGACCGAGTAACGGGAGCTCACCCCATCGCGGCAATTTGAACCGCCGACCTTCTGATCAGCAAGTCCTAGGCTCTGTGATGTAACCCACAGCGCCACTACATTTTAAAAACTCCATTCCATGTTTTGTTTTGTTTTTAAGGAAAATGTGAACCTACCATAAACCCCTCTCCTCTGGAGTTCTAGAATGAGGTATTGTTTAGTTTGAGGAATAGCCTCCTCTTGACTGACAAACAGGGCTTCCCGAAAGAATGAGATCAAGAGGAGATGCTTCACCTCAGCTCTTCCAGACCAAGCCTGGAACAAAACTCTCCAGCCCTACATATATTTGTGTTAGGGATGCGACCAGGCACAGCCCCAGGTGAATGGATATGTGCCTCATCCTCTTGAAGCTATTCCATGAAGGGGAAGGGGCAGGAATGGGGCCTTTCTTCAGGCATCAGTTCTCTCTGCACAGGAAGCTCTTCCTTTGGCATAACTAGTAAACTAGCCAGGATGGGGAACCTTTGGACCTCCAGCTGTCGTTGAACTACACCTCCCATCAGTCCTAGCAAGCATGGCCTATGGCCCAGGATAGTGGGTGCTGTAGTGCAGTAAGAGGTGGAGGGCGTGAAGATCTACCACACCTGCTTTAAGCTATTGGCCCCATCTACACAGCACTTTAAACCATTATTAAACTAAGCTATGCCTTAAACATGAGCTTACTGCTGCTTCTTTCAGATGGGCAGGGTATAAATAAAAATATTATTATTATTCTACCTCTGCTGCATTACCAAGTGCTTCTCTCAGTTCATATCCTATTCCCTTTTGGTACAACTTACAAGTGCTGCTTTCTCTGTAATTCTGTCCTTTTGGAACTGTAAGATTTGGCATGTATGTTCACAGGATGCAACTGCAGACACATGTTCATGAGGACACAGCCTAACTAGGTGAGTCTTGCTCTGAAGAGCAGGGCTTGGGGGGGAGAGGTCAATTTAAAGTGCAGTGCATCTGGGTAGGAGGGGGAGCTAACCCCCCCTTCTTATCTGTGCTTTTTTATGCAAGAGGAGAAGAGAAGAATTGCATCCAAGCTTTGTACACATTACCATTTACTCTTGCCCTAGTGCGCTCCCAATGGTGGATTTTGAATCCAGAGACATACAACATTACCAAAGATGTAGAGCTAGCCTAGAGATTTTTGATAAATGCTGCTATTGTGTGTGTTTTCCATCAAACCAGCTTCAACCCAAAAAGAATACTTAAGCCACATTTGATGTGCAGTTCAGCTGAGGTGTGTAACAGCGTATGCACAGATGATAGCACCATGAACGGTAAATGGGAGGATTGCAAGCGGGAGGGGAAATGAAGCAAGTAATGCACATTGGGTACAAGCATCCCCATCCCGTCTCTGGTGTGCACAAATGAAACCTGACACACAGACACAGCTGATAATGTGTGCATAGCCTACACAGAAAAATGGGCACCTGTAGGGCTTTGTGTCTAGACCTTGCTTATCCCAATCTGTGGCTAGGGCCAAAGGAGGCATGGCAGGAACACACCTGGGTCTGACAGTTGCTGACTGTGGCAGAGTTGGACAAACAATTTAATGCAGTGATTGAAGGATACATAGAAAAGCAGATACTAATAACAGAAAGCAGCAAGAGACTTGGGAACTCACCTGGTTTGCTGGTATCTGTTGGGCAGAAACTCCAAGGTAATGGGTTTCGGAAAGAGTTTATAAAATACCACAAAATCCAGGCCAAAAGCATATTGTAATAGAGAACTACTAGGAAGCACACTATCACAGAAGTGTAACCTGTGGAATATACAAGCACACTCAGATTTGGCATGAACAAAGAAAATTGCTTTTTAACATACATATTGCAAGAGTCTGATTCACACAATGGAAAGATCAAATCCAATTACTACCTGAACTCTGGCAGTCTGGAAAACAATATTGCTCTGTGAATTAAACGTTGCTGCTAACAAACGAAGCAGTGGGGCGGGAGGAAGGCAATTCCCATTTTGCCTCAGGTGGTGAAATCACACAGGTTGCCCTTGAGTGGCTCTGTTTATCTTCTACACAGATAGGCATGCAACTGCCTGAGTTTACTACTACTGGGATGCGGGTAGCGCTGTGGTCTGAACCACTGAGCCTCTTGGGCTTGCCAATCAGAAGGTCAGCGGTTCAAATCCCTAAGACGGGGTGAGCTCCCGTTGCTCGGTCCCTGCTCCTGCCAACGTAGCAGTTCAAAAGCATGCCAGTGCAAGTAGATAAATAGTTATCACTGTGGCGGGAAGGTAAACGGCGTTTCTGTGCACTCTGGTTTCTGTCACAGTGTTCCGTTGCGCCAGAAGCGGTTTAGTCCTGCTGGCCACATGACCCAGAAAGCTGTTTGAGGACAAACACTGGCTCCCTCAGCCTGAAAGCGAGATGAGCACTGCAACCCCATAGTCGCCTTTGACTGGACTTAACTGTCCAGGGGTCCTTTATCTCTTACCCTACTGCTAATGGGTTTGCTATTACAGCCTCCTGGAGCCCATGCATTTCCAGGAAGGAGCAATCATTAGAAGATTGTATAGTCACAAGTAAAGGCAGTTGCAGAAACCTACCCAGTCCTCCCAGGTAAGGTGAGATGTGCCACCAGACTTCAATGCTGCCTTTTTTCATGCGTTGCCCTACAGCTAATTCAAGAAAAAATATAGGGGTGCCTTCCAACAGAAACGCGATGATGTATGGAATCAGGAATGCTCCTAGAAACACAATTTCCAAGCACAGTTAGCTCATAACAGTGGCATAGCGTGGGTTGCTGGTACCCAGTGCAGGCAAGCCCCTGACACTGACGGAGCACATCTCCAGCCAAGTGGGGCCTTGCTGTGCCAGCTGCCTGCAGGGGCATGTCTGGCCAGGCCAGGCCACACTGGGGATGCCCCTTGTCCCCTCCCTGTGCTCCATGGGCCTGGACTGCTTTGCATCCTTCACCAGGGTGGGGAAGCCAATGCCTGGGGGGGGTGCCTGGTTGTGTTCCCTCAGAATTCTACCCCTTGGCCCCACACACTATGCCACTGCTCATGCCCTCCTCCACCTCTAACTTTCTACTAGCATTATCTTTATACCAGCAGCATCTGTCAGGTAAGTATGTTGTACATAAAATAATTATTAAGTAAAGCAAAAAAGCTGTAACAGTTGATTGAGAGAGGATTTTTCCCCCCATATGGTGATAAACTGGGGGTAAGAAAACCTGGGGGCGCTACCTTAACTGCTATGGCACCCAGTTGTGGCTCTTGAGAATTTTTCCATGAAGGGACAAGGGTTCTACAGCTAATGATCATTAACTTCCTCCATTGGGGAAGCTGTGATGTTGATATCAGATTCAAATTGGGACTGCCCCCGCCCCCATGCAAACAATATGAGGGGCAGGGAGGTGTTGTGGAGTGAGCTAATCATGTCCTCCCGCTTAGGGTCTGTGCAAAAAGGCAATAATATACAACTAATTGTTAGAGGGTTTTTTATGTTTTTTTACTGTGGCATGCATTGAAAGTGCATCTAATTGGTGGGGATTAACCTGCATAAATTAGACCTGCAGTGAGAGATGTAGAAGGTGAAAGTAATGAAAAAAATGCTGCTTCATTGATTGAGAGTTCCTTGCTGCTGTTTTTGCACTTACATTTTAGCTAGTTTTTTTCATTTTTAAAAAAAATTCTGGAATGTAGGGTGGGGGGGAGAATCAACTTTGAGGGAAATCAGCTAGAGTCAACTCAGGTGTTCATATCTCCCTTGGTCTACGTTCTCAGGTGTAAATTATCTGCTTTCCTTGAGAAGAAGAAGAGATTGGCAAAAAGTTACAACCAGGAATGATGCTGCAAAGGAAGTTGCTCTTGGACAAAGTAGCTTGTTTCTAATCTCTTCACTTTTCAACAAGGAATAATACACATTTTAAAATCATTTATCAGAGTCAAAGCACAGAAACATTTAAAGAACTCTTTTTGTCACAGTTGCCTAGAAGCAAGACTATTTGTTTTTCATGTTTCTTGCCAATAGAATTTAAATAAAAATAAAAATCCATGTCCGTTTAGTCAGAGAAAGTAAATAACTCAGACACTAAATCCCTGCAGTGAAACCAAATCAATCAGTAACAATAGATAACAATTCCAACAAGACTTAAAGCTTGGGTTGTAAGTTATTCAGTAATACTATTAAGCGCTGCATGCAAATCAGAGTTGCAGTGAGGCATTGAAGTTAACAGAAAAATTAGGGACATATCTTTCCCAATTTCTCTGTCTTGTTGTTTTGCTCTGGGCACATAGCCATCTGTCAATCAGAAGGAAGAGCAGGATGTAAATGGCATTATTTTTTATTTTATTTAGCAATGAATTTCTCAAACCAAAAATAAAAAAGGACCCCTCCCTTTTACAGAACCTGTGATAGTCTCCTTCTTCTAGCTGTCATCTGCCACAGATGAGGCCATCAGGTGGAGAGTCGTGACATTTAAGTACCTTTACAGCTGCCTCTGCAGAGCCATTTTAGGCCACCTTTGTTCCCACCTCTGGCTTTTTTTGCCATCTCGCATAGAGCCCCTTAATCTCCCTTAATGGCTCACAACCCAGGCTAACACCTCACTGGGAGGCTAGCCTGGCTATTCCAAGAATTAAAAGCACTGATTATTTTTAACAGTTGCTGGATCCAGAGATTAGAGGGGTGTGGCACACCCCAAACACATATTATTTTAGAACAAGAGGCGCTTGTCATAGTTTAGTCTGAACAATCATGCAACTAATCAATTAAAAGGTGGGTTTTCTCTTACCTCCTCCATAGGTTTGGCACAAGTATGGAAAACGCCACACATTTCCAAGACCCACAACAAATCCAGCACAGCTTAAAAGGTACTGGAATTTACTATCCCACTTGGGCCTTATGTACTCTTCATCGCTGCCTTCAGATTCATCAGTTTCCATCTTTACTTTATACTCTTCAACGCCACCTTCAGGTTCATCAGTTGCAGGCTTTAATTGATACTCTTCAACGCCGCCTTCAGGTTCATCAGTTGCCATCTTTACTTTATACTCTTCAACGCCGCCTTCAGGTTCATCAGTTGTCTTCTTTACCTTAGACTCTTCAACGCCGCCTTCAGGTTCATCAGTTGCCTTCTTTATTTTATCCTCTTCAACGCTGCCTTCAGGTTCATCAGTTGCCTTCTTTACTTTATCCTCTTCAACGCCGCCTTCAGGTTTATCAGTTGCCTTCTTTACTTTATCCTCTTCAACGCCGCCTTCAGGTTCATCAATTTCCTTCTTTACTTTATCCTCTTCAACGCCGCCTTCAGGTTTATCAGTTGTCTTCTTTACTTTATCCTCTTCAACGCCACCTTCAGGTTCATCAGTTGCCTTCTTTACTTTATCCTCTTCAACGCCGCCTTCAGGTTCATCAATTTCCTTCTTTACTTTATCCTCTTCAACGCCGCCTTCAGGTTCTTCAGTTGGCTTCCTTGCTTTATCCTCTTCAAAGCCGCCTTCAGGTTCATCAGTTGCCTTCCTTGCTTTATCCTCTTCAACGCCGCCTTCAGGTTCTTCAGTTGGCTTCCTTGCTTTATCCTCTTCAAAGCCGCCTTCAGGTTCATCAGTTGCTTTCTTTACTTTATCCTCTTCAAAGCCGCCTTCAGGTTCATCAGTTGCTTTCTTTACTTTATCCTCTTCAACGCCGCCTTCAGGTTCATCAGTTGCTTTCTTTACTTTATCCTCTTCAACGCCGCCTTCAGGTTCATCAGTTGCTTTCTTTACTTTATCCTCTTCAACGCCGCCTTCAGGTTCATCAGTTGCCATCTTTACTTTATGTTCTTCAACGCCACCTTCGGGCTCATCAGTTGCCATCTTTGCTTTATGTTCTTCAACGCCGCCTTCAGGTTCATCAATTTCCTTCTTTACTTTATACTCTTCAACGCTGCCTTCAGGTTCATCAGTTGCCATCTTTACTTTATGTTCTTCAATGCCACCTTCAGGCTCATCAGTTGCCATCTTTGCTTTATCCTCTTCAACGCCGCCTTCAGGTTCATCAGTTGCTTTCTTTACTTTATCCTCTTCAACGCCGCCTTCAGGTTCATCAGTTGCCATCTTTACTTTATGTTCTTCAACGTCGCCTTCAGGCTCATCAGTTTCCATCTTTGCTTTATGTTCTTCAATGCCGCCTTCAGGTTCATCAGTTTCCTTCTTTACTTTATACTCTTCAACGCTGCCTTCAAGTTCATCAGTTGCCATCTTTACTTTAAACTCTTCAACACTGCCTTTGGGTTTATCAGTTGCCATGTTTACAACCTCTTTTTCTCCTTTCACCACATATTTCTCCAATATTAGCAGCAGCCAGGCAACTGACCAAGGAAGTAGTGGGGGGGGGCAGCAGCAGAGGTATTCTGAACAATGGATGGAACTTCCATCTGCGACATCACACCAAAGAATGCAGATATAACAACCTAGCAACCTACAGCCACACAAATTACAGAGTTGAGATGAGGCACTGAAGTTAACAGAAAAAATCTTACCTCTTGGAAGCAGTGAAGATATAATTTAACCCTTTCTGTCTAAACTCTAAATTGTATTACCTTTCCTAAAGTTTCCCCTAGCATAGGAAAAAGACCACACGTTTGGTAAGTTTAAAAATTGTTTACTTTCACACTCTTCAAAGGTCAGGTTCATGTGTTTCATAAAAGGTTCCTCAGGCAGTAATATTCACCTTAGTTACAAAGCGGCGAAAGCTCCTAAATTATTGGTATAGGAACTCAAGAATGGATGCTGTGGGCCATGCAATTGAGCTGGAGCAACCAACTCAAACCTCTTCACATGCCGAGTTTCTCAAGTAAACGGGAGAACAAAGGCTTGATTATTAGTTCCTGCCAAGGTGAGGGGAAGTAGATAGTTAAGCCTGTCAGGACAACATACTCTATGGTATTAACCCCTTCATGTATTAATTAGACTTAAGCATGTTGGTTATATGAGGTTGATTATCCCACAAACCCCTTCTCAAGAAAATGTAACAATTGCATGCACAATAAATGAACCTCCGGGAATAACATCAAAGGTTCTAAAAACTGTTTCTTGGTCAGAATGTCAGCTATCATGTCTTTGGTTTGACAATACCGCAATTCAAGTCCATCTTGTACCACATCATACACATAGTGGTATTTCACCCCACTATGAGCTTGCAGTTTCTCCAGATCTGGGAGAGCTGTGTACAGCTATTAACCAAATGAAAAACAACAAAGCCAGCGGACCTGATGGGATACCTGCTAAAGTCTTCAAAGTGGGTGGAATTGACCTTACACAACAACTTCATAAGCTCATCGGAAAAATCTGGGAGAAAGAGGAGATCCCAGTATACTTTAGGGATGCCAAAATTATCAGTCTCTTTTAAAAAGGTGAGAGAACAGATTGTGGAAACTATCAAAGGCATCTCTCTATTAGCTGTGGCTGGAAAAATGCAGAGAACAAAACCAACCCCTATGTATGGTATTTATTGACCTGACTAAGGCCTTTGACACTGTAAACTGTAATACCCTGTGGACTGTCCTTCTGAAAATTGGCTGCCCAGATAAATTTGTGAACATTTGGCTCCTCTATGATATGACAGCAACAATCGCCGGTAACAAGGGCTCTCAAAGTGAACCATTCACAGTGGGATCAGGTGTTAAACAGGGATGTGTTATTGTCCCAACTCATTCATTATTTTCATTGTCATGATCCTACACTTCATTGAAAGGAAACTCCACACCGGAGTAGAAATCATATATCAAACAGATGGAAAGCTCTTTAATCTGAGCAGGCTGAAAGCAAAGAGTAAGGTTACCACAACTTCCATCATAGAGCTTCAGTATGCTGATGACAACCTAGCGTGTGCACGCTCAGAGGATGACCTCCAAACTGTCCTAAATATCTTCACAGAAGCTTATGAAAAGCTTGGCCTTTCACTCAACATCCCAAAAACCAAAGTGCTGCACCAACAAGCAAAAAACAACCCCTCTGTAGCGCCACAAATCCAACTCAATGGTGTAACATTGGAAAATGTTGATCACTTCTCCTACCTGGGCAGTTATCTTTCCACAAGGGCTGACATTGATGCCGAAATCCAGCATCGCCTGAGCTCTGCGAGTGCAGCTTTCTCCCGATTGAAGTGCAGAGTCTTTGAGGACAGGGACATTCACAGGGAAACCAAAGAACCAAAGTGCTTGTTTACAAAGCTATTGTACTACCAACCTTACTGTATGCTTGTAAAACATGGACCACCTATAAACGCCATCTCCAACTCCTCGAAAGATTCCATCAACAGTGTCTCCGAAAACATTTACGCATTACCTAGGAAGACAGGCGAACTAATGCCAGTGTACTGGAAGAAGCAAAGATCACCAGTGTTGAAGCAATGATTCTACATCAACTTCACTGGACGGGTCATGTTGTGTGGATGCCTGATTATCGTCTTCCAAAGCAACTACTCTATTCTGAACATAAAAATGGAAAGTGTAATGGTGGTGGTCAACAAAAGAGGTTTAAAGACTCTCTCAAGGCAAATGTAGTAAAAAAAACTGACAACTGGGAAACACTGGCCTGTGAGCACTCCAACTGGAGAACAACCATCACCAAACGTGTCATGGGCTTTGAAAACGCTTGAACTCAGGACGAAAGCAGGAAACATGCTAAGGGAAAGGCACACTCGGCAAATCCACACCATGATCAACTCCCGCCCAGAAACCTGTGTCCCCACTGTGGAAGGACGTATGGATCCAGAATTGACCTCCACAGTCACTTACAGACTCACTGTTAAAACCGTGTTTATGGAGAACAATATTACACAGCTACGACTGATCGCCAAAGAAGAAGAAAAAAGAAGCCTTAACAGAGATTGTGATCAATCATTTAATTTCAATTAGTAAGCAATTTAGAGCAGCTAATTCATTTTCCCTGAGGGGAAAACAAATTTTCTTCATCTGCCCAAACAAGATATTCAGCAAATAGTCCTTGTGGGTAAGGTTGCAACTGTGGATTGGGCAATCAAAGGCATGCTGAGCACAGCATGAGTGAAGAGAGACCCATAAAATAACTTGGGGTGTGTTTCTTTGAACATGTGTACTTACATATTAGGGATCTCAGACAATGTATGGTTATTCTCTCACTTTCAACACAAAGTAAAAAAAGATAATAACCAACATGATAAGAAAACCCTGTCAGGTGGCTGCCTTGGATTTGGCTTGCCCCCTCAGTATGCAAAGAAGTTTCTGCCACAAGCAAAGTGCAGTAATGCTAATGAGTCACATTTAAGTAATACCTGTGTTCAAAATTACTGTTTGGAATCAATAGCACCTAGTATTTATAAAGAACTTGTCAGAGCTGCAAAGCATTTTGTATGCATTATATTTGTAATCCTTAAAACAGTCCAGTAAGGTAGGCTTATAAATCACTTAGAGATTTTATGACAATCAAGTAGTATATAATTTTTGTTAAACAAATAAAATTGTTTCCCTTGTACTTTCGAGGGGTATAGTTCTTGCAATAAAAGAGCGGTTGCTGAACAGCTTGGTGGGTTTCTGGATGAAACATCGGCTCTGGATCCATTCCAGTCCGGCTTCCGTGCTGGTCATGGGACCGAGACAGCTCTGGTTGCCCTAACAGATGATCTTCGTAGACAGCTGGATCGAGGTGGGTCGGGGCTGCTGATTCTTCTAGATCTGTCAGCAGCTTTCGACATGGTCGATCACGAACTTCTGGACCACCGCCTTGCCGACGTGGGGATCCAGGGCACAGTCCTTCAATGGCTGCGCTCGTTTCTCTCTGGTCGGGGACAGAGGGTGGCGCTTGGGGGGGAATTGTCATCGCGCCACTTCTTGGTGTGTGGAGTACCTCAGGGTGCGATACTCTCCCCGGTGCTTTTCAACATCTTTATGCGCCCCCTTGCCCAGCTTGTCTGGAGTTTTGGGCTGGGTTGCCATCAGTATGCTGATGACACCCAACTCTATCTGTTGATGGATGGCCATCCTGACTCGGCCCCAGACACACTGACCAGATGTTTGGAAGCTGTGGCTGGATGGTTACGTGGGAGCCGGTTGAAGCTAAATCCTTCGAAGACAGAGGTCCTGTGGCTGGGACGGGATGATATGGGATTGGGGGGGCAACTCCCATCTCTTGCCGGGGCGCAATTAGTGCCAGCACCGTCCGTTAAGAGTTTGGGTGTAATCTTCGACACCTCCCTTTCCATGGAGGCGCAGATTGCAGCTACAACAAAGGCGGCATTTTTCCATCTCCGCCAAGCTAAGCAGTTGGCTCCTTACCTCTCTCGCCCTGACCTAGCCACTGTGATCCACATGACGGTCACCTCCAGACTGGATTATTGTAACTCGCTCTACGTGGGGCTGCCCTTGAGACTGATCCAGAAACTCCAGCGGGTGCAGAATGCTGCAGTGAGACTCCTTACGGGGTCTTCGCTGCGAGATCACATTCACCTGGTGCTATACCAGCTGCACTGGCTCCCGGTGGAGTACAGGATCAGGTTTAAGGTGCTGGTTTTAACCTTTAAAGCCCTATACGGCCTAGGACCCTCCTACCTACGGGACCGCCTCTCCTGGTATGCCCCACAGAGAAACTTACAGTCTTCAAATAAAAACATCTTGAAGGTCCCAGGCCACAGAGAAGTTAGGCTGGCCTCAACTAGAGCCAGGGCTTGTTCGGCCGTGGCTCCGATCTGGTGGAACACTCTGTCACAAGAGACCAGGGCCCTGCGGGACTTGACATCTTTCCGCAGGGCCTGCAAGACAGAGCTGTTCCACCAGGCCTTTGGCCAGGGCACAGCCTGACTCCCTCCCTCGGCAATCTTCGTGGAGCTCTGGCCCAATGGTTGCCAGTGGCTTGAATTAATTAATTTTATAATGAATGATTTTAGAGGGTTGTTTGTGCTGTACTTTTGTACTGTTTTATTGTTGTTAGCCGCCCTGAGCCCGGCATCGGCTGGGGAGGGCGGGATATAAATAAAATTTATTATTAATAATCTGTTATACGTATTTGAGATTCTCAAGTGCATTGAACTATTTTTAAATAGCCATATAATTCCTTTTTATATATATTAGAGATGGGCAAGTTTATGGTCAAACTACAAAACTTTCTCTCCCAGGAGGCAGTGATGGTCACTAAGTTGGTTGGCTTTAAAAGAGGATTAGAATAATTCATGGGGAAGGAGATGGGTACTAGCCGTTATGACTATTGCTCTCCCTCCACTGTGGGAGGCAGCACTGGTTCCAAATACTGGAAACCACAGGAGGGGGGGTGCTTGAAGCAGCTAGGAAGCCTGCTCCCCATCACGTGCAGTTTCAAAATGTCCTTGGGAGTGCAGGGATGGGGTGTGCCAATGTGCCATGCAGCCCAGAGGCATTGCATTGGCAAAAAATGGCCGCCCTCATTTTAAAAGACAGCCTGTGGACCACCCAATAACCCTGTTTGGAATGATTTGTCTATCGGAGCAGCGATTGGTTGATTTTAGCATTCATCTTTTCAGGTGAAATACAGTTGCTCCGGCAAATTCCAGAAGCTTCTGTACAGCTCCTGAAGGAAGTAACAGAACCACCACTATATGAAGATTTCAAAGCCATTCTGGATTGATAGATGCGGAGCTATTATAGGTAAACCGATTTATTTTTCCTTTAAAAAAGAAAAAGGAATAAATAGCTAAGTCAACCTCCTGTATCCCAAAGCAGGAAAAATGTAGTAATTTGGTGCCTGAAAGTACGCTTAGTATCATGAATACATGAGCTCAAAGTGACGTTTTCAAAGTATTTTATCAGCAAAGTAAGTAATGGGATATGCTCCATTTTTAGTTCTATTTTTTACCGTGTAAAAAATTCACCTAACCTGGAACTGTCAGGGGGAAATATATTTGTCTGTAATCCAACAATGGTGAGATGCCTATTCTGGTATCTTGCCTAAAAAGTGATCTATGGCTGCAAGTTTCTGTGTTCCGTTCACTAAGCCTTGTAAACTGCTTTTAAAAATGTGACTTCTGTTTTAAAAACTCGGTAGCACATTATTTTGTAATTGTGGCTGCCAGAACCATGTGGTTTTCCTTAAACCTTGCTGAGAAATCAAGACTATTATTGTACTGCACATGGCCTTTCAGCCAAAACAGTTGTTGTATCTTTCTTAGTAATAGCCCATTTACTTGGTAAGACTCAGATCTCCAATTTAGAAAATACAACTTGTGCCTTAATGGATTGTGTCATCTAAATTCCAGTTGTTATTTATATATCTCAATCTGTCATAAGGGTAGTGCCTGAAAAGATCCTTACTGTGGAATTACCATGTTCTGTCTACTTATGTTTTGGAGGGTGTCCACTTATAATATCATCATTTTGTAATCAGCCCCTAGCAGTTTTCCCCTTTCTAAATCTCATGCACCGAATGGCCTTAGGAAAAGCACTTTCTTTCAGTTTCAGCCCCCACACCTGCAATATAGGTATAAGAATGTGAACCTGCCTTATATGGTTGGCATAGTAAGACTTACTAGATAATTTATGTGTTATGCATTATGAACATTCCTAAATGTTATATATAAAGATGCATTTATTTAGAAAATGGTTTTAGGTAGAAATCCCTACATTCTTACTGAGTGAATACCTTAAATTTGAGGATACATGTGTGGGTTTTTTTATTGGTCAGGATAGGATGGGGGAAACAAGGGTGACCAGATCGCTGAAACAAAAGTTAAGATCAGGTGCTACCAGTGCTGGTATCTGGATGTATTATTTGTAGCAGTTTCTTTTTCAACACAATTCTCCAAAGTTGATAAATGGCTCCAAAAGGGATCATCAAGCATGGTACAGTTTCAAGCATCTCAGAGATGATGACAGCCCAGGGAGGATACTTTTTTGACTCTTTTGCAGGAAAATGTACCTTTGGGAGAAACAAATGTATTGCATGAAAGCCACACTGAACAGCATCATCTTCTATGCGTTTACACAGAAGTAAATCCCATCAGGTTATATGGGTTGCTCCCAGGTAAGTGAGGACAGGAATTACAGCTTGTTAATACTTCAAAGTGGGAGCTAAGCAAAGGTTGGCATTATTCCAAAAGGGAAAGGGTTGCATGCAGTGTAGGGCTAAGACTATGGCTTCATCAGCACAAGGATGTCTCCTCTCATGATGGGATGTACTCCTCCTCCTCTCCACTGGTGCACCCCCTAAATACCTTCTAGGGATTTCCCAAACCCTCTGGTGCAAGCATCTCCAAACTCGGCCCTCCAGATGTTTTGGGACTACAACTCCCATCATTCCTAGATAACAGGACGAGTGGCCAGGGGTGATGGGAACTGTAGTCCCAAAACATATGGAGGGCTGAGTTTGGGGGTGCCTGCTCTGGAGCAAATTTTGGGATGCCATGGGAGGAGGAGAGGGGGGGAAAGCCCCATTGTGCTAGTGGTGTGTTGTGTGTAACAAAAAACACTGTTTTTATGAACGCTCACTCCTGTCACACCGAATGGTAAAATCTCTCTGCTTTATGTAGGCTGGGACTTGATAGCAAACAGTTATCATCAAGGCTGATCATCTGAAAACTCATGAAGCTGAACAGATCTGGGACTGGTCAGTGTCTGCATGGTTGACTAGGAACCACATGGCATCCATCTGTCTTGGGAGAAAGTGGAAGAATGTGCCTTTGTGGGTAAAGTCAAACCATTAGAGAGTTACAGCGCCTACTGTGGCTGTACAGAAAAAGCATGTTTGCTGCTACAGGTGCGCTATGGCACTCCTTTCTGCATCCCACCCCCAGTGGTCATTCCTCCTCTGTCCACTACTGTGGATACACACCCTGACTGTCTTTCTCCAGGCAATACCATCTTGTAATAGGTTCATACGCAAGTTTGCTGGCTCACTACACGTACAGCAGACACACACCTCCTGTGCCCAACAAAGAAGTAAACAGCCCAGCAGGCATGTAGGGTTCTGTAAAGCCTGTTTTAGCTTGGTGTCCTAGATGGCAAGAGCCAGGATCACTGTCCAGCCCTTGGTGGACTGTAGTATATGACTGATGGCATCTTTGGGCTTGGTGTGAAGAGGATGTCTGTTTATTCAACCTGCTTTTAAGTTGCTCTTCAGGAATGCTCTTAGAGCAGCTTACAGCAGAGTAATAAAATCAAAATGTAAAACCATTTATTAAATGTGCGGCTGAAACAAAAGAGGCAGCACATTAAATAAAAAGGCCAACATAAAGCATCCTCAGTTGATTATACTTAATAATTTATAATTCTATTATTTATACCCCACCCATCTTACTGGGTTTCCCCGGCCACTCTGGGTGGCTTACAGCATATCTAAAAAAATCCAGCATTAAAAATCTGGTGAGGTTAATTAGCTGCAGGACCCCCTGTAAGCCCTAGTGAACCATCGGTGATAGCCCAGGAATTCTGTGCTTAAGCAGAGCATCTTTATCAATTCAGGAGTTGAATTGAGATTCAGGAGTAGCAGCAAGATTGGAGTGAGAGCTCAATCCCCCCCCCATGAATGCAAATTAGGGAAAGACTAGTAATGACTTGTATAAAGGTAACTTACATAATTTGGGTTCCAAGTATTGTAGCTTGATGGTGGCTCAACAAGTACATAGAAGAAAAAAATTAGGAGCATTGTCCCTGGCGAGAAAAATAACCACATTGCCTTCCAATAGGATTTTAGTGGTCTTCCTATCATCTTTTCCACATCTGCACTGAATCTGTTAATGAAATGGATATATTTAGTGAGGGATCTGTGGACAATTCACTTGCATGTAACCTTATTAAAAATGAAGCCAGCTAAACTTCTGTTTCTCCTCTGACCGCATGCCTGCTCATCACTTGAACAAGTAGAGCAGCTACATAAGCATCACTCAAAAGAGGGAAATGCAAACAAAAGAGGATTCAGGCTTGCGTAAAACGTTTGCGTAAAACGTTTATGTGCTAATTTAGAAATGATTTTTGTGACTGAAATAGAAATGTATTACATGTCTACATAGTGGGGAAGACTGATCAGCTAGCCTGTTCCATCTCCTTTCCAGGTGTTAACTTTGAAGCCCCTGCTCTCCCTGCCTAGGGTTTTTAATCTTTTAAACCAGAGGGATTTTCAAATCAAGGACTCTCTCAAATAGAGATCTATCCTCCCTGGCAGTTGCTTGGGCTGTTAAGTAGGCCACATGCACACAACCCACCCCCCCAATCAAATGATCGTTTGCACAAATAAATTAAACACAACAGATAGGAAACATTTATCCTATTGCAACTTGTGGGGTGTATATCCCCAAATTATGCATAAGGCTGCAAACCTTAGCTGGGATCTTATTCCCACTGTATGCAATGGAATTTATTTCTGAGCAGGGAGACATGTGATTATACTTCAAATACAATAAAAAGGTATCACTTGCTGCACCTAGGCCAGGAACAGATCTGGCAGACACCCTCACTTTTGACTTTCCCGCTTCGCTTAAAAATCAGATCTTCATTGCTCTTTAATGTTTTGTTTAGCCAGCCACTTCCACAATTATTTGTACTGTTTGCAATTGTTTTTTATGTTAATGTTGCACATCACCCCAGTGTGTTTTTTTTGGTGGTACAGAAATGCTTTTCTAAATAAATAGACTAAATAAAGGTTTGTTGCTTAGAGTGTTGTTTTCACAGGATAAAGGAGGGAAATGGAAGTGTCACACCTCACCAGCTTATCAATGGGCTTGCTTCTCATGATCCCTCTGATGAGGGGTGCTGGTAAATCTGGGTCCTGGGCCATACCACTTCAAATAGCAATGGCTGTTGGCGACGGTACCTCTTCAGACTGAATGCCCCTCATATTAAACATAACGGCTCCCCCCATGGATGAGTATTCAGTTTTGAAACACAACTCACTAAAGCAGTCTGAAGCAGTCCAGATTAGACACCAGTTTACCTTGTAAACCCTCTTCAAGCATTAGAGTTAGTTTCCATGTAAGTGGGGGAGCAGGCGGGGGGGGGGGGCAAGGCACTCCATCACTAAAAAATCCTGATTTGCATCACAAGATGTAGGTGGATTGCCTAGCTTCTCCATAGTGTGTTCATTTCTCAATAGAAATGCTTAGTTATGAATACAGCCTCACGTGTTCATCTGCCTTGAGTTGCTTGTGCACCTAAGGGCTTATCTAGATACATATACGAAGAAACATAGCCATACCTTTTCATTCCATAAAGAAATGCAACACCCATCACTTCAAAGAAAGCGATGACTAGCAAAGGCATGGTTCCCCCAAAGGCATCAAACATCTCAAGCCAGTAGTTTCCTGATCTCAGAGCAAAAAGCAGGCCCAGCAGAAAGGCAGTAAGGCATATTAAACCTACAGACAACAACATTCATTAGTCAATTAACACAAATGAAATAAAAGAAAACCTAACCATTGGTGTTTACATGTGCGTTTATAATCAATCCCAACATGTCTGTTCCGTTCTTGCCAAACACCCAAGTTTTGCCACTCACCTATCCTTAATGGTTAATGAGTGCAATGTGGCATCATTAAGACTGTACAGTTTCTGCTCACCAGATTATTGTTATTGTTGTTATTACTGTTTATTAATTTATATAGTGCCCTTCAGAGATATCAGGGCAGTTCACAAGATAAAAATACAGGATAAAAGCACATAATAAATAGAACAAAAACAAAACAATCACCCCCGCTCACACAAACACATTTAAAAGGCCATAGAAGAAGAAGAAGAGGAGGAGGAGGAGTTTGGATTTGATATCCCGCCTTTCACTCACTTTTACGGAGTCTCAAAGCGGCTAACATTCTCCTTTCCCTTCCTCTCCCACAACAAACACTCTGTGCGGTGAGTGGGGCTGAGAGACTTCAAAGAAGTGTGACTGGCCCAAGGTCACCCAGCAGCTGCATGTGGAGGAGCGGAGACGCGAACCCGGTTCCCCAGATTACGAGACTACCGCTCTTAACCACTACACCACACTGGCTCTCTCTCTCCCAAGGCCTGGTTGAAGAGGAACTTTATTTGCCTGACACTTAAAGATGTATAATGAAGGTGCCAGCCAAACCTCCCTGGGGAGGTTAATGAATCTGGAAATAACATATCTTGAAACAACAGTAGCAGCTAAGAGAATGAGCAATGAGCCAGGATATTCCATCGAAATACTGTCATGCCCACGAACCCTATCTCAGCCCCCATCTGCAATACAGAGATAGTATTAAGCTACTGTTATTTACAATAGCTGAAATAATGTACAAGAAGCACTTTGAACCATATTAATCTTGAGCATGGTTAACAGCAAAGAAAAGGATTTGAGGAAGATGCCTTACCACATACAGCCTCCTTGCATATGTATCTAGACACAATGGGAGATTCTGTGAGAGGCGTCAAGATACTTTGAATGAGTCCAAAAATGGAAGATACACCAAGACTGAACAGCATGAGAAAAAACAGAATCGCCCAAGTGTTTGATCCAGGCATCTTAATGACGATTTCAGTGAACACAATAAAGGACAAGCCGGTTCCAGAAACACTCTGCAAAATTCACAAATAATGGTAAAAACTGTCAGATTGATTTCTAAATGTCATTTATTCTAATGCAGAGGCAAAATGTTGTATTACTCAACATTTAGCCATCATCTGGAATAAGATACAGTCATTACCGATGACAAGTTCTTATCTTGACCTGGACCCTTGACACCTGAGAGGTGCATTTTTGGGACTCACCATGTTTTAGTGGTATTAAGTTGCTGTAATCTTTTTTTAGTGTTGCATTTTAAATCGTTGTCACTTGCCCTGGGAGCTAAGGGTGAAGGAAAGGTAATAAAATAATAAAGGCAGCCACCTAAGCTCGCAGGTTGCTTTCTGTGGCTCTTTTAGTGCTCATATGTGCAGACACAGATATGGTTTGTGTGTGTCTCTGCAGAATTATAAGGGGAAACTTCTCAAGCTGGACTAGAGTTCTGGTGGGTACCCTGAGCCCCATCTTCTGTGTGCAAGTATTTGTGGCTAAATAAAGTGGCCATAGAACACCCCAGTAACAGTAGTTGTAGGGGGGATGGTAGATTGTGTTTCTTCGGAGATAACCAGGCAAACAACTTGTGGTCTCTGTGCACTCATACATATGGGTAGAGTAACAAGCTAGTTTACCAGAGACAGAGCAGCTTGTATGAAGCCAAAGAGCTAAACACAGCTCTTCTGAAAGAATTTCCTGCCTGGGCCATCACATCAACGGTAGCTGAAGACCGAGGGCTGTGACCCCCTTGCAGCATGGCAGAGGTCCAGCAGAGAAACTACAGAAAAATGCAGTGGAAGCTGCAGAAACCTTCATGGAATGTGACCAGAGAAGGAAGCCCCATTCATTCATGCAATGCAAGTACAATACCTTATCAAGGAAATACTGGAGATCACAATTTGCCAGTTTGAGAGATGCCAGTTTATTGATATCTGTTCCATTCAAATAACTGAGCCAAAATGCGCTGCTGTCTACAGTGATGTTGTCTTTCCTGAATGCCTTGGTGATGCTTTTAACATTTCTGTCAGTAAAGTCAAGAATGATACGAATTATTTGCATTGCCATAGTCCCTAAGAAAAACAACAGCAATTTGCTTCAAATAGGGGCAGGCCAGGGGCCAAACGGGTTTATGCACAACCACTGACGTGCGCTGGGACCAGGAACGCAACCCCCATACAAACAGGAAGTTGCCTGTATACCTGATTTAATGAATATGCACACGGAACATGCAGGATTGTATACTTTGTGTTCTATGCTACAATCTTATTTTAATTCTGCCCTCTGGGGTCCCCAAAACTGGTTTAAAGGGGGGGGGATGACACAAAATTCTAGACAATGAAAAACAAAAATTGTGAACTTGGACCAACACCTTAAATTGGTTCCTAACTGTGAAACTTGAATGGCTCACCTTTCCAAGCATTCTTCATAGGCCACTGTTGCTTTGAACCCCAGAATCGAAAAAATTGGGATTGATGCAAACAAAGAACTCAAAGAGTTTATTGCTGCTATCATGACAGCATCCAGTTCACAGTCATTACTAGGAAAAGCAAGTACATAACAACCCGATTAAATGTTACAAAGGACAACACCGAGTCTGTAACTTCTAATGTTATACATTTATTAATTTATTTGAAGTACTTGTACTCTATTCTTCACTGAGTATTTTCAGTCCCAGAACAGTAAAACAAAGCAATTGACAGATGGCATGTTGTTGCAGAAACTAAATAGCTGAAGGCACTACTGAAATATGTTGGTTTTGTCATTGTTATTATTATTAATTTCTTTATTCGCTGACAGGACTCAAAGCAGCTTACAGTTTAAAAACATGAACCACTAGAGAGAGAAAATTCATTGAAATACAATTAAACATGGATAGAATGAAAACTATAAACATGAAAAAAAAATATGTTTAAAACCTACCAATAATTACACAAAAAAATGTCCTCAATTTTTGTGTGTGGGAAAGAGAAAATAAGCAGGCAGCCCTAGAACAGAGTCTGAAAAAGACAAGGCCTGACTAACCCTCTGTGAAGATCCAATGAAATGGCACTGGGGGTTCTAGAAATCTACTGGGGGAGGAGGATCCATCTGAGTGTTGATGTTGTATATTTGTATAACTAAAGCCTTTTGATACAGAAATGTCAGTAAGACTCTTCAGATCTCATTCAACAGAAACCAGCCCTGGTGCATGCACTGGAATCCCTGAAATCTCTCATCATTCTGGGACTGGAGAGGGCCCAGATATTATACATTTATCACATTTAGAGCTCACTTTTCTCCAAAGGATTCCAAGGTAGCATACAAGCAAGTTATGCTGTTTTATTCTCACAGGAACCTTAAGGCATAAGTTATACTGAGAGCATGCACTCAGTCACTCGCCTTCTCATTATTGCATCTCAAACGTAGCTGAACTTTGCCCAGCACTGGCATTGCAGAAAGAACAATAGAGAGCATCTTTGGGTTGCTCACACAGGGAAACATCAAGAGAACAGAGCCATCCGCTTTTCCTGGGCTCCAGTGTGGGCTGAATGAGAATTGAGTCTTGTCTCCAGAGATCACTGAGGCGCTATCTCATAGAAGTTTATTTGACTGCGTCAAACAGCTCCTCTCCACATTGTGAGCGAAAGCTAACAAAACTGTAAGATTATACCTACATTGACGGGTTGTAGCTTGAATATGCTATGAGTCCCCCAAATCCTAAAGAAAGAGAGGAAAAGATCTGGGTGGCTGCATCAAGCCAGGCACGTGGATTGTTGATCTTCTTGAGCTGTGAGAGAGACAGAGAGAGCTCAGGGCTAAACACATTATTAGTCTCATAATTCTTGTGTACTGATACAGGCCTTCCTGACAAGCAGTGGAAAATTAGTGTGTTTTCTGAATTCAACAAATTCAAAACAGAACAATGCATTATACTGGCAAACAAGTGTTTCACAAACTGCCTGCTGGGCGCTAGTTGGAGGCGGAGAATCAGTGTGTAGGAGAGAGAGCTTAACTCTTTCCATGTTTGGCGATAGTCCCTTACAAATGCTCACTAGAGTGCTTTTACCTTCACTTTTGCATCTTCCAGTCTTGGACCCTGCCAGACGGAGAAACAAAAAGCAGCCCAGGGGAGCATTTGTAGGGAAGAATTGGTGGGCATAGGGAGGATTAAGTAGCTGCCCACTGGCTTCCTCTGCAAATGCATCTCTCCATCTCTGCATTCGCCCCAGCACTACAAGTCAAATGCAGAACTGGGACACCCCATGCTTGCACAATGAAGTGTAGTTCTGCCCTGTCTGCCGAAAAATAAGATTTGACCCAGGGTTGCCTATATTTGTAAGTTCTAGAAAAGGGCATTTTTACACACGTTTCTGTTCTTCATAGATTCTAGAGGGAGTTAACAAAGTACAATTGCCAGAATATGTGTGGATCCCAACTAGTATTAAGTGGTAAACAAAGAAGCAGCATGGAGGAAAGTTCAAAGTTCAAAGCCACCTCTAAAAGACCAAGTCAGACTTTCCGTACATCATCTGGAACACCAAGGATCAATTGAATAAATACTTGCATTAGGAGTCATGAAGTAGAGTAATCCATGAACAGCTCCTGGGAGAGTCAGTCCATAAATTAGGAATAATGTTAGAATTAGGAAAGAACATGGGGCTGTAAAATATATTGCCTAAGAGGAAGAGCAAAGCAGAGAAGAAAAAAGTGAGTGTCAGGAAGAGGTTAAGGCAATACCATGAAACAGATACTGTGCACACAAAATTACTGAACAGTTGCAGCTGAATCCAACTCAGTGATAAACTGTTTTTGTTTAGGGTGGTTTGAGGAAATGCAGAAGCTCATGCATGTGTGTAAATCACCACATAATGGTGCCATCCAGTGTGGTGCAGCAGTGGTTAACATGGCAGACTAGAACTGAGGAAACCTGTGGAGGTGTGCTCCACAGAAGTGCAGGGAGGTGGGGGAAGTGCAGGCAGTGGGGGCCCCCTCCCAACATTTTGTCTAAGTTGGTGCCTACGGCCATGAAGCTCACTGGTGACCTTGAGACAATTCTCCAGTCCAACTGACTGAAAGATTGTGAGCAGATTGTGTGCAAGAGGAAAGAGAGAGTAGCTTGAACTCTTTGGATGAGAAGTAAGATACTAATTAAAAAGGCAAGCATGCATTTTTTCTATGTTGCAGAGAAAAAAGGTAGAAAACACCTTGTGACACCTTAAGGACCAACACTGTAGGTCCTTATTAGGTGCATAAAGTCACCAGAGAATGCTGGGTTTATTCATACATCCAGATTTTCCTGGACATAACTGGGATTCGTTCTCCGAAAATAATGTCTAAAAGTTAAAATGTAAGGGCATATGGTAGCCAAAAAGCTCAACATATTTGCCCAAAGAAGCAATATATTATTCAACTGACTATTCATTATGACGTTTTATGACACAGTCCGAGTCAGGCCATCTAAACTGCTATTCCATCCCAAGGGGCTTTAGCCCTGCAGTCTAATGGGAACACTTGTGTTCCTCATAGTTGCACTTTATAGCTAATTAATCCATAATTTTGTTTCTCATTTGCTTTACGTATTGCTGATCAAACACATGAAAAAAAATACCTCCTGCATATGGATTATAACCTAGCCTCCTCGCAGACGTATTAGTTTTCAATGGGCAGGTGCCTTTTAAAAATATGACAGAACATTCGTTCATGTGAGCTGCCTTCTGTCTCACGTGGTGCAGTGCAAAGATGGCTTTACCACCTCAGTAAGGACCAGGTCAGTGAAATACAGGTGTCTGGTAATAATCCCTGCTCACCTTTCCAGTCGATTCAATTCCTCGTACTGTAGAAATGTACACAATTAACCAGCAGGATGCCAAACATAAAACCAGCCACCACTGAAGCGGACCGCTGTTTCCAATATCTGTGCTTATGTTTAAAGTGTACCTATACCAGAAATAATTAGTAGGTGTACTTTTGTGACATTCTTCAATAAGTTCTGAAATAACAAGCACAGAAGGCATTATCAAAACAGATGGAATCATAGAAGAGTTGGAAAGGATCCTGACGATCAGGAATATGCAGTTGTCCCATATAGAGATCGAACCTGCAATCTTGGTGTTATGCACACCATGCTCTAACAGACTTTCCTAATATGGTGCCATCCAGATGTTTTGGACTAGAACTTCCATCAGCCCCAGCCAGCACAGAAAAATGGGCACCTGTAGGGCTTTTGCTTATCCCAATCTGTAGCTAGGGCCAAAGGAGGCATTGCAGGAACACACCTGGGTCTGACAGTTACTGACTGTGGCAGAGTTGGACAAACAATTTAATGCAGTGGTTGAAGGATACATAGAAAAGCAGATACTAATAACAGAAAGCAGCAAGAGACTTGGGAACTCACCTGGTTTGCTGGTATCTGTTGGGCAGAAACTCCAAGGTAACGGGTTTCGGAAAGAGTTTATAAAATACCACAAAATCCAGGCCAAAAGCATATTATAATACACACTCACTAGGAAGGACACTATCAGAGAACTGTAACCTGTGGAATATACAAGCACATGCAGAACTGGCATGAACAAAGACAATTGCTGTTTAACGTAAATATTGCAAGAGCCTGATTCACACAATGGAAAGATCAAATCCAATTACTACCTGAACTCTGGCAGTCTGGAAAACAACATTGCTCTGTGAATTAAATGTTGGTGTTAACAAACTGGGTGGGGGGGTGGGGGGAGGCAATTCCCATTTTGCCTCAGGTGGTGAAATCACACAGGTTGCCCTTGCGTGGCTCTGTTTATCTTCCACACAGATAGGCATGCAACTGCCTGAGTTTACCACTACTGGGATGCGGGTAGCGCTGTGGTCTAAACCACTGAGCCTCTTGGGCTTGCCAATCAGAAGGTCAGCGGTTCAAATCCCTAAGACGGGGTGAGCTCCCGTTGCTCGGTCCCTGCTCCTGCCAACGTAGCAGTTCAAAAGCATGCCAGTGCAAGTAGATAAATAGTTATCGCTGTGGTGATAACCACAAACTGGGGGGGGGGGGAGGCAATTCCCATTTTGCCTCAGGTGGTGAAATCGGACAGGCTGCCCCAGTGGCTCTGTTTATCTGTTTATCAGCAAACTAAGGCCCATGGGCACGATCAGGCCCGATTGCCCTCTGGATCCGGCCCACAGATGGTCCTGGAATCGCCGCTTGGATCGGCTTCATTGTTCAGGCAGTGCCATTTTTTTTGCAATTTTTTTTCCGGGTGCTTTTCCCCCTCCCCTCCCCTCCCTCACACACACCATGGCAGAGGCGCCTCCCTCCTCTTGGCTTCTCCCCGCCCTGTGGAGGAAGGGAGCTGGGCTTTGTTTGGTGCCAGCAGCCAGCCAATCTGAAGCCTCGAAACCCACCCGCTGGCCTCTCCATCCATGGCTGCACTGTGGGCAGCGTGACAGGCACGGGGCTTTGTCTGGAGCTTGGTGCACCTGCTGGCCCCACACCTGGTGCCCGAGAAAGCTGGCCCAGAAAGGAGAGGCGCTGCCACCGCCACTGGCTTCCAACCGCAGGCAGAGTGGCGGAGGACGTAGGAAAGGAGGGAGGGGCTGGAGGAGAGAGAGAAGCCCTCCTCCGCGGGGTGCGTGCACACACATGCGCGCAATTTGGCCCACCACAAGGTCTGAGGGGCAGTGAACCAGCCCCCTCCTAAAAAAGAAACTGCCTGAGTTTACTACTACTGGGAAGCGGGTGGCACTGTGGTCTAAACCACTGAGCCTCTTGGACTTGCCAATCAGAAGGTCGGCAGTTCAAATCCATGCAGCGGGGTGAGCTCCCGTTGCTCTATCCCAACTCCTGCTACCCTAGCTGTTCGAAAGCACGCCAGTGCCAAGTAGATAAATAGGTATCGCTGTGGGGGGAAAGTAAACAGCATTTCTGTGCGCTCTGGTTTCCATCATGGTGTTCCGTTGCACCAGAAGCGGTTTAGTCATGCTGGCCACATGACCCAGAAAGCTGTTTGAGGACAAACACTGGCTCCCTCAGCCTGAAAGCGAGATGAGCACTGCAACCCCATAGTCACCTTTGACTGGTCCTTTACCTTTTACCCTACCACTACTGGGTTTGCTATCACACCCTCATGTAGCCCATGCATTTTCCAGGAAGGAGCAATGATTAGAAGATTGTATAATCACAAGTAAAGGAAATTGCAGAAACCTACCCAGTCCTCCCAGGTAAGGTGAGATGCGCCACCAGAGTCGAATGGTGCCTTTTTTCAAGCATTGCCCTACAGCTAATTCAAGAAAAAATACAGGGATGCCTCCCAACACAAGCGTGGTGATGTATGGAATCAGGAATGCTCCTAGAAACACAATTTCCAAGCACAGTTAGCTCATAACAGTGGCATAGCGTGGGTTGCCGGCGCCCAGGGCGGGAAAGTCCCGACACTGGTGGAGCACACCTCCAGCCAAGTAGGGCCTTGCTGTGCCAGCTGCCTGCAGAGGCATGTCTGGCCAGGCCAGGCCACACTGGGGATGCCCCTTGACCACCTCCCTCCATCTATGCCTGTACTCCATGGGCCTGGTCTGCTTTGCTGCCTTTGCCAGGGTGGTGAAGCCAATGCCTGGTGGGTGGGTGCCTGGTTGTGCCCCCTCAGAATTCTGCACCCGGGGCTCCAGGCCCCCCCCCCCACACTATGCCACTGCTCATGCCCTCCTCCATCTCTAACTATATACTAGTATTGTCGTCATACCAGCAGCATCTGTTAGGTACGTATGTTGTACGTAAAATAATTATTAAGTAAAGCAAACAAAGCTGTAGCAGTTGACTGAGTTGACTGAGCAGTTTTTTTCATATGGTGATCAACTGAGGTAAGAAAACCTGGGGGTGCTTCTTAACTGCTATGGCTCCCAGTTGTGGCTCTTGAGAAATCTAGTTCCATGAAGGGGCAAGGGTTCTACAGCTAAGGATTATTAACAACACCCTCCATTGGGGAAGCTGTGATGTTGATATCGGATTTGAATCAGGATTGCCCCCTCCGATATAAACTGTATGAGGGGCAGGGAAATGTTGTAGATAGAGCTAATCATGTTCTTCCTGCTTAGGACTGTGCAAAAAGGCAATAATATACAACTAATTGTTAGCGGGTTATTTTTTTTTTACTGTGGCATGCATTGAAAGCACATTAAACTGCATAAATTAGACCTGCTGTAGAAGATCTAGAAGGTGAAAGTCGTGAAAAAATTGCTGTTTTTGCAGTTACATTTTAGCTTGTTTTTATTCATTTTTTAAAATTCTGGAATGGTGGGGGGGGAGCTCTGCAAATAATCCGTTCTGGACAATGCTTTTATGATTCTGTCATATGATACTTCAAAAACTCAGAAAGTATCAAGCATTTATGCCTCCCCTACCAATCATTTACCCTGTCCCACGTTAGTGTTCCTAAAGTGGTAGAACAAATGGCCTTGTCTCTTTTGATTTGGCAGTGTTGTTTTCTAAAACCAAAGTTAAATCAACTTTGAGGGGAATCAGCTAGAGTCAGCTCAGGTGTTCATAGCTCCCTTGGTCTATGTCTAAATTATCTGCCTTCCTTGAGAAGCAGAAAAGATTGACAAAAAGTTACTTTGCTGCTGCAAAGGAAATTGCTCTTGGACAAAGTAGCTTGTTTCTAATTTCTTCATTTTTCAACAAGGAATAATATGTATCTTAAAATCATTTATCAGTGTTAAGAGTCAAAGTACAGAAACACCACTTTTTAAAAAAAGTTTGGATTTGATATCCCGCTTTATCACTACTCTAAGGAGTCTCAAAGCAGCTAACAATCTCCTTTTCCCTTCCTCCCCCAGAAAAACACTCTGAGTTGAGTGAGGCTGAGAGACCTCAGAGAAGTGTGACTAGCCTAAGGTCACCCAGCAGCTGTATGTGGAGGAGCGGGGAATCAAACCCGGTTCACCAGATTATGAGTCCGCCACTCTTAACCACTACACCACACTGGCTCTTATTGTCACGGTTGCCTAGAAGCAAGGCTATTTATTTTATCATGTTTCTTGCCAATAAAAAAAACCAAACACTTTAAAAAATCCATGTCCATTTAGTCAGAGAAAGTAAACAACTTGATTCACTCAGGCACTAAATCCATGCAGTAAAATCAAATCAATCAGTAACAATGGATAACAATCCCAACAAGACTTAAAGCTTGGGTTGTAAGTCATTCAGTAATACTATTAAGCTCTGCATGCAAATCGTAAGAGGTGCAGTGAGGCATTGAAGTTAATAGAAAAATTAGTGACATATTGTCCCCACTGTCTCTGTGTTGTTTTGCTCTGTGCACTTAGCCATCTGTCATTTAGGAGGAAGAGCAGGATATAAATGGAATTTTATTTTTTTTATCCAACCCACCAAAAAAAGTACTTCCACCCCTTTTACAGCTTCTGTGACAGTCTCCTCCCTCTAGCTATCATCTGCCACAGCTGAGGCCATTAGGTGGAGCGTAGCAACATTTAAGTACGTTTGCAGCTGCCTCTGCAGAACCATTTTAGGCCACCACTGTTCCCACCTCTGGCTTTTTTTACATCTCACATAGTGCTCCTTAATCTCCCTTAATGGCCCACCACCCAGGCTGTCACCTAACTGGGAACTAGCCTGGCTATTCCAAGAATTTGAAGCATTGATTAAATTTTAACAGTTGCTGGATCCAGAGATTAGAGGGGTGTGGCACACCCCAAACACATATTATTTTAGAACAAGAGGACCGTGTCATAGTTTAGTCTGAACACAACTAATCAATTAAAAGGTGGGTTTTCTCTTACCTCCTCCGTAGGTTTGGCACAAGTATGGAAAACGCCACACATTTCCAAGACCCACAACAAATCCGGAACAGCTTAAAAGGTACTGGAATTTACTATCCCACTTGGGCCTATGTGAGTGTTTAGAGCTGCTTTCGGGTTGATCAGTTGCCATCTTTACTTTATACTCTTCAACACTGCCTTCGGGTTGATCAGTTGCCATCTTTACAACCTCTTTTTTTCCTTTCACCACATATTTCTCCAATATTAGTAGCAGCCAGGCAACTGAACCTCCTCACTCACCATGTAAGCAGCAAGGGGGGGGGGGCAGAAGAGGAATTATGAACAATGGATGGAACTTCCATCTGCGACATCACACCAAAGAATCCAGATAAAATAACCTAGCAACCTACAGCCACACAAATTACAGAGTTGAGATGAGGCACTGAAGTTAACAGAAAAATTCTTACCTCTTGGAAGCAGTAAAGATATAATTCAACCCTTTCAGTCCAAACTCTAAATTGTATTACTTTTCCCAAAGGTTCCCTCTTTCCCTAGCATAGGAAAAAGACCACACGTTTGGTAAGTTAAAAAATGCTTTACTTACACACTCTTCAAAGGTCAGGTTCATGTGTTTCATAAAAGGTTGCACAGGCAGTAATATTCACCTTAGTTACAAAGCGGCAGAAGTTCCTAAATTACTGGTAGAGGAACTCAAGAATGGATGCTGAGAGCCATGCAGTTGAGCTGGAGCAACCAACTCAAACCTCTTCACATGCTGAGCTTCTCAAGTAAACTGGAGAACAAAGGCTTGATTACATAGTTCCTTCCAAGTTGAGGGGAAATAGATAGTGAAGTCTGACAGGACAGCATACTCTATGGTATTAACCCCTTCATGCCTTAATTAGACTTAAGCATGTTGGTTATGTGAAACTGATTATCCCACAAACCCCTTCTCAATAAATGAACCACTGGGAGTCCCATCTTAACTCAAAGGTTCTCAAAACAGTCTCTTGGTCGAGGACTGGTCAGAATATTGACTGTCATTTCTTTGGTTTGATAATACGCCAATTCAACAAGTCCATCTTGTACCACATCATACACATAGAGGTATTTCACCCCAATATGTTTGGTTCTTGCATGAAACGTCTCACTTTCCAAGAGTCAGCATCAGTGTAACCTAGTAGTTTTGGATTGCTGTTGACTTGCAGTTTACAGTTCATGTCTTCCTTTAAGTATCTAGTAATTCCTTGCATATCAGTCCAGTCCTTCTCAGTGGGAGAGCTAACATCCCTGCTTAGAATAACCGGCCCACGAGCCACCCCAGAACTGAGCCTCCTGCTCAGCGAGTTTGCAAACGTTGCGCTAAACAGGCGCAGTGTGGTGCAAGGACTCGCTTCTGTGGTGCCGGAAATCGCATCTGTGCAGACACCAGAAATCGTGGGCACGCGCGCCTACACACGCACGCGATCCGGCCCATGGAAGGATCTCTGCTGGAGTGAACCAGCCCAGGCGAGGTAAACCTTGCCAACCCCTGGATTAAGTACATGTAAAGCACATGACTTCCCCCAAATCCTGCAAACTGTGCCCCCCTGGCCCCGCCCCACCCAAGCTACAATTGCTTAACACCCTTTGTCTCCATCTGCTTATAGGAGACAAAATGCCTTTAAGCAAATTGTAATGAATGAAACTAATCTGGAGAGAGTGCATTACTTTCCTTATGCTTCCTCTTTTCTTGTCTTGCCTCTCCCATTCTACATTTGGCTTTGCAGTAAAAGATAGAAGACTTAAGGAAGACAGAGATTGAACCTTAAAAGAAAGCTAGCAAACATTTCCAGCTCCAACATTTCTTTCTGTGTAATTAGAGAAAGCACATCTAAGTCCTGTCATTTTAAGAGCTCTGCCAAGAACTGATAAAATTGCTGTGTGCTGCTAATATTGGCTCATCTAGTACATTATTGTCTACTCTGACTAGCAGTGACTAGATGTCTTTCCCATTATCCTGCCACCTGATCTTTTAAACTAGAGATTGAATCTGGGATGCAAAGCATGGGTTCTGCTACTGAGCTATGACATCCCACTGCCACCTCCCTGTATAACTTCAAAATAGCAGAACAGGTGACAAGCTGAGTCATTCATACAAATGTCTGTCATTTTCAGCATTCAGTTCAACATACAGTTCCAACTGAAATTATTCAACTCCCATTGCAAATCAGGTTTATTATCAAAATTTACAGACTTTCAGCTGTTTGCAATGAGCAAATCAAACAAAAGCAATTGAAATAGCTCAACACAGAATCGAAACAAGCGGTAAAAAAGAAGAACCAAAACTATGCATATTTCACTCGAATAGCATTTTGTTTAATAATACATTATTTGTCCAACATGGTGGCACACATAAGATAGGAAACAAAGCATTACAGGTGCATGTTTGGATAAAAGAGACATCTGTATTAACCACCTGCTAATCCAGCACAACTGGTAAGGAGAGTCACTCAAAGTGCATTAGTCTCATTTAGACTCTGGGACCCGCTAACCTTTTAACAGCTCTAATCCTGAACTCAGGAGAGGGAGACATCAGTGTTGCACCATCTCTCACTGAAAAGTCTTCCTGTAACACCTCAGGAAGGCGAGTTAATTACACTTTGTTCTTCAGTTCTCCATTTATTGATGCTTCTGATACGGCACTGATCAGATCCTGCCGTCCAGGATTTCTCCTCTTGCATAAACTTTGGATGCCTTTGTAGATAGCAAACCCAGGGATAAACAGGCTTGGTATTCCTGCAAGGACTACGATGATAGCATAAACCCAGTCAGGATATTTCATCGGCATTGATTTGGGAAACAGGTCCTGGGGAAAAGACGACACACCTTTCAGATAGTTGTAGGTGGTGATGGTGCAGAAAAGATGGAAACCTAAAGGCATCCATCTACCCATCCCCCCTGAACTGCATTTAAGCTAGGCTCCTTGGAGTGCAGGAAGAGCAGTGCCAGAAACTTATATTTTTGCTTTTGCAAAGGCCAAATTGGTATACCCAGCACCGCTAAAGGGAACTGAGAACTCAGCTACATTAGTAAAGAAAAAGTGTATTAAAACACTGTGACACCAGACAGCGCTGTGGAGTTCTTTCGCCAATGTGATTTCACATTATGTTTACAAGAAAATTTACAAGCTTTTTTTTAATGTGTCTATATCCAGTCTGAAGTCCCATTCAATGCAGGCTGGCCTTAACAGGGATTGTGATCAATCATTTAATTTCAATTAGTAGCCAATTTAGAGCAGGTAATTTATTTTCCCTAAGGGGGAAACAAATTGTTCTTCTTCATCTGCCCCAACAAGATATTCAGCAAATAGTCCTTGTGGGGGTGTGGGAAGGGTAGCAAACTGTGGATTGGGCAATCAAAGGCATGCTGAGCACAGCGTGAGTGAAGAGAAACCCATAAAATAACTTGGGGTGTGCTTCTTTGAACATGTGTACTTACGTATTCGGGATCCCAGACATTGTATCGTAATTCTTCTCCCACTTTCACCACAAAGTAAAAAAGGAAGATAACCAACATGATAAGAGGACTGATAAATCTCCAGGTGGCCTGCCAGAATATATTGGGTTTGTGTCCAATCATGAACTTGATATCATCATTAAATCTGATAATAAAGAGAAAGGAAGTTTAGAGAAACCAAGCTGCTTTGGACAGATTAAGGGCCAACTCACACATTCATATTCATTACTTGGTAACTGCCATAAGGAAAGAGGGCATTACAGATACGTCAGAACTGACAGAACTTCCATTGCATTGCCTAAAACGTTATATCTTGTAATGGAATCAGCTCTCACATTCAGAAGCTGGTTATCAAGTGTAGACAAACTGTTGCATGAATTTATGTATAGGTTGGGAGGGTTGCCCCTCCAGCAGATATCATGCACATGCAGCCCACTACCAAAACCAGCACAATTGCTTTTGTGACTTTTGTGATTTGTCCCCACAAAACACCCCATCACAGTTTCTTCCTATCTATTCGAATGGCCTTTGCTACACAATACCAAATGTAACAATTCACTGATAAATGTATCTATGTACTGGCTCACTGGGAAAACTTCAGAAATTCATATAGACATGAGCTCAGCTACTCAGCAGCCCCTCTGCCTGAGTATTAATTCCTGGCATCCTGATACCTGAATGCCAGACAGGTAGCCATTCCAGAAATAACAAACCCAGATGAAGACAAAAGGGTGTGATTAACTTGGCTGGGAAACAGGGAAATGTAAATATCTTTTTTGTTACACTTGATGGGTGTTTGGTGGAGGGCAAAGAGAACCATGGGGCAGGGCAGATCTGTAATCCTTAAAACAGTCCAGTAAGGTGGGCTTATAAATCATTTAGAGATTTTATTACAATCAAGCAGTATATAATTTTTGTTAAACAAATAAAATTATTTTCCTTGTACTTTTGAGAGGCGGGTGGGAGAATAAGTGGCTTGCACAAATCTAGCTACAGAATTTCTGGCTGATAGGAATCCAGAGACACTTTCTATTTGAGAAGGTTTCACATCTTACCTGTCTATCCCGTATATGTAGACAACGGAAAACATCTCAAAGAAAGCAATTATCAGCAAAGGAATTGAACCGGCAAAATTATCAAACAGAGCCAACCAATAGTTTCCTGATCTCAGCACAAAAATAATGGCAAGCAAGAAAGATGTCACACAAATCAATCCTGTAAAGAAACAGCAAACACGATCAAACAAAATAAAATGTGAAGCAGAAAGTTTAACTAAGAAAATTAAATAAATATTATAATACAAGAAACGTTGGCAACACCTCAAGGATCAAATCAGCTAGACATGAAGAAAATGTATTGATCCAGTTTTCACACATCATGGTGAACAAGTTAACAGTTTATTGCAAACACACTGTCTCTCCCACCCTCTGTTCATTCTGGTAGGAAAGAAGCTGATTTCTGCCATAGTATTTGTTATGTACTGAGTTGAATAGGATCCAAAATGCAGCAGTCTGATTGGTCCTAGAACAATGCAGCAGTATGATTGGTCTGCAGGAGCCACCCAATCCAGCTCCAGATGGAAGTGAATCCACAACCTGATTGACCTACAGGAGAATTCTGGAATTAGCCAATCATGTGCAGCCCATTGTGTAAATAATGTATATAAAGCAGATACTTTGAGGGGGACATTCATTCCTCCTCACCATTATGAGCTGAATAAAGAGCATGAAATCCACTCTCGACTCTGAGTATATTTCAGTATTACATCCAAGCCAGGAGCTATGATTTGTTTCATTCCAACAAAGCTATGATTTGTTTCATTCCATATGCTCAGTAAGCCAAGAAGAAACATTGGGTACAGGTTGTGGCTTGCTGTGAGTGAAACAAACCAAGATCCCTGGCTCAGACATAACACCAAGCCAAGAATAGTGGGTTCTTTCCTCTGAACAGTAGCTGGGAAGACAGAAACAGACCAAAAAAGTTGCAATCTATGGTTGATTGCAATGTGTGAACTAAGCTATTCTGTTATTGGAACTCTATGGAGAATATAAAGTCAAGGGGAAAAAGAAAAGAAATGGCTCCTTCAATTATTGTTATAGATTTAGGAAGTCTCAAATTCAAAGTTCGAACTCCTCAGCTAGACTGGTCCATCTCAAAAGAGTTGCTGTGCAAAAAAAAAAGCAAGAAAGCTGACTGCTATCCAAAGCTACATGCTCATAATCAATTCCCCTCTCCTCCATCATCAATATTCAGCAGCAGGGGTTGCTTTACTGTGTTTGGCTGCAAATGCAGGTCCAATGAGTAGCTGTAATGATTTCACTCTGCCTGGCTTGCTGGCAAAACTCATGAGCAAGTTGCTGGCTTTTTACCATCATCTTTAAAACATGCTTCATTCATACTGGGTCAGATTTAACTAAGTTGTTGTGCTAGCAAAAGCCAACACAACAAAGCCTGTTGATGCACTTTCCCCAGCCGTCCTCTGCACCATGACAGCTGCAACCAACCCAAAACTGCTGGGGAGGGTCAGGAGGACCCCACAGAACAGGGGGAAAGGGAAAGAGCATTCTTTCTGGCAAGCAGAAATGCTTTTTCTGATTGAACTATTGTCTTAGTGCAATACTGAATTCTACCCAATGAAAATAAAGTATTACATCATTTAACTTGAAAGAAGCAATATACTACTTGAATTCAGATGACCACTTTGCAATCCCTCTGTTGCCACACCCTGATTATACTACCATTTTCAACTAACCTGTAACAAGTTCCTTAGGCCATTTTTTCGGTATGATTTTGAGATCGTTCAGTGGCACCATAACACCCTCTATATTCCCAAACATAGATGATAAACCTAAGCAGAACAGCATGATAAAGAAGAGGATGGACCATATTGGCGAGGCAGGCATTTTGGTGATGGCCTCAGTGAAGACAATAAATGCTAAGCCAGTTCCTTCAACACCCTGCAGAAAACAGCAATAGATATAGATGGAATAAGACATACAATTATTGATCATATTAAAACACACTTTAAGTCGCTCAGGTTAGACCAACTACAGGCAACTTCCTAAGCCAATAGGACTGTATCATTTATCATTCTATCACTAACTGCTCTTCCACCAAAGCACCCAAGGAAGACTACAAGAATAGAACCAGATAAAATCATCACAAAAGCGACAATGAATAAAGTTTTTGTTCAAGCAACAGCAGCCATATGCTAAAATCAGTTATGATAATTTCCAAGAGGGTAAATAAATTATCTCTCTCTTTCATTTATGTTTATATAATTTGGGTCTTACAATGGTCCAGGACACATGTGGTAAATCATAATTAATGGTTCATCAGTAATATGGAAGTGACTCATGTTTATTGATATAAAGTCCTTTATTATAATCTTGTTAGCTTCCATGTTATCACCTTACATCACTTAAGAATGATTCCAGGTCACAGGTCTGAAATGTAAGAGTTGCAAAGGTTGCTGGATCTGTCGTGTTGAGCCAAGCTTGCATTTGCTCAAAGTTTTCCTGGGTTACATTACCTTCTGGTAAATCAAATGCATTTGTCAGAGTGAGGATATTTCTGCAAATACAAAAGGAAAGCAGTCAATGCCTCTTCAGTCAATGACTCTTCACACAGATTTCTTAAGTTTTATCATTATGATAATGAATTAATAAATAAATTTATTATGCTCACAGAACAACGCATTTAAAAGAATGCAAATACATTACAGAGGGGTCAAAAGTAAGTTCTGACTTTACCATCTGCTTCCTAATTTCTATTGAAAATAGAAAGTATTTTGCTACTTTATCAGGCAGTAATAAAAATAGAGCCATCAGTTAAATAAAAAGATATCAGATCCTTAGAGGCAGAGTTCTTAATAATATGGAAGGGTATGCCTCCCAAATCCTATATTTCCTGTGCCACAAGGACAAAGTTGTTAGCTAAGTTAAGAGAGCTGAGGGCAGAACATTAAAATAAATTAACTTACATGCTCTCTCCTATTTGTAAATAGCTAATGTTTGCCCAGATACAACAAGGGTTATTTGTACATAGAAAATGTTCTGGCAACCACATGCCCACTGTTTCCCCACATCATTGGCAGTTCTGCCTGTGTTGCTTGCTTATTAGAGAAGACAACTGATCTCCCAAACCCCTAGAACTATAATTGTCTGTGCTATTGGCACTCATATTGGGGAGGGGGAAGAGAACAATGATCTGGGATGCTTTAACTGGAAAACAGGAAAAAATAACTTACTGGCTAAAGCAATTGTCATATCTCTCTGTTGCTCTGAATCCAATGATTGAGTATATGACAGTAGCTGCATAAATAGATGTGAGGCCATTAATCACAGAGATAGTCAGAGCGTCCTTTTCACAGTTGTTACTGGAAACCAAAACACAGAAACAAGCTCACTGGGTGATCTTGGGCCAGTCACTGTCTCTCAGGCTTATGTACCTCTGGGACTTGTTGTGAGGTAGAAATGTGCAGGGGGGGAGTGGAGAAACATGTGTGTGAGCCCTGGTTGCTCCGTTTCCTACATCTTGCATGGTAAGAATTGTGCTACAAATAGTAATACACAGTCTTCAATATGAAAGAAAGGAGAAGGAAGGACTTTTCTAGACCTTGATCTTGAGTTACCTTGTTTTGTTCTTCCCATTTGTGTTTTGTTTTGTTTTTGTTTTGCTCATGAAGAACATATGCCTTCCTAGATACTTATGAGATAGGATTGGGGGGGTGTCACTGTCAAGAAAGGAACTACTACCAATTGTGAAATTGTCTTCTAAAATTGACTTTTTCTATTTGGTATGGCAACTTACTGAATTGAATTATAACTAGAGAATGAGATGAGGCCTCCAAAGGCAAGGGAAAATGAAAAGAATACTTGAGCTCCGGCATCAAGCCAAGTGGTTGGGCTGGCCAATTCTGCAACCTGAGGAACAGAACAAAAGAGCTTCAAAAATTGGATAACTTTACAGCTAAAATGGAACAAAGGCATGTCCTAGCTGACTCTGAGCATGCAACCTGTTCATTTAATATAAAGTGTGGTATGGGAGAATCCCACCGCTTGGACCATCCTACTCCTGTCATTCAGTGCATAATCCAGCAGGCAGGTTGAAGGAACTGTCCATAGGAGGAGAAGGGTACAGAATGGACAGGCAAGGCAAGGAAGGCTATGCGTGTGGACAGCCAGGCAAAAGATTTCCAACAGAAACCTGCCTTAGCCCTGTCTATCTAGATCCTTCCTGTCAACACTGACTGCCAGCAGTCCTCCAGGGTCTGACGAAGAGGCTTTTCCTACGTCTTTTACTTGCGATCTTCTTACTGGCTATGAACCATACTTGGACCTCATTTGCTACCTGTGTGCAAATGATATATGCTTCCATTGAAATAGGGCACCTCCCGTGCTCTTGATTAAAGAGATGAGTTGCTCAGACTGAAGAGCCAGGCAGATTGAGGATTTTATGTGTCAAGGTGGAACACAATTGCCCCCCCCCCACCAGTCATCTGGGAAACTGCTGAATCAGCAGGTGATATTTGCAGGAGCCTCAGCTAACACGTTAAACACATCTGCACAGGTAGAAGAGGGCAGGGCATCACCATTTACTATGCAACCCCTCTCCCTCAGCAAAGTGGCATGTCTGTCTGTCTATATGACTTTGATCATGGAGGGCTTAATGATATCCAGAAAATAATCAGTGTACAGTGGTGCCTCGCAAGACGAAATTAATCCGTTCCGCGAGTCTCTTCGTCTAGCAGTTTTTTCGTCTTGCGAAGCAACCCTATTAGCGGCTTAGTGGCTTAGCGCTATTAGCGGTTTAGCGGCTATTAAAGGCTTAGCGGCTAAAAGGCTATTAGCGGCTTAGCGGCTTAGAAAAAGGGGGGGAAAGCGAAAAAAATCTCAAGACTCGCAAGACATTTTCGTCTTGCGAAGCAAGCCCATAGGGAAATTCGTCCTGCGAAGCGCATCGAAAAACGGAAAACCCTTTCGTCTAGTGGGTTTTTCGTCTTGCGATGCATTCGTCTTGCGGGGCACCACTGTAAATAATGCTGCAAATGGCTCATTTCTCTTCAAACTTCCAGTTATTCTGTTTACTTGGGGTGGTGGGTGGGGATCTAATCAATACTTACATCAGGCGTGAAGAGATATACAATTCCACTGGTTGATCCTTTCAGTGTTAAGCCACGGATCAGGAAAATTGTAAGCACAACATAAGGAAGTGTTGATGTTACATACACGGCCTGGAGAAGGAATATGTCAATTGAATACGCACAACATGAATACGCCTCTTTTGTTACTCTTACTTCTTTCATTCCTTCCCATCCACAGCTCTATTGTCTCCCACACTGTTGAAATTTTTATTTGTCACTTTCAGAGCAGAGAACTGCCTTCCCCCCTCCTTAACATTACTCTGTAAATCACCACGTGCATTGATGGCACAACATAAAACCCCAAGGGAAATTTAAACCATTGGGTAAATTTATTTCAATGAAAAACGGCATGGAAAGTAGGAAACTGAGAGAAAAACCATAAAGATTTGCATGTATTATCAGTTGCCAATATTGCAGGTGTACAAATTATAATTGTTCTACGGGAGCTACTTCTGCAGGGTCTGACTCCACATTATATGGGTGTCATCTAAATCAAGAACCAAGTGGATCAGATGAATGATGTAGCTCAGGAAGGAACCACATCACTCAGTCTGTCTAGATGGTAGCAGATCAGATTGAGGCTGTACCACATGAAACCCACATTATATGGGTGTCATCTAAATCAAGAACCAAGTGGATCAGATGAATGATGTAGCTCAGGAAGGAACCACATCACTCAGTCTGTCTAGATGGTAGCAGATCAGATTGAGGCTGTACCACATGAAACCCACATTGCATAAGCACTACAATAATCTGGCTTGTATCTGCATATATTTACAAATGCCTTTTCTGATTCAGCAGTACATCTGAACCCGGCCTCTGATGACACTATGTGCTTCAATTTCTCTAGAGTTTACAGGTCACACATTGAGACATGGGCCTGCTCTAACCTACAATGCCACAAAATAGACGTTGCGGCAAACATGGAATTACCATCCCTCTGTTTGTCCCCATGTGCTGTGTTTGGTTGTTCTGGGGCTTGTGTGTACACTGGTGCCGATACATGTTGTTGTTGCTAGGCTTGATCATTATTATGAACTGCTTAAATTTTAGCATGTTTATATTAGGGCTCTGTATAGCCGATCGGCACATTGATTGAGACAACTGATAATAATAACAAGTAAATAAAATAAATAATAAAGTGAAAGCTGAGGCAGGATGGAGAAGGATCTGTTGGGAAAGAAGTGGCCGGCAACAAGGAGAATGTTTTGCCCCCTTCTGGCCCAAAGATACCATCCAGGGTATTAAACACACCCCAAGCCCCACTTAAATCAGCACACACACAGACAGGTCTGTGAGCCCAGTTTGGGGGAAAGCAGCTGCAGCAATCCCTAAAATGGTTGGAAAACAGAATATAAGAAGTAGCTCTGATTTCGTTCATACAAGACAAAAGTACCTTTCCTGTTGTTTCAATGCCTCTAATTGTGCACACGTACACCACTCCCCAGGCACATACTAAACATAACAGCAGCCACCACTGTACAGTTCCAGTCTCGTCAATATTGGTGGAGACATTTAATGTCTTCCTGTACCAAAAATAATCAACAGAAGAGCTCTTTGCACATTCGTACACGTAACCTGAAACCAAAGAAACAGTCCTATTAAGCAATGCTACAATCCAGTGGGAAGCTTTTCTGTGCAAGCTCCATTATAATGAAAAACCACAGTGCACTCTTGCACATCTCCCATTAATTTCAAATGAGCGTGCACAATAACTTTTACAGATTTGTTTCATTTAAAGAATCTATACCCTGCTTTCCATTGCTTGTCTCAGAGCACTTTACAGTAAAAATAAAACATACAATGTACAAAATTTAAAACATTGGAAACAGAAGCATTAAAACAAAGGTTTCTGGAGGAGGGGAAACATCTTAACCTAGCATCTGACACTTAGCAAAGACGATGACTGCCCGATTTCGAACTTTCAGTGGCCTATGCCACAAGTTTTTTTTTAGTTTTTTTTAAACATTGGCAAGAAAGCACCTGACCTTTGCAAGGACACCGAGAGTGGCTTGTGAAATTCATACCCAACTGGGGTGCCTCTTTATGCAATTGAGATGTTTTGAGTCAATTCTTCTACTCAATTAATCAGTAAAAAGCTGCAGACTTATTTAAAATAAATATGACTGGGTGTGGGTGGGTGGAGTTGCTATTTCTTCCTCCTCTGCCTATCAACCTTTGACCAGTCACTCCTCTTCCCTCAAGAACAAAAGAGAGAAGCACACATTGGCACTGCATGAAATGCAGCACACAGGAACCCTCCATTCTACCAGCCTGGTAGAAACTGAGCTTTTCTGTCTGAGTGCTTTTTAAACTTTTGCCCTGCCATTTCCCCCAGGAAAACCTGCTCTTTAACTCTGAATTGGAACAAACGGCAATTTGGGTTTTCCTCGGATTGCCATAAAGTGTGGGCTTTCCTGGGGAAAGTGGCAGGACCCAACAAAAAAAGTGCAGACCTATGCCTAGAAATTCAGCACAAAAGCAAGTCTGGGTGAGCCCTTTGTTTGACTGATAGTTTCAGCCAATTGGCTACTTTTAATTGGTGGTCACTTTTTTTATTGAGTATAATAATCATTGCCACCCTAGATTGCCGGTAGAAAGCAGGCATGGATTTATTTAAACCAGTCAGACTTTACTGAGTCGCCAAAACATAATTCATTTCCAGGGCAGTTCACAAAACAACAACAAAACAGTTAAAATGCCATGTAATTTCTAAGCCAGACTAAAAGATTACAACACCCTGAAAATAATGTTAAGGTCCGTTCTCATAGTGGTTTTCAGAATTCAAGACGAAACACTTGGCTCAACCTGCTAAGACTATAGCTTACCCAACAGGCCTTCCAAAACAGCCGAAGGAAAGCCAGTGGTGAGTCGAACCGATAAGCCTCCCTTGGAAGAGAATTTCAGATCATGGGCACCCATTATTAAGAAAAGTCTGTTCCTCAAAGTCATTGGCAGTTGGAACCATAACTCACCCTTATTTCCAAATGGTTCTGATGCCAGAATAATGTGCAGGATAGCTCAGTTAATATAACTTCCTGGATCTTGGCCCTTCTGTTTGGACAGTCACTTAGATCTTACCGCTGGGCAATAGTGATGCTTCTGGGATTTCTCTGCACCCACCAGCTGTGCTCAGGGCTGGCCTTGCTATGCAGCAGTGTGAAATAACCTGCTTCAGGTGACACTATGAACGGGAATGGTGTCTGAAGGCAGGAATTGTTGCCTGAACGGTGGTTCAAGACTTTTTAAAGTGTTATTCTTACCATGGGGAGATGCCATTTGGGAAGGGACCTAGAGCATCTGCTTTGCGTACAGAACATCCCACGATCAATCCCTGACATATCCAGGTAGGATCGGAAGAGACTCCTACCTAAAACCATGGACAGTCATTGCCAGACAGTGCAGACAATGGTAAGGTAGATGGACCAATGGGGAAATCCCTATGTTCCTTTATTTGTTCCTAATGGCCAGCACGAGGCAGGAGGTGGGGTGATAGAAAGTATTTATTGGTTAGATCCAAACTATGTAGGACACATTTGCTTTCCAATGAAATCAATGAGCCGAATATTAGTGAGAAATGCAATTAATTTACTGGCCCCTACACAAGGTTTTCATATGTGCAATAGGTGAAATAAAATAACGTTCTGCCCTGAGCCTTACGCTACAAAATGGTCTTGAGGAAGCTTTCCTATTGTTGTTGTCTCCAGCTCAGCAGATTAAAAGGTTACCCTAATTCAAAATGATCTTTGGTAAAAGACTGTATTTTCTTAAGCTGTTTGCAGAGAGAAGCCTCTTTATGATAGACTGCTAACTATTACAAGCATAATCTGTACCTGTTCTGTTTTCATCAGCAAGTGGGCATTCACTCCAAGGCAGTGGCTCTTGGAATGAGTTGAAGAAATACCACATCACCCAAGCAATAATAGTATTATAGTATAAGCCCACAAAGAAGGAGACAATCATTGCTGCTATACCTGTAGGAATAGAGAGAAAGCATTTAGATAGATCCTTTTTGTATTTAAAAAAAATAAAAATGATTTTGAGGAACAATGATGAGGAAATGAAACTGACAACAGAACAAACCTTAACAGGTGCAACAAAATTTTGAAGATGTATCCCTGTCCCTTTCCACACTGAAATATCTAGTACAGTGGTACCTCGGGTTACATACGCTTCAGGTTACACCCTCCGCTAACCCAGAAATAGTACCTCGGGTTAAGAACTTTGCTTCAGGATGAGAACAGAAATCGCACGGCGGCGGCACGGCAGCAGCGGGAGGCCCCATTAGCTAAAGTGGTGCTTCAGGTTAAGAACAGTTTCAGGTTAAGAACGGACCTCCGGAACGAATTAAGTACGTAACCAGAGGTACCACTGTAGTTTTCTAAGAATAATCCACAGAAGGAAGCAGAAATCTCCATATATTTAAGGGTGCTGACCTCACAAAGCTACAATTCCAAACACCCTTAACAAAACATAGTGCCCAGAATTCTCCATGATTGTTTGAGTGGCATAAGAGGGCTTTGGATGTATGGTGTTAATTGTTAAAATCAATCTGAGGCCACAGACTGGTCCCTCATCAGTGTGTGTATCTGAGTTTCAGTCTCAAGTCAAGAAAGAAAGTTCAAATTACTTTTCACCAATACATAATATACACATAGCTGATAAAGGACAGCTTGTTGGATTTTATTGAAAGACTTGTCTCTTTCCCCTTCAACAAAATCACTGTCCATTTCTTAAAGAAAATGGAAAAGTAGGACCATGTAGATTGCACTACTCTTCCATTTTTTCTCAAAAAAGAAGCCGGGACTTTCTGCTCCAAGAAAAATGACTAGAGGGTTGCAAATTGATTATAGTGGTGTGTGGAACCCCCCAATAAAATCTGAGTGAGTGAGGCATGGTGATTCCAACCTAAACACCTTGCATGAAAGCATATGTATGCTTATAGTGCCAAAATGTTGCTGAGTATTAAAATACATTAAAACTTACCTACGCCCTTCAGGGCGGGATGGATAGCACTCCAGACACCCACACTACCTCTTCTAAGTCTTTGTCCAATGGCAAATTCAAGGTGGAGCAATGGGATGCCTTCCAGGACAAGCAAAATGAGGAAAGGGATCATAAAAGCTCCTGCAGGGGTAAAATCCAAAATGAGTATGTTTTATACCCAGGGTGGAGAACCTGTGACCTTCAGATACAGCTGGACAACAACTCCCCCCATCCCTGACCATTGACCATGTATGGGCCAGGGCACGGGGGCTGATGGGAACTGAAATCTAACAGCAACTAAAGAGCCGCAGTTCACGATTGTTTTATTTTTCTTTAAATGCAAAAGGACAACTGGGATAAAGTGGTAAGGATGCAGTGGTAAGGAAATGCAGAAAAGGAGATACAAGAGCAATTATAGCATATCCTTTTGTGAATAATGTCTATTTTACCACGGTTTTCTAAGGAAGCAAGTAAAAACAGTGCACTACTGCAGAATTTCAGGCATCATCTGTCGCCACACTCTAATATACTATCAACATGACTACCTCTTCAAAATGAAACTCGGGTATTCTCAGGAGAGTCTTACTTCTATACATTGAGGGAGAAGTTACAAAATAAGACTCAAACCCATGTGTGGGGTGGGGGACAGACAGACTGGAGTAAAAGGGCATCAAAATTATCTCTTTTCTTTAAAAAGTACTTGTAGTTTTATAGCCAGCATTGCTTGGGAATTCCAAGAAACCCAAAACTCAGTGTGGTTTTGAAATCGGTGGTTAACATCAGTGCAGTTTTGAAAGGTTCATTCTACCATCTTGTTTCAAATTGTATTCAAACATAGACAAAAAAAAAAAAACCTACTCAGAAGCCTTCATGCAAAATTTGGCTGTGAAGCATCCAAATGCGTAGTAAACAGCTTTCCAAAATGCATAGTAGATTCACTAATTTTCCCATAGCCAATTGCTCACTGGGCGTGTTGTCGTTTCTTAAGCAAAACAGCATGTCAAAAGAGCGAGCAAAAGAGAGAGAGAAATGATCCAGAATAGCACTGACAAAATCATTTATCTCATACGGCATTTCTGTTCAGTCACCAACTGAATATACTGGAATATTTCCCTCCAGAGGGGAATTCTCTTACAGAATCATCATAAATCATTTAATAGCCCTGTGCAGAAAAGTGATGCTTTTTAAACTGTTTTAATCCAATGCTGAAACATTTGTACAGCTCTACCTTAGAAAGCGGAACATGAAGTAAATTCTCTCAAATGGTTAAGATGCTCTCACATTACCCTCTATGTTGAAATTTGGAGCACACACTGTGGTTACCTGAAAAATCTGAAAGTGGCACTTTTTTTACATTGAACAGCTGAAGTTCAGGAGGCAAAGTTTATCTCATAATGTAGGCCTGCACTCCAGCCACACATTGAAAACAATCTTAGGCTGATGTTTACCTGCTAGAACTAGCATGCAGGGTGGGGATTTCCTATAACAATGAGGAATGTGTGTCTGAGCAAAATGCAAGCTTCGCTTACTAATATTTAATTGCCATGTTAATCAGTACGCCAAATATGTAACACATTGAGTACAGTATTGAAAGTTTAGAAATTGGCATGTCCTCCTTCAGTGAGTGAGAATGTGTGTAAATAAACACTTTCCTGAGATAAAGATTAACACACCCGAAATGCAGTGAAAGCAGGACAGGAGGAATGGGAGTGAAAAGAAATCCCTGAATTTGTTTTTTAAAATTAAAAAAGAAAATTGTCAGAAGCAGCTTGAATCTCTCTCAGATTGTTGGCTGGCTGTATGACGTCAAGCAGATCATTATACACAGTGGATCAGCACTTTGGCAAGGTGGAGATTCAGTAAGTATATTAACCAAGAGATTTAGTGGGATATGGACTTTAACCAAGTGAATGCAGTGACATATGTTTTCAAGAAGCCTCGGACTTACCCAGATGTCACTGTGTCTCCCTCTTTTAGAATGTGCTAAAGCCAGGATAATAAAGAAATAAACAATACAAATCTCCCCTTTCCCTGTTGTCGTTTGTCTATTGTGTTTGTTTTTGCAGTGTGAGCAAGTCTGTATGTGTAGCTGGAACAATATTTTGTAGGCAATGGTTGCTGATACATAGGTAGGGTTATTTTGCTCAGGGTAAGGGACAAGTAATTTTAGAGGGGTGTGAGTAGATTGGTAGATCTTATTTTTCTGAATTTTTCTTCTGCAGTAAAAGCAAACTTGCATGAAAAGGCACAGGTCCTAAAATATTACAAAGTGATTAGCTGCATCAAGTAGTCTTATATTTCAGAGCATTGCCCCCAAATATACTACAACACAAAGTAGGTGCAATGTTAACTATTTTAGACCTATTTTAATTGCATAAAAGTTAGAAAAACCTCTGAATTATGAAAAAAGCTGCTTAATTCAATAATGATAATAATGATAAAACCACCACCACCACCCGTGGGAACTAGGTTGTTCAAAGCACAGCATTTCTTGACTAATCCTAATTTTAAATTAGCTCATGTTTGTATTTAAAATGTTAATGACTGTTTCCCTTTTACAGTCAGACACAAATGAGAAACCACAAGAAATTTGGGTCAGCCTTTCTTAACTTTCTGAGAATGCCCATTTGTTTAGAAAATTGTACCTCTGTCATTATTGCTGCAGTTCCATGCATGTTATAGTCAGGTATTCGGCTGACTGAACTCAACAGAACTTCATTCTAAATAAATGCAACCATATAGCACAATCATATGCAAATCTCTCAATTTCCTCAAATGATAGGGTACATGATTGCTTTGCACGTTCTCTCTAAACTAGGCGTGGTTTTTTGGTCATTAAAAATCATAGTGATTGAGAAAAACATTACAATTTTCCGCTCCATTCAAGCATTTTCACTCAATAAATGTCTGCCTCCACCATCTGCGTGATCTGAGACATACCTCCTCCGTGGCTCTGGCAGAGATAGGGGAATCGCCATACATTGCCCAGGCCTACACAAAACCCTATGCAGGTGAGCATGTATTGTGCCTTATTATCCCATTTGGGTCTTGAATCCGCCTCTGTAGCCTCAAGGTTTTCAAGGTCCTCATGGGAAGGTATTCTCAGTTCCAAGTTGGGGTTTGGCAGCTGCAGTTTTACCATGATGTCTCTGTGCTTGGATGTCCTTGCTCAAGAATCCGTACCTGGTCCTGGGGCTGGACGAAGAAAGGGAGCCTTGGCTGCTGGCTTCAGCTCTTTATAGTGAACCTTTGACACTAAACTTGATGGTGCTGACTTGGGGTAGAAAGGAAGCGTCAGCAAGTCATTTGATTAACCAAGGTTACTCAGAGACTTATTAATGCCTTATCTGCCAAAGCTCCAACTGAGCGCAGTGATTGCGTGGTATCAAAATGATCAAGACAAGTAATGGCAATTCACAGGGCAATTTGCTCCAAGGTACATAAAGCAGTATGTTTAAATAGACCTTGCCACACCCCTCTGCTAACCATCATTTGCAATAAAGTGAAGGACATTATCCCAGGAAAATCAAAGCCCATAACCAAGTTCCTGTAACTCCCTACAATCTCTGTTAGTAATCATGCTTGCTGAGACCTCCCACCCCTTCCAGTATCTGCACATCCTGCATCGATGCCTTTACAAGGCTTATATTTCATTATTCTTAGTAAGCAAAATATTTGGGCTTTAGATCAATTTGGGCAAAAGTGTTACAGGTGATTAGAAATGAAGTTTTGTGAGACACTTACCGTAACATGTTTAATAAATGGTACCAAAAAATTAAACCAAAGGATGGATTCCTCAATTTGATTAAGATGTTACAGAGCTCTGAATTTCATTAGAAGTAGCAGGGGGAACTGCTCTGCTGGCAGTTCAGATAGTTCAGATAGTTCTGGCCTATCTGAAGGGTTCTAACAGCCTCTCTCAGCCATAGAGATGAATGAATCTGTAAATTTTGGTTTCTCTTTCATTTCTCATTTTTCTAATCTTAAATTTGGTTCGACACATTCCTGAATCAATTTGCTTTTTTAAAAAGGTCATCACGAAAATCAATTTTTGTATTGATTGACATGCATTTCCCCTAATGTACACATTGTTTGGACAACTGCAATGCAAAATCCAAAGTAGTATGAATTTCAAAGGATAACTGTTGGTTCATTTATTGTTTCAGAAAGTGCAAATTAGGTAGGTTCCCATTAAATTGTGAACTGAACTGAACTGTGTTTTCCCCCTATCCCTCCTCAGTCAGAAGCTGAGCAAGATCCAATTTAAGTACAATACTGTAGCAGAAAAGTGCTGGCCCAGCTCACATTTCGGATGTTCCCATATTTAAACAGAACATTACATTCCCCACAACCAGTCTGGAAATTATCTAAAATTCCACCTAGGAATTGGTGCAAACAGTATCCTACTTTCCCATGACATATACCTTGGAGAAAGAAGTGGATATGAGCATACCCTCAGGGTATTCATTGCACAGAAGTTAAAGATTGCTAGAATCAGAAATTAATCCTGTTGTTAGCTGAAGGTGACACATTTAAAGTATCCACAGTTGACAATCTTTAAACCAGGACCAGATAATTTTGTAAAAACACTTGATCTCTGTATAACTTGAGGGAATTAAAACACACTATCTCTATTTTTAGCAACCCATTTTAACTTAAAATTTTGAAGAGCTGTGTCTTAGTAACTGCAAATTATGATAGTTTATTCCATTAAAACACAAATACAGTGTCTTGAAAAGAAAGAACTATGAATTCAAATACTCACTTTAACCATTTAAATTCTGGCAATACATGTCTGAGGAAGTTTCAAAACCAACATAAGTACTCAAAGCTGAAATGAGGGTTCAGACACCAAGTATACAGGAGAGCTTTAAGCACCCTCAACTTCTAAAACAATTGCACTAAGTTAGAAAGCTGAGTTCTTTAGAAATCATTCATGTCATTCAAAAGATACAGGCAGCAACAGCTTTCTGGTAGTGATAATGCTTTAGGAGGGCTGACTGCTTCCAGTAAAAATTCGCTGTAGTATCGGTGGAAACAGAAAGCTGGTGGGAGAAGGAGAAAGGGATATCACACTGAGAACACTGCTTGACAATGTGGAATATCAGCAACTTGGGTTTTCCAGGGGAAAGGAAACCTGTGATAAGGCTCATCCACACTACCTAGAAAGCATGGGTCCGAGTGGTTTTCCAGTTGCCCTGCTGCTTTCCCAAGGAAAACATGCTATTTAGTGCTGAACTGGAGAAAACGGCAAATCCATGGGAAACCTGATTGACGTTTGCACCAATTCAGCGGAAAAGATCGGGTTTTCCTGGGGGAAAGCGGCGGGAGAAGAGGAAGTCTGGATGAGCCCTTCTGACACATTAGAACATTTGTGCTGCATTCCTTTCAAAGCTGTGCTTATCAAGTCACATCACTGACCCCACCCTCATCTCTCCACAACATGCACGCAGACAGACAATATTGCACCACTCTAGAAACATGGGAGATTCCCCCCCACACACACACTATGCTAACAGCATACAATCGCTTCTCCCTAATATACAAGAATTAAATTAACTGCCATGCTACGTCGTTTGGGGAGCATGAAGTCTCACTGGTATGTATATATATCTTTTGAAACCCTCAACAGTACATTTTAGGGGTTTCTAAAACATAATTTTTGAGGAATTAGCATCAGAAAATAACCATTTTTAAGCTCACTTTTACAATAAAAATAACAAGGCAAATAACATGGTAGACTATCTAAGAATATGACATCGAAAACCAACTAAGGTAAGGGAGGAAGTAAGCTGTCTCCAGGAAGACTTGTTCCAGGTATTCAATTTTTTTAATTGTCCCGAAACTTTTCAGCTCAATGACCCCCTTTTTTCAAATAATGTATGTGTGGTTATTATCCTGTCAAAATTGACAGTGTTTGTGGGTCTCTTCACCCACAGTTCTGCCCTCCCAATGTATTCTTGTTACAGATTTATTAGAATTACATGGGGAAAGGCTTTAGAAAAAACAATACACAAATAAAAAAGATTACTTGCCTCCTGTGCTCCTGAATACAAAACTTCAGACATCATCATACACATGCAAAACACATGTCATTACATTAATAGCCTCAGTAGGTTTTAGGGATCAAATTAATCTCTAACATAAATCCCTTACTGGAGCCAATGTGAATACTATACTGGCTCCTGCTAGGAAGTCTAGATGCTTTAATGTTATTACATTACCTTTTCAATAACTCTAAAAAGCCTTTAGCTTTTAACTCCACATTTTCCTCTGCTCTCTTTTGTACGGCTGCAACTTGTCCTTTCTGCGGGGCATTCTCTGTATTTTTTGTCCTGACATATGCCGCAGATTCCCCTATGTGCAAAGAAAAATTACAAATTATATGGGGAAGGAGACCAATTACTCTGAATTCAATTCAGAAAGTATAAAATCAACAGTGGCAATGCTAATGGACACCACCTTGTAGTTTGAATCTCTCATGTTTTCCTACATGAAAGAAGATTTGTAGAGTTGGTAACAGGAAATAAGGCTTTTTTGGTGCAGTACCAAATCTGTGCAACATTTTCCAGTCTTTCCAGTGCCAGGCAAAAAAATTTTTTTTTACTCTCGCCTTTTCATCATTTGAATTGGGTTTTAATCTCTTCTAAAACTTGTTTTATTGTTCTGCTATTTTTAATCCTTCCAATCTTTTTATTAGGTGAACTGGGATGTGGTTTCATTTTAATTATGTATTGTCATTTGTTGTAAGCTGTTCTGAAAATAGAAACACTAAAGAGTGGAGCATAAATAATTTCAAGAGATAAATAACATGAAAAATCTTCACCAGTTTGGTGAAAACCTGAGGCAGTTTATAGTTGTCACAGTTGTCTGCTGTCTTAACTCAAGGAAGGTCAAGATATGATCTTCATCACATAATTTTAAGGTGAGTTGCCCAAGGCCAAGT